CAGGTATGGAAAGGCGTATTGCAATACTTGCAATAAATGTGGGGCGATACCCCAGTATGGATTGCACACCTTTCCATGTATGGAAAACCACCCTGGTCTAGGACAATGAGCGTTCGAATTTCTGACGTGACCTGCGAAGGTCGTTGCCCTGCGCTCCTTCGGATTGCTCCACTCCAGAATTATGACATGACCATTGAGAACGTGAAATTCGATGAACTTTTGAGGGATGACAACGTCAAGCTAGGACAGAGTCTGGTTGGTATGAGGATCAGCGACCAAGAGGACGCCTACATACCCGGCCAAGAAAAGCTCAAGCTAGGGATACATATCAAGAATTGGCAGATTGGGGGCAACAGAGTGGATGGATCAAACTGGCAAGTCAACCAACTTGGGCAGTTGAACATCCACCCCGATTATTGGGGTGACTGGAGCATTGAATGAGGCAGGCTACCAGAGGATACGTGTGTTTCCGTGTTGGCGCACTTCCAAACCCATCACGCCGACTGTTTCAATTCTTCGCATCCAGAAGGATGCTGCGGCGTCTGCCGCAATCTGTATGTCCTACTTCAATGGAGAAATGATTATCGAAAAACCAGACCTCACCAAAGAAAGTGCACGTGGTTAACTAGGGACATGAGATGCCCGACACTGTAGACTCTGCTCATCAAGATAATCCTTCTTGCACAGCGCTGATAACGTGATGGCGCCCAGTACGTGTAGGGGCATCCCGGAGTCGACCACTAGCGACTTTTTTTGGCGCCCGTTGACATCTCGCCCGCTGCAAGCCTGAGACGTCCTGGAATCTGGAGCAGCTTGGAGACCGCTTGGGCAAGCCGGCCGCTGGTGGAGCCCCACGACGATGCGGGTGAGAGAGGCTGGTGGATGTAAAGTATTAGGTCGCTCTATACCCGATTCCAGTCTGCAAAAGGCAAGACCATCCCTGCCGTGCTGTGGCAGTTGACGGGAAGCGCACATCGCAGTAGGTGTCAATACGCGTGGTTGACTGCATCCAGGTGCATGGCTCATATGAACTGCATTATGCCGTGGCCAACAGAGTTGTACGATAGCACCAGAATCTGTGACTGAATTATTTTGACTCTGATATCGTACAGTAATCATACAATCTCGAATAGAGCTGATAGAACCCAAGCTTCCCTGCCCGCGGACCATCTGCCGTCACCCTCGTTTCGTTGCCCAACCAATGGCACATCTCCACCCCGTTCGCCTTGACTCACACTCGTGAAGTACCCGGCTTAGGAGTTTCAGAGTTCGAATCCGATGGAAGGTACCTTTGGACCAACCCAGGCGCGCGCCCCAGTACTCATCAAATGGATCGTCAGAAGTCGCGAAGGTGTTGCCCAGCGGGGGCCTTCTCGTCCCTTTGTGATCAAATAATTGCGATAACGTGAACAGGCTAAACTTAGTTGTTGTATGTCTACCACCGTTAAACCCCGCCTGCGATAGGGCCAGGAGGAAATCTTCTAAGGACACCGGTGGGCGAAAGGTTTGCCATGCGTTTGTCGAGACGTCCACATCCGTCTGCGCACCGTTAGTCGAGGTACAAGCGGCAGCTGGCTGATATCTTGCGCTCTTATGTAGCGACATACCGTATTGGGTAGTGCCCCAGAAAGCCAGCCTTCAAGGAGATAATATTCAAGCTCGGCGGTCAAAGGCCCTGGGTTGGACAGCTCGTTCTCGAAAAAGATATACTCGAGGCAGCCGCCAGGCACCAGCACGCGGTGGAACTCTGACAAACAGGAATGCAGATCACGAATAGATGCCCCTGGTTTGATTCGAATCCCCTTATGCAACATTCTCGCAGAGATGATGTTCACGCTTGCATCGGAGTAAGGGAGCCGACTGTAGTCGTCAGTGCCGAGTAGTGGATATGGACACTCAACCGACGAGCCCGCTGTGCTGCCTGTTTTGCGTTTTGTATCGGTTACGTCATCCGGACGGCTATTTGTTCTGCCACGATCTTGTAATATCATCTTTTGCACCCTGATGCCCGGTTCTTTGGCGAGTGAAGCTGTATACGAGTCTAACATGTTTGTCAGCCACGAACAAGCGCCAGTCTGCTCAATCCAAATACCTTGTTTCTCGCCACCAATGTCTACGATAATGGCAGTCTCGATAAAATCCTCACACCTCTTTCTCGTGAAAGGACTGAAAAGTAGCCTTGGCGCGTTCAACTTGGTGGGGTCCAGTGCAAATTGATAGCCCAGCGGCGTAGTGAGCAAGCTCGCACATGTACGGAAGAGTTCAGTAGCAGGATACGTCGATTTGGGGATTGAGGGAGGGCTTCCATTAGCCGCGTTCGCGTCAGAAGAGCTGAAGAATGGCTGTGACGGCGTGGCCGGGCCTGGAGTAGCTCCCTCGTGGGGTGACATAGTTGTGTTCGCTTTGGATTATGATCAGCGACATGACCTTGACCACCAGCTTTAGGTGTTATGCGTTGGAGTTGACTCTGTACCATGGTTGGATCCATCAATCGTGCATTCCCTTTCACCCTTGAGCGTGGGGCACGGGTCCATGAAACCAGCCTGGGTTTCATGGGCGTCAATGGCTAGGCTCGGCATCTCATCGTTTCCCAGCACATAATGTTCATTGTTGCACCGCCCACTCACTTCGTTGGCTCGATCTGGGCATAGTTGCTGAAGTACGTTGACCTTCGGATGGCAGGACTTTAGCAGGTGCCAAACAAGTTTGCCATACTCGAAATGTCTTTCTAGCTAGGGGTTACTTACGTCCCTACAGGCGGCACACATGGGTACCTCTTGGCTGCCTCTAGTGTTTCGGCGAACGGTGCCAACTGATCGGTCATCGACGTTACCGCTCGCCGTGTTGTGTCGTCCAAAAGGTAGGAGCCTGTGGCCAAAAGGCCGGTGCCGAGACGATTTGGAAGATTCATGGTCCGGCGAGTTGGGGATCGCAACTGCGTCCAAGCTGCTTAGCGAGCCATATTCGGAGGATTTCTTTGTAACCGACTTGCTGCGAGCATTCGTCCTGTCGGTCGACGATTGCCTGGCGATGTCCACAAGCCTCTCCTTCTCATTTAATAGACCTTGCAGGGTCTCGCCCTTGCCGAGCGCCGGGGTGGACAAGAACGGAAAGGCCATGCTTGAGCGCGCATCTGTGGAGTAGATGTGGGGCGACCTGGGGAGAACCTGGGGTTGATACAGCGCACGGGGCTGTTGCACAGTTCTGTATTTGTATCGCAGCGTCGAGATGTGCTCGGAGGCATGCCTGTTCCAGCTGGCTTCAGCGAAATGTAGCCTCTACGCCACCAACACGCTGCAGCCAATCTTGACGCTGGGCCTGGTCCGGGAGCAGGTGCGTAAGAACGCCTGTGGCAATTGGCCGAGAGTCCATTTAAGCCCGCTAGTTATTACGGTGTCCTCCACCGCGCTAGTCGTGCACCAATACGTTTTGGCGTTGTTTTGGTGCCGCAGAACTGTTCGATGACGATGCTCTCCTTGGGCAGGGCCTGAAGCTCAAGGGAAGCCCATTCGGCGGCCATCCATCGCATCTAGTCAGTCACTCGACAATGCCCCTGCTGTGACACAGATCAATGGCGTTCCATTTCAATTCTTCTTCTATCATATAACCACAATCCGACCGTGCTCAATGGAAACTCCACAGTCTGCCAGTGCCCTGCAACAGCGGCGTAATGTACCGCGTGAGAAGACCGATCTGGCCATCACTGGCCAGAATACCAAACCAGCCACTCTCTTTCGGCAAATTGAGAAGCCGTGGAGTGCGCTGCTCTGTGAGGGGTACTGTTTGGTGAACCGCTTCTCAGAAGAACGCCGTTAGCGGAACCAGTACTCTTCGCACTCTCGTTCCAGTGGTTCCTCGACGAATGTACGCGCCAATAGTCCGGATTGCTTCCGTCCCTGGCGTTTAGATAGGAATCAAGAAGTGGCTTCGGTTCCATGAGGGTGATAAATGGGTTCGAAAGGTGCATTGTCGTTTTCATTAGCGCAGGTAGACGACAATTCGAAGGCACCTTGCTTTGGGGTTTCTGTTCTTGCTTGGGTGCGAAGTCGTCGTAGCATGGAAGTAAAGGCTGATTGATACTCTGGCCCTGTTGACATGAAGGTCTCAAAACCGAAGGAAGGGTACTCCAAGACTTGTCATTTCGCCGGGGGACCTCGGCCTGGACCATCTTTTGAACGGGATTATGACTGCGCAGCAAGTGTCAGGTCGACTGGCAGATGACTGAGAGACGTGGGCAACGGGATGGACATTGCGACTACCCACAGTGAGCCGGATCGGATGACCGGACCTATTGACCAAATAGGCTCTTCATCCGTGGTGATGGGCCGCAATTGTTGTTGCTGAGATACCTTGGCTCGTAGTCGTGAAGTTGGGCTATTGTGCAATTTGTGATGTCGTAGTAGGTCGTCAGCTCTCGCGAAAGCCTTGCTACAACCTTGAACTCTACAAGAATGAGGCCTCTGTCCTGTGTGAGTGAGCGTGTGTCTAGACAGATGTTCCAGTCGGCGAAACGTTTTGCTGCAGGCTGAGCATCGGAAAGGGCGGGGGGCGTCGTTCTTGTCCGACATTGGATCACATCGACTGTTTCGACCAGTTTGGCTGTCTCGATCGTTTCGTATGTTCAACTTTTCGACACTCTCGCGTCCGCAGGTGCAGTTTCAACATCTTCCACGGCAGTGGACAGCTTTTTAGTCGCCGGTAAAGAATTTAATCCAGCTCAGCGGCATCAATGCCCTCCTGCGGTGGCAATGACAGCTACTGGTTCAGGACTGCCCCTGTCGTTCCGTTCTGCCCGCGTATCATTCATGATGAAAATCTACCACCAATGCCTCCAATAAGGGGCAACAATGATTACCCTTCGTGAAGTTCTCGGCCCCTGACAAGATCGGCAATGAGGAGAATTACCAGAAAGGGCAATCTCAGCCCACAAGCCACAAGAACATTGAAGCGCAGTGCAGCCCGGTCCAATCAAGCGGCACTGCGGTCAAATTGGCATGGTGGCCGATGATCCCACAAACTTGCAACCATTCATTGGGCCGGTCGCTGCAGGAGCCGGTCCACGGCGGTGGCGTCCCGGATGCACGCCGACTGTCCTGGCGCCAGAGTCAACCAAGGAGTCCACGACGAATTCCCTGCGATGAGCAGTCATTCTAAGCACGCACCACCTATGTGCTAGACAAGGTAAAATACAAACACAAGGTTGACACTGTAGCAGCGACGGCGTTGTTCACCGGACACTGAACTGGACTTGTAATTGCGGCAGCGGAGTCCGGTTACTACGAGCCAACTGAACTGGCCGGACTTTGACCGCCGTACCGTTAAGCCGCCGTCTGGTGGCAGTACTATCGTCAGCCTCCAGAGTCAGTGAAGGGGTCCTGAATCCTGACACTCGACTGCCAACGGCCATATTGAAGGATTGCTTCCTAGAACCGGGCAGAGACAGTCAAGCGTCCCGTCTCGGCCTCACAATGGCCAAAGAAGCCGACAATCAACTGGAATTCATTTCTCCAGCTGACGTGAAACGATTCAATCATTCAGTATCTCGAAGGTGGTGAGGCCCCCGTTGCGGTTAGGGTTCCGCAAAGGTCCTCGCACCAGCAACAGCAACGGCAGCAACATTGTGTGTTTTGGTGTGGGCCACAACAACATTTGACCTCAAGACAGGGGCCTATGCGTGCTCGCCTTGATGTTGGGCATGAGAAAGGTGCGGTGTGCGGTGTGATGCGCCAAAGACTCAACGGAGTCTCCGCACCGATGGAGCTGACCAAGGGAGATCGCAAGCCAATTATGAGCGATTGATCCGACTCCCATCGTGCAGTTGCTAGAAGAAAAGGATGGTAGCAAGAGCGAGCTGTACGATATTACGTGGCAGGAAAACCCTCTGATATGAGGCGCGACTGCCTGGCTGAAGAGAGCTAGTAACTCTTTATTGCAGCAACACTAGTTCCACAGACCTACGGCGAATCGTCCTACGATCAAGATATTCCGTCAAACTACCTTACAGGGTCGCACGTTTCGTCCATTCACAGTTGAAGGGATACAGACAACGGCGTTTGAGGATAGTTCTGCGTCCCGTTTTTCGTTCACCTCCAGGCCTGCCAATGGAGAGTGGCGGCAACATCACTTCGCCATGTGAAAATGGCTGTTGGTCAGAAATGCATACAAATGCGACATGAGTCTGCATGCTGAGTTATATCACGGTTTAAACATCTTAAAGCACCGCCGGATGCCAAGAACTATCGAGGGCTGGAAACTGGTGCCACCATGGCTCCCAATTCGTCCGTTACGGACGGGCGCCATCACGATACCCGTCATGTCAAAAGCGTGAAGAACCTATGGAACAAATCACCACGCTAGGTCAGCGGCACGGCAAGAAAAGATCGTTTACGCTATAGATATATAATTTTCTTGAAAGGAAAGAAACCCAAACTGAAAGTAGGTCTGAGATAGCCGAGCAAGTGGTTTACCGGGGGTGGCTCTGGCCAAAGTGGGCGCAGCGTGCGTCCAGTCTTAGCAAAAGTCGGAGTTGAACTCCGCCTAATCATCCGAGATCTTCGAATCGTCTTGTCCATGGAACGGGTCAACAGCAGTGGTCCGGAACTTGCGTGCGGAAACTCGTTGCTCGAAGAGGACGTCCAGCTCGCCATATGTGCGACCCTTCGGCTCGGGAAGACGGAAGAAAGACCATACCACACACAGAAGGCAGAGTCCTCCCCAAAAGAAACCAGCTTTCCCACGCCAGTTCCAAGCCGTGGGGTTCAGCATATATGGGATAATGACGCCGTTGACGATGCTGAATAAGTTGTATGCGTTTCGCGATAGCACAACAGTCTTTGTGCGAAGTCTAGTCGATGACAACTCTGATACTAGAGAGTAGCAGACCGGCCCGACTGTTGAGTCATAAACGAACGTATAAACCAATAGCATAGAACCTGTTGCCCATGACGCAGCTGTGTTGTGGTTACCGGCGAGAGATATAAATCCGACGACAAGGAGAAGTAGAAATAGGCCAGCTAGGCCCCCGACGTAGAGCGTCCGTCGACCTAGATGTGTCATGAGCACCCAGGAGAAGATTGTGCCGACCATTCCAAGCCCATATTGTGCGAGAGACATGTTGAACGAGTTCCTTGGATCGAGTCCGGCCTGTGTATAGAAGTAGGTTGAATACCCCATAAGCCCTGCACCACATAGGTTCTGTGCAACCCACGTGAGACAAACGATCTCGGTACGGCGAAGGTTGACTCCCTTGAAGCAGTCAAGATAGCTAGTGCCTTTCTCCATCTCGCGCTCTAGTTCGTTCGTATGGATCATCATGGCGACGGTCTCTTCAGTCGTGGCGTTGCCCTCGTTGACGCCGCCGGTCAGCCTTTGCAAGGAAGCAATAGCGTCCGCCTTTCGGCCCTGACGAACTAGCCACCAGGGACTTTCCGGAGCCAGTGCAACTCCAATGATGATAGGTACTGGCCAAACCCACTGTATAGCGAAGGGAATCCGGTAGCCCCATTGATCCGATCTCTCGAGGAAGCCGCGGAGGACGCCAGAGGCAAGAAGCTGGCCAATGACCCAGCAGAGGTTGACATAAGTCGTTAAGTAGCATCGGAGAACCACCGGGCAGACCTCAGAAGCGTAGGTAACTGTTAGAGTCTGAAAGGCGCCAAGCGGGATGCCCATAAGGAGCTCTCCAACGACGAGGGTGGTGAGATTTTGCGCGAAGAAGAGGATAAAGATAAAGCCAACGACCAGAGTAAGAGCGCCTAACATAGTTCTCTTATAGCCAAATCGTTCGGCTATAATGCCGTTGGCAAATAGGCCAAGAATTGAACCCGTTGCCATGGCGTTGCTTAATCCGGCCTGCCAGGCGGCAGTGAGCTGATAAGTTCCATCAGGTTGAAGAGTGCCGAACTTCTTATTGAACTCCGGAAAGGCGTAGAAGGATCCCATAAGAACAACGTCGTAGCCTTCCATTATGATTGCGGTTGACATGAGGATAGACCAGCCAATGGCACGTGGGTATAGCTTGATGCCCTGCCAGAGGGACATGGAATGCTCCTTTGCTGTAGCCACCTTGGCATCGTGGATGGTCGATGCGAAGAGAGGATCTGTTTTGGCCATATTTTCAAGTGCGGCCGACTCGACATTGACGACGTCGACCTTCTCAGGCTCGTCATTGTGTTTGTTGGATGGCATCCTCGAGTGTGACGCCCTGTCGGCACTAGAAGGTGATGGCACTGGGTTCGCCGGCCGACACCGCGGGATGAGATGATGGGTTATGGCTGAGCCTGGGTGTCTGTACCGGGAGACGTTTTGTACAGCATTAAAGCCATGTTCCCACAGGAGGTATTTATGGTCTCAGACGAGGCATCATGTTCATGAGAGGTAGCCGTCTGATGTGGCTGACATTGAGCCAGCTCCTCACGGCTCCCCTGGTCAACTTGTCGGCCGGACCCCACAACCTGTCTCCTTCCCCGTGGGTATTTCGGCGGGGGTGGAGTTTTGCCATGGGTCTGGCTTGCTTTCGTTGCAAGACTATTTCGTGGCGCTACGCCGCGAGGGCAGTTGTGGACATTTCGGCAATGGTCGCGACCCCACGTCGCGTCAAAACAGCCAATTGCATGCGCTGCGGGCATTTACCCAAAACAGAAATATCCCGCTTCAATGGCGAAAGCCCTCGACTTCCTCCCAGCTGCGCGGGCTTGGTTTTGTTGCCAAGATTCTGTGGCCGACCAAGCTAGTCGGCCCTTCAACCCTGGCTGCAAGGCGACAGGACCCGGTACGAGTGGCCTTTAACAATCGCCCGTCTGCCGTTTCCGTGTCCTTTCTTCACCGCGGGCAATTACCTCTTATCAGTCGACGTCCGGCGCCGCCTCTCCAGCAGCAGCAGAAGCGATCCCCAGACCCGCCTTCCACCAACCCCATGCTGCGCGTCTCGGTCTACCAGGCGAAACCCGGCGGTGGCCCACTTGCGGAAGCTCCCGGCCAGGCGTGCGACCAGTGCCGCAAGCGAAAGTCGCGGTGCAACAGAGGCCGTCCAGCATGCGCAAGCTGCTTGAGGCACGACTCAGTATGCTCTTACGTTGCGCTTCCGAAGCGCAGGGGCCCCATCCCACGAAGCAGGCGGTCTGGGAAGGCAGCACAGGGTGCGAAGAGGTCGTGGGACGGCGCCACGGCTTCGCCAACTGAGAAAATGACCGTTGGGGGGGCCACCGACAAGTTTCATGAGGACTGTTACCAACAGATACACACTTCGAGGGTTGTGGCGTACTCTGATTCCCTTCACGCCCTCGGGGGATCTCCAACGCAGAGCGACACAGGGACAACATCATCCACATCACAGAAGGAGGCCCAGACAACCGCGTTTGAAGCATCGACACTCCAGGCCGGCTTCGACGCCTCCATTTTCGAATTGGGCGATGTTGATTTTGATACGTCTTCATCTTGCTGGCCCTGCACGGGTGGCGAGACTTTCCAGCTCCCGCCCTCCTTCTTCGAGCCGTATCTGAGGCTCTTTGTTGATCGACTCTATCCGATCTTCCCTGTCATAGACTGCCAACGGTTGATGAAGTTAGTGCAGGCCGGAACACAAACAGGGCAGCCGCTTGCGGCCGCAGATTATGCACTTCTTACATCTTTGTCGGCCGCGGTTGTGGTGCAGCTTAATCTTTGGGGCGGCTCCTTTGCTTCATCCCCGGAAACATGTCTTGACGGCACTGAGACGACGCCAACTGCTGAAAGTGGGCAGCCCCCAACGTCGGCGCAGGTTTTTGCTACGCATTGTCTCCAGGCCAGGCGAAGTTATTCGTTCATCGAGGAAGCGGACGAATGGACCATCATGACGTCTTTCTTCTTATTCGCATACTACGGCAACCTAGACGAGAGTCGATCAGCATGGTATTATCTCCGTGAAGCCATCGGCTTTGCACAGTCCTTGGGTCTAGATGACGAAGACTCGTACATGCATTGGGATACGGAGACGCAGCAGAGGAGGCGGCGGCTATTTTGGCTGCTATTCATCACCGAACGGTAAACCTACAATTCTCTTTTGCACATAGGACAGCTCGCACTAAAATTTTGTCCACCACAGAGCATACGCCATACAGCAACGACGCCCTGTCATGTTGCGGCCGTCTATCGACCTACCAAAGGTGTTTGAGGCTCGAGATCCGAAGCTCATCTACGGCTTCGTCATGCTTGCGAGGGTATTTAAAAGTATCCACAGCAAGTTCATATCAGCCTGGATACTGCCTGCCCCATGTGAAAACGCGGATGACCGAGACCCGACGTCGACAACACTCATAGACCAAGAGGACCTTACAAACTGCCTCTCCGTTGTTGAGATGGACGAAACACAACAACTGGACGTACTCATCACGCAACAGTGGCTGCGTGCCCTCCTTTGTCAGCTGCATATTCGGCGCCTACGAGTTACTGCTTGCACAACTGAGCACATCACAGAATCGCATGGTGCTGAATCGATAAGCCGCAACTCTATCCAACTTCGCATTCTTGACGCATGCAAGAACCTGTTGCAAATCGTTTCCAGAGCAAATATGTGGTCTCTTGAGGCACACGGCATAGGCATGGTATATACCCCTCAACTTCACACTCTCAACTACGTCATATCATCTCGGAAGCTGACGTATGGAAATCGCAGGAACAAAAAATATCTGACGCGGCCAATTGCTTGTGCGACTTTTTCTCCAGCTTTCGGAGAGGCGGCCGCGACGACCCAGGTCTGTCATGTACACCTGATTTGCTGCATAGCTTCATGGTGTTCTTGGGTAGATTTCGGAATCATGAAAGCCAGTACCTCGGGCCTCTGGTGCAAAGATCCAGCGCTTTACTGGCATTGGAGTTGAAACCCTCGCCTGTGTACGCACTCGAAGAAATTTTGGAGGGTCCGGTAGGGCAAGGCAGCACGCAGCAGGATGAAGAGCAATAATTGTACCAGTCTAAATCTGTCCAGCCATCAGAGTTGTTTGCCTACGGTGTGTGCATGTGACTCGCCGTTTTTTCGGTTAGATTAGTGCTATTCGTAGAGCTATCGTTTGCTAGTTGTAGAGCCTGCCCTGCCCAAAATTTGCCTCTACGAATGGCTCCCCTCCTCGTTACCTGGTCTCAACCCGCGACGGTGGCCATTTTATACCCTTGCACTGGCACGAAGCATCGCCAGGGACTGAATAGCTAGGTCTTCGTTATCGAGCCCTGGGTTGGCAGGGCTTAGCGGGCCACTGTTCTCAGCTACTTAGAATTCGCTAGGGGGTAATTGGAGGGCGTCCAGCACAAACAAGCGGGGGTTGGCCGCTGCGGTTGGTGGAGCTGAAATGAAGCACCTACTCGCCCGATGCCGCTGTCAAACCCATGAACTTGTGTAGAGAGCGGCTTGCGTGGCAAATAATCCCCAATCATTCCGAACGTTGCGTTGAGGGCCACTGCGTGACACTAGCGTTACAGGTGGCTAGCTGCCATTATGAGCCTCGTGGAGCATGATTCCACTCATGTTTGGCCACCGTTTTGCTGTTTTAGGCATTCCGCCGTGACCATGACACATTCGAGTGCTCCTCCAGAATTTCCGGCTTGGCTGGACCATGTGCGCGCACGACATTTATGCTTAAGCAAAGGCGTCTGAAAACAAAGTTACTTCATTCCATTGCGTGTCCGGTCTCTCAGAGTGGTGCCAGGGCATCAGTGTCTATCATTGGCGTGCGGGCATTACACGCCAAGTGCTAGAGTTCTGCCGCAGTGCATATGAGTGGCCTTGGTGGCACGTAGGGGAGCTCCAGTAAGTACTTGACACATTTTAGGGTCCTCACTCAGCAGAAAACAACACGGCCCTTGGCGACGCTTGGGCGACCACCCGGAGGACACAAGTTCGGTACCCGTGGTCAGTTGCGAGGCCAGCCGGCTCTACTGGTACTTGATACTGCAGTTTCCTTGCCCACAACATTGATGCGTCGCCAGGGCTAAGGGGATAGAGTTGCCGCGGACTATGCAGACAAATGTGTTAGCTACGGTTAATTTGACAGGAACATTGGGTGGAAGACAGTATGGACAATTGCCATCGAGGCCGTCCATGTCAACGGATCCCACCTCACCTATACTAACGTTAGCCATTTCGAGATTTGCGCCGTAGTCCTGGGCCATGGGGTCAGTGGATGTATGTTTTCGCGGCAACACAACCAGCCGCCATATGTCTCCGACAGGGACAGTGCCTCAGGTGGTGCTTGGGACTGGCCTGAAAATGAGAGAATAGGAGTGACTCAACACTACCCACGGCCACCTAGGCGACACCTGGACTCTGGTCGCTCCCCCATCAAATGTCCGTTGTCGCAGCATCCCCCACCCCCACATCGCCACCGACTCGCACGACGAAGTACGAACTCGGAGGAACCCACAAAGGCTTGACAGTAATACTACACGAAGTAGCTATAAAATAGACATTCTAAACTTTGTAATGGGCTCAAGTATACTATTTACTATATAGAGAGAGTAGGGCATATTTAAGAGCTTCGCTTACCTCACCTAGCGCTCCAAGCTGTGCTGCCGGACAGTAGCTTAGTCCGTCGCAACAATGCCAATTGTTGTCGCGACTCGTTAGTTGACAGCTTCAGTGTAATGTTTGGTCTCAGTGGGCCTGTCTCTCGGGCATGCGTGGTTCGCGCGATTGGCCGGCTCGGCGGAGATGCTGGTGCAATTGCCACGGAGTCCTCTGCGTGTGAGACCCCAGCCCCTTTTGGCCCATCATGATGTATGCGCAACACGGACCACGTCAAACCCCGCTCAGTTGGGCTTTGCCATTGAGGAGCCGCTTGGATTCTAGGTCACTCCGCTCCAATTCAGTTCAATTCAAAAAGTCACAAAGTATGGAGCGTGAACCGCCTCAGACGCATTTGCGGCCAAGACGCACGCGTAGCAATGTCTGCACGGAGTGCCGCAGGCAGAAGCAGAAGTGTGATCGGCAAACACCATGCGGAAACTGCGTGCGAAGAGACGTCATTCACTTGTGCCAAATTCCGTCGCCGCCACAGTTGCAGAACCACGGGAGAACCGCCACAACTACGGCGGCCAGTACAGCCCCGCAACAGACGCTGTCTCGCGACAGTCGAAGAAGGCTCGATCTGTCACCGGTGTACCGGCAACCACGATCAAGGGCAAGCAGCGCCGATTCTCCCCACGTCGGTCGTCTCTGGAACTCGCGCGGCGCCAAGTCGTACCATGGCAGCTCCTACTTCGGCCACCAATCTGCCGCTTCCATCATGGACATGGAGAGCCCTGAACTGCCGGTCGGAATAAGCGGAATCCACGCCAACAGCTCGCGACGCGACATCAGCCGGAATGAAAAGAGCCCTCACGACCATATCTGGGAGCTTGTCGGATACCTTCCACGTCGAAAAGCAATAGCAGATCATTTGGTGAAGCGCTATCTTGACGAGCTGAACCCGGTACACGATTGCGTGCAGGAGGAGGACTTTCGTGCCACTTACGACGCATTTTGGGACCGCAAATGGGGCGACGATGACCTCACAGCCGTTGACCTAAGGTGGCTTGCGCTCCTGTTCATGGTGTTGGCATTCTCCGAACTCGTCGACTGCCCAATGGGTGCTTCTCCCGACGCCCAAGAACGCTGCGAGGAAAGGTCTGTCCAGTACTTCTGGGCCTCTCGAAAGGCCATTGTCCTGGCCCCCACCTTCTCAGGCGAGAGTCCTGATCTGGTCAGCGCAGGCATCCTTGTCAGCCAGTACCTCATATACTTTGGACGCAAAACGGAGAGCTGGCTAACATCAAGCTTTGCAATTCGTATGGCGCAGGCACAAGGGATGCATATCGACGGGGAAATATGGAGGCTGCCGGCAAGGGCTCTCGAGACAAGACGACGCCTGTGGTGCAAATTGTACGCACTGGACCGATCGGTCGCCCTCGCGGTCGGCAGGCCATACACAATCCACAGCAAGCACTGTATGGAAATGGACGTCAAGAATGTGTGTTTTGACGATGGCACGGAAGATGCGGACTCGGTTGCGCAGGAATTACCACTCAGCTTACCAACTCGTAACGTCTATTACCTGTACCAGCAACGTCTGTCAACCATACTCGGCGATATCCACGACGAATGCTTTGGAATTTCGTCACTTTCGGGCTCATACAACACTTACGAGAAAGTCCTTGGCCTGGATGAAGTTCTGCTCGACTGGGCCGAATCCCTGCCAGCATACTTCAGGCTGAACAATCCTGACCAGTCTCTCGACGCAGGCAGGCCCTACCTTTACTGGCAGCGCATATATTTGCACTCAGGATACCACTTCGCCCGAGTCACGCTGCACAGGAAATATGTGCTCCTCGTCTCCATCACTGATCGTTTCCAGCATAGTCGCGACGCGTGCATCAGCTCCGCCTGTGCAGATCTGAAGCTTAAACTCAGCTTCCGCCACCTCAGTATGGCAGAGAGACTCATGGCGGGCGGCGCCATGTACAACCTGTTCAACAGTGCGCTGGTACTAGCCGTGATCGCCGTCCGTGAACCATTGCTGCCGCGAACTGCCGCCATCGTTGAGGATCTGTCAGCATACTGTGAGAAGCAGCGGACAGATCCGTGGGTCAATGCGTTTGCACTTGCTGAAGTCAAGGTGATTGAGCTCTGCATTGCAAGTGCTGGAAGGGCCCGACAAGAAGGCAGAGCGGAAAGGTCCACGATCGTGGGCAATGGGCGTAGCATGGAGACCCACGCCCAGGACCCGACGTTACAACCCGTCAGCCCTCGCATGCCGCAGCAACTGGCTTCCCTGGGCAGTGGACTGGGCGCCCCAGGATCTTCACTTGATTTCACAATTGGGCCCTCCGATGGTTGTCTTGACAATTGGTTTGGACTCACACGTAGCTTTCAGGAGCCTATCGACTACGACCTTTGGGAGGACTTCGTCGGGAACATTGAATCGCATCAATAGCTTCGTATTCAACAATTCCGTAAGACTTTGAATGCAGTCTACTATTGGAAACAGCGATTGGATACGAAATGTAGCCAACGCCTTGGTCTGTTCAGTTATACTCAATTACATGGCAACCTGAAACCGATTTGATTCGCTACCAGAAACTGGTCTTCGCTCCGGTTTCCAGGATTCACCTTGATCTAGATCTATTAATCTCTAACTTCGTCGGAGCTCAACTGAGTTCACTAAAGTCCCTAATCCTGAACCAATGTAGCAATACACCATTGATCCTGGTCGGAGATACCTCGGAGGAATGTAGCCGTGTCCAACACCAGATGGTGTCCCTGTAAGAATCACAGTGCCCTTGGGGAGCGTGGTGTCCTGCTCATCTGTCAGCGTCGGCACCCTGAGTTGCAGGGACGCCTGCAAATTGGCAGGCCTCGTGAGCCATACTTTTGACAAGTGGGATACAATTTCGGCAATAGAGAATATCATCTGTGACGTGTTACTATCTTGAAGAACTTCTCCATCGAGTGTCGTCCTCATTGATAACACCGAGGGATCAGGTACCGAACATGCCGACACCACGACAGGCCCAAGGGGACAGAAACTATCATAGCCTTTGCAATAAACCCACTGGGAAGTGTGAGACTGCATATCTCGTGCCGTGATGTCGTTGGCTATGGTGTAACCAAGTACGTATTCCAGAGCCGATTCTGCGTTGACGTTCTTACAGTCTTGCCCGATGATGACGGCAAGTTCTACTTCTGCATCGACAGCGTCAGGGGCACATGCTGGAAGTTGTATGGGGTCCAATGGGTTGTTCAGGCACCCGGCGGGTTTCATGAATACTTCCGGAATCTTGGGTATCGGGACCTTGAGCTCGGCCTGGACAGAGTTACCACGTTGTGGCCTAATGAGCTGATTTTTAAAGGCCACCTACTGCATGGTCCTTAAAGTTCAACCCTACACACCGGAACGCGCCAACTTCTGATGCAGAGAGCGGAGAGAGTAGCTGCATCACATTTGTTAGTATGAACGCTAGCCGCTGTTGAAGGAGACAGGCTGAGTGCTGCATACCTTCTTGATGATAGTGGTCTCACCTGTGAACTGACTTGGTCCAAGCGCAGAACACGAGTCGAGCACTTTGACCAAAACCGATTTGCTCGTAGCCAATGAAAGGCCAACTACACCGGATCAGAGTCGTGTCTCCAGTGGTGAAAGTGTCAGACAAACCGTCAATGTCGGGATCAGCAGGCTCGCCTCCCAGCTCTCGACCATCCTCAGAAACGAACCGGATGAAGCGTTTCCAAACCTAAGAGAGAGTCAGCCTCCTCCTGCCTCAAATCCCGGGCAGCAGCTGTTAAATGAAGACATTACCGGACGATCAAACATTGCAACAGTCGTTCAATTAAGTGTATCTCGTCCAGTACACGCTTTCCCTCGCGGAGTATCCGACTGAACGGATGATGGCACCGCCTGGCTTAAATAACTGCCCGAGACCTGGGATCTAAAGAGGGAAACCAATACAGGAAAGGCATATCTTCAGTATCAGCTACTCTGTCGGGTTTGATACATGCCTTTTGACTACTTATAGTAATTGCTAAAGCCGGAGACTTACCAACAGTTGAGGGGGGCGGGGGCGGTGGAGGGGGATCGGGTGACCATCAGCAGGGATCCCGACTTACAGGGCTTCAGTATCCCCAAACCAACAGGCCAAAACTGTACGGACGTTCGCCGACACCCGCCGATGCCTGGATGCGCCGCCGAAGCCTCGCCGTGGAGCCGACCTGGCGCAAGTCAGTTATGGTGCTATGCCCATCGTCGCCTACGGACATCCGCTAGCGCTGCGTCCGGCACCAACAAAGCCCAGCATATGCAACGGGTCGTACGGACTACTGCTCCGTCCATGTCTCTTTCTACCCCGCATGTCTGCGGCCAGGGTCGTGCGAAGCTTAAAGCATCACTGGCGTGCGAGTTCATGTTGGGATTGACGCACCTACATTGTACATGTAGTCGCATCCATGAGCGTCACTGAATGCCAAATCGCCTACAGAACGTGGTGATACTCAGCGACTCTCTCAAGGGCCCCCACAAGCTGTGTTGAGGTTATGTGAAGGCTGAGAGTTGTATCACTTGTTTTGTTCTGAGTTCCAAAAGAGTGGTGATGCACACAACTCATGGGCTCTGTGCCGCTATGTATGTGCAGATAAGAGTATTTGGGTAGCATTGGAATACATCACAATATAGTACGGACTAGTACGGACACATATTAAGCTTATCCCGTTCAACTGTCTATGCTCTATGGTACTGGAGCTTGACCATCACATATTCAAGCCTACGGGCAGGTCTCGTCAAACCGTATCTTGCCCTGACTCACGTCCGGGTAGACGTCAAACCGCCTCTGAGCATACAGTGGTATGTTCCGTCGAGCCTCGATGATGCTGTCGCCGTCTAGTTCCGTCTCGATGATAGTATCCTTCTCGTCGGCTTCAACAAGCACTTTGGCCATGGGGTCGATTATCATGCTATGACCCCAGGCGTGGAACGGGGCAGACAAGTCGCGCGCGGGGCTACACATAGCCACGTATATTTGGTTGTCGATGGCGCGGGCTCGACCAAGTAGCTGCCAGTGAATCGCGCCCGTGGTGAGGGTAAAGGCGCTAGGATAGATTAGAGCGAAGGCACCCTTCCGAGCGGCGATAGTAGCGAGCTCCGGGAAGCGGATATCATAGCAGATAGCGACCGCGATAGTGCCGTACTCGGGAAAGGACACGAGGGCGATCCTATTTCCGGCGCTGAGGACCTCAGACTCGCGGAAGGTCACCTTGCCGGGAATGTCGACATCAAATAGGTGTATCTTGCGAAAGTTATCGAGTAGCTTGCCATCCGGACCGAATATCAGGCTCGTATTGAAGTACTTGCCCGAATCCGGGTCAGCCTCTGGAATAGAGCCACCGATCAGGTAAACCTTATTGTCGGCAGCCATAGCAGACAGGGCGTGGAAGGATGGCGACTGTTCGCGGCTTGGTGGGAAGGGCCTTAGTGTCTCGGCATACTGAGCGAAGTACTTGCAGCCAAGAGGTGAGTTGAAGCACTCGGGGAGGATAATGATGCGAGAGCCGGACTTGGCAGCGGCAGCAACGCGCGAGGCAGCGTAGTCGAGGTTGGCGGCCTTATCAGCGCCCGGGGTGAGTTGTACGCAGGCAACCTTGACGGGTTGCTTGAGCACTGAGGACGGGACTGCAGTGGCAGTAGCGGACGCCATTTCGCGGGAGATGGCAGGGTGGTTGACTCTGGACAAGGTGAAACTGATGCGAGAACAACAAGAAGTGACAGTTGCCTCAGAAGATAGTATGAGCAGGAACCAGAATATTTGAGCGTCGCATGGCCTGTGGGGTAGTCTTGTACATCAGTATGAGCTTCGAAAAGAACCACTGTACAGCACAGGGTCGGGCTTCGAGATATTCTTCCTTGATCTCTCGCAAACTCCAGTAGAGGGAAGGGTTTCCCTTTGGGAAACAATTAACGAAGCGCCCCCAGCTCTGATGGGCCGTGTGCGGTCTCCGCCGATGCTGCCGTCGCTGTTGCCGCCTCTGTTGCCGCCGCTGCTGCCGCCGCTGCTGCCGCCGCTGCTGCCGCCGATGCTGCCGCCGATGTTGCCGCCGATGCTGGCCGCCGACGTCGCCGACACCGAGAATGTGGTGCCACCTGAACCCTGCAAGCCAAGTTACCCGCAGGCTGTCTTTGGTACATTGCGAGTTGGTTCAATGTTCATAAAGCTGCGGCGTGCTTGCCAGTATCGAACGCCATGTGGCCCCGCCGCAGCTCCAGTGGTGATCTGTATCCGCTATCTGACAACGGCAAAGGAGCATAAAGACTGACTGTGCTCCAGTCACTCGTGCTGCGTGGTTGTACACATGCGTTTGAGCGTTCAACAGTTCGCACACCAAGTCTTGACACAATGGACTCGCCAACTCTTACGATGGACATTGACGTGAAGCACATGGACGCGATCCATCTTGAAACATCCCATGTCGACTCGCTCAGTCATGGATTTATAGATGCAAACAAGGAGAAGAATCTGATACGCAAGCTCGACCTGTGGATAAGCCCGATCATGACCATCATATTCTTAACTGCGTACCTTGACCGGTCAAATATTGGCAACGCCGCCTCCGCGGGAATGGTAGCTGATTTGAACATGACAAGTGCCGAACTTGGAAGTATGCCAAGATCCTTGTTTGAACTATTGTTGTCTTCAGATATTGACTACAGTCCAAAGATGCCGTAACCCTCTTCTATGTCACGTACCTAGCATTCGAAGTGCCATGCCCGCTCGTGATGAAAAGGTTCCGCCCAGGTGCGTCAGGTCCGCCCCTGCTGGGAAAGCGGGTGAGACTAATCTGTAATAGGCCGCATGATTCCGTTTCTGATGTTCTGCTGGTCGATCGTCATAATCGGAACTGGTTTCATCCACAACGCTGGACATCTTTATGCCAGCCGCCTGCTCCTTGGTTCGTTCGAATCTGGGATGTTTCCCTGCCTGGCTCTCTATCTCAGCACCTTCTATGAACCCCACGAGCAGGCTTTGCGGATATCGTACCTGTTCGTCTCGGCGGCCTTGTCTGGTTCATTCGGCGGACTTTTTGCATACGCTTTGCTCAAGATGGATGGCGTCGCTGGTCTGGCGGGTTGGCGGTGGCTTTTCATTGTCGAGGGCTGCGCCAGTGTCCTCATTTCCATCCTGGTATTCTTCTGCCTCCCCGATAGCTTCGAAACGGCCAGGTTTCTCAACGAGGAAGACCGAAGCCTCATGCGAATACGCGCGGAAAGAAACGCACGGTTCAATGGGAAGCCAGAATTTGATTGGAAGGATGTGCGAAGCGCGGCGACGGACCCGAAGCTCTACATCAGCTGCTTCAGCCAGTTCATGGCCGACACTTGCTCCTTTGGCTTGTCCAGCTTCCTCCCTCTCATCATTAAATCTTTCGGTTACGATACAATTACGACACAACTCCTGACCATCCCGGTATTCTTCTGGGCGTCGATCGCCTATATCGCCGTGTCTTGGCTGTCGGATCGTTGGAGGCGACGTGCATTCTTCATGATGCCCGTATGCCTGGTCACTGCTACCGGATATGCTCTCAACATTGGGCTTCCGGTAAGCCAGAGGGGCGCACTTTACTTTTCCACCTTCCTCATTGCCCCGGGGATTTATATCATCGTCGGCTTGAACTGCGCGTGGCTGCTCAATAGCCACGCCCCATACTACAAGCGCGCCATGGCCATCGGCATGAATCAGACCCTTGGCAACAGCTCTGGCATCGTTGTAGGTGCCTGCCTATTCCACGTTTCACTACTGTCCACTAACAAGAAACGTAGGTCGGCCAGATCTTCAAGAAAACGGTAAACGGGAAGTACTTAATGGGCCTGAGCGCGTCACTGGCCGCGGCACTCTTAGCAATGCTGGGCCACCTATCTCTGTACCTTTACCTTCGCCAGCAAAACAAGCGCAGGGACCGGATGACGGATGAGGACCGTCTGAGAGAAATTTCGGAAGGGAAGATGGGTGACTTCCACCCAGATTATCGGTATACGCTGTAAGCTAGGGAGCCGCTAGAGACTCTGCGAAGCCAGTATTGTTGTGGAATTGACCGGAGAGCTTAAGTTACATTACCTGCGCAGTGGCCACAGAGTCCCTGTTGACTTGATGGAGCTTGCATGTGCGGACTAAGCTCTAGTGATGTGAGGTCCAGCGAGCTACGTGTAGTCATGCTGTGAGACGTGTGCCACACCTTCATGCCTCTGAAGCGTGGAGCGACTGGGAAAGTCACAGAGCATTTAAAACGAAAATGCAATAAATTGAGGTATTTTATCGGCTATTATTTGATGACTGCAAAAATATGGCGAACTACTGCATTCGTAGGGGAGCCCCTTGTTCTCCCTGTATCCGCCTTCAAAGTCGTCTGTCCAACCCGTGATGTTGTTGCCCTAACATTTTTCCGCGCCCTGGGCTTTCCCATTGAATCAGCCCCCTTTACCCCATGATAAACTGGACTACAGACCCCAATCACAAAGCAGTATTGACCGGATAATGCGTGACATCCCACCATTATGCCATCTCGTTGACGATGGCCATGACGGCAGCGAGACCGGCGGCGGCGGCAGGATAGCCGGTGATCATGGCAGCCGCAGCGGCAGTGCTCGAGGTGGTGGCGGCAGCTTGAACTGTCGTCGTGACAGTCTTGCCGGACGAGTCGGTGGTGGTAACGGTCTTAGCGGAAGTTTGAGATGCAGACGCCGAGTCGGTAGCAGACGCCGAGTCGGTAGCAGACGCCGTGGTGGCCATACCACCACCGCTACCGCTGATGCTCGAGAGGGCAGAATACACGCTGCTGGTGTATGCCTTGGGGTCGGAGCCAACGGGGACCAAGACGCCTCCGGAGCATTCGCCCCTGTTGTCAAACAAGTTCCCGCCGATGCAGCAGGAAGCGCTTCCTTTGCTGATGTGTGATCCGCCAGGGCAGCAGAAGTCAGGGACGCCGGTGTTGCAGGCGCTGGCCGACCAGCCCTTGGGGCAGGTAGGGATTTTGCACTCGTCTCGAGGGTCGAGAGCGGGTCGGGCGGAGAGGGCCGACGCCGTCACGGCGAGGAGTGAGACGGAGGTGAGGAGGAAGTGCATGATGCCGACAGGACGAGTCCGGTCTGGTGTTTTGTTTGCAATATCCGGAAAGAAGAGGCAGATGATGAGCAATGTTCGTGTGTTGTTTGTATCACCATAGACGACGACGAGCTGGCTCTTATACTTCGCTCAGCCCTACTGGCCTCGCGAGTCATCTCATCGTCGTCATGATCTGCGATGCATGACCAGAAGCAAGTTGCCGAGCAGGGCCCTAGCGCGGGCGAACAGCAGATAGAACTGTGAGAGCTGTCAGCCCGATTCCCATTGAGGGTAATCATGCCCTGTCGATTCCTGGGTCTTGGCTGAAAGCTTGGTTGCCCCTGGGTAGGATCCTACGTTGCTGCTGGCCCGTCATTTCAGCCCTCTCAGTGCAGGCGTGACGGCATCGCCCGGCACTCCATGCCGAGGAGTCAACGGCCCCGTGGGGCTGGTCTCGCGGGTGAGCTCCCCCTGGCACGCGCTTGACTCCCGCGCTAGCGCGCACCAGAATACTGGTTCAGGTCTAGCCAAATCTGCTGATGGCCTCTTGGAGGCGTCACACTCACGAACAACGGCTGGCCCAGCTCGATCCAGGCAGCGACAACATTGATCCTGACAAACTGGGCGAATTCTCCCCTTCTTGCCACCCTCATGGGGCCTCGGCCAAGTTCCACAGTCATGTAGGATTCTACGAGATCGACGTCAATGATTGCGGGGACGAGCAAATTGTCACAGAGAACAGAATAATTTCCTTTCGGCCCAAACCCCCCCGTACCGGGACGCCTTGATTCCGTAGTATAGAGGTAGATCCGAAGACGCTGAGGAGGACTGCGTCTTGGAACTCGGGCGTTTTGCATTATCCATGAAGTTCGTCTCTCAGGTTATCGGTCGGCACTCCCTTGCCCATAGAGTTCCGGGGTCGTCGTCATTTTCCTGCCTTCCCGTTGCCAGCCGAATCGACTCGTTGGGCCTGGTATAGAAACCTTGACCAGGGCACTTATTTGGGGGAAAGTCCATTACCTCGGTCATGCAGAGCCGAGCATTTGAACTTCTCGGTGGCTAGAAGGATGGGTTATGACGTCCGGCGTGGGTACAGCTTACTGCGCTTCATTGTCGACGTTTTTTGGCCGCCGAGGGCTAATCGTGATCAGTTCTAATTATGGCTGAATGAGGCGAGGAGGTTTCTGGTATGGTCTGGTGGCTGAGGCTAAAGTTCTGGGTGTGGGATCCCTCGTCGCCGTCAATGGTTGACGGCTCCAGCGCGAGCTTATATTGCTTTGGCGATGCAGTCCAGGTCATTACAATTCACCATCGAGGTCGTTCCCTGGCCGTAGAAAGTCGCGGTCCCAGTAACCGTGTCTGCCAAAGCCCAAGAGGTCCTCGATGGACCGGCATCCTGGATGCCAGTGGTCCTCATCATCGCCAAACGGATACATGGCAACAAAGGCGACCTGGTCGACGGAACACGGCCGCGGCTTCTTCCACTCTGTCCACGCCAGCCGGTCGGTGAGGTGGAGAAGGGCCTTCTGGCTGTGGGCGATGGCCTCACCGAGACCCGCACCCTCGGGCGTGGCTCGAGCACGTTGCAGAGCAGACAGCGCTTGAAAGAGCGTCTGGCAAATGTCTCGCGCGACAATCTCGACGGCGGTGTAGATGAGCTTGTCTTCGAAGTGCCACGTGTCTTCCCTGGCCAGGGCAGGCAGGAGATGATGCTCGGTGCAGCGGTCAATTGCCTCGGCCGTCCTGTTTTTGGCCGCAAGGTCGCCCGGCAACGCTGGCGCATCATAGTAAACGAGGGTCGCCCGCTCCAGCTCCCCAATAAAGTGCTCGGCCGGGAGCTTCCGAGAAACCATCGAGATCAACCTGTCCGCGAACCGGTCGACGAGACCATCAACCACGGCGGCCTGCCAGTCGACAGTGAACCTCCTCGGCCGAGGGCACATCTCGCGCAGGTGGCGCTTCAGGTCTAGTAGCTCGTCCATGCTCGCCGCGCCGAGCCGTATCAAGTCGGGCCGAGTGGGATCTGTACTCGACACGTTGATCGGGAAGAAAAAGCCCGACACCATGGACGAAAAGTCGAGACGCAAGCGCCCGCCAAGCCCGTCATACTCGCGGCTCGCCGCCCGCGCCATCTGATACATGAGCATATCTTCTTTGAACACCTTATCTTGCGGCATAACGGACCGCGTCACACTCATCGGATCGAGCCCGATGTCGAAGTCGCAGTATACGACCTCAAATCCAATCTCCACCCGGACGAAGCCGTCCATGCCGACCTCGGTCACGAAGCGACAGACGTCGCGCGCGCGCCCTGGTTCGTCCATCAAGTCGTCGAAGGACCCCGTCTTATTCTCGCGCAGCACGAGGTCCTGCGAGTCGAGCGGCCCGAAGCGCGACTTGGCCGCGGCCATGCCGTCGAGGTACAGCAGCTTCAGATCCCGGTTCGCGCGGTACGTGTGGAAGTAGCCCCTACGGTTCCGGGACAGCGGCCTCTGTGAGGCAACGTGACCGCGCGACGCCCGGACAACCTCGTCCTGCCGCCACGATTGGGCAAAGAGCTCCGAGTGCTCCATCTCAAAAGCTAACCACTCCGGACCACGTGGCGGATCTGGACTTGCGGCGCCATGGTAGAGTAGCGTGCCTTTTGGCACGACGGCGGGAAAGAAGCCGAAGCCGTTGTGGTTGAGCGCGGCGCCCCATTGCCGACCAGCCGAGTGCAAGGCATTGAAGATGTGGAAGGCGTTCGCCACAGCGCTCTCGAGGCCGGGCTTGATGGTTTCTCGGGGTGCCGCATGCGCTGCGAGGGCCCAAGCGGCCAGGAGGCTGAATGAGACGACACGCATGTTTCGCATGCCGCGGTCGAAGGGTGAGGTTGAGAACGTGAAGCGCGGGGACGCGATGGGCCTCTGCGCTGTTGGAGTTTATTAGAGCCGCGCGTCATGCATGCACCTGCCGGACTGGGCGGCGACTTCGTTCCTGGCTAGCACATCGCGCTTGATCAAACGTGTCACAGCACACCTCAGCGCTCCGGTGGCCATCTTGCCATTCTAGAAACACCCGATTCTCCGTGAATGCACGTCACAACAGTTCTGTGCCCAGGGCTCGTGTCCCTACACGGATTGCTACACCAAGAAGTCACTACAAAGTCCGCCCTCTGCTACGACGGTATGAGCGGCTGGTGAGCTGCCAAACGCACGCGCCAGCCGAAATATTATGAGGTCGCAGCATCGCGAGCGAGCGGCATGACCAAGTTAGCCTCTGGCGGTGATCATCTACTCGTCGCAATATGTACCGAATGGCGGCATCCCAAATCCCGAGCCAGTTTCGGCCCGATGCCGTCGAGTCTTCACCGGCCGGGTCACGGATCGCCGCCAGTGTCGCGCCGGAAAGGCCCACAGCGACTCCCTCACCATCGGAACCTGCGATCTCGCCCGCGGCAGATACCATGCCCCATGCCCGTTGCCGCGCGCACGTTACAGCCTCGCATCAATCAGCAGCGAGCCGGTGGGGCCAGTCGTTCTCCTCCGGTCGACTTGGACAGTGAACCCGCGAGGTTGGAGACCTACTAGCCGGGTTCATGGCATAACAGCTTTTGGCGCTGGTGCGACGAACGTGAAACGGAAGCGCTAGCGCAGGCACCCAAACTCTACGCTGGACGCGGACGGCAAACAAGAGATAAACTCTAATCAGAACATGCTTTGAGCACGCAGAAATGGTCTGGCAAACATCGAAACTCCCGAGGACTACATCCATGCCGGTAATGGCGACAGTCTAGGTGTGGCGGAACGCTTCGAGAAGAATATATTGCGCGCATGGCCACGTGCGGAGCGGTTCATGGACACCTGCTTCTGTGCCCAAATTATACGTTCAACTTTTTCGTCACTCCTTCCCCCACGGTCTCTACTTCGTGTGCGTTCTAGCTCGGGTCGTCAAGTATGAGTTGGACCGATATTACCAATGTGAGCGATGCCGAGCTCGAGGCCGAGGTCAAGGAGCGGATTGCCCTCGAGCATCTTCCTCCTTGGTTTACAATCGAGCACCTTAGAGAGAGCTACGACGCCCCGGCTATTGCTATCATAATCGCCTTTGCGGTCCTGGTCGTCGTGGTAGTTATTTGCAGGGTACTTTCCCGGAGATATGTCATCAAGCGCTTCGGCGTCGGCCTCGATGATGGCCTGGCTCTTGCGTCGCTGGTGAGTCGACTGTTCCGACGACTCTGACCGCTCTAGTTCAACTCCGACTGACCTACGGCAAAGGCGATATACATACCTTTCGTGGTCCTTTCCATACACCTCATTACCCTCGGCTCAGGGCGACACTTTGATCAATTCGCGTTTTTCTTGAGCGCCGATATGTTTGCAAGGATGCAGATAATGGACTCCGTCACACACTTAGTCTACACCACGGCGCTGTGGCTGTGCCGGATCTCCGGTCTCGCCTTCTACTATCGCATGTGCAACTTGCACCGCGAGTTTCTCATCTCCATCAAGGTCATCTTTGCGGTCCTGACGCTGGGATACCTGGTGCAGATTGGCCTCATTGTCTTCCATTGCCAGCCGATTTCGCTTCTGTGGGCGCCGGTGACGGATGAAGATGCCAGAGTGCTCAAATGCATGAACTGGTTGAGAACGAATCTCGCGATCTCCGGCATTTCACTGCTCTGCGACTTGCTACTGTTTGGCCTCCCGGCAGCGATGCTTTGGGTCCTGAAGATAAGCCAGAAAAAGAAGGTCCAGCTTGCCGGCATTTTGTTGCCTGGTGTTGCGTGAGTGAAGCAGTCGAGCCCTATGTACTCGCCTAGAGCGCCCCGATCGCTGACCAAACGCAGTGTAGTCGCCATCTCCGCCGCACGGGTCGCGTTCGTGGTGTCTTATGGCTGTGAGTACAGCTCCGACCAAGAGAATTGAACCAAGACCAAGCATTGACACACTTGCAGATGAGTTGAGCGAGACCTTTCGCTACTCATTTCTCAAGCTCCTCTGTGTTGAGACGGCTGAGATTAGCGCTACGCTCATCGCACTGTCCGTTCCGGGTATCAAGCCCATGTTTGACAAGTACATACTGCGCAAGGACATTGAGTCAGTGCCGAGCGGGCGGGGCACGCCCCTTGATCATGGGGACCCCATCGGATCGAAAGACTTGGAGATGAGGCCTTGGACAGAGTCAGATGAGCCGCATCTGAGTAAATAGATGATGGGAAAGGGTTGAGTTAGGCGAAATCGGGTTTTGGAGTCTTTTAGTTAGCACCTGGAGGGTATCGTCAGGTCAGGGAGGGCATCAAGATGTGACTCAGGCTACAGGTAGGGGGCGTCATGTTTCAATGGGTGTTCAAATACAGCATGTTTCTCCGAGTCTGTTATTGCACCAGGAGACCAGAACTCGTCATCTGCCCCAGCCGTTCCCAAAGCTTCGTGCCTCGACCATTCTCAGGGAGCAAAAACTGAAGGGACGGCTAGTCCATGCCGCGCCCCGGGAGCGGGCTACACTCCGGTACCGCATCCGCCGTCCCAAGCTGCGTTCCCCCGTCACAACGCATCACGACCGGACGCGACAAGGACAAAAAGAAAGGCACCTGGTCCCAAAGGGGATCGAACCCTCGACCTTCAGCTTACAAGTGCTTGTATTAGGCTGACGCTCTGGACCAACTGAGCTATGGAACCATGAATTGGTGCTTGTCCTTATTGGGATGAGGACGAGCAAATGCGTCCTATGGACTTGTCCTTGTGGGCTGTCGCCAGGAGGCTTTGTGGGCTTTTGTTTCCTGTCGATATGGAGCTTCGTAAAATTGCGCCTTTTCGTGGGTGGGCTTTGCGCTGAATTTGCGCGCGTTGTGGGCGTAGTGCAGCTAGGGCGGGGATGCCTTCAAAGCCAAGTGGGACTGAGACGTCCAGGGTCCAACAGGGCCCTCGGTCTAGGCCGAGTCATTCGGAATACCCTGGACCGGTGAAAGGTTGATGTTGACGAGGAACCTCGCTCCTTTATTTTCTTTACAAGTTGCGGCGCTGTGAGAAGGTTCGCTGGGCGACATGGACTTGAAGGTCCGGGGTTTTTGTGTTCGATGCCTGCACGGGCGTCACTTAGAAGTTACACCGACGTTGATCCATGGGCACCCTTCAATGTTGTGGTACATTAATACACGCAAAAATGAGCCTGACATCGTAAACACGTACCATCACTGTTCACCACTTACCCGTGCGTATGACATTAATTGATCGAGCATCAGATTGTGCGAAAATATCTCCCAGTACATGTATGAATAATCTGCATTGTCATATCTCAAGGAATATCACAACTCATCCTCGGTTGCCTGCCGAAGTAGCCAACGCTCCATTGTGCGCCTTTTGGCTCCTCCGCTGGTACTCGACCCTACCCATGCCCGTCACAATCATCACGTCCAGCAGCGCCGCCGGCGGCATCCACTCGTGCACTGTGATTGTGCCCTGCTTCTTCAGCGACCATGATGCATTGTCAAACGTGGCAAGCACCGTGCCCCGGGCGTCTACGAGCTTGAGGTTGCTCGTCATGGCGCCGTCGCGCTTCCACGTCCACACGGCCCCGTCCTGCGCCGGCGACGTGACCTCGCAGGCAGAGCTCGTCCAGCCCGTCTTGCGCATCGCTGCGCCAGGATTCAGCGGCATGTGCACGTCAATGTCCGACTTGAAGTGATGGAAGGAGACCTGCCCGACCATGGTTTCGGGCTTGTCGCGCGTCGCCGCCCGGCAGATGGTCTGGTGCGGCTTGGAGCTGGTGCGGTAGCACACGTACAGGACGGTGCTCTTGTCGGCGTCTGTGACTTCGACGCGGTCGTGGCCATCGCGGTAGTAGAGGTGCAGTGTGCGTGGACCCGAGTTGTACATGTTGGTTTATAGTTGCTGTGCTCTGCTACTTGAACTCTTTCGTGGTTGCGTGTCCGTCGCGGGCGCAGCCCAACTTCTCCCTCAATGAAGATCCCAACGCGCTCTTTATACTCCCCTGAAAGCATGGAGCTGGGCAGCCCAGCCAGGCTCAACATGGCGCAGCTAATCAATCCATTGCTCGAAAAAGACCTGATTCAAGGTTGGGTGTTATCACCAGCGCGACTCAAAGTCGAGTTGCTTCCCGAGATGCTCAAAAATGCCCTGATACGGTCTAGCGCCAGGGAGGGACCCAGTCCACTTGCCTCTGCCGCTCTCAGCCATTGACAGGCCGTAACTGCCGAGTCCAACACTGTAAATCTGGCATAGAGGCTTGACTGCCACTTTGAAAGGCTTCTACCATGTCTTTGAGCCGTCTCGTCGTCGCCCGTGAAGGCACGGGGTTCTGAACAGTCGAGACCCATCGAGAGCTTGAAGTGGAGGTCATCATCAATCGCAACAGCTCCACCAACCGTGCTGTAACTTAGCCTGTAGGTTGGAACCGTCGGCCCAGAATATGCCACCAATCCGCGCCAAACCTACCCCAGATCACAAGCGTTTCCCATGCTTCTCTAACGAGGGGAATGCGCTCGGGGAGCACAGTGGGAAGGGTGGTGTTTGTTTTTCGGGTCTCGCCCTGCGAGCGACATGCGCAGGCGCTGTCAGCATCAGCGCTACGTGCCGTGTTTCACCCTTGATTGTGTTTGCGTGGCCTTTTGATGTCGTGCAATTGTCAGCAAATGAAGCTTCTGCCTCAACAAAAGAGCGTCATAGTCGACGTGTTGGACCAGCAGGTGTTGATCAACTTCCATCTAGAGCCCCGCGACGAAACGATAGGGCTAAGCGCTCGGATCCGCCGGCGCGGGATCAACGCCAGAGCTGCAAAAGCCGACTGATTCCAGCAGAGGCGCAAGGCCGCCAATTACCAAGCTGCCATTGGGCATGTCAAACGCAAGGCGCTCGCTGAGAGATGCCCAACGCGGCATGGCGACAGCTCAGCTTAGCAAGCCACAACACCACAAACGCTGTGACGACATGGCAGACGCCATGGCGCAACAAGCTGCCAAGATGCATGCCTTCCATGTATATAAAGCCGCTGTGCTCATCAATGGTTACTCTGCGGCCACAACGGCGAACAACAGTTCCTCAATCGCATTTAGCAGCTAAAGCGAAGTACTACTCGCAGCTTGCAAGCAAGGATCCGCAGATCATTGATAACACAAAATAAGTCGCCAATATGACTTCCGTCGCTTCCGTCCAGATTAACGACACCAATGTCTTTTATCGACAGGCAGGCCCCTCGACGGCGTCTGCCCCGACGGTCCTCCTCCTCCACGGCTTTCCGTCCTCGTCGCACCAGTTTCGCAACCTCATCCCTCTCCTCGCGGCTAAGGGTTACCGCGTGATCGCCCCAGACCTGCCCGGCTTCGGCTTCACCACCACGCCCTCTCCATACAAGTATACATTTGCCAACCTCGCCGAGACGATTGACAGCTTCGTCGACGCGCTGAAGCTCACTCGCTTCGCCATTTACATCTTCGACTACGGCGCCCCGACGGGCCTCCGCCTCGCCCTTAAGCACCCGGAAAAGGTCGCCGCAATTGTTAGCCAAAACGGCAACGCCTATGAGGAAGGCTTTGGCGCCGAGTTCTGGGCTCCGCTGCGCAAGTACTGGGCGTCGGGCGCCAAGGAAGACCGCGATGCCTTGCGCGGCGCCCTTGAGCTTTCCGTAACCAAGTGGCAGTATACCGACGGTTCGCCCAACGCTAATAAGATACAGCCAGAGGCTTGGACGCTTGACCAGGCGCTCATGGACCGGCCGGGCAACAAGGACATCCAGCTAGACCTATTTTACGACTACCGCAATAATGTACCGCTGTACAAGTCGTTTCACGAATACTTTCGCAGCTCGGGCGTGCCTGTGCTGGCAATCTGGGGCAAGAACGATACTATCTTTGTGGCCCCCGGCGCCGAGGCGTTCAAGAAGGATGTTAAAAAGCTGGAGGTGAAGCTGATCGACGCCGGCCACTTTGCCATCGAGACAAACGAGCAGGAGTTTGCCGACGCGATTCACGCGTTTTTTGACAAGTTTCAAGTATTCACTAGCTGAAAACTTCACTACTTATAAAAATAATAGCCAAATAAAGAATGTCCTAGTCTATCTTCAAGAATAAGATTGTATATTTGCTCGCTATCCAAACACGCAATGCGTGGCATTTTCCCCTGTCAGTGTTCCCAGGGTGCAAGTTCAATCATTGATTCTGTACCTTGCGGATAAAGCGATGCAAAGGTGCACTTCAATGTTTTGTCCCAGCTGATCCTTCGTGGAGAGCCTCTGGAGAATACGGCTTTCCACTTTGGGTTGAATCGTGACTAGCGGCTCCTCGGTCATGGTCCGCCCTGTCGCAATCCCGCGAGTGCACAAAGAAAGGGTAGTCCGAAACTCCGGCTCTGTTTTGCGGCGAAGCTAAGCCGCGCAAGGCTTGGAACCCAATGGGCTCGACAAGAGTTGCTCATTCAGGCACGTAGTCCTGTTCGCGGTGTCATAGGCTCAATTTCACTCTTGCTCGCAGTGCAGTTGCGACAATGGGAGCGTTCTTCTACTTTGACTCGGTCAGGCCATTCGAGATGTGCTGTGCTCCAAAGCTCCGATTTATCCTCAAAGATCATTGCCCAAAAAGGCCAGGCCAGCTCTGGCCTTCAGCTAGCTTGAGGCAAATGCTGCTGGGTCACCGAGCGCGCCTCGGCCCTCTCGATCGAGCCACATGCAGGGCCTCGGGTCCTGGGCACGAGATATGGGTTGGGTATCACCTCAAGTTATAGCGCGATCAGGTTTGTCTCGAAGACGGAATCCTCGCGATTCATTTGCCCGATGGTATGTCTCGGTCGGCCATGTCGGCTCCAGCCGGAGCCCTGAACCGACCGTTATTAGCGCTCGACCGTTGTCTCCCATCGGCGCTACGACGCGACAATAATCGGGCTTACGGCGTGACGTCAGCGGCAGAGTGTCGGAGCGGACCGTGCTTGAGGCTGCTGGCGCGGATTGTCAGCGCGCCTGTGGATGTATTTAGGGGTACATCGCCGGCAGATCAAGCCCCAACTAGATCTACAATGCTTGAAGCCTGAGTGGCTCGGCAAGATGGCACCCAGGCCGATATTAAAGCCACGGTGCCATAACTGCAGACGAAGGAAAATAAAGGTAGATGCACCCCATCCGCTTTGGACGAACAATTGGAGCTCATGTGAACAAAAGTGCGATTACCAGCAACCATGTTGCGGCCAATGTCGCTGGTCGCTCCTGCAATGTGAAGGCTATAAACAGGACTTGGTTTTTATTTCGCACAATGTTGCTCGCCAGGCGTCTCGATCGTCATTGCCATCGTTATCGGTGTGCCCTAGTCCAGGGGTGCACAATCGTCAAAACATCTTCGACTACTTTCTCAGCCAGTATCTGCCCGAAGCGCCTCTGAATCACTCTTCCTCGATCAAATGGTTTAGCCACCTGCCGCCTCGGCCGTCCGAGTGCCCTGCTCTTGACAGCAGCACCAATGCGCTTGGCGTGACCATGCTTGGTCGCAAGACTGGGGATCATAACCTGATTTACAACGGCCTGAAGCTTTACGGGGATTCTCTTGCCACTTTCCGATCTTGGCAAGTCAGACATCGAACGGGTCGCTGGCACGAAAGCTTGTTAGTGGCGATGGTACTGCAATTGTTTGAGGTTCGATTACTCGCTCCTTTCTGAGGCAAACCCGTTCTCGACTGACCTCTTCTAGGCTGTTGAATGCACCCCGCACAGCGCAGGGAATTGGCTGAGCCATTCAAAAGGGATCTTGGTACTCTTACGAGCGGCGGGACCTACCGCCTGGCAAAAGGCCCCGTCTCACGAATGTTTCTTATGTTGTCGTGTTTCGTCGGTAAGGGTGAATGTTTAAACTCAACCCTGGATCTCATATTGACGATATTGTAGACCGTTGCGACTATCTTGTTGGAGGAGCCTACCTTCCTGGCGTCCGACGACTGGTGTCAGCTGCCATGGGCGACATTCCCAAAGGACGATGCGCACATACTGATCGATACGCTGCTCCGAATCCCCGGGCTGTTGTTTCTCTCCAACAACACTGCCCGAAAGCTACGTGAGGGCAACAAAGCTGGGGCCGCGGAAGATGAGCAGCAGCTGCATCGCGTATGCCAGGATATTGATATGGCCCTGTGCGAATGGCACGACATTGCACGGAAGAGCGGATACCTGGGCAAACTCCGCGACTTCACGGATGCACACCATCTACCATTCAGCGACATCATGGAGTTTAGAGACGTGATGCAGGCACAGATGATGCTGTTCTATTGGACAGGTAGACTTTTGGCACATGATGCTGCCCAACGAGTCGAGCAGGCAAGACTCGCCATCGGCTTGGAAGCCAGGAAACTCCAATGCGATGGACGTACGTTTGGGGATGCTGCTGACAATATCTGTCGGTCAGTGGCATATTGTCAGAAGGAATCCAACGGCATGTTGGGCATGCAACTGAGTACGCTTCCGTTACGAACCGCCGAGCACTTCTATCAAAGCACTGGGGAGGCGGAGAAAGCGCTCTGGTGTCGCCGCTGCGTATTGATGAAAGCCAAGGACAGCTTTCTGTTAGTGTCTGGGGCGCCAGCGCCTTCGAGGAATGACACCCGACAACATGAAGTGTCCCAAGGCCGCCTGGTGAGTTGACTGCATGTGGACCAAGAAGGACTGCACTCATCAAAGATGCACAAACTTAGTTATCATAACATGTCAATGGAACATCATTTGGCCTGACATTCAACCACTGTTCAATTAGTCTAGTGAGAATGGTCTAATAGATAGACAGTTATGTCTACATGTAGCACTAAGCTGCCATACAAGAGGAACGCTTCTTTAGTATATTTATGTTGTCTGGGTTGTAGGAGTGTGAGGGGTAAAGTGCAGCCATAGTGAGATTATGACATCCGTAGTCAAACGACCAAAGTCGCTAAAGCGTCTCATATCTGCTCCTTGCTCTGATCGTGGGGCCAAACTTGAACAGGACCCAAGGGATCGGGATAAGGGCAAGAGTGATAAAGCCGAATACACTGACAGCCCAGCTTATGCCCATTGCCCGAAGCACTAGCGGTGATGTTCAGCACTTGACACTGTGTCTATTGTTATGGCACTCGGTTTGGGCACTCACTTTGAAGAATGAATAGCGGAAATGCTCCAGCGAATCCATACCTGGACAGTGTCATCGCGCTAGACGCGCTGGCCATGACGTTTCCATGATACGTATCGGAAGCAAACTGTGCCGTCGCGACAAAGACGCACAAGTTTCCCCACGAATACGGTATAATTGCGGCAGCCGGACTTGCCCATGATACCTCTTGTTTCGAAGTCCATGCAAACCAGAACAGGCCTAGAGGCAGGCCAAAACCCCCTATCATAGCCGGATAGAGTCTGAACTCAGGAGGAATAGCCCCTGGAGGGTAATGCGGTGCTTGACGGCGATAGAGTGCAACGTCACAGATAATGATAGTGACTAGGCCCAAGAAAGACCCTATGACGATAGAGAAGAAGACTAGACCCGTTTGCTCGATGTTGAATGCGTAGACAGTCTCAAATGTATATGGTACGGCAGCAAAGAAGCTGAACAAAACGCCAAAGTTGATGGCGACGTAGAGGCAGATGAAGGTTATGATTGGTTCCGTAAATAGCATGTGTACCGGGCGAAAGAGGCTGATTGTCGCAAATGCCCAAAGGCGCTCTAGCCTTTGTGGGTGGGAGGACGACTCGCTGTGATTCTTGAAGACGCGTTTCTTGATAACGGGTGGAAAGGTCTCTGGAGTCAAGGCGATGAGGATAATGCAAACAACAGCGATGAACAGAAGCACCCATTGGGTCCATGGCCAGCCTTGTCTGTTCGCAGCGTATGCGCCTAATACTGGGCTGCGGAATTGGTCAGTCCAGGCCTCAAACGCAGGTTTCGTCCCCAGCAACAGCGGCTGGTCATCCAAGGTACGTACCCGAATCCTGGGCCAAGAAAAGGCATGAAAATGAAGAGAGCCATCATTAGGCCTCTGGCTTTGGGCGCAAAGGTCTCCGATATCGACCCAGCAGCCACGCTTAGCGACGGCGCCCAGCAAAATCCTGCAGCAAAGCGCAGAAAACAGAACGCTCCAAAGTTGCGTGTCAGACCGGCCCCAAGGGTGAACAGGGCTCCCAGTGGGAAAAAGACATAGTATACGGGCATTCGCCCAACCGTCTCGGAGAGAGGACCTCCAACAACTGGGCCGGACGCTAAGGCGAAAACATAAAGTGAAAGAGGGAGCAGGGCAGCTGTTTCGCCGACGTCGAATTCCTTTTGCAATGCAGCGGTGGCGGGACTGACAACGGACGTGCCTGCGGTCCTAGACACGGGAATCGGACTGTTAGATCTCGTCTAGCCGTTACCGTTGGGCAAGAAGAGGGAGGCACTTACGTGACAAAGGCTGACAATGAGACCATGGACATTAAGATGAGCTTCTGACCAGCAGTCAGGTTAAGAGGATTTCTCGGGTGATTGCTCCATTCCAGGTCATTGGCCTTTACGTTGCTCGAGTTTGCTGGTCTGTCGATGCCACTTTCTACGAGCTCATGGCTGTCATTCGAGACAGAGCTCGCCTGGGCAATTGGCGGCTCCATTGGCACTTTCGCTTGAGGCGGAAACGCAGCCGGCGAGGTCTTCGGTGCTGAGGTCGATCTTCTTGCCGTCGATAGCTTTGGATGCTAGAAAGGACAATTTGGAAAATAGCACAATTCTGTGAGGAAGCCGAGTGCGTACAAATAGGAAGCATTATCTCCTATCAAGAATGACGTCCGGGCCGTTGCTCTCCGGTTCAGCCCTGCTTCAGGCACCTAGAAAGCTGGCATCGTGTAAGGCTGATTAGAACTAGCCCGCATACGCTTACCCCTATGAGACTAAATTGCACGAGTAGGAAACAGTGATCTGCATTGAGTACCGTAAAAACCCTGCCCAGCGTCAGCAGTCTTGCCCTTCAATGCTGAGAGGCGACATCATAAACTTCAAGTGAAAGCAGGAGACGGGCAAGTGTACATAATACATGTAACACCAGAGGTGGATGCCAGTCATTCACGGTGGACATCACGTTCATGTAACCGAATTTCGTCGTGCAGAGTTAGCTAGCCCTGTACATCTGTCTCGATCACTGGGTTGTTGATGAGTCCATGAGTGCATGCATGCGTTGGTGGTGGCGCTGCCCTTCAATTCCCACCCCGCCTTGACCGACACAGCCCGCGCCGCAACGGCTGCCCCAGAAGGCCCAGATATGCCAGTCGCTTCCTTTTCAGTGCCGCCTTAGACCCTCGACATGGGATCTCGGCAAGTTGGCTCACAAATTTTCCACGTCTCATCGCGCGTGGTTTGACACCGCGTAGGGCAGCCGAGGCCGATGGATGGCCAACATAAGGTCAAATCGACGAAAATCGGTCGACCCCAGTCATCAGTCCTAAAAAGGAAGTCGAGTGCGGCCTAGTTTCAACGGTGTGGCAGAACGTGTCCGGCAATCGAATTCTCCGTGGGATTCACGGAGCGATCCCGAGATGATCGTCCTCGGGACCCGTCGTCCAATTGAATAGTGCAGAGGCCAGCGCTCATTTAGTTCAGGCAACTTTACCAGGGAGCAGTGGCGAATGGGCCAGGAACAACACCCTGGTCGCTCATCTGGCGATACTTGTTCTCGCCCATAATCACCCTGTCGTCATCGACTGTGCTTTCACTCCCAGCCTGTATCTCGAGCCCGCTTACTCAGGAAGCATGGGGCCGAAGCACGAATCGACAAACTTGCCAACTTAAGTTTCTCAGTATCGCGGAACATAGCCTTTCGCATGTCGTGCCCTAAGAACGCTGGCCCAATGTTATGCATGTGGGACACTGCGCTACAATACAGTTGAACTAAGTCAAAATTACAGTGCATGTGCGACCGCTACAGACGAGCTCTGCTTAGCCCAGCCACTTCAGACAGCCACTCTACTACAAAGGCCGTACACGCATCCATTTTCTCGTAGAGCACCTGGTGCGTTGTCCCCTCGAGCCATCGCACGCTCGTCTTCTGCTTCATCTTGGCCACGTCGGCCTTGAACATAGCGGGCGGCACTGCGAACGGCCGAGCCGGCATGATGGCGTGAAACGGGACGGCCACATCCATCAAACGGTCATAGCACTCCGTTGGCGTCTGTTTATCGTAATAAAGCGCCCACTCCAGGCGCGGCTGCGCAGCCAGCCGAAAGCCTTTTCCACTCTCATCCGGCACAACACCGTGTTGCGCAAAGATGCGCGACACGCGCTCGTCCCAGCCTCGGGTACGTTTGTTCACCTGTAGCTCCTTCTCTACCGAGGCTCTGGTTGGGAACCGTTCGGGAAGATTGAGGCAGTAAATGTCCTTCGGCAACTTGGCCATGGCGGTGTTGATCTTGCCGGAGGGAATCATGGCTGGATCGGCAACAGTGATGCTGCTGAAAATGGCGGGGGCGTGAACGGAGGCCAAGATGGCGGCTTGGGCTCCAAGACTATGCGCGATAACATGGAGATGCTTTCGTGTGGGCTGATCAGGATTGGTTGCCGGCAGTCGTGGTGAGAGTTGGTCTGAGAGATCTTGGCCAGATTCAAGCGGGAGATACGCCGTAATGAATAGAAGCAGGTCCCGCGTGATATCCTTTTCATTCGCTGGAAATTGGTCAGCGAGTAGATATACATGCGCTTGGTCTGTGTATCGAACCGTAGAGATATCCAATTGCGTTGACCTTGGCAGTCTCCCCGCAAAGTGGCATGTCCAACGTCCAAACCTCCTGCACCCCGACACCCGCTTTGCGAAGCTGAGGCAGCAAGTCCTCAAGCATAGGCTCAAACATCTAGCCGCAGTCAATAATCTTCGCTGGTCCACGAGTCAAGCTGGCCTTGTTAATCTCACCTCTTTGACAGCTCCCATGCCAGTGAGCATGAGAAGCGTAATGCCCTGCTCCCAATTGTCTCCCTTGGCCGTTGGAATGTACCGCTTGACCACAATTCGAGGCGGAGGCACATCAGAGCCCTTCTGAGTCCTGTCGCTGTAGAGTTTGAAGTCTTGTTGCCGAGATTCGGCGCTCGCGATATCGTACGGTATGTTGTGTCTATCACTATCGGGGATGTCGGTCGGATCGTCAGCGAACTTCGTGGGCGGCCACGCGGCAGACTCGTCGCGATCTCCAGTGCCGATGAAGATATGGGTCGATTCCTGCCATGGCTGTGACTGCGAACACCTCAATTGCGAGTCGACACTTGTTGTCTTGAGACCGACGCTGCTGGAGGAGACCACTAGAGGTCGCAGTAGCGACCGCTTGTAAGTCGTAATGCGTTCAAATGACATCCTGTGCTGAATGAATTATTCTTGGGGATTATGTTTGTGACTTCGCGAATTCGCGACAGCACATGTACGGTGTGTATGGCGACGGGAGGTACTAATCATCCCTTAGGTGTAACTACACAGTCGCCCAGCTCATGATCAATGCGCATTCGGGCCCTCGAATCCCCCTTTTGACATCGGACGGACTTGTCAGACCGAAGAGATAACCAGGCTCCGGTTTGACGCCCATCCCCGCCCGCTATGTGGCTAAGTTGGCGCCTTAGTCGTCTAAGCGCGGGCATTCGGATCCTTCTGCGCCAATGGCTCGAGGAGCCCTGTGCTCAGTGGACTTGTGCGGGCATGAGCCGCATCACTTACTCGTACATCCGCCACAGATTAGTGACGACCACTAGCCCGCACTCGATAGCCCGTTGGGGACTGGATTGTGTCTTATTTCCTGTCTGGGTTGAAACTGGAGCACCTGGTTCTAGCGCTGACTTTACAGACCGCCAGTGTGGGACACCACATCTGCGGCCAGGGCCCAAGGGCCTCTCGCTGGGACCAGATCGTCGGGTACGTCAGACTGGGATTTCCGCCCAGCCGTCCAGCCGAAGACGTGCTCAATGTTGCAACAGCTTTTGCTTGTGGTCAATTGGCCCTACCGATCGGAGGTGACGACCCGTACTGGGCTGCATTTGCTGGCTGTGACTTGAATGACGACAAGGCAGGTTTGGCTTAGTAGGGGATCGACTCTTGCCTTACGGATTCCCTTCTTCGTCAACGTTCCAAGATGTCGGCTTACGCCGGGTGCCTGTGCTCATACGTCATGAGCACATGCATCAAGATTCATATCTTATACCTTCTTTATCACGTGGGAGGCGATTAGGGGCGATACCTGCAAGCCTGGACGACGTCGTCCTTTGCTACATACGCACACATCGCTGAAGTCTCCTTTTCTCTCGACAATGCTTGCGTTCTGTCAGAAGGTCAATTTCATCACAACGACGATACTCAGAAGGCATCATGATAGCGGCGGCAGCATTTTTAGCTTTCCAGCACCTGACAGTCTTGGGACATTTGGTGATCGGATGCCGATGAGGTCAACACTGAAAGACGGATGAACAACTCGAGGCAAAGTAAGACCGGGCCCACTGCTAGCAACCACTGACTCCTGACCTTGTTGCCCGGTCCAAGAAGCTTCATTGGCCAAGGGTTTGCCAGGACCGGGACGTGTCATTGCGGCGTTGATGACCAACTTTGAATGGGAGCTAGGTATGGATGATAGATAGGTCGTGCTGAGCGGTGTAATGTCGAGCAAGCCAGCGTCTGGGTTGTTTCTAAAGATTAGACATACGGAAAGACAATAGAGTTCCTATATTGAACAAATGGCGTATTTGCCTAGTTTGCATCGAAGGTCATGAAACGGGTCAGATCGAGAATGGTCAAGACAGCCCTGCCTGCTCGGCATCGAGAAGCTAACCCGGTGAGCTGCTTCTTTCTGCCACCAGTGCCATGTGCAGTCCAATAGCCAGCAGGGACGTGAAGCGACCATTGTTACGGACTAAGTTCCTTTTCTGCCGCCTGAGCTTTCTTGATGATTATATCCCGCTCCTTGGAAGTGTAAGTCCCATCTTTCACGAACGCGTTTGCCGTAGAGGTGACTGCATGTATAAATGCGGCGTGTGTCGCAAAGGGCGCCTGATCCCACACCACGTCGAGAAAGGTCGGCCCATCCGTTCCCGGCGACGTGACCCCCTCAACCGGTACATCATAATTTGGCAAGTGGTCATTGCGCTTGCGATTCGGCACTTTAGTATTGATAGTGCCAAAGACAACGTCTGGTTCAACCCGGCGAAAGTAGGATGAGGTTGCACTCTGGTCTCCAATGTAGTACGGGCGCACAAGAAGGCCGTCGGTTGTCTTGAAGAGCGGGTCGCCAGTCGAGGTTGTCCCGTGTTGCTTCACGGCGGCCCGGGAGTAATCCCCATCGCGCTTCAGGTAACGGTAGAGGGACAGCTCGTGATATCCGCTCTCCGTGGTGGCATTGCCAATAATTTGCAGCACGACTGGTCCCCACATGAGCGACTCCGTGTCCGGACGATCCAGAGCGCGCTCGGCCCGTATGGTAAATGGCATTTTCACTTCGACCACGTCGCAGCGCTTCCAGGTCCGACTCAAGGTGAGGTACGAACCAGGCTTCGCTTCTGCGCCGGGGATCGCGTGTCCGTTTATGGTGACCTTGAAGCCCTTTCGCACCCAACCCGGCACTCGCAGCTTGAGATCGAGCGGGCCTTGTCCGTCGATGGTGAACTTGGCCGTATCTGCACGCGGAAAGGTTGTCTCTTGCTTGACCTTGGAGCCCCTGGCTGCCCAGTTGAGCGTGGACGGAATGTACAGGTTGACCCATAGGGCGGATCCGTCTGCCGAGCGGAAGTAAACCGTCTCTTGGTACTTGGTGTGGCTCTCCATCCCGGTGCCACCGCAGCAGGTACCCGTGTTGCCAAAGTCCCGGACGGTGCCGGGAGTGAGCGGCTGGAAGTAGGTGACCTGCGGATCGCTGTTGTTGGATGTGTCCGCGCGAGACCCAGCAATCATGTTGAGCAGCCCGCGCTCGTAGTTGTCCATGTATGTGGCATCGTGCTCGTGAAGAAAGAGGTAGCGCGCCAGCTTGAGCAGGTTGTACGTCGTACACGTCTCGGCGCCGTTATGCGCTATGGCGTTGGCAATATTATCTCGGTTCTGGAACAGCTCGGGGTTGTCGTTGGACCCGGGGTAGTTGCCGCCGATGCCGCCGTGCGCGAACCTGCGATGCGGCATCACCCAGCTGTAAAAGTTTTTGGCCGCGTCAAAGTACTCTTGCTCCCCGCTGTGCTCGTAGACGCTCATGTAGCCGATGAACTGCGGGACGTGAGTGTTGGCGTGCAGGCGCGCCTGGCGGCGGCGACCCGGTATGTGATCCGGCGCCACGACGAGGATGTCTCGGTTGTCCACGGCGGCGCCGAAAAGCGACTCCCTGTTATCGAATGCCTTTGCCGTCTCCAGGTGCTTCGCGTCACCGGTCAGCTCGTAGACCTCCGGAAACACTTCGTTGGCGCCGCCAAACTCGCCGGCGATATAGAGGTCCCACATGTAGTTCAGGTCGTCCCTAGTCAGGTTGCCAGTATACTTGGGGTTGTTCTTGTCGCCGATGGTCAGCGCCAGATACGCCCAGTCGGCCATCTTCTTAACAACATCGAGGGCTTGGGAGTTGTTTGTGTTGTAGTACGAGTCCAACAACCCGCGCATGATCTTGTGCTGCGTGTACCACGGTGCCCACGTGTTGTTGGTGAGGCTGCTTCCGTACACTGCCCAGCGCGGCGGACCGAGTCGGAGGACCGTGTCCTCTGGGAGCGCGCCTAGGTAGCCCGGATGCGTGGGGACCCAGGCGGCGTCTCCGGAGCCTTCAGGGGCGCCGTCCCCCATCCGGGCGTTGATGGCCTTTTGACAGGCGGCAAGTTCCTTGACCATCCAGTCGAGTTTGTCTTTGAAGATGTGCTCGCCCTTGTCGGCATATGCCTGGGACAGGGCAGTCATGTAGTGACCAGTCCAATGCCCGCTGAGCAGCCCACCGTCCTCCCATCCGCCAGGCACTTCCACCCCGTCGGGGTTCGGCCGGCCGGCTTGGTTGTTGAAAAGGACCAGAAAGCGACGCTCGTCGTATTCTTCGATGAATGACTTGAGACGGTCGCGCTTCTCTTGGAACAAGCCATTGCCGAGCGACACTTGGTCGAGGCGGAATGGCCGCACCGGCGCGGTTCCTCCCGGCCCATGGTCGGCAGGTACAGCTGCTGAGGCGCGACTGGAGAACATGGTGACGGCTCCCAAGACCAGAACCTGGAAAATCAGGTGTGGGCTGAACGGAAAGCCGCCGGGCGGAGCCATGATGGACTATGTTTCGTGGAAGACCACTTTCACTTGTCAATCCTTATGGAAGGCATTCCCCACTGGTTGCCCACGTGAACATGCGTCACCAACGGGAATCATGCCACTACGGTGCCCTTTTATGTTGCATTTTGGAAGCTTTGGATGTTGTGAGGGGTTCATTACCTACGCACCTACTAGAACAGATGCGGACTTCCCCAGACTGTGTTCAGGGTTTCGTCCATGTCGGGTTCACAGCCGAGTCTGCGGCTGCTTGCCGACTGGTCTATCAATGGCCTGTGTCGGGTTCCCGACCGAGCCTGCGGCTGCTTGCCGACTGGTGCGCATAGCCAGGACGTGTCGATATCTCACCTTGGAAGCCAGTGAGGGGTTTGGACGATAAGTACCGACTGGCGCGGGTATTCATGGATGCCGGGGATAAATGCATGATCCCCCACTCAAGAACCAAGCCGACGGCATCAAGCGTAAAAACAGCCCTGCTCCGGGACTTGACAAGTGTTTAGCGAGAAGATCGACATTGATTCGGGTGTACAATAAGCCTGAATGCCAGCGGGACAAGAACGTGAGTGCAAGTCAGCACGCCGCTAGATTCGCTTAGGCAGGAGCTTTAGGGAAAGACAATGACCCAAGTCGTTGACCATCCGGTGGCGGTCCAAGACTGCATTTGATGGACAGCAAGAGCCACGCAAAATCGCTGGGCTCGCTGCTTGAGCCGGCGACATGGAAGGAGAATCCGGCAGACGAGCACTGACGAAAGCGGCTGGAGCAGACATGCTGGTGCACCCGTCCAACGTTGACTAGTCGCAGCTGTCTGGACGCAGACACGGTTTCGCATTGAGCTTTCCTCAGTGCTGTATAAGGCTTGACTATATGTCTTACGTACATGTAGGAGCTGTAAGTTTACGTAGGAGCGACAGTGACGACAAAGCGTGTGACCGCCTCCAGTAAATGAAGTGCAGCGAACGGACATGGTCCCGCCTGCCGCAACTACGCCCGTGTGGCTGAATCGGCTGACCTCCATGTAGAGTTCCGTGGTTGCCCCCTCCAGAAGTCAGAGCCGCGTTCATGCCCGTGTATCTTCATCTCAATTGTTTCATTCGGTGAGCTCGGGCAAAGCTTGCCTACTGACTGCTCCAAAACTCTGGGTACCGTGTCTGCTTCATGCGCAAGCCTCATGCACGCGCCCATAAACGGTAGATAAAACTTCGTGGTGTCGCTGGTTGAGGCAGTCAAGGGTCCACAAGCAGGCGTTCCTGTGACACCAGACATCAAATACAATTGGCAGCAGCATGAGTTCTCACAGCACCGTAGGCGAGGCTGCTTGTAAATGGGGCATCGAGCTACGTGGGTTTAGGCTATATGTAGTTTCATGAAGCAAAACAGCTCATCCTGGGATACAGACATGTGAGCAAACGTGAGGCAACCCGAGAGAGTGCACGGCATGTGTACAGTCAGGCTTACGTACCCCGAAGTTCTCGTGTTTACAACATTTTACTTGATCGTTTCATCGAGCGATTCATTCTTATACATGTCGTCGCGTATCATCTAAGGTTTGCCTTCATCCCTTTACTTTCTCCTTATCTCGCTTCCCTTCTGCCACGTAACAAGTTGTTCACGCAATTGACATCATGGCGGCCTCAACGTCGCGCAAGTACGAGGGATACCACCGAATGCAAGACGAGGGCTACCACCCAGGGGAGTTTTGCATTTACTGCGACCCGAAACATGAGGACAATCCAAACAATTCATACTGCTACGAGGCTTATTATGCCGAGTGCAGTCCGAAAGGCGCGTACATCATCTCGCGTGGCCCAGCGCTGTTCTATATCCAGAAGCGAGGCAAGGGCTCGCCAAACCCCCCTCTCGACTGCAGCCACTGTGGATGTCGCCCCAATCCACTGTACAAGTCCCCGCTAAAGGCCTCCGGACACTGAACAATCCGAGCTGCGTTGGCTCATGAACCCGCCCAGGAGTGTGGACATCAAGGGATGGGAACTACTGAATGAGAGCGGAGGTTCGAGGATGTGTGTGCTGGAAGCGCAAGGACTGGACGAAGGCCACAATGCAAGGGACGATGGTCTGATGCACCCAACGTGGACACTCGAACTAGCACCGCTGTCGCATACATGTACTTCGTGGAGTGCATCGCACTCTGGTAGAGAGAAGGCATTGATCTATTCCATCCGAGTTGACACCATGGCCTTCCCCAGACAGGCTCCAGTAATGGAGGAGTTAAAGTGTATTGGTCTCCGGTGTGTTCTATCCTTCCAACTTTTCGCCTAGCCCTCCTCTCAGGTGGCCTAGTGCGGCGCGTCTGCTTTGCTGAAAAACTTACCGAGCAGCAAAGAAGGGCATCTGCAATTAGTTCGTCTTGCGCAGATTCGTTCCGTTTGCGACAAAGGCCGCAACAACGGCAACCGCCGCGATAGCCGTCGACGCTGCAAAGGCATACTGTATGCCCTCGTAGTAGACGTGGCGCGCCTTGAGCTGCAGTTCGGGCGGCAGATCGTCCAATGCATCGACAGAGTGTCGGATCTTGTCAATCAACTGGTCAAGTCAGCTTCAAAGCTCACGTTCCGCGTACTCTCAACGGCAGACAAGGTAATGACGAATAAGAAAAAGGTCCTACTGTCCATTTATCTGATATCACGCCCAAAGCGTCCGGCAAGCGGACGCTGAGCGAGGTTTGCACAATGGCAGAAGTGATCGAGACACCCCATACAGTGCCGAGGGACCGCACGAGATAGACCGTCGACGCGGAAACGGCGTGATCTGCGATTGTCAGTGATGAACCACTGCGAAATGCTGGGAACTTACCTGAATGCGTGAAAGAGGCCAGCGACGTGAAGAGGATCGACGGGTAGACGATGCCCTGGCCGAGGTTGGCGGGAAAGATGTAGACAAAGTACTTCCACGACGGATCGGTAAACCCAAAAGACGTCACCAAGGCGTTCCCGATCGTCATCAGGATGACACCGCATCGCATGAGGCCAATGAGTCGTCCCCACCGCGACATGACGATGCCAGCAACGAGCCCGCCAATGGGGGTTGCCAGGGATGGGATCGCCAGGCGGGCGCCCGCCGTGGTCGCTGAGTCTTGGAGGACAACCTGGAAGAACAACGGCAACATGAACAGGTACTGTGATTGTCAGAGCTGATACCCGTGATAAACGCGGGGAACAACGTACGGCATATGCAGCCATGCCGGCGCAAACGTTGGCAATTTGCGTGGCCACAGGCAGGCGCCCCTTGAGCATGCGCAGCGGAATGACGGGGATGGCCGACGTCGTCGCCTCAACGCGGAAGAAGACGGCAAAGAGCATAACGCTACCAACGAGCGAGCCGATAACCCACGGACTGGTCCACGGGAGCTCATTGCCACCGAGACTGAGTCCCACGAGCTGAATCGAGATGGCTGCCACCAGCAGAAGAGCGCCCGACACGTCTACCCTCTTCCACGCGGCGCCGAGGCCGTCGTTGAGCGAGAAGCCGCCGCTCTGGTTCTTGAGCACCAGCCAGCCGACGACAAAGGCCATGACAGACACGGGGACCTGCAGGAGGAAGCACCACCGCCAGCCGATGTGGTCGGCGATGGTGCCGCCGAACGAGGCGCCTGCGATTGCGCCGAACCCAAAGATGCCATTTTGCATGGCCTGGTACATGCCGCGCTTCCGAAACGGAATCATGTCCGAGTTGACAATGGTAGCTGCGATTCGGGTCAGTGGATGTGCATGAACGACCGTCATTCGTGCCTACCCATTGTCATGAGCCCGCCGCCACCGAAACCTGTCAGCGCGCGCATGATGTTGAGAAACACCACGTCGCGAGCGACGCCGCAGCCAAGGCAGCCGGCGGCAAAGGTGACGGTCGAGACGAAGAAGCACACGCGGCGGCCAAAGATGTCGGAGACGCGCCCGTAGAGCGGCTGGAAGGCAGCGGCGGTGACGAGGTACGATGTGGTCAGCCAGGAGGCCGTGTTGGCCGCGTCGAACTCGGAGCTGATGACGGCGTACGTCGCGGCCGTGATGGTGCCGTCGAAGCCGTTGAGGAAGACGTTGAGCATGATGGCGACTTGGATCCAGACGAAGCCAACCGGCGGTGTCCACGTTTCGGCCTCGGGGGCAACCAGGAGCGGCCGCTCCGGCGAGTCGGCAGACGAATCCTCGGACGCGATTGAAAGAGCGTCATCGTCAACCGGCGACGCATTGACGACACTGTCGTCTGCCCAGGTGTCTATGCCCGACGTGGTTGCCTCGGCAGATGGCGGCATGTCGACGATTGTGTTCGTTCAGTGTGCGAAGGTAATGGTTTGAGCTCGGCTTCGTATGAAGAAGCATCAATAGCAAGTCACTGTAACGCCGAGTCGATGAGGCGAACAGTGATATTCTTGTAACGTGAGAAAGTCGAGTAAGTGGTGGCGGCCGAGGGATAATTGAATTGAACTTGTGAATGTGCGATGACTAACACGCCGAGGGTGGGAACTGATGCGTCAATTGCGAATCAGTTCAGCGGGATGACGACATTGCAAAGACCGGTACCTTGGCAGTTGCTGTACATTTGCCTAATACTTGAGTCAGATTGCCGCAACTCTGTGGTTGTTCCCGGCAATGTAGCGATAAGAAACTGGAGAAGTTGGCACAGTATTAGACGCAACGAGGTGTAGACCATTGCGGCGACGAACGTTAAATGCCCGCCAGCGACGTGCACGACCACCACGGTCCCCTGAACCCAATTGGCAGCGGGGGAAACCGACGCCACTTGCCCATCAATGCTTGCGAGTCTACTTACGTATTCCACTAGCCGTTGGTCAAGAGCCCTGGCGGTCATAATTGACAGATGACTCGAATAGTCGATATCGAAATCTTCAATAACAGCGGCAGTCTTATACACACAGCTTTAGACGTGGTTCTGTTGTCGAAAGACATGGCAATGAGATCCAGGTCCGGGGCGAACAGCATCCACAATGCAGGGGTCCGCGCCGCTTGGCCACTGAGTAACCCACTGAGTAACCAACTGAGATACGCTCCGTTAAACAATCACTGCTTGCGCTTCCGCGGACCTGCGTCTGCCTCGATCATTACGCAACTGCCCAGTCTTCATGTTGCAGCATGCTTCCAGAAGCACCGGTTCAAAGGCATATATCGACTTGGCAGCGAAGCAACCATTGAGCGTGCGCTACGGAGGGTCAAGTGTCTCTCGCCTTGGGCAGTTGTGCCGTCATGTATGCAGTGATGCACTGTTAGATAGGTGATTGCATGCATTATGATGCTGTGCAAAGCATTGCTCATTCGCCACGGCATCACCTTTTCGACACTGGCAGCTTTCAGCTTGTCGGTGTTCACTGGCAAGGTATCGAGCCCGGCTGCCACGGGTCAGATTGACCAGGGCCCTGGCCCGCAAGCCAGTCCGTCAGGTTACAGGTGGGCTCGCTCTTATGAAGTCGGAGTCATTGCCATACGCAGCGGCTTGTCAGTCGGTTCCCGCTGTCATTGGAATGGTGTTAAACTTTAGGGCCAGGGCGTTTCAATCGTACGTGCGGCTGAGCCCATCTGATTGCTGGTGACTGTAACCTTGAACATGCCAGCCAGTGATGATGCCCCGCGCCGCCGCTGGGGACAGGCGGGAACCTCTCCAGCACACCACGCCATCCTCTGTTGGTGACGATTCTAAACCCAGCCATGGTGGCATTTGCTTGGTATTGGCTACAGACGTACGATGGCCGGCGGGCCATTGCCTCGAAGCAATTGCATCCTCGCCGAACCCATGCGATAAGTATGACCTCACAGCCAAAAGGCAAACGGGGGTGAGTTGCTCAGCGGGTGGCATTTTGCCCGCCGTGGGGTCGTCGAGCGCAGCGCGATCCAAGGCGACACGGCAGATTTAACAGGGACGACCCGGCATGCCAGCTACCGCAATTTGTCTCTCATTGAGCTGCTCAAAGAACATATTCAGGACATATGTATCGCGTTGGTAGCTACCATCTGCCCCAAAACTCGAGCACTCACTACAGGACAAGCCACGGGTAAGTACATGTTACCATCATGGGGAGCCAAGGGCAGGGAACGGGTTGGAGAGGAGTCAGAGGACAAGCAATCACCTGGAGACCCTTTGGCTAATCCGAACATCCCAGTTCACAACATCCCGGCCAGGCATGTATAACGCCCGGTTATTTTTGACTGCGCTCCTATGGATGAGGCGGCCGCTCAGCCGAGCCGAAGCCGACCAGAAAGCGCTCAAGGAAGACGACAAACCTGCATCCCCAAACTCGCTAAGCGATTCGGCTCCGGTGCGGGCTGTCCCGCTAGCCTTCGGCACCTGCTCCGGCAGCAGAGAGTGCTTCGGCGTGAGCTGTCTGAGCACCGCCGACTGCCGCTTCCCGTGCAGCTGCGTGTTTGGCGGCACCGACGGCGAATGCTCCGGCAGCCGCGATTGCTTCGGCGTGAGGTGCCTGCAGGACCACGACTGTCGATTTCCGTGCACCTGCGTCAAGGGCCTCAGCGGGGAGTGCTCGGGCAGCACGCAGTGCTTCGGCACCAGGTGCCACAGCAACTCGGATTGCCGCTTCCCGTGCAGCTGCGTCTTTATGCCGAGTGGTGTTTGCTCTGGTAGCCCGCAGTGCTTTGGGGTGAGGTGCCACAGCAACCTGGACTGTCCTTCGCCATGCAGCTGCATCTTTAGCTAGGGACCAAGGAGAGGCATGTTCTTGTCTGTACTCATGGTGTTCCGTTAAAAAGGCTTGCTGGTGTGATTGGCCGCGAAATGGTCAAACACTTGGTACTTTAGCGGCAATGGCTCATCATCGTATTTCACGATCTATACTGACATCCGTGAGTCCGTTTATGCTGGCCTGCGCAACCCACATGCACACATCCCCCAATGCCGCCTTCAACCTTCCCGCGGCCGACCCGTAGTAATTCGATCAGAGCGCACGCTACCGCCCTCGCATGGCATCTGCCAGATGATCGGGGTTGCCGGCGCATGATTGGCGGCGTGGCCGGAGCGGTGGCTCGATGGCTGCCGGCGCCGGCCCGACGGTGTCAGTGCTAGCGGATGCGTCGGACTTAAGTCTGCGGTGAGCATGTAACCCCGGCTCGTTGTGTCGTCTATACATGACAAGGATGATCTAGGTATAAAACGTATCAGACTTCTTTTTGGGGTCAATTTGTTCGTGTGTGATCAACTGACATAGTCGCAATGCCTTCCAACGAGAGTGTCAAGAGCGGGCTGGCGGTGGCCGAGGATAAGTCCAAACTGCTGGGTCTCACCGTCGGCAAGCACACCGTGGAGCCGGGCCTGTACATTCCGCGGACAGGTACGCACTGAGATGTGAAACGAATCCACTCATCGAAGTTCCGTCACTGACTTCCTGCCAGAAGCTCAGTCCGCCCCCGAATTGATCTTTGAAGGCGCAGACCCCGCGGCCACCTACCTGATCATGTGTGTCGACATCGACGCGCCATTCGTGACGCTGCCCGTCCTAGGCCCCATCTTGCACTGGATTCAGCCGGGGCTCAAGGCTGAGATCAAGGACGGCAAGTCCGTGCTTACAGCGAAGGAGCCGTTCGTCTCCGACTACATCGGGCCCGCGCCTCCGCCCGGCAGCGGCCCGCATCGCTACTGCTTCTTCCTGTACGAGCAGCCCGCGGGCTTCGACGGCAAGGCCCATGCGCCCGCAGACGGCGCAAAGATGAGCAATTGGTCGCGCATGCGCTTCAGTCTGGATGACTGGGAGAAGAAGGCTGGTCTGGGCAAGATCATTGCGGCCAACTATTACACGAGCAATTGATCAAGGGATACTATAACATCTCCGTAGGTCAGCAACACGTCAATGATACCCTGTATTCACTACGGGCGCAGAAATGCCCACAATGAACATGAGCGGCATATCTTCTGAGCACCACTGCCACATCTGCAGCTTACTGAGCGTGCGTTAAAGCCCTGGTCAATTGATGAACGGAGAATCTCAGATGAGCCGGTCACTCCAAGATATGCTTTGGCGAGCTGGACTGTCCCGTGGCGCATTAAACTCAAGGCGCGATGTTTCTTATAGCTGAGGCATCACTGGAGCTTACGTCTGCTTTCCGTCACGGCCCCTCGTATCAGGCGCCAAATATGTCCAGACAGACAAGCACTCGTGCAGTCGCTGGCCTGTACAAAACAAACCAGGCGCGGGCTGTGGGCTGATTCCAGTCGGCCACGGGCCCCGATCCGCTTCATCCGCACGGTCCAGTCTTCACCCTGACACGCTGTGTCCATGACAACAGATCGTCCAGCGCCATCCGGGATCAACGAAGCCATTCGTGAGTGGATCACGGCAAACGAGGAGAAAGAAATTCGCGAGCAGTTCCAAAATTCCTGCGTTCGCAATCGCCAAGTCCTGTGGAGTGGCATGCACCGGGAGGTTGCGCAAGAATGGGCAGATAAACATGGGTTCCAGACGCTCACAACCGCAATGGGTCCTCTCATGGACCCTAATAGTCCCAAATGCCCAAAGGCTACGAAGGGCCACAAGAGCTGGCCAAAATATGTTCATGGAGCGTCGGTTGTGTTTGCTTGCTACATCTCCGAAGGCGACATCGCCACTGTCTTATCGCAGCCTCCCCCACAGCGCTTCCACCCGTCCGGACGGACCTACTATCAGATGATCGAGGAGCCAATTCTAAAAGGCAAGTATGGCAATCGGCCCGTGAGGAAGATTGTCGTGGTTCACCCAACCGTGGGCAAGGCGGCGGAGTTTACCTACGAGCTGTGGCCGCACGACGAACCTTCCCTGTGGACAGCTTCCTTTGGCATACCGGACACTGTCCGTTACTGGCGGCAAGTCAAGCTGCCAAGGAAAGAATCAAAGGTAAATGCCCTTGAACCTTGGGATCGGGGTGTAGCACGGGTGATTTGACTGAGGAAACAGCAGTTGGATAATTGCAAATCCACCGGTGCCTCAACGACGGGCACAAAACCCGAACAGAAGGATGCCGCATCATGTGAAGTCCCAAGCAAGAGAACTAAAACAGGAAAGACGAAAAAGAAGCGGAAGGGCAAGAAATGCGATTTAGCAGGCTGCAAGGACGCTTCGAGCAAACAGGAAGCCAAAGCGGACAGAACAAAAGGAGGAACCCCAAACGGCAACGGGTGTGAGAAAAAGGGTGGAAAGATGAGCAAAAAGGGGCACAAGGCGAAAGGGAACAACGTCCCACAACAAGAGCAAATGCGTCAATGCCCAACGATGGGGAAATGCAAAGGGACAAAGGCGAAGGCGCGAGAGGCAGAGAGTAGGGAGCTTGAAAGCACAGCCAACGACTGTGGCGGAGCCAAGAAGAAGAAGAAGAAGAAGAAGGCAAAGAAACGCCGCAAGCCCTCCAGCGACCCCCCGCAACCCAACCCGTAACTAGGTAAGAGAGACGCAAATGGTGCGCTACTTGCGACGCGGTGGTACTGTGTTGAAGAATAATCGTGTGGCATCATGTCTTTCCTCCCACGCTTCCATTCACGTTGGACAACTTGGCTAAGAGAACATTGAATGGCTTACTTACTCAGACACAGGGTCGGGGTGACATTGAGCCGTTCGAGAACGCTGTGAGCGATTGTATGGGACGGCGGTGCAAGGCCGCACCACCAGAGCCGTGAGTCAGTGCTTGATGACATGTTCGAGATCAGTGTCAGCCGCCAAAACCGCAGACGAGTTCCTGCCTGTTATGATGGCATGAGTCTCACATTCCGCTCGTCCAGGGCGCAGAGCGACTATCTGGTGGGGCATTCTCACTTTGCCGTTTTGTGGCTGGGTTAGTTGCTGTTCGCGAAGTATTACTCGCAGTTTGGTCAGAGCCCTGGCGATGAAGGCCACATGGAGCACCTCAAAATGTCAAAATACTTGGGCAAGTGAATGGGAAGCTGTTCTGCAACGTGATGAAATTGAGATCACATCTCTGCTGCTCCACGACAGCCAAAGGACCGGTTCGCATGCTGCCGCCATATCCGCGCCTCATTCAGCCTAGTTCATGAGCGGCTCAGTATCGGGGCAATCCGTCGTGTGCATGAAAGCCGCCCGGCACCCCGCAATATTCTGGGCCGACGATTGGTGACGTGATTGACGCCAGATTTCTAAGCATTCGGACTTGCGCTCCGCGTACTTCGTACCCGTGGGGTTACAAAGCCGCGGCTCTCATTCACTCGTATAAAGACCGACCTTGACGCGCTTGGACTTTTGATCGTGGCCCCCCTTGGCAATGACGACGCGCATCCAGCAGCTCGAACAGCAACTCACAATGGCGACCCCCACGGACATTACGCTTTACACGGCGGCGACGCCCAATGGCATCAAGATCTCCATTGCGCTTGCCGAGCTTAACCTCGACTACAAGGTGTGTGCCCCTCGCCAATGCCCCTCATTGTTGACCCCGCGGCGGGTTGTGTGAAACTCACTCGTGCTCACAAAATGTTCAGCTCTACACCATCAAGATGATGGATAATGAGCAAAAGGAGCAGTGGTTCCTGGACATCAACCCCAATGGCCGCATTCCGGCCATCACGGATAAGCTGGACGGCAAGGAGATTCGCGTCTTTGAGAGCGGCGCCATCCTGCAGTACCTCGTCGACCGCTATGACAAGGACCACAAGATCTCGTACCCGCAGGGGACGCCTGAGCACTGGGAGGTGACGTCTTGGGTAGGTTTCCACTCACTCAGGAACCGTGGACGTTGCTGACTATCAACCCAGCTCATGTGGCAGATGGCCGGCCTCGGAGCAATGCAGGGCCAGGCGAACCACTTCAAGAGTATGTTGGGCCTGTTCATCTCTCTCTGTGTGCTTCGAGCTAACAGCAGTCAGGGTACGCGCCTGAAAAGATCCAGTACGGCATCGACCGCTACGTCAACGAGACGCGGCGCCTGTACCGCACCATGGACACGCACCTGGGCAAGTCGTCCCACGGCTACCTCGTCGGCGACCGCGTGACAATTGCCGACATTGCCTGTTGGGGCTGGGTCGCCTCTCACAGTAAGTTCTGCTCTGCACTTTGCCCTCAACATGCGCTGACCAACTGCTAGCCTGGGCCGGCGTCTCGCTCGACGAGTTCCCCAACGTCGCCAAGTGGCTCGAGAAGCTGCTGCAGCGCCCGGGCTTCGAAAAGGGCCGCCACGTGCCCAAGCCGCACACGGCGTTTGAGAACGACAAGCTCACCGAGGAGGAGCTCGATGAGAAGGCGACGGGCGCGCGCAACTGGGTGCAGGGAGGCATGAAGGCCGACGCGGCCAAGAAATGATGACTTATGAAACTGTATGTATTATGGAGATGGCAAGATGAACATAGCGAGAGGTTGCTTTTGGGACGACCGTCTACTTGCTGCTACTCTTTGACGACCGCCAGCTTGCCCCTGACAGGCACGTTGGCCTCCCTGCCTACCTCAGGGAAGCCCTCGACCTTGACGCCCTTGCGGAAGAGCAGGCAGTGGCTCGACCCGCCAAAGTGGAACATGCCCAGCTCGTCGCCCTTCTTGACCCTCTGGCCCTCCTTGACGGTGATGTCGCACGTGCTCACCTCGTCCATACCGATGCCCACAAACGCCATGAGGCCGATGGCCGGGTTATCAGCCTCGATGAAGATGACGGCGCGCGTCGCCAGCGACGACAGGTACCCCTGCGCGACGACGATGCCGCGCGTGTCAATCTCGCCGTGCTGCTCCGGGTCGCCGGTGCCCTCAAACAGCGGCTCCGAGAAGTACATGCCGTCCTCGACGAAGGCGCGGCGGATGGTGCCCGAGACGGGCGTGTGCCAGCGGTGATACGACAGCGCCGACAGGAAGGCCTGGTAGACGGTGCCGCCGCCAAACTTTTGCGCCAGCGGGTCGTGCGCGAGCATGTCGAGCGGCGAGTAGGGCTGACCCTTGACGAAAAACTGGTCGCGCAGGTGCACGTGTCGTGCGATGTTGTAGACCTTGGACTCGCATGCGTTGGCGATGACGGAGTCGTCGTCGGGGGAGGCAACGGGCCGCGCCTTGTCGTGGACCCTGCAGGTGAAGAAGTCTGCTCTTGTAAGTGCTTGTCTTGACTACACCGTGCTGGGCTTCACGCCGAATAGGGGGCTTTAGCTTACCGTCCCAGGACTTGAACCCGTAGTACTTGGCCGACGGGTCGCACACGTACATGTCCTCGAAGCGGTGACTCGACTTGTACGGCGCGTTGGCCACCTCCATCAGGTCCTTGAGGCCCGTCTCGCCGAACCAGCCGACCTTGTGGTTGCCGAGCACGGCAGCCGACTCGGGAGTCTATGCCGGCGTTAGCGTGTGGGGTATGCGCTGCGTGTTAGACGGACGGTCATCTCACCTGCAGGTACACTCCCCACGAGTTGAGAACAATCTTCAGCATGCGGTTGACGTCGGGATCGAGGAAGGCGGCGTGTCCACTGCCCATGTCAGCTGCCGCCAGCTCATGTTCTAAGGCTGTCAGTAGACTGGAGTCCATACCTCGCAGTCGCCATGGGATAGTCAAAGATGGCACACATGGGCACGCCGACGACGCCGGCGCCCTCGGCCGCGTCGGTCCACTCGGGCGCGCGCGTGACGATGTGGTTGAGCACGCGCAGCATGTGGTTGTAGTCGCGGATCTGGCGGCTGCCCGTCGGGTCGCGCCAGTACGGGTGCTTGCGCGGGATCTCCTCGAACATCTGCACAAAGTACATGTACACGCGCGGGGTCGACTCGATGAAGCGCTTGAACTGGGCGACGGCGGGCGTAAGCTCCTCGTCCTTGTTGGACTCGACGTGGAGGTTGATGCGGCGGAGGTACTCGCGGTGGATGCGGTGGTCGGCCGGGAGCCACGCGCCGGGCCTGATGAGGGCGTTTCCATCGTCAGTAAAACGTCGGGTGTTCTCATGGAAGGTACAGCGGGGGAGCATCGAGGGAGGCGTACTTGTAGATGCGGTACTCCCGCGGGATGGCGTGGGTGTCGCCGTGCTGGGCTACCATTGTGACGGTGGTGGATGGACCAGGCTCAATGCAATTAACAGCAGCTCGTATCAACACAATGGTGACAATTGACAGACGGAAAGCATCAACTGTCCGCAGTCTGTACTTTTTAAACCGCCGTCACAGGTCAGCCCAGCAGCTCATCAGTGCTGGTGGCCGGAGTCCGGCACGGGGTGGATCCAGCCCAATGCGTCAATGATGTCAGTTCTACGCAGCCAAACCTGCTGCCCGCTGGACAATTGACCTTGCGCCACGCAGCCCTCGCCGGGCGGCCGGCACGCGTGAGCCGTCTCGACTCGTCCGTTGCATTTCCCTCAGAGTTGCGGCGAGACCTTGGCAGCCCCGGATTCGGGGTCCGAGGTCGTGCATCGTGCAACGGCGCAAATAGCAAAGCCTCTTCTCTGGCTACCAGGCCCACCGACCGGGATCCACGTTCCCAGACGCTCTTTCTTTTAGCTGCAAGTGTTTGCAAGTGCGTGTATGCGAACAAGGGCTCCATTGTCCTTTTGTTCCATGGCCGACGTCACGGTGCCTGTGCCGGGCCTCCCCGCGACCGGGGCTCCGCAAGGCCGGAGCGGCTCTTTGAATGTTGTGGGGCGACTCCGACGCGTGCGCCGAGCCGTCAACTCAACATCAACAACGCATCCCCCGAAGACGCGTCCCGACGGTCGCCATCTTCACGCAACAACGCAAAAATGAGTGAGACTAAGATCCAACCTTACGCATCTGATGCCGTCGCTAACGAGGATTCAGGTTCTCGCAGATCTCGCCCCACCCCCAAGAGCACTCCCGCGGCGCCCAAGGCAGCAGCCGGGAGCCGCCGCAAACATGCAAGCTCAGCAGCAGCTCAACCTCCACGGAAGAAACAGAAGACAACGAAAGAGGCGCCTCTCAACGCGGTTCCAGAGACAGTCCTCGCCGTCTTCATGTTCGGCTCCGGCGAGAATGGCGAGCTTGGCCTCGGCCCCAAGGTTACGGCGTCCAAGCGGCCAAAGCCAAACCCTCACCTTGACGCCAAGGACTCGTCCGCTCTGCACATCGTGCGGCTGGCCTGCGGCGGCATGCACACCGTTGCGCTCACAGCAGACAACCGTCTCATAACGTGGGGCGTCAACGACAATGACGCCCTCGGCCGCCCTACCAACTGGGAAGGGAAACTCCGTGATGCCGACGCAGGGTCCGACAATGACGACGCAGAGTTGAACCCGCGCGAGTCGACGCCGACCGAGGTGTCGACGGAGAACATCCCCGGGGCGACCAAGTTTGTCGACGTCGCCGCGGGGGACAGCTGCAGCTTCGCCGTCACCGATACGGGTCTCGTCTATGGATGGGGCACTTTTCGCGTACGTTCCTTCGACTCCTTTGAAGCTATATCATCAACTGACCAAAGCCTTTCAGAACTCCGAAGGCAAGGAGAGCTTTGGTTACACGGCTGGTGGCGCCCTCATCAAGCGACAGCCCGTTCCCATGCTCATCCCTGGCCTGCTTCGTGTCACGCAACTAGTTTGCGGCGCGAACCACGCGCTCGCCCTCGACGCTGCCGGCACCGTTTGGGCGTGGGGCTGCGGCCAGCAGAATCAGTTTGGCCGTCGCCTCTTTGGCCGCCACCAGGAAAGCCTCCGTCCCCGGCCAGTGCCCGTGTGCCGCAGCGGTGCGCGCCTCATCGCAAGCGGCGAGTACCACTGCTTCGCCGTGGGACAGCGCCGTGACGACGTCTGGGGCTGGGGCCTCAACAGCTTCGGTCAAACGGGCGATGCGACCTCAGCTGGGGGAGACTCGGCGCTGCTGCCGTACCCGGTCAAGATCCCGGCGCTTTGTGGACAGGGCGTCGCCGTCATAGCAGGCGGCGCGCATCACTCTGTGGCCATTACGGCGGATGGACAGGTCTACACGTGGGGACGCATGGACGGCGGGCACCTCGGCATCAAGTTTACCGATCAGCAGCTGGGAGACGACACGGTAGTGCGCCGCGACGAGCGTGACAAGCCGCGCATCTGCCTGCAACCGACGCCGGTGCCGCAGATTGGCGAGGCCGTCCATGCTGCCTGCGGGACCGACCATACCATATTTGTTGCCAAAGACGGCCGTGCCTGGGCGACGGGGTTTGGGTCGGAGGGGCAGCTCGGGTTGGGGTCAGACGACGATGTGGATGTCGCGCAGCTCATCCAGGGCAAGGCGGTCAAGGACCGGAAACTGACCTGGGCTGGCGCGGGAGGGCAGTTTTCGTCTGTGGCCGGGCCGGCTGCATGATGTCTTCTTGTTATTCAGTGTATGTGTGTCTTCTTTGGTAAGGTCGGGATACTAGATATAGTAAGGAAAAGGGCTTTTATTCGGCGGGCAAGACGGCTCCGGCTCGGCAACGTTGGGGACGACGTTGCTCATGATCTGGCGGGCGTGCCTAGCACGGGTAAATGCGGCACGTTTTGGTACCTCGACATCTTTGGCAGAGGTCCATGTCAACGACTTGCGGCAAGTTTGCGTAGTCTTTATGGTGCCGAATCCCGTGCATAAAAGAGAAGTGGGCGACGCACTGCTGTAGCAGTTCGCGGCTGGGCACCATTTCTCCACGGTGACCGGCAAACACTCAATGTCAACTGGAGAGTGCTCGGGTTCTGGCCTAAAACGGAGAAGAGTTTCAAACGGATCGTAAGCGGGGCTAGCTCCAGGAGCTGACCCATCTTCCAACCTCGAAGGAGCCATTTCGTGGTCAATGCGAAGAAGCGGGGGAGATGAGCACAGAATATATGTAATTAAGAGCTGAACGCAGAGCCAGGGGAGGAGGATGGAACACGAGGCGGTCGGGCAGACGGGCAAGAGCATGAAATGGCGATGCGCGTGCGGAGTATGTTTCAGGACCAACACAGTACTGTACTTTGGCTCCGTTTATTTTACTTTTCGTTTACTGTAGCTTCAACGTCTTCGCTCGTGTTGGCGGTATCAGTAATTCTGGGTGAGCTGCTGTTGGTCAGTCGTCGGGATGTCAACAAGTTGGCTCACCTCGTGCACATGCAGGGTCCACCCCACATCACTTCACGTTCAAATCCGGACCGGTCAATACCCCATGCTTTTTGTTCTCTTTCTTGTCGCAGCGCTCGGGTCAAGTAGCGCATGGCTTAAATTGCCTTCGAAAGAGCGGGATTCCATGCATCGTACATACCGCTACAGATCGATTCGGCTAGAACCCCAGATCCTCGGCGAGCCGATGCGGACATTGCTGCTTTGGGTGTCAACAAAAAGGGGCGGCCAACCCTCCGTGCATGTGTGTCCTTGGTCTACTGTACATCTTACTGTGTCTGCATTGTTCTGTGCGCTTCCGCCAAGAATACGGGCCCGGCCCTGGAGTCCTGAACCAACCCGACCGCCAAGTCCGTGTAAGCCACTCTCGATAACCGGCAATCGGACCACGGGCTGTTGGCATGTCCTGTAGCACAGCTTATGAAGTAAAGCGGGCAACAACTCATCATTGCTGATGCAATACACCGATCAAACGCTTGCCCCCCAAACTCGCTCGCCCTCCCTCCGCCGTTGCTCAGGGGACCTACACACGACAATCACGACTCATCTGCGACTCTTCTGGACGATTGACGAGACCACGCCAAGATGGGAGAAACACCGAATCACCTCAGCCCAATCTTTGTGAACAACACGGAGCTCTTCCCCGACTCGAAAAACATCATCCAGATCCCGTACAGCAGCTTCAGCAACGTGACCGCGACCGCCATCAACACAACCTCCGTCGCCGGCTATGACTGGACGAAACCGTTCCCCGGGCGTGCCATTGATGGGCACGAGGCGCATCTCTATGTCACGCGCGACGTGCCTCTCTCGGACGACATTGTCCAAAACTCCACCACGACGCTTTCCGCATTGACTTTCAGCATCCCGGGCAGCATGACCAACTCGTCCACCGACCTGCCACTGAAGATGGATCCCTCGTGGTATATCTGCCGGCACATTTTCATCAGCACGAAAGAGCGGGCGAGAACATTCGCCGTGGAGGGCAAGGGTTGCTACTTTTTAGAGACCTCATGTCGCCTCGATTTGGTCAACAGCCTGACGAAGCGTTGGGGCAGCAAAGACGGCACGACCATGTGCTCAAGCCTGGCACTTGATCCCATCCCGTCCAGCTGCAGCGACACTTTCGGTCTCTCCCGGCAAGATGTCTTGGGTAACCCTCCCTTCCTCCGAGTGCGTCCTCTTCATGCCCCTAACTTTGAGCCTAGCTTTCAACTCCACGACCTTGGCCGATCCAAACGAGGGCCCATTGGTTTCCTCTGACCGTTTGATGGAGTGGACTTGGCGCATGGGCACCGGTTACTATGATCCGCACAATCCCCGTTCCTACGAGATTGCAGCGAACCGAACATATCTCATCGCCACGGTCTGGGGCTACAGCAGGGAAGTCGATGAGAAGGACGCCCAAACGCCACAGGTTTCGCTCTCGTGTCTGTCGGCATGGTCCCGTCACGATTCAGTCCTTCCGGCCTCGCCACTCACTTCCACCACAGCACATGCAGCCCCAGAGCCCTCGTCGACGTCTTCTTCGGCTGCCAGCAGAAACAGGGCCGGATTGGCGCAAAAGCTTGTAGCTGCTGCGGTTGCGGTCACGGCAATTTCGCTTTTGAACATGTAAGAATGTACAGTGCAGGGACACCGCCAATGCTCCGCAATCGGTCCATGTGCAGTTCTATTCATGTCGCTTCAGTGGGCGTTTGACCATTGACATGATGAGGCGTTTTTAAGTAGCCAATCTGTTATGAAATGCACCTTACCGAAGAACCATCGATTTTCTTCATTAGCTATCTATTGTAATTATCATTATTTTAAAGTAATATAGCGATGTATTATATACTTATAGGTGACTATCGAAATCTTTCTAGGCCATTACTTCTTACATGACTTAACCAACTTTTGAACGATCGCATCTTTTTCGCGAAAGGAATGCGAAAATTTAGCTAATTTGCTGGAGTCCAACGCCTCGCGAATCTTAAACGCCTTATGAAATGTGTCGCTTCTTGATACCTTCCCCGTCCCGGCTGCGCCTACCAGAAGGCCTAAGATCGCGAACGGGGCTGAAGCTGGGTCTTTGATGATGTCAGCTATCGTCAGAGCTGCATTTCCGGCCTCGCTGATCAAGAGCGCGAGTCGTGCCACTTGCGTAGCACTGCCGACGACGGGGCCTAATAATTCGCCGGCGAAGGGCAGGATGAGCAGCACAATCCCGAGGATCATGAGTATCAAGTCCTTCTTTTTGGCATCCCGGGCCTTTTCTCCGATGCTTTTGATCTCTTTCATGTTATCCACTGCCTCTTGGAGCTGATAGACTGGCATCGACATGGCGACCACGACGTCTGTATTGGTATTTTCCGGGTTGGTGAGGTCGTAACAACTCATCACTAGTTCGCCATATGCTGCGAGGCTCGAGATTTGAAGCATTGTGATATTTGGCATTGCAGCTTCGATCAATGCCTTCGGATTACCGACGTTGATTCGGTCTTTGTCAACTCGCATGGGGAAGCCCACCCTCGTTTGATATATTCTCCTGCAATGTCGAATGGGTGCTCCCGGTAGCCAATAGTCATCTCCGGTAGTGTCGCAACCGGGAGGGGATTGTTGTATCCCAAACCTGACCCAATCTTTCTCGATGCCAAGCTCTTCTTCTAGGGCGTCGAAGAAACCCCGTTCATCCTGAAGCTCATATGTCACCGTGTAGCTTATCAGGTCCTTCCAAAATTGAGGCATTCCGGTACACGGACCGGAATCGTCGACGATGCCATACCTCCAATGACACTTAAAGTACTTGTTGCCTTTGCCGTCCTCGAAACTCATGAAGTCCTCGAGACGCGAGTTTATGCTGTCCTTGAGCCAATCCGCATAGTATCCAAAAAGATCGTCGAATCCCGTGGCTGCCTCGGCGTACTTCGTCACTGCGTCATCAAGATCTTGGTGAAGTATCTTGGCAGCAAATTGAGCCCGACAGATGCTGGGTATTGTATCCGACTTCTCCAGGAGGGCCCGCATACTTCCTGGGTTCATGTCAATGGGGCAAAGTAGCTTTTCTAGGTCGCTAACGTCAATCTCGGGGTCGTCAGGGTCACTATCTTCTTCCGGGTAGTCGCCAGTGAAGCTTTCCAAGTCCACAGCCCAATCTGCCACACCAGCAAAGTTGATGCTGCGTATGAATTCGATCCGCTTTGACTTGACGTCTCCATCCATATATGCGACCCAGTCTGAGCCTGAGTCATCGCCATAGACAAGGATGTTTGAGTCGGACGACTCGTCGTAATAATCCTCAACTGTGGAGTATCTGTCAGGATAAGATACGATTTCATCGATCTCTGCATTAGAAATGTAGCCTCCAGTATCTGTGCATCGCCCATGGAATGCATGAGAGTCTCTTGGTCCGCCTGTAAAAGTGCAAAGTGGTCCACGGCAAGCAGCGTCCGTCATGCGAAAGCTTCTGCCGTAACTTGTTATCCCGACTACTAACTTTGTGGAATCTACTCCAGCTTTCGTGATCATGACAAGAGCATCATGCATTTCTGTCTTGTTGATGTGCGATCTGAGACAGTTACCCGCCGGGCAACCATGAATAGCCCATTTGTTATTGACATCTACGCGAACCGCAGTTAGCCCAGAGTCAAGTCAAACGATAGCATTCCACATCAGATTGGAAACTAACCCCATTGTCCATGTAAGTCATAAGTCATGTAGACATAGTAGTCGACCACTGCGGCCATTCTAAAAACAGGATACGGTGCCAGGTACCAGTATGACGCTGGAAGGGCGACAGAAAGTGTGATCCTCTGTGGCAGTACTTTCCTGAGGGCCCGGAGGAAGCTCAAGTAGTTCTCCGCCTCCGCATGGGTGCCAGGCGGAATATCAGGAATATCAGGTGCACCAGGATACTCCCAGTCGAAATCCAGCCCATCGATATCATACTGGCTCACCGTTAGCAGCTTGATAAGCGAGGAATGAGGGGTTTTCAATACTGACAGCATTTACAAACTGTACCAAATTATTTACAAAGTCCGTTTGATGAATGGGGTCGGTAGCTTGTCTGAATAGATAGAACGTCGCAGGATCGGTTGAAAATGTCCAGCCACCGAAAGAAAGGATCTTTTTCACGTTTTTCAGCTTGGTGAATTCATCAAACTGTACCTTAACATCCGATATGTTAACCTCAAACGTGCTTGATACGCTGGCAAAAGCAAAGTGTATATGAGTAAACGCGCTCGTGTTGATACTTTTCACTTGCATGTTTAAGCATGGGCGATGCTTGTTAAACGCTTCGAAGTAGCCTATACTGAAGAACTGGCTTGGTTTCTGCGCATTGCGTTCGATGTACATGCTGCAGTGCTGGATGCATCCATTCGTACCCGGCCTTGCGGTTCCAGGGGCACCTGTGTCTGCTGGCGTTGCTTTGCAAAAGTCGACTGTTGTTCCACAGAATCCCCATACATCACAACATGCGTTCAAAGGACATGGGTTCAAGTCCGCATAATTTGTTCCCGGCGGAGGCTTCTTTGTATTGGGCACCTGCGGCCCGCACATGGCGTTCGAAGTTGGCGCAGGCATGGGGGGATCACCTAGGCTTAAACAGATTTTCTGGCCAACCTGTAGGTATTTGCAGCCTGCCCAACCCCAAGTCTTTTTGTTTAGAATCTCAAGGTCCTCTGTCTTTAACGAGAACGATTCGGCTATAGCGGAGCATCCGTCGTCGGCCTTTACAGTGTAGGTGGCGCAGGTGCCGTCCTGTTCAGGCTTTGGACGAAAGTCAGGGAGTGCACCGTCGCTACAGCAAATGTACTGTTTGGGCCTCAGGTTGGCGCAAAAGCCTGCTTGTGTGTTATATTTCGTGAGGTCGTCTCCGGAAATGTTGCATCGAGTGGCTAAGGATGCGCAGCTGTCTCCGAGCTGCACTTCGATAGTTCGGCACTCGGCTCTTGGCATCACCTGAGGCATCGTCAGGTGACGCAATGAGTTCTGTCTGCGAGTCCAACTCGTAGAGTTTATGTCGATCCGAGATACCAGCATGGTCATCGCACCTTTTTCGAGTGCTGGCCGTGTCTCGGTCATGCAGTAGCCCCTTGTCCAGTCGCGAACTGCCAACTGAACCTCTGCTAGCTCATTCTGATGTGCGGCATAGAAACCTAAAGTGAGTGACGCGGTACTTTGCTGTCGCAGACTTGCCAAGCAAGAGCTCCCTGGCTGGCTTGCACTTCGAATGAGCTCAGAAAATCAGCGGTTGATGACTTCGACACCTGAGCACCTGAATACATGCCAACAACCGCTGACGCTGACTTGGCGAAAAGAATAGTTGTGCCACATTGAGCCGCCTTCTTCATGAATGAGAGAAGATGATGTGTTGCCTGCGCAACGTCTTCTTTCTTTGGCGGGAATCGATATGCCGAACGGCTTTCGGCAGTGGAGTACCCGGGGGACACTTGCAGCCGAGACGACTTTGCCCCGCACTCTTCTGAGACGTGAAGCGCGTTGATTCTTTTGCCAATCACGTCTGATGGTCGATTGCCGAAAGCCTCATCCCCAGTCGACACGCAAGCTCGAAGGGTAAGAATGCTCGCCAACTCATCCGTTGACGTTTGGACGTTCAAATCTAACAGAAGTGTCTGGTCGCAATAATTGAGGTCATCCATGTGGTGTACATAACTCCAGTTCGCAGGGTTAGGGCCTGTCTGTTCGCAAAGACCTGGGCATCTCGCAAAGAATTGAGGCAGATCATCGCCACTGGCAGTCGTAACATGGAAGCTCAACCACACGTAAACGAGCATCAGTAACCAGCTGACAGTAGTCATGGCTAGAGCTGCGAAATGTTCTTCTGCTGTTAGGCTGTTGAAGTAGTTTAGATTGCTGGCGCTATGACTTAAAATGATATCAAATGGCCGTGAAAGGGAGTCAAAGAATAGATCTATTCTCCTTCGTCCGTTTCTCTGGTCTCATAAAAGGTAGCGAGCCACCTGACGACTCGTTATCTCACGACCCCTTTGATCAATAACACCAATAGAGCGGACATTGCTCCTCATGCACGACGATCCTTCCAGTTATGCTGCATGCAGTCTTGGCAATGCATTTCACTGGTTGAACTTAGCGAGTATCTGTTGGTGCTCCATGTTGGCGAATTCCTGCTGTTGACTCTCTGTTATGGTCGCAGCTGAAAGTTGGTGGTTTGAGCAATGAGTCAGCAATAAGTCCCAACAATCAGGTTTACCACGTATTGTACTGTATCGTACTACTACAGTATATGCACAGGCAAGCACGGCTTCACAAAGCGAGCGCGAGAACCAAGCGAGCACGAGACCCGTCATATCAACAAGTTTTGTTGCCTCTTATCGCTCCTATGGTACTGTTGTCAGCCTGTCGTGGCGGGAAGACTTCCGAGCGAGACTTCATCGACGTTGATGGGTAGAGGGATTACATATACGCGAGACTTCTGCTGCAAGATAGAAGATACCAATGCAGTTTATTCCGGCTCTACCTCATTTATTACATCAATGCTTCCGTACTCGTCTAGTTCTGCCTTTCTGATAAATTCTTCCGAGCAACACATGAAGAGGTTGACAGTTGAGACGTCGGGTTGTGTACCTTGGTAAAGGCCGCCCGTGTTGCCGTGATCGATGAAGTCGGGGCCCACAGCGCGGAATAAAATAACCGTTGTGGGCTCTTTTTGCCAGTCTGGTGCTGCTGTATCCCACGCGTCCAGGGGCTCTTGGCTGTAATCGCGCGTAGTCGGCATTTCGTGCCTCCGAGCCTCCAGGTCTGCTGTGTAATGTGCGTTCCAAGAATATGATGCTTCCCTTAGTAGCGCTTCAGTAGGCTCTGCCTTCAGCTCATCATAAAACGCTTGGTAGTTGCACGCAATTGTAGCATGAGCTATTTGATGTCGCATTCGGGGCTCTAATTTGAAGAGAGCCCTGAGTGTGATCTCCCATGGCTTTACTGGATACCAGATCATATATGGAAGGAAAGACTCGTCGATATCAGGCGTATGCCAAGAGAGATCGTTCATCATAATGAATCGTGCGTGTGCCGCGCTGGCTAGCTCAAAGGTCTCCAGTCCTTTTCCTTGTATTTGAGATGACCACCACTTGGCAAATGGGCTGCTGTGATATATCCCTCGTACGACACACATCATTTCGTTCTCTACCATCTGTGGACGTTTCAAGCGCGCGTAGCGATCGACATTCCCTTGGTGCGCTGCCATAAGGATCAAAAGGTTCTTGTTAACTTGAGGCAGATCCGTCGGTAAGGGGCTATACAGGAGCCATCGATTGGAGACGGTGAACTCATCATTGGGTCGGCTGCCTTCATCGACATGCCCAATACCTCCATCTTCCGTGATATCGAAGTATGCCGTATAGTATCGTTTTCGGAATGATCTGGAGGGCGCTGTTCGCCAAGACAGCGTCGATGCCAATGCGGTGTCATCGTTGAGAGAAGCTCTTGGTACTGGTGGTTGCCGAATAGTTCTCGTATAGTCATCCAGAACCGCGTAGCGCAATGGCTGACCCATAATGTATTCAAATATTCCATTTCCTTTAGGAGAGGCCCTTGCCTCCTCTGCAATGGAAACATCTGGCAGCAGGTCCAGTTCCTTGTACAGAGATGTATATCCAGCAACAGCACATGCGCGCCCAACTTGATATTTCAAGCATGGGTATCTCGCTGCTAACTGCCGATACGTATCTTCTGTGGCAAGCTCTGGATACCAGATGCAGTAAGGGAAAGGACTGTTAGAAGACGGCTCCAGCGCCAGAATTTCGGGTACGATATTGCTCATGATCTGACGAGCGTTTCTCGCACGGGTGAATGCTGCACTTCCTGGTACCCTACCATCTTTACAGAGGGCAACGACTTCCGGTAAATTTGCGTAGTCTTCGTGGTGGCGAATTCCATGAATGAAGGAAAGTTGAGCCATATCATGCTGCAGCAGGGCTCTATCGGGAACCACCTCTCCGCGTATGATAGGCAGACACTTGACGTCAAGCGAAGAAGCCTCAGCGCTGTGTCCCCAAGGCTGGGGCCCATCAACTTCTTCAGCGCCATAGGCACGTCCGGTAACATGCGTAGGGATCTCTGTCTCCATAGCAGTACTATTCAATGCAGCAGGAGCGTAGGGAGAATGCGATGTGTGAGTTTACTGAGAATGCAAGCGAGACAGAATGTTGTTTTGAGAAACACAGTGAAATCGTTCCATTTACAGTATTTGCTTATCGACCGCACGGTGACACACCTCGTTCGTGATGTTGGAAACACCGGCTACACGTGGAGAGCCGCTGTTGGTCATGAATAATTGTTGGGTTTCCATGAATTGGCTGGCTGGGTATGGCACCCGCTCGTGTCATCCGGCCAAAACTTCATGACGCTTCCTCCAGTTGGTCTGAGTAAGCTATCATGTCCAATGCAATGCCCTCTTCCGACCTTCAACGAAAAAGGTGGTATGCAAATAATTTCACAGCCATGTACTGTATACAAGTTCCCCTTTGCCAGTCTGTTGGCTTGCCTTCACTGTCAGAGAGTGTGGCCGTAGAACACAACAGACATTTCTCCCAAGTGACTACATACATTAAGGGTGCTCTCTCCACAGAAGCGATCCCTTCCTCTCAATGAATCAACTCACTTCCAGAAAGCTTGACAAAGTTGAGTGTTTCATGATTCTCTGGTTCACCCTTAATCAACGCCAGATCAGTAAGTTTTTCGCAATTAATCCGTTCGGGTGACTTTCTCACATTAAGAACTTCCACAGCACAAGACCGTATACTCATTCCGTTTTGTTATCGAAACTCTTGCCATGCTGTGCACCAGAGTATGGTTGGCTCTTGCCTTTCTCGTCGCAGTTCAGGTGGCTGCAATAAAACGTGGCCACGCATTCGAAAGACTCTTCGTGTGGGAAGCCTATAATATCGCATGGGACTGGAAAGGCAACAAGCAACAGTATCTCTTCCCCATTCAGAGGGGCGGTAAAACCAATAAGGGTAGTGGGCCAGACGGCCGATTTACCTTTCAAGAGTTCATGAATGCGGTGGAAAATAGAAGCCCGAATCACCAAAATGGGTTATGCACCGTGGCTCCACCAGACGAGAATAACGGTCGGACATTCAAAATCGTTGCAACGGAGCTTGAAGCCGCCAAGTTTAACTCCATCTTGCAACCCTTGCTCATCAACAGAAGGTTTGACAGTGGGAAACCAGGGCAGAAGAAGAAATTTTATCCTGAATTGTTAAAATGGATAAACACCATGATAGTCGAAGCTGTTCAAGCTGAAGGTGTCCGAGACAAAATCCAGCACAGGCTTCTTAACATGAAGACGTTGACAGACATCGTCTTATCCTGCCGCGACACCGAGTTTCAAAAGCGACTCAGCGACGGTATGATCAGAGGAGTCCACAAAGGGGGAGCCGGGATCTCTGAGGATCTTCTTCGAACAGACCCAGCAGTTACGAACCCTTTCTCTGACGAAGAGGTCAAACGTGTGAATCTCGTTCAGACTTTGGCCTTACTAGCTCCGTCAGACAGACAGAAAGTCGCGCATTGGTTCGAACAATATGGCACGGAGGACTGGAAGACGAAAATCGCACAAGAGCCGGTAGCGGGTCAATCGGAAAAAGAAAAAAAGGAGACATTGAACTATTTGACGGCTGGAGTTTCTCACAAGGAGGCAGAGGCTTCATGGACCCAAACAAAACGTTATTTCGACGAATCGTGCGCATAAGCTGATTCGGAGCCTGACTACATCACATGTCGCCGATGATCGATGAGAGGCTTTGCATCGCATTAGATGGAGATGTATGTGAGAAGCATTGCGTTTACATTTAAGGCTATGGAATCTCCAATTCGATACTTAGAATTAACGTTTTAAAGTACTCTGTGTTCTGCACTCGTATTTCAACAGCCGAGATCCCATTGAACATTTCGTTTCGGTTGACAATTGACCCGACTGTCTTTATGGATCGCTGATTTATTCTACAGCCATACGGGGTACGAGGGATCCAGCTAGTCAAAGTTAAGTACTGCCTACTCCAGGTTTTACCTTCAATACCGAGAAGTATTAGTCATAAGAGCCTTTCGCCGCTCTTGCTTTACTCACTATACTGAAAAGCATGAGCACTTTAGTATCCAAGTACAGTAGTGGTGCTCTTGGTACATCCGTGGGACTGTCGCAGCATTAGCTTTAGGCCTAGCTTTACGCTACGCTTTTCACATATAAAACTCCGGCCCGCTACTTACTAATTAAGATCGATCAGTTCCTTTCAGCGTTTCCGGAATGTTACCACATCGCCACCACGCACCGCCCCCCAGCCAATTCATAGAACAACCGATCGTACAGCACAGTATTATACTGTGTTATGCGGTAAACAACTATTCTTAGTTTTGTGGCTTGTTGCGTGCATGCATTATTGCTGTACATTGGCTTACTACGTACATGCAATACTTCTGCATGTTTGTTTGCTTGGCTTGTCTCGTATCTGCATTGCTGCCCAGATTGTCGTACATTCACTCCTAAAGCCCTGAATAATTTTACTCGTGTATTTGCTGTACTGTACTGTACAGTACAGTAGTCTGCACAGTAACAGGTCCTGATGATCCCAGCGTCTGCGCAGTCGTGCTGCTGTTGGCCCTCCACCAACATTGAAGCGTTATGCGCAAAACTGAGATCAGTTGATCACCGCTTTATCACCCCCAATGCAATATATTGAAGCACACTCTCACTATATAAATTGAATTCCTGCTTTCTGTCCAGCTTGTTATCGGCGTATTTGCCCGAGACCGTTCTAGCTAACCGAAGAAGGACACGAAAATGGGACAAGTCGCAAGCGGACTCTGTCCAATTTTCGTCAATAACACGGAGTTTTTTGTCGAGAGAAGCAATATAATACGGATCCCCTATAATACTAGCGAATGGACGAGCCCAGCTTCTATAAACACGACTACCTTCAGTGGCTATGACTGGACGAAACCGTTTCCCGGGGTCGCTATCGCAGGACATGCGGCGCATCTCCATGTCAGACACGATGTTCCCATTCCGGAGACTATTGTGCAGAACTCCACAATGTCAATTTCCTCATTGAGCTTCAGTATTCCTGCCAGCATGACTGGTTCATTTCTCACTTATAAAATGGACCCGTCATGGTATATCTGCCGGCATATCTTCCTTAGCACGAAGCAAAACGCCAGAGAAGCTGTGGCAGAAGGCAGGAACTGTAGCTTTTTAGGAGAGCCGTGCCGTGTCGACCTGATTAAGAGTTTGACCCAAGACTGGGGCCGCGCTGACAACTCGACAATGTGCTCAAGTCTGGCATTTGATCCAATCCCGGCGAGCTGTTGGGACAGTTTTGGGTACACGCGACAAGATGTTATAGGTAATAGAGGGTCCTCGTTCCAGTGCAAGCCTATCTGACCGACGCTCAGGATTCAACTCAGAGGACATAACCGATACATTTATTGGTCCACTTCTGGCTTCCGAGATGATGTGGCCGGGAACCTGGCGCATGGGAACTGGTTATTATGGTCTGCACGACCCGACTGCCTACGAAATTGCCTCTAACCGGACGTATCTCATCGCCTCAGTCTGGGGCTATAATCGGAATATTGACCCGAAAAATATTAGAATGCCGGAGGTGTCCCTCGCATGTCTGTCATCGTGGGCTCCGCGCTCGCCAGCCCTTCCGGACCCTCCAATCAATGCTACCACATCAGGTTCCTCATCAATATATTCAACAACGACAAGCAGTGCCGGCTCCACTTCGACGCAAAAGCTCGTAGCCGCTGCATTCGCGGCTACTGCAATTCCTTTACTGGGCTCGGGGGTCTGAGAGCAGTGATTGAAGGCTAACGGATGTTGGCTTGTAAACTATCCGTCGACGGCGTGACGAAATTCACACAAGAGTTTGTTTATATGGACAGTTTACGGCATGCCTCGTATAGGGCTTATCGATCCGTTACATTTTGCTGTTACTTTCAGACTGGTAGTTTTATCTGCGATTAAATCAAGATTTATTTCCGGTTAGATTGAAAACGTTTACTACAGGAGTATTACTATTTACAGTCATGCGTTTCTCTATTTTCACACATGTCGTACCGCCAAGACCCCTCTAACCACTAAGAACCCCTGCTACGAGCGCTAAAAATAGGCCTGCCGGGGTGCTACAGTGCGTTTCCAGCGGCCTGCGCACGTAGCGCAGCGCGTACAGCAATTGAAGGCATCGCGGGCTGCCGGGCTGTAGACCTGACAGTGTGGCACTGTGGCTAGGTCTTGGCGGTACGACATGTGTGAAAATAGAGAAACGCATGACTGTAAAGAGTAATACTCTACTACAGCGGTATTCTCGTTCCAGTAGAAAGTGGACAGCCACCAAGTTCCATGCCGTGCTATTCCACACTATGTGGAATACAAAATGCCACGTAATTGAGAGTTGGCCTTGAATGAAGCGCAACTTTCGACTCAAGTCATTCGGGCATCATTTCCGTATCCCAGAGCTCACAGCACGGGCAAGACGGGGGCAGATCCACCTCGGCCTGTTGTCTACGGCAGTCAGCGGTCAGTGGTGCAGGTACTGACGTACTAACGATCATCCCAAGTGCACTAGGTCGACGCTAGGTGCTAACTTAGTCGTTATGTAGCAAATATTTAATAACAGCTCGCCAGCAAGCCAGGTTTCCTCGCGAAAAGTGGACCAAGTGCAGCATTCCCCGACCGTGACAGTCATTGATAGCATCTTCGTGGTCGAAAGGACAGCATCATGGTTGACCAGGACAGCATTGGGCCTCTTCAGTCAACGTGGTCGGATTTTATCCGCAACCTGCTCAAGGCATGGCACGTCCCCGGCGTGTCGATCGCAGTCATTGGCGGCGAGCAATCGTGGACTGAGGTACGCACGCAGCGCACGGACAAGAATTGAGAGCCAACTCTCGATGGCATACTGATACACGAATATCAACTCAGACTTTCGGGTTCGCCGAGCTGCCACTCACGCCCTTCACTACAGACACTCTTTCATACAGCGGCAGCACCACCAAAGCACATCTCGCCGCCCTCTTCGCCCTCTTGGTCGAGTCCAGGCGGTACAAAGACGACAGAGGACAGCCTCTGTCTTGGCAAACACCCATCTCGGCGCTCATACGAGATGACTTTATGCTACAGGATGAGTGGGCAACCGCCCACTTGACTCTTGAGGATGCGCTCTGCCACCGCACCGGACTGGCAAAGCACAACAATGCCTACATCCGTTACGTTCGCCCGGACGGCTTCCACGGGGCCAGGCGAGTAATTACGCTAGAGGAGATAGTGTGCAGCCTTCGGCATCTACCCATGGCCAGCGAGCCTCGCACGACCTTTTGCTACAGCAACCTCATGTTTGCGACGCTCTCGCATGTCATCGAGACGCTGACGGGCCAGTGGTTGGGCGACGCGCTGCGGTCATGGCTCTGGCAGCCCCTGGGGATGAACAGCACGTACCTTTCGCTGCAAGACGCCCTCGCCTCCGGATCGCAGGTGGCCCGGGGCTACTTCTGGGACAAGGAGAAACAGGAGTACACGGGGTTTCCTCGCATGCCTACAGAAGAGGTCTCGGGGTCTGGCGCAGTCATCACATCCGCAGCAGACATGGCGAAATGGCTCCGCTTCTGGCTCCGTGAGCAGAGGCCGCTGTCGCCGGACGGACATCGGAGCGTGCGACGGCCGCATATTGTCATCGGTGACGGCGGCGACCCTGCGCCGTACGACACGCCGCTCATGTACGCCAAAGGCTGGCAGACGTCGTCGTACCGCGCCCACCGCTTCTGGACGCACCACGGAGGCATGGACGCCTTTGGTGCTCAGGTGACGTTTTTCCCGGACCTGGACTTTGGCGTCGCCGTCATGGGGAACACGGCCTTTACGGCGAATGCGGTCGCAGAGATAGCGACGTGGCACTTGGTGGATGAGAGGCTCGGGGTACCGCCCTCGGAGAGGTTTGACTGGATGACGAAGTGAGTGGCCGCCGTTGGGCACTTGCTGAGTGAAGCTGATCCAGGTATAGATGGCAAAACGTGGTGCAGCAGATCAAGGACAACGTCCGTGGCGGCTTGGACAAAATATATCCAGATCGACCAGCAGTGCCTCTGCCTCCGTCAGTGTCCCTGGAGAAACACGCTGGGCTGTACTACCACCCCGGCTACGGCTACATCGATCTCAAGGCGGTCCAAGGCGGCGACACAAGCAACACGAAGCCCGCCCCGCAGGCACAGCTCCATGCTGAGCTGCCAGACAACAACTTTCGCGTCAAGTGCGACTTCGTGCACGTCTCGGGCGACAAGTGGATCATGTACGTCGACCTGCAGGACGCGCCGACGCTCACGATGCACGACTTTGCAGCCGTCGAGTTCCGAACGGGCGTGGGCGGCAGCGTGGAGGCCATGGGGATCGAGTGGCGCGCGAGGAGCGACGTGGAGGGATGGATCTGGTACGACAGGATGGCGGAAGAGGGTGCTGCGTAATTGTGATGCCGTAGCTACGTCGTTCGTCTCAGTGCGCCTCTGACACACGGCCAACGAAGATGGCTCTGCCTCGTAGCAGATGGTAGCCGTCGTTACAGGTGAGGGCGCGTGGTGGCTGCTGGACATTTGCACAAGGTTCAAATACTCGTAGCCACTGTTGTCGACCAACCACACACACCACCATCGAAACATCAAAGAGCCGTCGCCGCGCATTAGCGGGTCGGGGACGTGTCTTGGCTCTTCAACGCCACCATCCAAACGTGGGAGTGGTAAAGCAAACGTGAGGTCCCACGACGGCCCCCCAGAATTGAGTTTGAGCCACCACCCGTCCTCCTTCCAACCGGCGGCCCCAGCTGTCCAGTCACGGGCTCCGGAGCAGAGCTCCTTGCCAACCGGCGCATTCTTTAGCGACGAGAGCTCAACGTTTCCGGCGATGGAGCTCATCGCCGAGTTAACCGGGTGCCGCCTCTGCGCGCGCGCCCCCCTTCGGCCCGCTTGCACTGGGCGGTTACATCATAAAAGCTTCATGGGGCCCCGGTGGTGGAGGAGCTGGTTTGATGTACCCCGCGTTGTGATCAGTTGCATCTTCAGCTGCTCAACGCCGTATTAGCACTCAGAGCTGCTCACGTCTGGAATTGACAATGGCTCATGCAGCAAAGCGTCGGGCGCAGGAGGCGGCCTCCAACGGCGCCGGTCCAAGCGATGACATGGGAAGCGTCTATGGTTCGCGATACGCCGTGACCGAGCTCCCGTCGGACGACATGCCTGACGCCCCGATGCCTCCCGGGACGGCTTATCGCCTGATCAAGGACGAGCTCAGCCTCGACAACAACCCGCAGCTCAAGTAAGACGCGCATCTTTGGCAGTCCTGTTCTGAGCGCCCCCATGCTTGGATATAAGTGAACCAGCGACTGACTCTCAGCCGGCAGCCTCGCATCATTCGTGTCCACATACATGGTACCGTGACATACACTCCCCCCCCCCAACTTGGCTCAGTGTCTAACATCCCACAAGGAAAAAGAAGCCGAGCAGCTCATGACCGAGGCCATGTCCAAAAACTTCATCGACTACGAGGAATACCCGCAGACGGCCGAGATCCACAGCCGCTGCGCGCGCATGATCGGCTCCCTCTTCCACGCGCCCAAGGACACGGCCATCGGCACCTCGACCGTCGGCTCCTCCGAGGCCATCATGCTCGCCGTGCTCGCCATGAAGCGGCGCTGGAAGCTGCGCCGCGAGGCCGACGGCAAGCCCGCCGACCGCCCCAACATCGTCATGTCCTCCGCCGTGCAGGTCTGCTGGGAAAAGGCCGCCCGCTACTTTGAGATTGAGGAAAAGTACGTCAACTGCACCAGGGCCCGCTTCGTCATCGATCCCGCGCAGGCTGTCGCGCTCTGCGACGAGAATACCATCGGCATCGTCGCCATCCTGGGCACCACGTATACGGGGTCGTATGAGGATGTCAAGGGCATCAGCGACCTTCTGGTTAAGCAGGGCTCCGAGGTCCCGATCCACGTAGACGCTGCGAGTGGCGGGTTCGTGGCGCCTTTCGTATGCCCGGAGCTGGATTGGGACTTTAGAATCGAGAGGGTGGTGTCCATCAACACCTCCGGACACAAGGTACGCCTGCCAGGCCGCTGAGCCGCATGAGCTGACCGTGTCGCAGTACGGCCTCGTCTACCCAGGCGTCGGCTGGGTCGTCTGGAGGTCGTCCGAGTACCTCCCCAGCGATCTCGTCTTCAGCATCAACTACCTAGGCGCAGACCAGACGTCCTTTACGCTCAACTTCTCCAAGGGCGCATCGCAGGTCATCGGGCAGTATTACCAGCTAATCCGGCTAGGCAAGACGGGCTACCGGGACATCATGTGCAACCTGACGCAGACGGCCGACTACCTGACCAACGCGCTGCGCGAGATCGGCTTCGTGATCCTGTCGGAGACGTCAGGCCGCGGGCTGCCGCTGGTAGCGTTCCGCTTCCCGGGCAAGGACGAGGGCGAGACCGAGGATGCCGACTTTGACGAGTTCGCGCTGGCGCTGTACCTACGCGCGCGCGGCTGGGTCGTGCCCGCGTACACCATGGCGCCCGAGACGGACAAGATGAAGATGATGCGCATCGTCGTGAGGGAGGACTTTTCGCGTAGCAGATGCGACCTGCTCATCCGGGACATTAAGCTGTGCTGCCACCACCTCGAGCAGGACAGCCAGCAGTTCATCAAGCGCATGCAGGAGCACGCCAAGGAGCACTCGGTCGCCAAGCGCAAGAGGAACGATCCGCTCAGCAACCCGCGGCACGAGCACGACCACAAGGTGAGTTTGCATCAGGCTCCACGGCATACCGCCGGCCGACTGACGAGAGCAGCGCGTAAAACACTCCCTTCAGGGAAAGACTGGCAAGAGTCATGCCGTGTGTTGATGGGGTGCCAGGCGAGACGGCGGGTCAGACGAAGTTATTTCTCGAGCTTGGTATACCTTAAAAGACTTTATCATGAACGTCCACCAGGCGAGCAAGACGGCCGGCGACTTGCCCATGATCGTAATGCCACAAATCGAGTCAGGATGCGAGAATGCTTCGTGTTCGGATCAGCCGAGCCCCGCCGCGACGCGGCACCGACTCCTCCACGTGCCCCGTCCATGACACATAAAACGTTGGCCACTGACATCGCAAAAGTCAAAGACAAGTCACACCGGTTTCTCGTATTGTAGCTACCTCAGCTCCGTCCGTCCTCGCTAGTGGGGGTATCTATGTCAAGTCCCGGCTCGTCCGTGGCTCCCGTGGCGGCCTGGGGCGGCCGCTCCCTCCACCGGCACGGGGCCGGGACGCCTCTCCACGCCGCGCGAAGCGGCTCGCTCTCGAATCTGCTGACAAGACCAATCTGACTGCCGGATGCGCAAAGGCGGGGCAGGGGGGGTGAAAGCGGCTGCTGTGGGAACGAAAGTCAAGTTCTCGCAGGATTACAACGCATACAAAAACGGCGCCCCCGAGGGCGTGACCTGAGCCAAGATGGACAATTGGTGATGCTCTCCCGATATCCTGGACCGGCGTGAGAATCTAGTAGGCGGGTTGGGTGGTTGTTTTGCGTCAGTCGGCACGCCCGACGTGGGCGAGCTGTAGTTGTCGACGACGAGGCAGAAAAAAGGAGACAAATGAAAAACAGCAATGGTCGCTAAGTGACGGTTTGGCTGAGATGACGGCAGAGATAAGGCAGGACGGTGGCTAAAATCAAGGTTGTCAAAAGTCGTAACGTCGTCAGGGGTTTTCGGGAGTCCGTCGAGCTTCGTTGCGGTTCGTGTGTTCGTTCGACGCTCGCCGGACGGTGCCGCGCCGCCCGCCGGCTCACATCACGACGCAGCAGCCGCAGCCACCCTTTTTCTCGTCGAGGTCCTCTGGCGGCGCGGCCGGGGCATGCTCTTTCTCTTGCGGGGGCGGCCCGGTGGTGGTGGCCCGAGGGCTGGCTATCGGGCTGACGGGGAGAGGCTTGTCGGATATCTTGGGCATGGTCGAGTATGAACCCTGCCGCAGCGTCGGGCTCTTGGCCACGCCGGGCTTGAGGGGCCACTCGCCTGCCTGCGAGGCTTGCTCATCTTCCGTCTGGGCGGCGACGCCGGCGTCGGGCTCCGGAGGCTTTTGAAATTCGTTGTCATTGAGCGGTCGAAAGTCTTTGTCGTACGCGTCACCGAATTTGCCCTCCTTCTCCCATCTCTCCTGCTGGAGGCGCTTGGCCACGGTGGGGAGCAGCTGTTGGTCCGGGGGCAGCCGAGGGTCAGGTTTGTACGAGTTGAGCATCCACGGGGGGTCGCCCTCGGGCTGCTTGCTGGCGGCAGAGCCCTCGCCGCGCGTTGGGGGTCTCGTTCCAGGGGCGTCCTTGGTCGGTCCGGAGCGCGTCTTGGGCCGTCCGGTGACCGCGCTGCCCTTGGACGCAGCGGACGGCCTGCGAGAAGCATTCTTCTTTGGGGACGTGTCCGTTACGGAACGCTTCGCGACCTTGGGACCGGTGCCCGTGCTCGCCTGGTCGCTGACCGACAGACTCGCGGAGAGGCTGGCGCTGCGGGATCGAGGCTTCGGATACGATATGGCGTCGCCGTCGACGGCGTCGGCCGGCCTCCTCACGGCCGGGGAGCCGCGTTCGAGGTAGTCGACGGGTATGGGGGCGGGGCTGGTCTTGGCCACGGGAATGCGTGACCCGCCCTTGCCGCCGTTGGCGATAAAGTAGGCGTTGGCCTCCGCCTCGGCAATCTCCTCGGGTGTGCGCAGGTCCCAGTGCGGCGTCGACGGCTCCGACGGCAGCAACTGCTCCAGCGTGGCCGAGTCCTTTCGGGGCCGGCTGTCCATGTCTACGGACTCGGTGCCACGCGTCAGGCGGCTTTGGCTGCGCTCACGGCGCTGCTTGCTGGGAGGTCGTGTGCGTGGGACGAAGATGCCGGCCGCCTGCAGCTCCTCGCTCTCAATCTTCGCCAGCTTGTCGCGGTGGATCCATTTGGAGTCGTCGTTGTCGCGCACCTCGAGGCCGAGGGTCTGATGCAGCGGCCGTTTGCGATCGTCGCCGTTTGACGAGTGCCAGTCTGACGAGCCGCGACGCGGCTTGGGTTCAATGGCCAGAGGCGGCGACAGAACACGCTCATCGGTGGGCCTGTCCCAGCGAGCAGCGCTCAGGTTGTCTACCGAGTGCATCTTGCGGGCACCCATGTCGAGGGCGCTGGCCGAGGTTGACTGGTGGTGGGAGGGGGGAAAGGCGTTGCCATTCTGCGGGCCCAGGGGGTTTCGATGGGCTTGGTCGAAGCGTGCAGCGGCGCCAGTCTTGTCGTGGGCTGCATTCTGCATTGCGACAGACAATGCGGTCAGCGGCTGCCGTTCACGCAAGGGCCATCTGCGGGACGGGCGCCACGCGTTTGACAAACGGGCGGCAAAGAACTCACCTCGAACTGGCCTCCAGGATACTGCCACGCTGCCTCTTCCCCGTGGCTGCTACTCGGGGGGGTCAGGGCCGTGGTGCCCGTGGCAGATGAAACGGCAGCCATGGAGGCTCTGCGACGGGGCAGATGCCCCTTATTCGACGCGAAGTTCGCGGGCACGCAATTGTCAGAGTGACGGAGTCACGACGGAGCCGTGGGCGAGGTGGTGGAGGCTCAAAGGCGATTCATCAACGACGCGGGGGCCCAAAGACGTGTCGTTTGATCCTCGCAGACGCGGGTCGACGTTGGCATCGCCTGTCGCAGCGGCGCTGATCAAAGAGAAAAAGGTTCCGGTGAGGATCAATGGCGTATCGAGGTTGGTGGAGGAGGCCTTTCGGTGAGGCGCCGGTCGATCTGTCGAAGAGAGGCTACCAGCCACCAGGGGGCGTCTCGAAAAGGAAGCGCAATTTCGTGGATGGTCGGAGGCGCCAGTGTCAGCTTTGGCCGACCACCCGCGGTGGGAAACGAGCGAATTGGCGATGCCGCAGTTGAGGGCCGACCGGGTTATCGGGGACGCGGACGCGGACGCGGGCGCGGAGAGGAGAGGAGGAGGAGGAGGAGAGTTGGAGGTTGAGGGGAGACGGGAGACGGGAGACGGGAGAGGAGGAGACGGGGCGGAAGAGCTCAACGGGACAGGCACCGCGTCGCTGGAGCTGTTGAGCGGCCACGAGGGCGGGATTTTGAGGAGGCTGGACGGACTGGAGGGCTTCTGCACGCATCACCTCAGGTGGTGCGACCCCCCGGTCCAGCGCCGTGGTTGGTGCTGGAGGTGCCTGGGGCCCGGGCCGGAGCTCGACAGTGGGCCGAGCGCTAATGAGCGCGGTGGGCCTAGGAGCTGGACTGGAGACCGGGGGACAGGCCTTCAGGCTTGAGCCCTCCAGCTGGAGCCCTGGAGCCCTGGATGGAGCGCCTGGGGTGCTGGAAGTGCTGACGGGGCCCAGGCGCGCGGAGCTGCGTCTGCGTCTGCGTCTGTGTCCCGCATGCAGGCAGGGAGTGTTATGAGAGTCTCAATCGCGGTACTGGTCGTCGTCTGTATGCTTTCTTCTCCAGGCGAGGGGTGAATCATGCCTGCGATGCAGAGTGTGATAACAGCATTGGCAGAAGAAGGAATTGTCATCGGGGGGTGCGTCGTCGTCAATGTTCCATGCACCTGACCCAGCGTCTTTAGTGCTGCTCATAGCGGGCATGGCACTAATACAATCCCCCGCCGTCGACGGCCCTGGACCTCGGATCCTGCCTGGGCACCACCAACAACGGGCAGCTGCTCCTTTTTCCGCTTCCCTGCCGGGCCGGGCCTCAAAAACCACGATAGCAGAGACGAGGCGGCTGGCGTGGAAGCAAAGAAAAGCTTCCATTCGAGACCAACCGCCAGAGCACTACCGGTCTTGGCCATGATTGGCGATCAAGCCGAGCATTCACTCGTACGAGACAGCCGGGGGCGACCCAGGCCGCCGACATGGGACCCCCCCTTTCGAGGAAGTTTCTCCGTACCCTTCATCAAAGCGGCCATCTAATGAGGCCGGGCCACGATGTCACACTGTTGCTGCTCCATGAGGTACTCCGTACTCCGCGCCTACCTGCTGGAGCCGTCCGCGGGCCGGCCAGGGGTCTCAGCCTTCGCCGCCGACACCGAAACGCCTCGTCACGGGGTGCTTCGCCCAAAGCAAGTCGTTCATGCACCCAGCGTGCCTTTTGTCGTCGGAGATTCGTGAGAGGTTGATCATGGTCTGGCGGACAGGGGGGCGGCCAACACGAGCTGCCACCAATAGCGTCCCCGGCCGCGACCAAGGGGACGGGGGGGATGCGGTACCTGGCTTCAGCAGGGCCTCGTCTCATCTCGTCTGCAGCCCGGGCTCGGCACATGGGCCGGCGTTGCATCCTGACTGCCGTCCGAGCAGTCGAGTTCGTGCCAGCGCTGCGCCAGGCGGGTGCAGGGGAAAAGGATAACAGACACCGCCGCGGCTGTCGCTGGGATCGGATGGCTTTTAGCACCCCAAGGTACCTACCTGGGATGACGGCGCTGCGGGCGCCTTACGTGCGACCTGCAGCGGCGGCACGGCAGGCAGGACCCTGCATCCGCAACGCGGGGCACCACTGGCCGGGTCCGCAAATCGCCACGGGCGGGAGAAAAAAAAAAGGTCGCCGGTATCCATTTCGCCGGTCCTCATCCACGCCTCGTCACCCCATTCAGTATTGATAAGCCTCACCTAGCACTTGCACAACTCATTGCAAGGGACAAAGCGCTGCACAAAGCCTTTGTTCTCGGAGCCCAGTCGACCCCGGTTGCTTCGCGCCCTCGTACCGTCCATATATTGTGACCCCAGACGTGACGCTTGACACCCCGCCCGGCTGAGCTTCCGCAAAACACCTCCATACAGTCCTGACCGGCGAGTCGTGAACGGATCCCGCCGATGGCGCGGCTTCTCGAGCTGCCGCGAGAGATCCGCGAGCAGATCCTCCGCGAGGTCATCGTCTCCGAGCGCCGTGCGCCCGCATCCATCGCCGAGTGCGGCAACAGAGTCCCTCTCCCCAACCACATCGACGAGACCCTGCCAGACATCACGAGCATCTACATCGAAGATGGGCCGCTGCGGTTCCCCAAAGACGCCCTCCTCGCCACCTGCCGCCAGCTGCGCTCCGAGACGGAGGAGCTGCTCAAGCTGATAGGGCCTGACAAGCTGCCCTACACGCTCGACGTCATGCTCGTCGACCAGGTCGGCATCTTCCCCACGTGGCTTTCCTTTCCCGCCATGCCCACGCGCATCGAGCTCCTCCGCATCCGGGTGCGCCTCTTTGACAAGCCCGAGAACTTTTCCCGCGAGTGGGAGGAGTGCATCGATGAGGACGACGAGTTGACCTGGTGGAACCTCATCGTTCTCTTCACCGTGTACATCCTCGGCATGTGGAAACGAAATGACTTGGAGCCCGTCGACGAGACCACCATGGAAGCCGCTGGCGGCGACGACTGGTCAGACGTGTCGAGCGAGGGCGTCGACGACGGCTTCTCGGACATTGCGCCCTACGTCATCAACAAGATCGAGCTCGAGTTCCCCCGGGCTGCGACGCTCCTGGGCTTCTCGGTGCACCCGCTCACCCTGCAGCAGCGCCGGCGCTTCATGACGGACGAGTACTTCCAGGAGGAGCACCAGCCCGCCATGAGGTTCAACGACGCGTTCGTCATCCTAAGCGACCCGGCAGAGGACGACTACACCCCCTACCGCCAGGCCCTCTTCGCCAACATAGGGTCCGTCACGGTAGTGGGCGGCAACACGTTCAGCATCACCAGAATGTTCCTCGAGTACTACGCGGAAACCCACCTCCACGGCGCGACCACGGATCCCAGTAGCGGCTTCGAGATGATTCAGGTAATCAACCGGGCGAGGAGGAGGAGGCAGCAGTTGGGTTTGTGGGATGAGACCGAGTGCAAGGAGTATTCGCAGTTCATCAAGGAGCTGGCAATGTGGGAAGCGATGTTCTTAGCGGACGACATATCATGAGGCCGAGGAGCCATCAAAATGTAGTTAGAAAAAAAAAAAGCGGTTCCCCCAGGCCACCTTCTCATGCCCCGCATCGTCAAGACTCATGAAAGTAAAGCCATTCGGCAACCTCACCCAGCCATCCCAGCCCACCCAAGCACAGTCCAGCAGCGGAGCGGTCTGAGCAGAAAATCGCATCGACCCCGCTCCGCTGTCTAAGACACGCATCTTCTTTGGAACAGCCGCGGGAAACGAAGACGCTCGGACGGGGATGGCGTCGACGACGAGAAGGACGAGGTTCGTCTGCATATCCGACACGCACAATTGCACGGTGAGCCTACCGAAAGGCGACGTGCTCATCCACGCGGGGGACATTACCAACCAGGGCAGCTACTCAGAGGTGAGGCAGGCCGCCCGCGCTGCAAAGCACCAAACTGATAGATCAGCTCTCCAAAGCAGTCCGATGGCTCGAGGCCGCCGATTTTGAGGCCAAGATAGTCATTGCCGGTATGTCTTGCACCGCTCAACCGAAGCCCTTTGCTTCAGGTTCGAGTCACGGCTGACATCTGGGTCTGCAGGCAACCACGACATCACGCTCGACCAGGAGTTTTACTCCCAGCACGGCCACTCCTTCCACAACCAAGATCCGCAGTCCCCAGAATCCTGCCTCTCCCTCCTGACGTCCTCCCCCTCCATCACGTACCTCACCCACAGCGCCACGACCGTTCGACTCACATCGCCGCGCGGCCCACGCACCACGTTTAAAGTCTTCGGCTCGCCGCACGCGCCTCGCCACGGCCGCTGGGCCTTCTACTACGACGCGGAGGACACGCCCGCCGCGACGGCGCTGTGGGACGCAGTCCCGCCGGACGCGGACGTGGTGGTGACGCACACGCCGCCCCGGGGGCACCGCGACGAGACGCCGGAGCGGCGGATGGGCGGGTGCGAGGCCTTAAGGAGGGCGCTTTGGCGCGTGCGGCCGCGCCTCGCCGTGTGTGGACACATTCACGACGGTAGGGGCGCGGAGAGGGTGACGTGGGATCTGGGGAGTGAGTTCGCGGAGAGGCAGACGGTGCCGTGGAGGGACCCTGCCGAGGGGAACAAGAAGGTGAGCTTGGTGGACCTCACGGGGAAGCACGCGCCGGCCCTCGACAACGACGGGTCGCGGGCGTCAAGTGGCGAGTCACGAGATGAGGAGGACTCGGGCGAGAGTGTGAGTGTCGAGGCGTTGGGGAGATGGGGTCGGCGGGAGACGTGCATCGTCAACGCGGCCATCATGAAGAGCAGGTACCCGCACGTCGGGGGCAAGGAGTTCTACAAGCCCATCGTCGTGGACGTGGACTTGCCCGTGTGGGAAGAGCGGATCAGTAGCGGATGATGCCTGTCGTCGTCTGCTCTAGCTTCGCTGCCCAACATATGTGATCATCTGGTGATAAAGGCCGCCGCCTGGTCATCTGGAGACTGCCACCACGACAACCCCCCAACCAAACAGCTCAGCTTCGTCGATTCCCGATCCCACGGCCCGTAAATGCATTGCCCAGGTCATCCGATCGGGCATTGCATCTACACGAAGCATCACCGCGTCGCGCGCATCGTCGCCCAAGCTCTCTCTCCAATTGGTGCAATTACCTACCCTGTACCAGCACTGAATGAACGAAAGATATGCGCATGCCCAGCGAGCACGACAATGAATGCGCCTGCGTGTCTTTGCGTGTTTGGGCAGCTCGCTGATCGGGAAAAAAAAGACGCCAGATCCCGACCCAACCCATCTCGAGCCATCCGGAGAGCCCGAGCGTGACCATCGGCCTCCAGAGACCGCATTCATCCCCCCATCTTGATTCAAGCTGTGACGCGGGCGAGCGCCCGAACCACGTGCCGAATGTGACGAGGGCGGCCACACGGCGCTTACTTTAGAGCGGCGACCTCATGGGGAGCAGCAGACGTCCGGCACGCCCGCACGAGACGGGAGACAAGCTGGACAGACTTGCGCATACATCCACACAGATCTCTACAGAGCCGTGGAATCGGCGCTGGGCACCACCCAAGCCTCCATATGCAATGATGCCGGGCCTCCGCGACAGGTACTTCTCCCGCCAGGTCCGGGCGCTAGCGATTGGATCGGTGCCCAGTTCGGTACTGCGAAGCTCGTCTAATCATGGGAGCGAGCACCGCAAGGCCCTCTCAACGTCGCTGCGTCGCCCTCCCTCCCGGCCGACTCTTGAGAGCGACCGTCGGCTGGCGAGCTTCGTCCATTGAGTCGCGCAGGCGTGGCACCTGTTGAGCGGCCTTCCCACTGCTGTCGTCGGGCTTGGTCTCGCGTTAGCCAGCGATGATCCTCCGCCGGGGAGGCGCTCGCCCAGGCCGCTGAGGACCAAGAAAGCTGCAGTCGGGGAGCGAGCCGTTGGCGGCAGCCAGCTGATCACCCGCTCCACCGCGGGGGCGGACGATGAGTGAGAGGCTCGAGAAGGCTTGGCTCGACCATTGGACCCTGTGCTGGTCAATCAGGCACGCATGTGTCGTATGCATCCAGGCGCAGCTCACCAGACTAGCAGGCGAGGTATTTGGGTATCTGTCACCCAATGTGCAGTCCTGGACATGCGTGTGGTGCTGCCGCGTGTAAAGCGCTCCGGGATCCTGACCGCTGGTGCCGTGCGTTTGCCTCTTTGCCTCTCTGGGCCCTGTCGCCACTCCCCCTTCGCCGACAAGATGTCTGACGGTGCAGGCCCCGACGGGCCTCGAACTCGCAAGCCAATGGAATACAACCAGACAGACCTGGCTGCATTCGGCGCCGTGCAGCTCGGGACCTGGAGAAGTGATGAATGGCTAAGCTGCACGGCAGGGGCCCTCCTTGCCCTCTCCACGCGGGCTGACTTGCTCCCGTCTAATCGAGCGGAAGCCGATGGAATACGGCGACACCTGGCCAACTGGTGCCGTCTCATCTGACGGGCCCGACATCCAATCATGCGGTTCGGAGCCCTGCCCAAGCTGGCATCCCGTCCCTCAGCCGGGCCCTTAGATGCCGCTGCTCAGTAGCCTGTCGGGGAGCGGTGGATGCGTCTGGTTGACGGCATAACAAGCAGCTCAATGCGAGAGGGCCCTGAGAGCTTCCCCTCGCGACCCTCGCAGAGGCCATCATGACCCCACGTCCCTCATGCGGCCCGTGGGACCCCCCTGCTTGATCGTGTCACTGCTACCACTGCCAACCTACCCCTCATCCACGGCCCTCCAGGAGAGCTGGCGCTGGGTGGGCATTGCCGAGCTCGAGGGGACGCCGACTTCGCGGGAGAGCAGAGTCTTGTGTGTACTCTGCAGTGGCGGAGACAAGACTGCCAGCATTGGGCCTCTTGGAGCGCCGTGATAGATTCGGCACCTCTGCAGCATTAGCCGGCTCCCTCTTGCGCATGGCGTCGAGCTGCAGTCGTCGTCCGCCTTTGGAAATGCAGGTCCCTCACCCACTGGCGGCCCACAGAGACGCGGCCATCTCGCCCCATCATGCCCCATTCGCCGCCGACGTGCGAGGCATCGTGGATGGAGGGGAGCTGTGGAGTGGAGAAGAGCGTCCAAGGAGGGGAAAAGCTATCTGGTCGGTATGCGCAGAGTATGGCACGTATGCTTGCTATGGTCCCTCGGGTCTCCTGCTACGGTCTGGTGGCCTCCTGCGGCCACGTCCCGCCTCGTGGAGCTCGCCTCCTCAACGCCTCCTCGACAGCATTGCCGGAGCTGGTTGGCCGGAGCTCGAGCATGAATCGGGGCTCGCATGGCCTCCTTGCGCCATGGCCAGGCCCCACGCACGACGCAGCGGGGGGGATGTGCGTGAGGCTTCTGGGGACGAGGCGCAGTTGGCGGTCTCTCCCCACCACCACCACGGCCGGGTGACGAGGCAGCAGGATAGCTGGCAGAAGGGAGGGCACGAGAGGGCCGTGGACGAATGAGGGCGGACGGTACGGCGGATCAGGAGCACGCATGCAGCGTGGAGGACATGGATCGTCTTCGCGTGCAGGCTGGCAGGTAATGTGACGGCCGGATGGCGCCAACGGCGTTCCTGCCTCAGGCGAGGCAGAGCGTGAATGAGTACCTCAGGCACCGCACAGAAGCGTGGCGGCAGAGTGGGAAGGTGCGGTGCCATGCATGCTTGCCCAGAGCATGCCGTTCTCGAGGGCCGGATCAGGCGCCCGCCGACAACGAAGGAAGGAAGGATGGATGGATTGAGTTTGGCGATGGCGGTTGGGCGTCGCGTCACCTCGACTCGCCCGCCGTCGTGCCCATCGCCGGCATCAGATCAGGAACGAGCACCGCGCCCCGAGAGCGTCCGTGTATCTTCCACGCTCGGCCGGCTCATCGTCCCGTCGAGCACAGACGGCCGTGTTTTGAATCGACGCCCGCTTGGCCTGTCGATTACCTGCATCCCGTGGGACGCTCTGGGGACACTGTGGAGCTGCCTCGTCGTCGGCGCCGTGCCCTTGTATCATCTCACCTCACCGCCTCTGTCTCTGCGACGACGACGACAAGGACGCCAGACAAGGGCCGTCGCCGGGTCAATCGCGCCAGCCGTCACGATCCAATAATACCAAGAACGCGTGCAGCTTCGTGGGCGCTTCTTTTTGCATTTCTGCTGCGCCATCGCCGCCCTGCGACATCATCACGTTCTCGGTGCAAACCGTTCACATTCGAGGCTTACACGCTGCTCGGGCCTTGCCACCTCCAGCCTTCCCCAGCTGCCGCCACCACCAGCACCACCAGCGCCATCACACCCGAAAAGGTTGACTGACAAGCTCGAGCGCTAAGCCCGCTCACTGAGACTGGACGACTCGGGGCGCCAGGCAAGCCACACGCCACTACGCCTCGACGCTGCGCTGTCGCCAGCATCATCACCGAACCGGCAATTGTCGCAACCGCCTCGTCTGGGCTCGCCCTGCCCCGACTGCAACCTCTGTTGATAATCAACCGCTACGATAATCCGACCAAGGCTCGGCCGCCTTGGGGAGAGCAGCGTCCGCTGACTCACTGGCTGCCTCGCTGACAACGTCGGGTGCGTCGCCGCGTCTAGAATCGCCCGAGAGCCTTCAGCCACGAAAGACGGAAGCCCTGAGAAGGAGGGTCGCAAGCTCCGGCCTTTTCTTAGGAACCCGCGCGCGAGCCGTCCCATCTACCCACCGCTGCTAGCACAAGCGCCCCGCCATCACATCGTTCGTTCCCGCGCCAGGCGGAGCCCCCGACCCGCCGGCCAATTCAGGTTCGATAGCCAACTCGACGGAACCGCGCCGTCCAGCCAGGGCAAGCCAGGGGTACCCGTGCCGGTACTTGGTGCCTCTGCTGTTCGCCGCCGTTTACGGGGTGGTACTTCGTACTTGGCTCTGTGGCACGGCCAGTGATACTGGTGCTGCTGGCTTCGCACGCCGCTTTGGCCTCGTCCCTCTCGGCCCTCTCGACCCTCTCGTGCCTTTCGTCTCCGCCTCGGACCGCTCGCGCCACGTCCGGCACCCACGTTCCAGTGCAACGCAGCATCAACAAGGTGGTCATCGACATCGTTCGCCGACCCGTGGTGTGGTGTGCTTTTTCTCTCGCCGTCTCTGCTGGCGCCAGTGCGTGCATTTGGCATTTGGCATTTGGCAGACGGGAAACCACGGAAGCGTCGTCATTCGACTCGAGCGATCCCTCCTCCAGCCATCACTGCCCCCGGACCAATCAGCCCCCCCGTCACTGCGTGGGTGAGCATCTTGGTCATCATTCCTTTGGTTCCTGACGTCCTTCCAGTGCACTTCTTTCGCCTTCTCCGAGGCCCGACGCCGCCACCGTCGTCGACGCCGGCGGGTGAAGAGACTTGCGGACGCCAGATTCACGGGTACAAGGGGCGAGTCATCGCCCGTCACCGTCCGTCACAGCCCGTCACGGCACGTCGGTCTTGCAGTCGCTCCGTCACGGACGCCGCAGCCCGAGGCATCAGGCGTTTCGTTTTGCAGCAAGGCAGCGTCTTTTTATTTGGCGTCGCTCGCCCTCGTCGCCGCCTCACTGCGGGCAGCAAAGAACGCCATAACACCACCACAGATCTCACCACCTCGCCCATCAGCTGAGCGCTGCACGACACAGCACACCTCACCAGCGCGCGGCCGACCGTCGCCGTCGACGTATACAATCACACCCTCGGCCGCACCGGCCACTCAGCGCGCCCGCTCGTCTGGCCCGCCTGCGCTGGCTCGCGCTGCTTGACACAGAACAACCGCCCCCTCCACCCTCACGCTCCTCGCCAGTCACCCCGTCCGGCCGTCACACACCGCGTCCCCAGCGCCTCGCGGCCACTCGCTCAACACCGACACACCCGCCCCGCCCGTCGGTTTGGCCTCGTTTGGCGGCGTGTGTCTGATCCGCCCCCCACCATCGAGGGCGCCCCAGCCATCCAGCCTCCCCCCCTGGCGAATCAGCGGGGCCCTGCGACCCCTGGACGCCCGTGACCTCATCACTCAGGTCACTCACTCTTCAGCAGCCACCCCAGGCCCAAGGGGGCCGCCCATCCATCCCAGCGCCCTCCTCCACCCGCCGCCAGTGCAGTACCTTCGGTACCGCCTCTCCTGTACGGTCGTGGTGGCCTCCCCCAAAAGAGGGACGCTCGCCCACCACCAACCACCGACTCCGCCGGCCTTGGTTGTGCGACCTGCAACAACGGACGAACGGCCATAAATCACGCTCCCGGGTCGCCGTCCAGGAACCACTCGCCCGTCCCTCGCCTCGCCTGCCTTGCGGACGGTCCCGCGGTCTCTCATTATTCAGCGTTCTTCAGTCCAACTGTCTCTCGGCCACCTTTGCCACGCCCGCTGCGGTAGAGATTTCGTACGACGCCACCCATCGTCGTCGATGACAACGGCCCGCCAGCGTCCCTCGCTCTCAGTTTCGCAACCAACGTACCAGTCGTCTTTCCCCTCTTACTCATTTTGAACGCGCCGGTCGCCCTCGAGGGCTTTGCATCCTCGACACTTCATCATGAGTCCCCTGCCAGCCGACCCCTACAAGATCCTCGGCGTCTCCAAGGACGCTCAGATCCCCGAGATCCGGTCCGCCCACCGCAAGCTGGTCCTCAAGTGCCACCCGGACAAGGTCCAGGACCCCAAGCTCAAGGCCGAGAAGCAAGACGAGTTCCAAAAGGTCCAGGAGGCCTACGAGCTACTCTCTGACGACCGCCAGCGGCAAAAGTACGACGACCAAATCAAGCTCGCCGAGCTCCGCGAGCAGTTCCGCAGCAAGGCCAACATCTCCACGCCCCGCTCGTCGCCCAAGGAGTACAACGTCTACACGGCCGAGCCGCGGACGACAACCCGACCTCGGTCACCTGCCTCGGCCCCCAAGCCGTATGCCACCTACTCTCGTTCGTGGGAGGATGAGATCTCTCGCGGCCCTCGCATCTTCGATGCCGGCACGCCCCGGTCATCGAGACGGGAGGCCAGCTTCGCGGAGCGCCCGTCGAAGCGGGAAGTGGAGAGGGAACGAGAGAAGGACCGCGAGATCAGGGAACGGGAAAAGGAGAGGGATCGCGAGCGACGAAAGCGGGAAGACGCCATGAGGCGTGCCGAGAAGGAGGCCAAGGAACAGCGCCGCGCCGAGAAAAGGCTGCGGGAGAAGCAGCGCGACAAGGAGATCCGCCGGGAGACGGACGAGAAGAAGCGCCATGCCCGGCCCTACATTGAGTCGTACGACGAGGACTCACCGTCCAAGTCGGACAAGAAGAAGTCGAGCAGCAAGCGGTACGAGGAAAAGCGGGACAGGTCCTCGGGCCGTGAGGACGCACCCATGCCCCCGCTACAGCAGCGGTCGTCCTCCGAGGCCTACTTCTATGCCCAGTCGTACATCCAGGCCTCCAAGGCCAAGGGCGCGCCGGGCATCCAGCGGTCGGCAACCTACCACCCCCGCGTGCCGCAGCCCCCTGCGGCGCCTACACCGCCTCCGGTCGCGGCCCAGTCGCCGTTCGCCGCACCCCCCGAGGAGGAGATCCGGCGATCGTCAGCCCGCCCGCGCCGCGGCTCCGCTGACGAGCAACGACGGCTCTCCAGGGAACGCTCGTACCGCGCGTCGTCGCGCGAGGCGCTGGACGACCCCATTGTCGTGAGCGCCTCGCCGGCGGCCAGGCACACGGCGCAGTTCCAAAAGTCGGCCTCGACGACGCCCGTCATGTCGAGCTCGCCGCCCCGCGTCACGCGCACGACCACGATGCCCGTTGACGCGGGATTCTCACGTCCTGTGCCGGGTATCGCCCGCGCTCAGACCTTTAATTCTTTTGGCGAGAGCGCCCCCCGGGGTCGCGACCGCTCGCGCATGCACTCGCAGATCGAGGAGGAGTCGGATTCGGACGACGTGTACGAGCGACGGGCTCGGGAACGCGACCACAAGCACCGGAGCCGGAGGCACCGGTCGCCCGAGGCGCGGCCGGAGAACGTCTCCCGCTATCAGGTCGAAGGCGGGCGCACCAAGCCCCAGTCTTACTCGCGCCGCCTGGACGCCGAAGCGGACCCCTACCGCTACTACTCGACGGCCGGGGGCATCCCCGTCGTGGAAACGCGACCGCCGATGCCCCCTCGCGAGGGCAGCTATTCCGCCCCGGGGATGAAGTTCCCCAAGGTGAGGACGTCCAAGACCTACGGGTACGACGACGTGCAGTACAGCAACTACTACGACAAGCCGCATCGCGAAGAGTACTCGGCATATGCATGAATGGCGTTGGGTTTGCTTCACCTCGTTTGGAGGGTCTGTCTTATTTGACACTTGTCACGGCTTTGTTCACGGATGATTCGGTGTGTTTCTCTTTATTTCCTGACGGGTCGGCATGGTTCTACTACGTCTTGACGACCGAAATGTGTTGATAACGAATCTCACGGCGGCGGTGCGATGCGTGCCCGGGCGCCGAATGATGCTACGTATGGGAAGGGTTGGAGGCGGCCATTGGGATGCCAGCTTGCTCTGCTGGTCTGGCGCTGTATGCATAACACGGAGCAGAGAGCCTCGGCTTGGGACTGGGGCTGGGGCGTTTGGGATGAGGCGAGGATACCACGCTCGTTTCTAGAGGAATAGATGACCTTTTGAAGCATATGTTTGCTACGTGAGCACGTGGGCCCGATGCGGCGCCCTTTGTGGTCTTGGAACCCGACTTGCGACCGACTCTTGGTTTTCGGTGATGTGTGACTATTCAACAGGCCTTGGCCCTCGGCAGGTGACTGTTTTATTCTGGATACTGTAGATTGTGTCTACTTTTGGCGATTCATCTGACTGCCTCTGATGCTCTCCTCGGTGGCCATTGAGCGCCTGCCTGTGCCAGCGATGGACGGCACAAGGGACACGGCGTGTACAATTCCCCGCGTGGACCTGCATGTGTTGGTGCTGGCAAGACAAAGAGGCTGGGGATTGAGGCTCGGCCGGCTCTGTGGCACGGCCATTGTGCCCTGTCCCACCTGTCACTGCGGCTCGACCAGGCCCCCTCGACTCCCTTTCGAGTCGTCGACGCGAACAAGGCACAAACAAAGGGGACGTGCAGCGGACAAAGACGACCACGCGGCCGCCATGCGCAGCCGGGCCCGCGGCCAAGGCAGCAGCTTCGCGTCGCAGCGAGCAGTCACGGGACGACCAGGCTGCGATCACAGGGCCGGTGACGGCGGCGGCGACAGCCTCGAGATGGCGGCGGGTCGGTGAAGAATGCCAATGTCCTCGCACGACGCCGCACTTCGAGACGCCGCAGGACGGCAGGACGGGTGAGGCTTGTGGCCCCCAACTTTCCCCCATATTTAGCGGCCGGGCCCCCTTTCAGCGTGTCTCTGCCGTTGGTCCTTGCCGTTATTGTCTCTAGCGTGTAGCGTTGCCCGCGATCCCCTGACGCCCACACCCCAGCTCCAACTCCCGTCCTGAGACCGCAAGCTCCCCTCCTCCAAGCTGCTGCTGCACTTTGACTTTGAACGTGGCTTCTTCCAACTTTTCTTTCTCCATTGCATTGCACCGCACGGCGTACGCTCCATTGACTCGCGTTGTTGTCGTCGGGCGGTCAATGGGAAAGACGGCTTTGAATGCGAGACCCTTGCAGAGAGCAGTTCGCTGAGGCCTGGAGGCACTGTGACTAAACACACAAAGCACGGGTACGTTCGTTCGTTGTTGCGTTGTCAAGGACAACCCCCCCTTCTACCCTGTGCGAGCCCTTGTTCCGGCCGAGCAGCCTGAGCAAACGGAAATTAGCTATGTCCCCCTCCTCTCTGTTCCCGCGATGCCAAAGCTGAACCGTGCCTCGTTCATAACAGAACGGCTGCTGCTGCTCGCGCATTGACCTCTGAGCGCGACATGCACCACCCCCTGCGCCGCGATCCCATCCCGCCTTGGCACACACACGGGACCAAGCGATGGAGATGGACGTAGTCTACATACGCTCCTACCCGGGGCGGCCGAACGCCGACGACGACGACTCGCCGGCAGCGACGGCGACGGCATCAGACCCCGCCAACCTCCGCCGCAGGTGGAGAGTTTCGATCCGCGTCAACGACCACGACCCCGTCGAGGCGGTCATCACCGACCCGTTCCAGGAGGTACAGTACCGGACCGTCCTAGAGACGTATCTTAAGAGCTCGGACCGCGCCGTCCCGTGGAACAGCAATGACCTGACCGAAGGGAACACCAGCAGCGACGCCAGCAGAGGTGTCGGCAACAGAAACGGCAACGACAACCTTGGCAGAGTCAGCGGCAACAGAAATGACAACGACAACGACAGCGGCAGACACAAGGCCCTGGACGAAGAGGCGTCGCGCGCGGAGCAGCTGATCCGCGAGTATAGCGAGAACCTCCTCGCCCAAATCGAGCTCGGAGCGGGCATCTTTGGCTTCGGCGCCACCGAGGCCCAAATCTTCATCGTCGAACACCACGACGTCGACCCCACCAGCAAGACGCTCGGCGGCATCCACTGCCTCGCCTGGGAGCTGCTCGAGGCCGTGCAGGCCGCTCACCTGCCCAAGCTGCGTCTGCGCGTCTCCCGCATCATCGACTTCCCCGCGAGACGCGGCCTGCGAGCCCCGCCGCCGCTTATGGCTCCTCTCGCCGCTGTTCAAGCGGATCAGAGCGCCCAGTTCAAGGTACTGCTCGTGGTGGCACGCGACTTCGCCCGTACCGACGCCGGCCGCGACCCGGAGCCTGACCTAGCGCAGTGGCCGCTGATGCGCTTTCAGAAGAAGCTGCGCAGCCGTATGCTGCTCGAGGTAGTGCGGCCGGGTAGCCGCGAGGAGCTGGAGCGCCACCTGCAGCTCCGGGCCTCGCAGCGAGTCGAGTTTAATCTGGTGCATTTTGACCTGCACGGACGCATTATGCGCGACGAGTAAGTGTCTCCCCTCAGCCTGGAGCTCACAACAGAGTCACCATTGCTGACAAGCTGACCGGTCGGACAGGAACGGCACGCTGGTGCCCTGGCTGCTCTTCGCCCAGCAGCACGACGGCGGCATATACACCATGCCTGAGACGAACCTCGCCAAAGCGGAGGAGGTGGCCGAGCTGCTGTCGCGGTATCGCATCGAAAACGTGGTGCTTAATGCGTGCCTCTCGGCGTACAACCGGACGGGCCCGGCGACGAACCTGGCGCACATCTTCTTGAAGCACGGCATCCAAAACGTCTCGGCCATGTGGTACTACGTGCACTGGCAGACCGTGGCGACATACCTCGAGACCTTTTACGAGCAACTGCTTGTCAAGTGCATCGACTTTCATGTCGCGGCACAGCGAGGACGCGAGGCGATCCGTCAGAAGCCCACGCCGCGCGCCGAGAGAGAGTATCACGACTTCTTCCTGTGCGTCAACTACGCGCGCAACGTGCACCGAACGGAGAGCATGATGCGCGAGCTCAGCCCTTCGCCTTCGACGCGGTCGCACGAGTCGGGCGTGTCCAACGCCTCGGGCCGCAGCCCCCGTATCGGCAGCGGATGGACGCCACGGCTGGGTGACAGCCTCTACCTCGGTGACGAGCCTGTGATGCGACTGCAGCTGCACCTTCTGGAGCTCGAGTTTAAGCTGACGACGTTTCGGGTGGTGTATGCCACAGACCTTCGACAGGGCGGGTCGGACCTGGATGCGACCATGGAGCGCATGATCAACATGTGGCTTCTGACCAACTTTATCGACGAGGTGCACTACTACAAGGCCAAGGACTTTGCTAAGCGCAAGCCGGCGAAGGGAGTCATCTCGCCCCGGGACCGGCGGACGCGCGCGACGAGCGGCGGGTACCTGCAGCTGCTGTTCCCGCGGCCGGTGCGAGCGCTGCGGCAGACGCTCCACGTTGTGCGTGAGGTGGACCCGGTGATGGACCCGGGCTGGCAGGCCGATCACAGCGAGAACTTGCGGCGTGAAGAGCGGCGATATCTCGCTGGGAAAGGCCTGGGCCGGCTCGCGCAGCGGGTGCGCGATGAGGGCGACAGCTTCTTGCTGCTCCTGGGCAACGGCAACATGCAGTGGTGGAAAGTGCATCTGGACCATCTCCAAGGCGAGTGGTGGGCTCATACGCCCTGGGGGTTCACGCCGCACTCCCGGTATGACGGGCGCCATCACCTCGGGACCAAAGGCGAGCCGTGCCAGGAGACGGCAGAGGCGGCCCGAGAGACATGAGCTGGCGGTCGGACTTCGGGGGCATGAGATCGAAACGCGCGAGAAACATGAAGCGGGTAAAGCCTGCTGTGTATACTACTAGACGATGGGTGCATGGGCGGCGACTGAGGGGCGTTTTCTCTCGCATATGGGGTTTTCGCATTTGGCATGGCGGAGTCTTTGCTTTACATCTACAACGGTCAGGCTGGGAGGCTTGACGGACACGGCATTCGGGGGCCTGGTGTGTTGCTTTGAAGTTGAACCGAGGTGCCGCTTCGGTGGCATGTAGAGTAGCATTCGTAGCAATGCATGACATGGAATCAAGTATTGTCGGCTCGTTCACAGCTATCCGCCGGGCGTGACGCTCCGAACCAGGGCAGTGACCTCACAGTTGGGCGCGTGAACAGCTGGCCGCCGGACGCTACCGAGAAAGCAGGCTGGCAGTTGTCGGGAGCTGCTGCAGATCTCGATCCGCGCTGATGTGTCGTTGGGGTTGCACGTGGGCTCCGAATGTGTTGGATCATGGACCTCGTTTCCGTCTTCGTGTTCGCTCCGGGACGGTGTCCGTTGTGTTGCGCGCGCGCGCGCCAAGGCGGACAGGGCGGAGTGAGACGCTGAGCCGGCGCCCGTCGGGCGGACCTCGATTTGTCGTGTCTCACTCCTCACTCCAGTACTCCAGTGTGGATGGTGGAGGGCGGCGTGGGCGGCTGTTGGACAATGGCAAATGGATGGCTGATGATGGAGGCCGGCAGGGAACGAACGTCGGGTCAGGCGCCTGCCATTTCCCCGTCGGGGATTGCCTCTCAGGGCATTTCCGGGCGGGATCCTCGCTGAAAACCTCCGTGCCCCGGCCTTCAGGGCGCATCGGGAGCGTTTTGGGGGATCGGCCACCTGCAGTGCCATCACGGGGGGGGGCTGTAGGGACCTACGTTGGGACGTTTGGCGGCGGCCGGCAGGCTGACGGGAGCGCTTGGCGTGACGTAGTGGACGGGCAGGCTGTAGCGGAAGTGGGTTCTGTCTGACAGCTACCCGTGGACCTTTGCTTCGCCTGGGTGCCGTTGCAAGTGGCGTCCGCTCACGGAAGCTTCCTCCCATCATTCCGTTTACTCCTTGAACCCACCTCAGCCCACCGCGAGTCGGACGATCATCGTGACGAGCCCGCCGGCAATTAAAGACTGGCACGGGGCACCCGCGGTTCCTTCTCTCGCGCAGCTGGGACTCTGCCCTCCTCCTCAATCCGCCAGAATCGCTCAGGGCGACTCAATCTACTCCCTACCTCCCCCTCCTGCAGCAGCAGCTCCTCTCACCTCGACGCGAACGAACGAGCTCCGCCGACCCCCGTGTCCGGGTTTCCCGATAGAATACTCGCCCGACAGACCCGGTGATGGGCTTTGCGGACGTCTTGGCCAATGGCCGGGACAACGACCATGTGCTGCGGCCGCGGGCCCGCAAGCCGGTGCACTCGCAGCTGTCCAACTTGTCGCGAAGCTCGGTGGACGAGAGCCACCTGACGGTCACGGAGCCGGACAGTGGCATGACGAGGCGAGTGACGATCCCCTGGCTCCGTTGCTGCGAACACGCAGCAGCGGAAGACGATACATGTCAAACGTGCTTGGTATACTAACGGCGAGCAGCGGCCGCTCGACTCCGGTCCCCGAAAACGCGCCGCCCTCGACCAAGTCGCTGTCGTCGGCGCGCAAGCAAGTCCGCGCCGAGCAGCGGCGGCGCATCTTCCCGACCATAGAGTTCGCCTCGCGCGTCTCCCACTTCGACCCCGAGAGCGACTACCGCGACTTCCACGGCTTCTTCAACCTGTTCTGGATCGGGCTCGCCATCATGGGCATCACGACGATGCTGCGCAACTTCAAGGACACGGGGTACCCGCTGCGGATCCAGATATGGAGCCTCTTCACCGTCAAGCTGTGGCACCTGGCCATTGCTGACTTCCTCATGGTGGCTGGCACCGCCGTCAGTCTGCCGCTGCACCGGTGGACGCGCGCGAGGGCCCCCGATAGCGCGTGGACGTGGAAGAACGGCGGCATGGCCGTCCAGAGCGTGTACCAGGTGGCCTGGCTCGCCCTGTGGATCGTCATTCCCTTTTGGCTCGAGTGGACGTGGACAGCCCAGGTCTTCCTGCTGCTGCACACCATGGTGCTTCTCATGAAGATGCACTCGTATGCCTTCTACAACGGCCACCTGTCGGAGACGGAGAAGCGCCTGCGCGCCCTCGACAACCCGTCTTCGGAGGCGGACCGCGGGCCTGCCTACCAATACCCGGCTGCGGTGCTGCGTAAGGGCAGCATCTCCGGCATCCCTACATCCATGAATCCGACGGCCGCCGGAAAACCGACGCTCGGCGAGCAGACTCCGCCAGAGGAAGACGACACACAGAGCGCCGACGAGCTCGAGACGTTGCGCGAGGACCTGGCGCGGGAGCTCACCAGCCCCATGGGCAACGTCACGTACCCGCGCAACCTGACCTGGTCCAACTACTTCGACTACCTCCTCTGCCCAACCCTCTGCTACGAGCTCGAATACCCACGCACAAAGTCCATCAATTGGACCTCGCTCAACGCCAAGATTGTCGCCACGTTCGGCTGCATCTTCCTGCTCACCATCACATCTGAGGAGTTCATCGTTCCCGTCCTGGCCGACGCCTCACGCCGCCTCGAGGAGGTGGCGGTGACCTCGGGCTCAGTGTCCGAGTCAATGCTCATCCTCGCCGAAAGCATATCGTGGCTTCTCTTCCCCTTCATGCTGACCTTTCTGCTCGTCTTCCTCGTCATCTTCGAGTACGTGCTGGGCGCCTTTGCTGAGATCACGCACTTTGCGGACCGCCACTTTTACGCCGACTGGTGGAACTCGACCGACTGGATGGAGTTCTCGCGCGAGTGGAACGTGCCCGTCTACTCGTTCCTGCGGCGGCACGTGTACAGCGCGAGCCGGCCGCACACGGGCAAGGCGGGCGCCATGGTCATCACGTTTCTCATCTCGGCCGTGGGCCACGAGATCGTCATGGCGTGCATCACCAAGAAGATCCGCGGCTACGGATTCGTCTGCCAGATGCTGCAGCTGCCCATTGTCATGCTGCAGCGGACCAAGTGGGTGCGGGGGAGGGAGACGCTCAACAATGTGTGCTTTTGGTGCAGCATGATCATGGGGCTGAGCCTGGTGAGATACCCTTCTGCCCTGTCCTTGCCTTAAGAACTCTTGCTAACGCACTTGCAGATATGTGCGCTGTATGTCTTGGTTTAAGCGTCGTGGTAAATAGAAGCAGGGACGGAGAGGCAGCTTTGAGATACCCATAGGAGCTATGCACGGTCACCATCACCAACAGCGACTCTCCCCGCGTGAGCTAATTTGTTTCGAAGCTTGGCGACCGTTTACTCCGCATCGACGACACAGCCTCTCTTGGCGGACGGCGCAAGTCTGTGCCCCGCAGGTTTGGGGTCCCAACCCGGGCGGCGAGCCCGTGGTCCGGACAGTCTCACGGCGGTTCTCGGTTGCGCCAAGTCATTGCCCCGTGTCTGTACGCCAATCGTCGCCAGCCTCGACCCGGGATGCGATCCTTCGCAGGCAGCCAGATGAGCGTCAATGAGGGGAGAGCATGGGGGCAGATCCCGGCGTCTGATGCGGACGCGGCATGGGGCACGGCCAATCCCGGAGCATATGGCCCCATGAAGGACACAAAGGTGCTGACGGCCGCTGTGGTGTTGGTCCAGCCAACCTGTTCTGGAACGCGCGCGATGGAACGTCAATAATGCGGAGGAGTCTGGGGTCGATCCCGCCAAGCTTCTCATTAAGCTTCGTGTGGCACCCCGCTAGCGGCGCGCATCATGCTTGGCCCGACGACACTGCGGCACTTGCAGGCGGCGGCGAGCCGGGATGCTGCGGTGAGAAGGCCGCAGATGCGCGAGTCAGGGTGAGGATATACCTGGCTGCGTGCATACATGCAGCTGACCGAGGCGTTGAGACGCTGCACATCATCGCTGTCGTGAATGAGGTGCGCATGGAATCAGCATCGCCTCCGAGCAGATATGGCAAGATAAGGTGTCGTCGTGCGTCGTCCATGAATCACCACGGACGAAGTACCGCGCGGGTCGATTGGACTACTGGCTCGTTGCAGGCAATACAGCACTGCAGGCGCCATACTCGTCAACGTTGGACGGTGGACGAACTGCTCACTTCGCGACGCGTCACCCACCGCAGCCAACGGGCTCGCCTGGGTGCGCCATGCCAATGGCTGTTCTGAAGGAGCTGCGTGCTTGATACTCGCAGCGGTGAAGCAACTGCCGTGTCGCGAGGCGCTCGAGAGACGCTCCATCGGACTTCAGCCACATCTGGGAACCTGGTCAGGGCGGGAGATGTCGGACTTGGCCCTCCAGAAGCAGTCTACTCTGTGCGTTTGTGGCGTTTTGTGCGTGTGTGCCGCCGGGGGGTTGGTGTGTACATACTGCGAGGAGCGGGAGAGAGTTGTTGAGGGGAGAGAGGTATCACTGCAGCGATCACACGAACGAGTATAAAGCACCTAGGACTCGCGGCTGCGATGGCGACACTGCGAGGTTAAGCAAGAGACTCGCGCTTCCTTGTTCCTGTTCACTCGGTCCGTCGAGGGTCCTTCATTGTTTCTGCACGTCTTCTCTTATACTGTAGCTGGTGTTGCGTGTTACCGTTCACGCCCCGTGCAGGCAGTCTGTCCACGCCATGCAACCCTCCGGCATGGACAAGCGAGACGCCCAGGTCCTGGAGGCCGAGGACGGCACCAAGGTCGCCGTGGCCAAGGCCGATTACTCGGGTGCCCGCGAGAAGACGGACCCCAAGGAGATTGCGCTCGTGCGCAAGCTGGACAGGTGGATCATGGTATGAAGGCTGCCCTCTCCTCTCTTTCTCTCTCTCCCCCTGCCTTTCTGAGCCGCGCTCCGTCCCGCATGCAGCTGCGTAAGGGTATACGCGTGGGTGTGTGTAGGCATGGCTTCTATGTAAACTATGTGATGCTGATGTAGTGAGTATAGCCCATGCTCTGGAGCATGTACTGGCTCAACTACCTCGACCGCAACGCCATTGCCCTCGCACGGCTTAACGACTTGGAAGAGGACCTCAACCTCAGCGGCACGCGTGAGTGGCCCCTCACGACGAAACGAAGCTACGCTGAGCGAAGGCTCGTCTAACGGATGTATCGACCTGCAGAGTACCAGACATGCGTGTCCATCTTGTTTGTCGGATATATCCTCGGCCAGGTGCCCTCCAACATGTTTCTCACACGGACGCGTCCCAGCCGGTACATGGTAAGTCCGCACCGCACCACTCACCCCTTCGTTTTCATCCTCGTCGGGCTGTTCCCCCTTTCATCAGGGGCTTCTCAAGCTGACGAAACGGGCCCACTACAGGGAATCATGATGATGCTCTGGGCCATCGTCAGCGGCCTCACCGCCGTGTCGCGCAACTTCGTCGGCCTCCTCCTCACGCGCTTCTTCCTCGGCGTCACCGAGGCGCCCTACTACCCGGGCGCCGTGTACCTGCTCTCCGTCTTCTACACGCGCAAGGAGGTGGCCACGCGCATCGCCGTGCTCTACACGGGCAACATCCTCGCCACGGCGTTCGCGGGCCTCATCGCCGCGGGCATCTACCACGGGCTCGACGACGTCGCCGGCGTCGCGGGCTGGCGCTGGCTCTTCATCCTCCAGGGCGCCGTGACGTTTGTCGTCGCCGTCGTGGGGTTTTTCTTGTTGCCGGATTTCCCGCGCACGACGTGGTGGCTGACGCAGGAGGAGCGCGACCTGGCGTACAGTCGCATGGAGCTCGACACGGCGGGGAATGAGGGCGAGACGGGGGCGGTCAAGGGGCTGAAGCAGGCGGTTAAGGATCCGGTGGTGTGGGTATTTGCGTTTATGGCGCATATGCACCTCGCGGCCAACGGCTTCAAGAACTTTGTACGCTGTGACCCCTTTTTCTTCCTCACTGTCCCTGTCCTCTACCCACAGTCCACAATCACTAACGCCCCTTTTCTTGCCATTGTAGTTCCCCTCCGTCGTGGAGACCCTCAACTTCAACACCACCGTCACCCTCGTGCTCACCTGCCCGCCCTACCTCATCGCCGGCGCCGTCACCATCCTCGTCTCGTGGTCCTCGGGCCGATTCAACGAGCGCACATGGCACATCACCGCCTCCAAGGCCGTCGCGGTGGTGGGCTTCGTCGCCGCCGCGGCCGCCGCGCCGGGGGACGTGGCCGGGCGGTACGCCGCCATGGTCATCTTCACCATCGGGACGTACGGCGTCAACAGCCTGATCCTCGGGTGGTGCGGCAGCGTGTGCGCGCAGACCAAGGAGAAGAAGGCGGCGGCCATTGGGCTCGTCACCACGCTCATGAACTGCAGCTTCGTGTGGACGCCCTACCTGTGGCCCAAGTCGGGCGCCCCGCGGTACGTGCTCGCCATGGCGAGCAGCGCGGCGTTTAGCATCGCGACGGCGGCGCTGGCGTGGCTGGCAAAGGGGATTATGCTGCGGCGCAACAGGAAGCTCAGGGAGAGCGAGGACGTGTCTGTCTTTTACGTCTACTGAGCGTGCCACGGGGGTTTGTTTCTTTTTTGCCTTCTCATGGTTATGGAACGTGTAAGACAGGCTCTTGCGTGCGCTTGTGTAGGTATATAGACAGAGCGCGTACGGAATCTAACTACAATGACAATGGCGATGATGATCCCGGTGGTGGTTTGTTACAATGAGTGAGTTCAGTAGGCGAGCGTGTAGAATCACGCATCAACTTCCTCACACGACCATAGCGCCAACACGCAAATACGACACACATACACGGGAAGTCTGATGAGCATCTCTACAGCGACTTACACGACAAGCGCTCACTCGCGCCTTGGCAGCTGAGACAGCCCGTTTTCGAGCCCAACTCAACTAGGTATACCACATATTTAGGTAAGTTACATACAACAAATACTCACCAAGGCACGCAGTAAGACGGGCGCATATTCGGCCGCACAAAAGGTCCCCCCCCCCGCGCGCGCAAAGTTTCGACACATAATTGTTCATAGTCGCTCATCAGGCCGGTTGAGTCACGCACGTAAAAGAACAGACACACACACACACGCACACACGAAACTCCACGCAACTCGGCGAACGACACCTGGCTTGCATACAGCGAGAGGAGAGAGAGAGAGGCAGCACGGTTGATTGAGTGATTGAGCCTCTGGAGACGATAAAGTCAAAAAGCGACGGATTTCATCTCACGAAAGCAAACGGCCTCTCACCTCAGACACCACTCGTCTTCATCATTGTCATCATCAGAAAGCCACCTCACTCAGGCACTCTCAATCAAGCAAGTTTACATCACCGCGTGTAAACTCATCTCTTACCCCTCGCCACCACCGCTTCACCAGTATCAACCGCCACAATGGCTGAACCCACCACCACCACCACCACCACTACGGCTCCTGAAGCCACTGCCACCACTGGCACCACAACCACCACCAACGGCACCACCACCGCTTCCCCATCCAAAGCATCCACCGTCACCCTCCGCGAAATCACAAAGGACGACTGGCGCGCCATCACCCAACTCGCCCCCTTCCCCTCCCAGTCCGCCAACGTCTCCACAAACGCCATGTCCCTCGTCGAGGCCCACTACAGCTTCGACGCCTGGTTCCGCGCCATCTACGCCGACGAGACCCCCGTCGGCTTCCTCATGATGTCCATCTGGGACCCCGAGGACTGGTACTGCATCTGGCGCTTCATGATCGACGCCCGATACCAGAAGATGGGCTTCGGCCGCCAGGCCATCCTCCTCGCCATCGAGCACGTCAAGACCAACCATCCCCAAGCCAAGCTGCTCCGTCTCATGTCCGCCAGCCCGGACGGCAAGAAAGGCACCTTGCCCGAGGACTCGCCCTACAAGTTTTACGCCAGCCTGGGCTTCAAGGACATTGCCGAGATCGACGAGAGGGGAGAGATTGAAATGGGCATGGACCTGTAACCGCGACCCTCACGTCATCTATTGTGTATGGGCATGGATCTGGCGCCGTCACCCTCACGTCACTTCAATCATTCATGAGTAGCGATGCATATTCGTACACTTTGTTTACGTGAACTTCATTATCTACCTCGCAGAGAGCTAGCTAGAGTACAGCGTCCCAAAGGCATTATCATAACGATGCAAATCAAGTAGCCCATTTGCTCTAAACCGCAACTCCGTGTGAAACTTTTGTCTCTATCCCGTCGTATTCATAAGCTTAGTCGACCTCCTCCATGGCGCTGTCGCCGGCGGCGGCAGCGGCAGGAGCGTCGGTGGCGGCCGGCTCAGCGGGGGCCGAGTCGTCCTCCTCGATGTTGAGGCCGAGCTGGACGAGCTTGTGGATGCGCTCGGCGAAGCCAGCGGGCTCGTCGATGGTGAAGCCAGAGACAAGCAGCGACGTCTCGAACAGCAGCTGAACGATCGACTTGACGGTGCGGTCGTTCTCGCCGTCGGTCTCGACCTTCTTCTTGAGCTCCTGGATGATGGGAGACTTGGGCGAGATCTCAAACGTCTTCTTGGAAGACATGTAAGAGGACATGGAGGTGTCACGGAGGGCCTGGGCCTTCATGATGCGCTCCATGTTGGCGGACCAGCCGAACTGGCCAGTGCGGATGGCGCAGGGGGAGAGGCCGAGCTTATGGGAGACGACAACCTTCTCGACCTTGTCGCCGAGAACGTTCTTCAGGCTCTTAGCCAGGCTCTCGTACTCCTTCTCCTCCTCCTCGCGGGCCTTCTTCTCCTCCTCGGTCTCCTCGAGCTCGAAGTCCTTGGTGATGTCGACGAGCTTCTTGTCCTCGAACTCCTTGAGCTGGGTCATGGCGTACTCGTCGATGGGGTCGACAAGGAAGAGCACCTCGAAGCCCTTCTCGCGCAGGGCGTCGAGGAAGGGGGACTTGGCGACGGCCTTGATGGACTCGCCCGTGATGTAGTAGATGTTCTTCTGGTGCTCGGGCATGCGGGTGACGTAGTCGGAGAGGGAAGTCATCTCGTCGCCAGACTTGGTCGAGTTGAAGCGCAGCAGCTTGGCCAGGATGGGGCGGTTCTGCGAGTCCTCGTGGATGCCCAGCTTGATGTTCTTGGAGAAGGCGCTGTAGAACTTATCGAACTGCTCCTTGTCCTCGGCGATCTCGTTGAAGAGCTCGAGCGACTTCTTGACAATGTTCTTCTTGATGACCTTCATGATCTTGTTCTGCTGGAGGGTCTCACGAGACAGGTTGAGGGGGAGGTCCTCGGAGTCGACGACACCCTTGATGAAGCTCAGCCACTCGGGGATGAGGTCGGTGGCATCGTCGGTGATGAAGACGCGGCGGACGTAGAGCTTGATGTTGTTCTTGGTCTTCTTGGTCTCGAAGAGGTCGAAGGGGGCGCGCTTGGGGACGAAGAGGATGGCGCGGAACTCGAGCTGACCCTCGACAGAGAAGTGCTTGACGGCCAGGTGGTCCTCCCAATCGTTGGACAGCGACTTGTAGAAAGAGGCGTACTCCTCCTGGGTGATGTCCTGGGGGTTGCGAGTCCAGATGGGCTTCTGCTTGTTGAGCTCCTCCTCCTCGATCTTGGTCTCCTTGACCTTCTTGGTCTTGGGCTTCTTCTCCTTCTCCTCCTCCTCGTCGTCGACCTCCTCGATCTTGGGCTTCTTGTCGTCGCCCTCCTCGGTCACCTCCTCGACCTCGGCGTCCTCATCGGGCACCTCAGTCTCCGTCTCCTTCTTAACGTGGAGGTAGATGGGGTACGAGATGAACTCGGAGTGCTTCTTGATGACCTCCTTGATCTTGGACTCGTTGAGGTACTCGGCCTGTTCGTCCTTGAGGTGGAGGACGATGGCGGTGCCGCGGCCGAGCTGCTCGCCCTCGGTGTCGGCGGTGATGGAAAAGGTGCCGCCGGCGGACGACTCCCAGATGTACTGCTCGTCATCGTTGTGCTTGGAGACGACGCTGACGCGGTCGGCGACCAGGTAGGCAGAGTAGAAACCGACACCGAACTGACCGATCATGGAGACATCGGCACCGGCCGTGAGGGCCTCCATGAACTGCTTGGTGCCGGAGCGGGCAATGGTACCCAGGTTGTTGACCAGGTCGGCCTTGGTCATGCCAATACCGGTGTCGCGGATGGTCAGCGTCTTGGCCTCCTTGTTGGGGATGATGTCGATGCGCAGGTCCTTGCCAGAGTCGAGCTGGCTGGGGTCCGAGAGGGCCTTGTAGCGGATCTTGTCGAGGGCATCGCTGGCGTTGGAGACGAGCTCTCGCAGGAAGATTTCCTTGTTGGAGTAGACGGTGTTGATGATGAGAGAGAGCAGCTGAGAGATCTCAGCCTGAAACTCGAAAGTCTCGGACATGATGGCGGTTTGTGAAGAGGGTATCTTTTTGGAGGGGGAAGCGTTAGCGGCGGCTCTCAGAGCTTACACGAGGCGGCAGGCAGCAGAGAGCGTGCAAGGCTCCTGGCGGCGCGCGGTGCGGTGGCAGCAGCTTACCTATTACGCTGCGATGGGAAAAGAACGAGCACGGGAGAACAGCCTCTATCAGCTTCTCGCGAATGAGGGGAATGGAATGTGGGAGGGAGGATGCAGGAGGAAGGGGAGGGAGAAGGAAGCCGAGGGGGAAGGGAAAAAGTAGTTCTAAAAAGGTCGGGTGTGGTGCTCCAGCAGTTTGGGGGATTCCATGAGATTCTATGGCGCTGCCTTCCACAGCAACCAGGAGCCGCGCGCTGATTGGCTGCGAGAGGGCCCTGGAGCCTTATGGAGCCTTCTAGAGCCGCACGCAGCAGGGCGTCCGTTGCACCGTCGCAGGGTGCTGTTTGTTCAGGGAGACGCGGGGGAGCGGGAGAGCTGCAGAAGAACTGATAAACGCTGAAATTGACTCTTGCCGGCTGGTACGCGTGCTCCTGGCGATTTTCTCGATTCGCGCACCTCGCGACGTGGCTCAATGGACAGCTGCTTTCTTGGACCCCTCGACGAGGCTGAGCGCTACCTTTAGCGCTAGTGCGTTCACTGTGAGGCGTGCCAGTGCATCTGTCGATTTTCCCCAGCGGGCCACCACTGCAGGCTGGCAGCCCGCCCCTTCCAGTCGGGTCGAGCCAGCGGCCGTCAGTCCACGCAGGGCAATGGCTCGCACGGCCCAGCCAGCCAGCGGGGTCCAGAAGCGCCCGGCTCTTATCTTATCGCAGCGGCACTGGAACGTTGGAGAAGCGGCACCCGCCCGTCACAGAACCTCACCGTGAACCAAGAAACACCACGGCCGGGATCAATGGCCAGGGCCGTGGCTGCTGAGCACGGCACGTGCGGCTACGAGTGTAGCACAGCATCAATTGAGCTCATCTGTGGCACCGCTGCATCACTCGCCCCCTAGCCGAGCGACAATGGCGGCGGCTGCGCACGGAGGTAGTATGCTTTGTTTTGGCCTTTTGGCCTCTGGCCTTTGACCATTGTCCATGCCGCCTGCCGTTCACCTCGCCTGGCGACGAGTTACCATGACCCCCCGAGTTCACCACCTCGTGCATGCAAACGGCCTCGTTCTTCCGCTCACTCCCACATGAACTCCCGACACATCTCACCACTGCATCGATACCCACGGTGATGCCTCTGCACCCGCAATCGTTATCCACACCGACCGTATCATGGTAGTCTGCAAGCGCTCCTGCAGCGCCTCACGGCCTCCAGCCAAGAAGCTGAAGCTCACCCACCCGGAGACGAGGCCCGAGTCGTTTTGGAACAGCCTCGCCAGCACGCCGCTTACCAAAGGCGCGCTTCAGGAACAGACTCGAAGGCTCGGGTCCGTCGAGCCCAACTTTCACTACTTGGACGACTTCATGTTGAGTCCCGAGCTGCCGGACGAGTGCAGCCGCAAGCTACGCAAGTTTTCTATGCATGGCGGCCCCGATATGCGGGACGTAGTAGGAGTGCGCCCCCTTCTCTTCTCCCACGTAGATTTTGCTTGAGTCTAACGGTCGTAGTACTGCTGCTACATCGAGGTCGAAGAGGACGAAGAAGAAGACTTGTACGACCCTGCCACCACGGTCTCAGAGGTCGACGAGGACGGACCCTACGACGCGGCCTTTGCGCAACACCTCGTCGACCACGGCGTTGTCCCCAAGGGCGTATTTCCACACGGCTTCGTTGACCCCACAGGCAGCAAATCCCCTTCGCAACCGGACAACCTCTCTGAACTACACAAGGTCTCATGTCGCCGACGTGCGTCCCTCGCTGGGTCGGACCCCGGCTATGATGAGTTCGTCAAGACAGATGACTTGGTCAACGATGGCATGGAGACGCCTGAGGCGCTCTTGCCGCTGCTCGAGGGCTCATCCAACCAGTGCGAAACCATAGGCGGAGGAGTACCCTTTTCGAATCTCGACCACCTCACCGACGGGTCTCTGGTCGCAGCGCAGCCGGGCACTTACCACGGCGTGCTGCAGAACACATTCCGACCCCGTGTCCTGGCAAAACTGCGCCAGCAAATCGTCCCCTCTCTTGACCGCTGGGATCCCGTGCTCCCCACCGTCTTTCTCGAGGCCAAGTCGCCCAACGCCTGCGAAAAGGCATCCGTCTGCCAGATGCTGTACACCATGGCGCTCGGCGCGCGAGCATACAGAAGCCTTCAGGACGCCGCTGGCGGTCGCGGTCCGGTCAGAATCGACCATGGCGCGTATACTTTCGGCGCCGTGTATCGGTGCGGTTGGCTCCAGCTCTTTGCTTGTTACGTCCGGGAACGCAACAAGAAGGGCTGGTGCGTGCCCGTCTTGCTGGGCGAGTGGGATATTCGGGCGAACAGCCAGAGTTTCTGCGACGGCATGGCGGCATATCGGAACGTCAGGGACTGGGCGGCTGCGAAGCGGGTAGAGCTCGTGCAGCAGGCAAACGACTGCTGCTAGACAGTGGAACGTGTGTGCGGCTCGCATTGCCGTGAGCGCTAGGCGTGGTATAGTACAGTCTATAGAAAGCAGTCGCATTTTCTCATGCCCTCAGATCCCCCTTCAGTCCTTTGCAATGACACCCCCGACGAGCCTGTACTTTCTATCCGCGTACGCCAGTCCAAACTCGTCCGACTTCTTCCCGGGTATCATCTCGACAACCTCTCCCACCACGATGACGTGGTCGCGCACCCTCATCAGCCCCCCGTGCGGCCCGTCCTTCAACACCCTACACCTCAGTACCCGCAGCACCCCCTCGCCCTTGAGCAGCGGTGGCCGCCCCGCCACGCTCTCCACCTCTGCACCCTCCAGGCCGCCGAACACGCCGTCGACGTTGCCGCGCGTGAAGTGGTCCGCCACCGCCGCGCCGGCCTCGTCCCCCGCGAGAACGTGTATGTTGAACTCGCCGCTCGCGGCGACGGCGTCGAGGGTGCGGCTCGGCGTCGCGACGTTGAAGGTGACGAGGGGCGTCGGAGACAGCGTCAGGGATGTAAAGGAGGACATGGTCATGGCGCGGGGCGTGGAGCCGTGCGTAGATGTGCACACGACGACGGGGTTCGTGAGGAGGCGCATCACGGAGCGGAGCTTCTCGGGGAGCGACGTCTCTGCGTCTGGGTCGGCGGTCGGGGGTGAAGGTGGCGAGACGTGGAACGAAGGATGGTGGCTTTCGGACCGGACTGCTGCTGCTGGGTAATGTTAGCTCTCTGAGCCGAGACCAGTCTGCTGTCGAGAAGGTCTCACCTATTGAGGGCGGCGTTCGAGGGGAGGTAGACGCATAAGGCAGCGGTTTCCTGCCCGTCAGCCACGCTCCAATCTCCAGCGCGCCCATGACCCCATCATGGACGCCCCTCGCGACGCTCTGGAGGCTCAGCGCCCGGGCTTGGACACAGGCTCCGGCTGCTGCTGGGGGCAGTCTGCGCGTGCCCATCTTCAGGCCGCGCGCAGCGCGCGACGCATTGCGCATCGCCAGGCAGTTGTTCATCGCACTCTCGAGTTCATTATGCAGCAGACAAGACGCAATTGCCGGGGGGGAATCCGTAGCTCGCAGGCGAACAGTCTGGTGTCGTATTGTTCGACGTTGGAAAACTAATGATGGCGGGCAGACGCGGGTTGGCTTATCGATAACGGATGGACCACCACCACCCTGCAACACCACTCAAGCGGCTGGCTTCCACGCCGGCCCGGAAATTTTGCGACCTCAATCCAGCGCAGCTCGGCACCTCAACGACTCTCGAACGCACGCCCGCTTCAATCCCCTCACGGCTCAATACCACTGTCGCCCAACCCCATCAATCAACAGAGCCACGCTCGGAGCGCAAACACACACAACATCAACCGCCACCATGGCGAAGCTCCCCTCCCTCGCGCCCTGCCGCGCCCTCTGCTCCGGCGGCGCACCACTCACCCCCCGACACAACACCCACCGCCTCCCGTCGACGACACCATCGTCGTTCCTCGCCGCGCAAGTCCGCCACGCGACCTTTGTCCCGCGCCCGCGCCGGCCCTACACCTTCACGCAGCTCGTCCAGCTCTCCGACGGGTCCACCTACACCATGCGCAGCACCTCGCCGCTGCCGCTCTACCGCGCCGCCAAGGACACGCGCAACACGCTGCTGTGGCAGCCCTCGGAGAAGTCGCTCCGCAACGTCGAGCTCGACGAGGCCGGAAAGCTGGCCGCCTTCCGAGAGCGCTTCGGCCGGGGCTACGACGCGTCCGCCGAGGCTGCGGAGGGTGGTGAGGGTGCGGACGCGCAGGCTGCCGCGGAGCAGGGCCCTGGAGGAGACGGTTTTGCGGATTTGATCACGGGATATGCGCCGCAGGACGTCAGCTCGATGAAGGACTCTGGACCAAAGAAGTCGCCCACGAGGAGGAAGTAGGATGGTCCTGGAGGGAGGAGAGAGACCACGAGAAACTACTGCGGTTGTACGATACGGGGAGTTGAAGAATGTGTATATGTACAGCACAGCCCACGGCTCATCATAACAGCGTTGATTAACCACGACCAATTGCCCCCGTGACCATCTGCGTGCGCGCCATCGCAACCGGTTCGACATCACCGCCCACGTCTCACTAGTCCGAATCATCCATGTTTGCCCGTGCCCGGTCGATGGCCGTGTCGCCTGGGGGCTTAGCCTGGTACACGGGGGGTCGGTAAAACGCCGACTCATCATCCTCGGCGTCCAGCTGCATCAAGAACGTCTCCCACTTCTCAATGAGCTGTGCTTTGTTAGCTGACTTGATACTCCCGTGCTTGCGTGCGCGGCTCACCTCCTTCTGCGCCTCGACGGCGCTCTCCAGGAACGTCTCAACGCCGCTCTTGAAGTCCTCCACCTTTTCCTTCTCGAAGCGGTCCAGCTCTGAGCGCATGGACCGACCCATCTCCTCGAAGAGCAGCCGCGCCTGGTGAACCTTGCGCTCGGCCTCGCCGACCTCTGCGTTCATCTGGTTCAGCCGGTCCTGCTGGCTCTTGCCCTGACGAAGCAGCTTGTCCTGAGTCGCCTTCTTCTTCTGCAGCTCCGACTCGGCCGAGTGCCACGCATAGAAGCCCTTTTGGCGCTGGGTGAAAGCCTGCTTCACGGAGCCGATAAGGCGGATGTACTCCTCGATGATGATGCCAAAGGTCAGCACGTCCTGCTGCGCCTGGCGGTCGTAGACGTCGCGGATGGTGAGCTGCAGGTCGGAAAGCGCGTCCAGCGGGCCGGACAGCGATGGCGACAGCTCGACGGTGGAGAGAGCGTGCAGGGATGCGGAAAAGTCGGAAGCGGCCTCGGCCATCATCTTGCGCTGGCCGACCATGGTCTCCATGGCCTTGAGGAGGCCGCGCAGCTGGCCCTCGAGCGCGTCCAGGTACACCTTGCGATCGTGGAACCAGTCGTCCTGCTCGACAAACTTGTTGCCGCCGCCGACATTGATGCCGAGGGAGCCCAACACGCCCTTGCTCTCGACGGGCAGCGGGTCTCTCCGCTCCTTGTGTTTGACGTCCACGTTGAACGCCTCGCTCTCGAGAAAGAGCTTCAAGTCCGCGTCGTGCTGCAGGGTGGGGTGCGCGGCGATTTTGTTGAGCATCTTTTCCAGCGCCGCCCGTCGGCTCTCGACAAAGTTGCTGTCAAACCGGCCCACGGCCTGCTTCTCGGGGGGCGGCGGCACGACGTAGCCGGGATTGTTCCCATGCAGCGTCGTGTAGAGCCACAAGAAGTCGCGGTATCGTCGCTTCACCTCGAACTCAGGCTGCTTGTACGCGCGAGACGTCGTCTTCGTCCGGACCGAGTACACGATGTGGGAGCTCGTGAGGTCGCCGATCTTGACCGGGTCGCCGACAGTGATGTGGAAGCTCGGCTTGGAGGCCTGCTCGATGCTCACGCTCGGCTGGGTGCTGCTCCGGATACTACTGGGGCTGTCTCTTATACACATCTAGACGTGTATAAGAGACAGGGCCTGCTCGATGCTCACGCTCGGCTGGGTGCTGCTCCGGATACTACTGGGGCGCGCGGCGTCGACGGGCGGCGGAGGTCGTGGGCCCCTCTGGCCCTCGTTGTCGTCGTCGTCGATGTGGTGCGGATCCGCCGGGCGGCGCTGCTGCTGGGGGGACGACATGGTCGTGCGGATCACCATCTGCTCCTTCTGCGGCGGAGGAGGCGCGGCCTCGCGCGACTGCGCGTCGTCGTCGCCGCCGCCACCGCTGAGCGGGCCGAGGGGGTCTTCCACTGCCTCCAACCGAGTCGGCTGCGCGACGAGGCGACGAGGGCCGCGCGAGGGCCGTGGCGCCGCGCCGGTGGCGGGCGCGGGGCTCGACTGGCTCGGACGGTCATTCTGCGATGCCTGCTGGCTGTTGCCCGAGTCGGCCCACGGCGACTCCTCGACGTCCATTGTGCTGATGTTATGAGGGCTTGACGAGCTGCGTGCTCACTGCTGATGACAATGGAGGTTGCAGGAAGCTCGGAGGTGGGGCGACGCAACGTCAGTGTCGAGTCGGACGAGGCCCACTTTTCGCTCGTCGTCGTGAGTGTCAGCACAGCGCAGCGGCCGTTATCACGTTGCACATGAAGCAAGCATCACCAGACAGACACAAGGTAGAAAGCATTATACAAGTAGTTTCTGTCAGTCCAGCATGATAGTACAAATCTAATCAGGCGACATCCTCTCAGCGCGGTCGCACCGCCAGCACAATCGAGAAACCTTGCGCCACGTCCTTTGCCAAACTCCGTAACTCCTCACGCCCCGGTACCCGCCTCGTCGGCTTTTCTCTTCTGGCCCTTAGCCTTGGCCCTGGCCCTGGAGTTCGCGCCCTGAGTCTCTGTGCCCGGTCCCGGGTCCTTGAGCAGCATCTCCCATGCCGCCGCTTGCTCCCTCAGGCTGGCTTCGTCGTCCGGTGAGAGATCCTAACGCTCCGGATCGTAGCAACCGCCAGCAACCACCAGGTTCATCCTGGTGAACTTGACCTTCATAACAGGCGTCTTCTTGGTCGGGAAGGCACTGATCTGGTCGGGAGTCACCATGACCTCCTTGCCCTTCTTCTTGTGAGTGCCGGTCGCGGGCGCGGGCTGTGCAGCAGCGGCGTTGCCCTGCGCGTTGGCCGCTCCGGCTGCCGGGGCGTCCGCAGCGGCCGGGTCCAGGCCGACCTGCTGGGCGACCTTCTGAGGGTCCACGGGCAGCTCCACGTCCCAAAGCCTCACGGTTCCGTCCTGCCCGCCAGAGACGAGCACGTTGGACTCGACGCTGAAGCTGAGCGACCAGATGCCGCCTCGTGCATGTCCGCGCGACCGCTTGATGCGCGTGCCCTTGTGGATGTCCCAGAAGATGATGTTTCCGGAGCAGTCGGCGCTGGCTAGGAGCGTGCCGTTGGGCGCGCACTCGAGCGCGCTGATGTAGTCGGTGTGGCCCGTGAAGACGCGCACACACTGACCGGTGAGGACGGACCACATCCGGATCGACTTGTCCGTCTCATCAGACGCCGAAAAGACGTACATTCCGTTAGGGTGCCACGTGATGGCAGAGATGGACGTATCATGTCCAACGAGGAGTCGCTGCGGTGACGCGTGGTCTTGCATCCAAACGCGCACCACCTTGTCGTATCCGCCGCTGAGGAAGTAATGGCCGTGAGGGCCCCACATCGTGCGGTAAACGGGGCCGTCGTGAGACTTGTAGAGGCAGAGGCAGCTCCAGGATTCGAGAGACCACAGACGAATGTGGCCGTCTGCGGCGCAAGACAAGAGCAGCTTGGGTCGCCCATCGATGGGAGGCAACGAGCGACCCTCGTCTCCAAAGAGCCTTTGCGGCGGGCCGGATGCCGAGTCGGAGAAGGACACATCGTAGACTGGGCCCGAGTGGCCGATGAGCTTGCGGCTGTTGAATTTGGCGTCCTTTTCGTGCGGATTCATAGTCGGGAGCTCCTTGCCGTCGAGCGACCAGACGCGAATGTACGATTCGCCCGTGCCGGCGGCAACAAGTCGGCCGTCGTCCGAAAAGTCCAGACAGGTGGCGCTGAGCCTGTTAGCAGACATGCACGCGCTCGTCGGCGAGGAGCACTTACCCGCCCAGCGTGTTGTGAAACGTGAACATGCACGCGCTCACGGACGTTCCAATGCCGCCGGTCCGTCCCTCGATCTTGAACCGGTCTCTATTCTCCCGCACTCTCTGCATCTCCAGCATCACGTCGCGTGGTCGCGACGGTGGCAGTGGCAGGTCGGCGCGGCTCGGGGCGTCGGCGCTCTCCTCGCGCTTGATCTTTTGGTCGAAGAGGTCGACCAGGCTAGCGGTTCCCTCCGGTGGCGGGTTACGCTTCTCTTCGTCCTCCAGTTCGGCTCGCACGTCCTCGCGGAGCTCCTGCTCCATGGGCAGCGGACCGAGCTTGAGCGGCTGTGCGGGGTCGAGCACGTCTCGGTTGGCAAGCCCGATGTTGACGCCCGGGATGCCTTCCCTGGCATCGATCTCCTCGATGTCTGCGTTTTTGGATCTCCGAAAGACAGACTCAAAGCTGAAGGGGGTGATGGGGCCGCGAGCGGTGGAGTCGATTTGGCACGACGACGCGATGAGCTGGCGGATGACCGACCCGCCTTGCTCGGACTCGCGCTCGAGAAAGTTGAACAAGTCGCCCGTAGCGTGCTGGTTCAGTGGGATGCGGTACTTGTTCTCCTTGTACAGCTTGGCCATTTCGTTCTCCTCCACGTGCTGCGGCAGGGTTATCGTCGCAAACGTCTTGAGGTCGTCTGCGTGCACGGGCTGGAAGTGGTGGCCCAGGTCCTTCAAGAAGGCCTTGGCATCGTCTGCATATCCGAGAGTGACGAGCTCCAGGAAGGAGTAGACAAACATGGGCCAGAGGAGCTTCGACAGCTCAAACTGTGACGGTCAGCGCAGGTCCATCCAGCCGAGTCGACTCTACTTGCCTTGTACAGGTCGAGATTATTGTCGACCCACTCCTTCAGGAGCTTGAACGCCTTTTGATACTTCTTGGGGCCCATGGTGGCCAGCTGCTGGATGGGTTTACCATCGGGCCCGAGATGTTTGGACTCTTGCCGAAAGACTTCTTCCGTGCGGTTGAACCCCCGCTTCAGCAGGTAATCTGTGACCTTCATTTGATCATCGTCAGTAAAGGGACCTTGGAATGCATGGCTCTCTCTCGCGGTCGCGGCGCGCATTACTGCACTGTTGATGGCGGCAGAGTTGTCCGCGGCTCCGCGGTCGCCGCGGCTCATGGGAGGTGGAGGCGGCATGGTGTGAGGTGCAGGAGAGAAGTGCAGCCAGTGGCGGGATGCATGGCGGCTGTTTGCATATGTTTGCACATGCGTTCACACTGAACAGCTGGCGGCCAGTTGTCCGAACACTCGGGGCGACAAACGGGGGCTGGCACAGGACGGGCACCTACTATCTGGTTCAGGTTCTGGTTCGACATGGCGCCCCCTGTTGACCCAGCAGCGGTGGTCGTTTGTGCCGCGGGGGCTGCTGGCGACGTGACCGGCTGGCCGCCATAGTTGGCCGTTCCCTGGGTAGGCGTCTGTCCAGACATGCTGGCAGCCTGGCAACGCTCGTTTGAACAGCTGTGTTGAGGCCCGACTTGAAGCCTACGCGGAACTCGTCACGCGCAGCTATGAGCCGCGCGCCGCTTGTTTTGGTGCGACGCGGAGCTGCTGAGTCAAATGATGCAGTTGGCAGAGATTAGTACTGCTTCGAGGCAACCGAGGAGTGATATTCGGCACGGGGTCGATGAAGATGGCGATGCTTTTGTGATGAGATGAGGTGGTGAAGCACTGCAGTCTGGGCCTGTGGATCTATCGCGCGACGCAACAGCGCAGCGCGCCTGGTGGCAGTAGAGAAACGCCGAAGATTAAGCGACACTAGCAACCTCCAAGCTCGACCCCCGATAAAGCAGCAGAACGATGCAACCTGGGAAACGCTGGGCTTTGGACAGCACAGTCAGGCAAGCCGGGCTTCGTTGGGTCGAGGTAACTCCCCTAGTTATTTTGTGCGAACAGTTTCTCGATAATGTGTGATACAACCTTAAAGGAACCTGGTCAGGCCTGGTTTTGCCATAGATGGTTACAGAGGGCAGGGCGCCTAACTTACAGGGGCAGCACCGATGCCACCCCTAACCCCCAGGTCCCCGTATGCGCCCCGCTACAGTATTCCACCGTCAACATTGGAACTCATCCTCACTCACATGTTGCTTGCTCCCTACCTGAACTGAGCATCGCGACTCCTGGCGTACACGGCGACTTGATACACGCAACCTCAGCGCCAGATCCACACCCGGCGCAATGGCAACTCCAGGCGACGTCGACATGGACCAGGGCGACCAGTCCCAGCCCTTCACTGTCGAGGAAAATATCCAGCAGCTCAACGCCATCGACAAGTCTATCGTGCAGCTCATGAATCACGCCGCTACAGCCCTCGGCGCGCTCACCACGCCGACGACCGAAGGATCGGCCAAGCCCCCGCTGGATCCGCCCGCACAGAAGGAAGCGTTCCGTTCTGCCACCGACGCCTTCCTGACGACGCTGCACGGCGTTGACGTCCGAATGAAGCGACAGGTGCTCGCCCTCGAGGAGGCTGGCATCGTGCGGCTGTCTGCTGTCTCATCGCAGGAGCCCAAGGGCACCACCAAGGCCTCTCTGAAGCCGAACGGCGTGGGCAACGTGGGAAACCTGGATGTGGGCTGGCTCAACAGCAGGGGCACCAGGGTCGAGCGGGACATGGAGGCGGAGCTCTGGAGAGACGCGCGCGAGTTTCTCGAGAAGCGAGGCAACAACTAAGCGCCCCGAACACCCAAAGTTACTATGCTTTGCATGTCTCACAACGACATCGCTATATTGTTGGCAGCGTTACAACCTCGGAACATCGACTTTTCACGCCCTCCTTCAAGATGGGCACCCCTTCAGAAACGCCACGGCCCCGATCCTCAATTGCTTGCTCGACGACGACTCCCTCAAACTTTCCCTAGTCAGGCTTTGCTGTGCGCATGCACCATGCCACTCTGCCCCGTTCGAAGTCGCTCCACCAGTACGTCCGACGCCAAGCCATCGAGGCCAATGCCGGGCACAGAAGGCGAGAAAGTGCCGAATCCCGTCAGTCCCGGCTAGCATCACCCAGAGACCTTCGCCACGACTCACCAACAGGTCGAGTCCGATGCGAGGCAAAGGCAGCGCACTGGTAGCGGCCATCGCAAGTTGACGCGCAAAGCGACTCTCTGGTCGGCCTGGGGGCCCAACTGAGTGAGGTTAGACCCCACGATGAATGCGGGAGGTGCTTCTGCGAGGATATGGTGCTTCGACTGTCAGCTTTGTTGCTGGCAGCGCCTATGGAGAAGGACACATCGGGCCCAAGAGGCTTTTTAGACGATTCAGCCTCGTCGTGTATGCCGGTCGCGTTGCTGTTGAAGAGATACCGGGAAATGTACTCTCATTATCGGGTTGTCGAGTTGAGAGAAAGCCGCGCCTGCAAGCATGAGGAACCCTTTAGCAGCCATGGCGTTCGGAGGATCGGTGTTACAGAGTGGAAAGAGATGTGACATGGGCTCAAGAAAGCAGAGGCGGCCATGCTTGCAACAGTGGGTGGTCGATTTGGTACGTAGTGCTAGGACAAGATATGCCCTAGGCCGTGCGCGTCAATCGACAGACCGAGACTTGGACCTTTGCAACATGGAAGACATTGCTCAGCCCCAGAGTCTCGGTGAAGTGATCAACTATCTTCAGGCCGCGGCTCAGGCGCCTCTGGCGCCTCTGACTCCTGCGTAGGCGGGTGAGCGTGTCCGTCAGCTGCCCTCTGAGCTTCAAGCTGGATATCACCCCGAGGGTGAAGCTGCAGCTCGAGCGCACGGTACTTGACCCGGCAGCGGCTGTAGGCATACGTAAACACCAGCATTACAACAAAAAGGACACCACAGCTAACGGATAGGCCGATTATGGCTCCAATGGTGTCCGCATCGCATGGGCCCTTGGCTTGCGAAGTGGCCGAGGCGCTGGCCGTGTGGGTCGAGCGGTCCATGGCCATGCTTGTGAGTTGAGGTATATGCGCGAGTTCACCGCCAGCACGAGCATATTTATCGCCTTTTGATCTATTGACCTACAGTGTTTGCTCAAGAAACTCTTGAGACCATCGCGTAGGACATGACGGATGGAGAGCGCATCCATTCTGTGTCCATCATGTGCTTGCCGTTTGTGATCCTCGCTGGCACGGAGTTACCCTACAGCCCGGTGATGATCTGGCGCGACCTTCCCATCGCACAAGCAACGGCCGTGCTGGAAGCTGCCGGGGTTCTTGGGTGAGATCAAATAGACAAGTGGCAAGAGCATGGCCGCACACTCGTCGAGTGCGGGGACTCACGTCCACTCCACGCACAGTCCGTTGTGAGTCGTCAGCGTGCACACGAGGTGCGGTGAACACGGTGAGGGGGCCGTGAAACATGCAGCGACAAACTTGGTGCAAGTCTCGCGTGTTTGCCACTCATGCAAACGATCCCGAGGATGCGAAGCTGGATAGCCCCAGCATGGTTCGCATGAATGCTACTTACATGGGCTGTTTGCGTGGTAGGCTGGTGGGAGCTGTCAGCGTCAATAACAGCATCTTGCCAAGATGTAACGAACGATGGAAGTACTGGAGGCCTTACTCATGCAACTGGGCCACTGCGCCACAGCAACCTTGGAACCTGGAAGCCACTGCACCTGTAGCGGGTGACAGCGAGCTACGGCGAAAGACAGGCGGGTATAATGCGCCGCAATTGATCTGATCTAGCCTGGGTGCGGCGCAGCCAACCCGCCCGGGGTAACGGGCCAGGCCAAGCGGCCAATCACAACATGCGCATAGGCCATGGCCCGTAGACGTGTCCGCCCGAGGGAAGCACAGTCAAGGGCCGCTGCCGAAGCCTCCGCCGTCAATCTCCCTTTTTCGCCAGCGTCGCCCGCGCCCCCCTCGTCCTGCATCGCCATCTCCCTCCTTTGTCGTTCCCGCGAGGCCCGCCTGCCTGCCCAGACCTCGCACGCGTCGCGCGCTCGTTTGCGGTCGTTACAAACGCTCCGGCGCCATTCGTCAGACTTGCAACCGCGACCCGCCTCGGCCGGCGGTACGCTCAGGCTTCAAGGGGTCCGAGCCACGAAACCTTGGAACCGTCCGACGACGCTGAAACGCAAACTGCTGCCATGGCTACCTTCGCTCGCCCGGGGAGGGCTTCCTCCCTCCTCTTCCTCTTTGCCGCATTGGCAAACATGTCGTCGGCTCACGACCATCACGATGGCGAAAGCAAGATTCCCACGGGAGACACCGTGTCCAAGGATCCCATTGTGCGTGCTCCTCGCGGCCCTGGTCCTACGCCGCATCTCCCGTGGTCGCAAACGCTGACGTGACACTCGCAGGACACAACGCTATGGATCCACATCTTCGTACAGATGTTTGCCTACGGCGTCATCTTCCCGATAGGCATGGTGCTGGGGGTGAGCCGCGATGCCAGCTGTCTCCTGCGCCCCGGCCGTCCGCTGACCATGAGCAGATCACCAAGTCCAGGTGGCACGTCCCGACACAGGCCCTCGGGTCCCTCCTCGCCATCCTCGGCTTCTTCCTCGGCCACGCGCACGGCGGCCGCGAGTTCGTCGGCAACAACATCCACTCCATCTTCGCCAATATCCTGCAGCTCCTGCTCGTCGGCCAGGTGGTGCTCGGCCTCTACCTCAAGGGCCACTGGGAAAAGGGCCTCAATGGCAGGATTAGGAAGCTCATCCGGCCGTTCCACTCCGTCATCGGCAAGGCAATGCCCATTCTGTCCTGGACGCAGATGATTTTCGGCGGCATCACCACGCTTGGCTTCTGCCAGGGTGACCATCTCGGCCAGTGTCTCGCCCATTTCATCATGGGCAGCGCCTTCATCGCGTACGGTGTCCTCCTGACCATCATCCTGCTCGTCGGCCAGGTGTGGATGCGCCGCTGCGGGCGGTCGCAAGAGTTCTTTGACAGCGCCGTCATCGCGGCGTGGGGCTGCGTCAACACCTTCACCGAGCACCGCTGGGGCACGGCGTGGGTCAAGAACGACTGGCAGCACACTACCATGGGCATCATCTGGTGGTGCGCGGGCCTCGCGGGCATGTGGCTCAGCAGGGACCGCGACGGCCAGCCTAAGCGCAACTTCATCCCGGGCTTCGTCATCTTCATCACCGGCTGGGCCATGTCGGCGCACCCCCAGGAGCTCATGGTCAGCGCCATGACGCACAGCACCTTTGGCAAGACGCTCATGGCTGCCGGCCTCACGCGCATCATCGAGATTGCCTTTGTGCTCAGGGACGAGCAGTCTCTTACCAAGGACGGCCGGACGTGGAACAGCTTCCAGTACATTCCTGTGTTTGTAAGTCGATTGCCCCGTGCGCCGTCTGCGCCAATCCCGCTAACTTCTTGCTAGCTGCTCTACGCCGCCGGCTTCCTCTTCTTGGGTGCCACCGAGGAGCAGATGATCCTTGTCCACAACTCGGACATGGATGGCGTCTCATACATCCTCATCCTCTTCTCGCTCGCCTCGCTCGTCTTTCTCTTCTCCAACATGCTCATTCACCTGTACGACCGCCTGTCCCCGACAGAGGCCAAGGACCTGGGCGAGTATCGAGCGGCGCACGACGGCCGGCTGCGGGATGCTGAGGAGTTTGAGCTGGACGGCCTCGTGAGCGACGACGAGGACCACCGCATGTTGCCAGACCGCACGAGCCTGGACACGCCCAGCACGCTGGGAAAGAACAACGAGCAGTCTGTGCACTGAGCGATACGGAGCAAGAGGAGGACTTTTTGGAAATACGGCATCGAAGGATCGCAGCATAGGTAGGCGTTAGGAATTCAACCACCCATGAATACATGATAGATTGCTTCCAAGCATGCGGCCGTATTCGTACGAGCTCAACGAACCGTAGAGTTTCAGCCACGATCGCTGGCGGAGATCCCGCTGCAGGGTCTGTGGGGCGGTGGGGCAGAGATTTTCAACGTCCACCAGCTTCATCAGTGATCACTGACGCCCATCTGCCTCTTTCTCACATCACATCAAACACTCACTCACACACGCCCATTCCCGAAACCCCCCCAAAAAATGCCGTCGGTCAAGAATCCCAACGGCCCGTCCAAGAACCGCCTCGCGGCGCGGGCGACCAAGCTCAAGTCGCAGCGGCGCAAGAAGAGCGAGGAGGGGCGCAACAAGATCTCCAAGGCGGACAGCACGCGGGGCGCGCGGCCGGGCATCCTGCCGACGAGCGGGCCGCGGGCCAAGCTGAGCGCCAAGAAGGCGCGCAAGCTGGAGAAGAAGATGGGGTACGCGCTGCGGCGCAAGATGGAGGCGGAGGGCGAGGCGGAGATGCGGGACGCGGCCCCCGAGGTCGAGCAGGAGGAGGCGGTGCAGCGGCAGATTGCGGAGGAGGACATGGAGATTCGGTGAAGAGGTGAGTGCGCTCACATCCAGAGAGATCAGAAGATTTAAGGGCGACGAGTGCTGACTGGAATTAGGTGGTAGGATATGGTGGCTGCTTGGCTGGCGGTGATGCTTCGCGATGGGGCCATGGGAGGGATCCTTTGTGCGGCGCAGTGCAATTCATTGCTTCTGGAGTGCACGTTTGCACGAATCTTGACGGATTCCACACCGGTTGAGCGGGAAGGGAAACCAGCGGATGGACGTGCGGATGGAGGGGCCTCGCCGGAACGCGACCTTTGAATCGAACGCGGTGGAAGCGGCGCTGTTATTGTTCTGGAGTTTCCATTCACCAACTCCACCTCAGCTCTATTATCCCGCGCGCAATGAACACGAAATAAATCACCGACGACTATTCGTCTCTTCTCGTTTGCCTTGAGCTCCTCACCCACCTCGCCTTCACTTTCTCACTTCGCGTTCCTCGTCCTCCGTGTTTCAACCCCTTGCCTCGCCCCCAACACCAGGTCGCCCGTTCAACCGCAACGCTTCGACTCGTTCATGGCTCGCTCACCGCGTCACGGCTCAAATGAATGCTTCAATACCATCCGACGATCCTTCTTCCCGGAGCGGCTCTGAACGCCAGGAGACTCCACGCCCCGCCCCCAAGACCCGTGACAAACGTGCGTCGATTCACGGCTGCTGCAACGATCCCAGCAATGTGTGACTGACTCGACCAGACATCGCCGCCAGTGCTGCGCGCTTCGCCGAGTTCCTGCACAGCGCGGTCCCCACGGCCCTCATCCCGCCGGAGCTCCACGCCTTCGTCCACCGCGAGGCAAACGCCCGGCTCGACGCGGCGCGAGAAGCCGGCGTGCCGCTCGAGCAAGTCACCATCGGCGAGGACGGACTTCCCGCGTGGCCGGGCGGCCCCACGTGGGACCCGGATGCCGAGTCACTGCACGCGCACCTGCAGAGCCGGCTCATTGACTGGGACGCGGCGCGGGAGCTCGGCGACCTCGTCCGCGGGGATATAGTCTCCAAGGGGCGCTTGAAGCTCGCGCAGGCGCGGGAGATGGGCATCGCGCTGCGGGACGTTTTCATCGGGCGTAATCTCCTGCCAGAGTGGACGCTGGGACAAGTTATTACCGCTGTTGATGATTACGACTACGCTACACAAGGGACGGATACACAGGACGAGTCGGACATGGAGTCGGCCACGATGGGATCGCGACACTCATCGGGGGCCACAGCCTTAACGCCACTCACGGACGTGTTTGGCACGCAGTCCAGCGACACGGCCGCGCCAAACAACAGCCCCGTGTCATCGTGCGAGAGCGACTACCCAAGCGACTGGGAAGACTACATCGAGCTCGACAACTTTGTCCTCCCGCAGCCCGAGTACGAAGAGCCAGAAGACGACCACAACGATGGCAACGATGGCAACGTGGTGCACGACGTGCAGGTCGTGGGCGGCCGGCCCGGCACGAGCGACGAGTTCGATCTCGAGGTGTACCTCGTCGACGACGACAGCGAGGACATTGCGCACATGCCCGAGGTAGAGCTCTTCATCGACGACGGCGACGCCTACGAACATCACTATGGAGCTGACAAGGCGGTGGACGTGGAGCTGCCGGCGGGGTATCACTTTGTTCCTGCGGGCGTGGAGGAAGCGGACGATGAGGATGAGGACGAGGCGAATTCGTCATCACCGTCGAGGCTGGCTCGCGCGCAGCCGCTGCCTCTCTTTGACGATGAAGACATCTATGATGACAGCCGCGTGGCGTCGCCTGTTCTCGGCGTCATCGAAGAGGATTCGTCGGAGCATTCGGAGGAGGTGACGGACGACGAGAACGACGAGGACAGCGGTGAGGGCAAGAATTGCGAGGGCAAGAACGAGGGCAACGGCAACGGCGAGGGCGACCCTGGAGTAGGCGGAGAGAGCCAGGACATGCACTCAGCCCAGGACTCCAGCGACGAGGAGGGCAGTGAAGCTTAGAGGTGGAGACGCAGCATCAACTTACGAGGAGACGGCATATTCACTTTCCCTGGGGACTGTATTTGTTTGCGGGGACGATAATAAGGCATTTGAGACCACAAGGGGGCGGCCGGGGGTAGGGGATGGGACTGGACGGGGACGAGAGACTGGCACTTTGGCCTTAATCCGCACTTATTAGCAGGGACACGCAGTTGCAGCAGCTATTGATAAGCATTACCATCCGTTACGAGAGGCCTCAGAGTGAACAAGGTCCCAGGAAAGACGTTTGCCTGGTCGATTCGGCGCAAAGGCGCAGCATGATGCACTCGAGAACGGACAGCGACATGGCCGCCGCGCCAGCTGCCGCCGTTACTGAGATGATGAGGCACAAAGCCCGCCCACACTTCCCACAGTCGGAGAACCCCAAAGCAGTATCATCGCTGTTGCACAACAAGATGCTGGGTAAACACCCAACAGCGACGCAGCTTCACACAGCTCGAAGAGGCACGCGGACGTCAACCCGGCGGCTGAATGGGTAAAAGCCACCCGTGCAACCACACACGTCCTAAACTCCTGCGCTAGGCACCCGCACCGGGGAGAGAAACCCGGGGGTCTTGCACAATACGACCCCCCCGATTTGGCATATTTCGGCGGCGCTTTCTCTTTGTCATGGCGACGGGTAGCGACATATAGCGAGTACTCACGCAAGTTGCAGCTGATGGGGGATCACCTGGCCGTTCAACTGCGCACGAATAGGCAGTATGCGGCGGCGGCGGGGGGATGGCGGGCTTGGCCGTCCGTCTCCACGCCGTCTTAGTCTCTTAGACTGGGACGAACACACCTCATGGGCGGAGATACCCCACAGAGTAAATCGTGGACGTTGCCTCGACCTCACACCTCACGATGGACCCTCCGCAACCCGCACCCCATCCTGTCTGATACATTATCGGGGTTGCAATTCCGAACCCTGTATATGCCTTTTATATGGGAATAGCGTGCCCTCCCGTTTGACTGCCCCAGCTGCAAGGACATATGCTATCCAGATTCACCACCAACGTCAACGACATTCAGACACAGCACTCAACGACAAGGCAACACAAACGTCCGACGGCCATCTCAGTGCTTCAACGGACCCGTTGGCGCAGAGTACAGACAAACAAGCCCGGACGCAACGGCAACAACAACAATCGGGTTCGGGCAGCCACGAAGCATAGCCATTGCATCTCAGGCTCATCCTCTCGCCCATCCATCCATTCACCCACTCACTTGCGAGCCAAGGCGGACGTGCCGCTCCAAAACACCATGGCCGGCACCGAGACGCACACCCCAGCAGCCGCCTCCCCGCGGCGCCTCTACTCCGCCTCCCAGGCCCCCTCCCTCGACGCCTTCAAGGCCCTCTGCGAGCAGACCGCCACCGCAGCAGAATACCCGCTCGCCGCCTCCATCGAGCGCAACATCCCCATCTACGCACTCCCCGCGCACCACGGCACCACCACGCCCGCCCAGCGCGCCGCCCTACAGGACGAGTGGTACCGCGTACTGCTCCACGGGCCGGGCGTCTTCGTCGTGCGCGGGCTCATGCCCGATGAGGCACTTGTTGACGCAACCAGCGCAGTCTTCCGCGACATCATCGCTCGCGAGCGACGCCAAGCCGCCGAGGTGGACTCGAGCGCTGGAGGAGGAGGAGGGGACCACTTCGCCGGCGCGGGCAACAACGACCGCATCTGGAACTCCTTCAGCAAGCACGCGCTCGCCTCCCCCGCCTCCTTCGTGCGCTACTACGCCAACCCGTGGCTCGCCCTCATCGCCGCCTCGTGGCTCGGCCCCGGGTACCGCCTCACCGCGCAGGTCAACAACGTGCGGCCCGGCGCCGGCGCGCAGGTCTGCCACCGCGACTACCACCTGGGCTTCATGTCCGCGGCGCAGTGCGCGCGCTTCCCGCGCGGTGCCCATCTCGCGAGCCAGTTCCTCACGCTGCAGGGCGCCGTCGCGCACGTCGACGTGCCGCCTGAGAGCGGGCCCACGCGTCTGCTGCCCTTTAGCCAGGCCTTTGCGGAGGGGTACATGGCGTACCGCCGGCCGGAGTTTAATGAATACTTCTTGGAGAAGTACGTGGCGCTGCCGCTGCGCAAGGGGGATGGGCTGTTCTTCAATCCGGCGCTGTTCCATGCCGCGGGCGAGAATAGGTCAAGCGACATTGAGAGAATGGCCAACTTGCTGCAGGTAAGCAGCGCGTTTGGCAAGCCCATGGAGACGATAGACGCGCGGCCCTTGGTCGAAAGTTGCTGGGACGAGCTGCGGCGCCTGCACGCCGAGCAGGGCATGAGCGACGAGGTCGCCGCGTTTGTCGCCGCAGTCGCCGAAGGGTATCCTTTCCCGACGAATCTTGACAGGAACCCGCCCCGATCTGACGACATGGCGCCCCAGTCAGAGCAGGATGTGATTTTACAATGTCTCGAGGAGCATGAAAGCAAGGAAGAGGTACTAGCGGCTTTGGATAAGCATAGCTTTGCGTCACAGGCATAGGATATACATCTCAACTTGCTCACTAAGGGGGTGGTGCTATTTGGAGGATCGCACAATGCGAGTCCCCGGTAAAAAGACCTATATAAAGGCATATAGAAAGGCTTGGACCGGCGTGAAACATCACCGAGTATGATGTGTACACAGCCGACACCTCGTCCGTCACAACGGCGACTGAACGACATAGAAAGTAACAGTTGTCTCGTCGCGTGTCGTGAGCAGCTGGCGAGTCACCTGCGCTCACGGCCATGCGATCAGCGCCTCGGCCAGCGCAGCAGTACCGCCGCGAGGATCACAGGCAGCACGCTGACCAGCTCGCCCAGACCGGCAAACTGCGGCGGGATCCTGGCCTTGACAAACGCGCCGGCTGCGAGCAGCACCGCCACCGTATTGTAGACGAAGCTCCACGCAAAGTTGAACCTGATGCGGTTGACCGACCGCCTGCTGACGTCCATGATGACTGCAATGCCCGAGAGGTCCGGACGCATGAGGACAACGTCGGCGGCCGACTTGGCCATGTCGCTTCCCTCGTTCATGTGCACGCCTATGGTGGCCTGCGCGAGCGCGACGGCGTCGTTGGTCCCGTCGCCGCAAAAAATGACAACCGGCTCTTTGCCTTTCTCGTGAGATCCAAGGAGCTTGCTGATGTATGCCTGTTTGTCGGCGGGGGAGCTGCGGGCGTGCGTGTTGCTACTTGGGACGTTGAGCTTTCGGGCTACTGCGTGAACGGCACCGTAATCATCCCCGGAGACGACGTGAACCGAAATTCCCCGTGCCTGTAAATCGGACACGACAGTCTCGGCATCGTGCCGCAGCGAGTTTTCAAGGCCATAGACAGCGGCGAGCGCGCCATCAATGGTGAAGCAAAAGACGGTGAGGTTGCTTGCCAGCGCGGACTGGACGAGAGACTCAGACGATTGGTTGAGCCACCTAGAGTTGCCCGCGCGCAGCATCCTTCCACCTGTGTGAGCCTCCATGCCCTTGCCAGTCAGGCTCTTGACATCCGGCAGGATGGCCGGCCTGATGTTCTTGCTCTTGAGATACTCTGCCACGGCCACCGAGACAGGGTGTCTGCTGTCGCCGATGAGCCCCAGGAGCAGCGATAGGCACCCACTCTCTTGCGACACCAGAGTCTCGGAGACGACCCTCATTTTACCCTCGGTCAAGGTTCCCGTCTTGTCAAACACCACGTGGGACGTGCGATGTGCCACTTCAATGGCGCTCGCGGACTTGAAGATGACGCCTCGTTCCGCAGCGACGCCGCTTGCAATGACGACAACCATTGGCACTGCCAGGCCAATCGCACAAGGACAGGACACAATGAGGACCGTGATGGCGTACGTGATGGCGTCTACCGTCGCCTCGGATCCTGATTTTCCGCGGACGGTCCTGCCGATGGCGACCCAGATCACAAAGGTGATGATGGTCAGCCCAACGACGACTGGCACAAAGTAGGACGCCACTAGGTCTGCGAGCTCTTGAAGCTTGGGCTTGGAGAGCTTGGCCTCGTCGACCATGGTGGCAATGGTAGTAATGGTATTGTCGCCTGGGAGGCGAGTAAGCCGGACGACAATGGTGCCGGACCCGTTGACGGTTCCCGCAATGACGGGTGACTTGGCATGTTTCTCGACCGGCAGAGACTCGCCGGTAAGCATGGACTCGTCCACCTCCGAGGAACCTGATATGACTGTTCCATCTGTGGGAATTCTTGAGTCGGGGAGGACCTTGAACACGTCGCCATACTGCAGCAATCGGGCATCAACCTCTCGCTCGCTACCGTCGAGATCATCGACGAGCGTGGCCGTCGTGGCCTGGAGCGAGCGAATAGAGATAGACTCGACAGCCTTTTGTCGTGCAAGAGCTGCCATAAACCGACCGACCATGATGAGGGTGACCAGCAGAGTGCTCGTCTCGAAGAATTGACCGGTCGATAACGGCCGGCCGGCGACCAGATAGCCGAAGGACACGACAGAGAATATGTAGGCCGCGCTGGTACTGAGAACTATGAGCAAGTCCATCTCGATGACGCGGGAGAAGACGAGAGCCTTGAGCGCCTTGGGGTAGAATGGGCCGGCAATGACCACTTGGACGATGGTGGCAAGCGCGAGTGATGCAGAACTGTACGCGAGCTCTCGATCAGGTAGCGGGGCCCAAGCCAACACCAAGACCGGAACGGTCAGGACGGCGGAGAGGAGCGTCATGTATCCGACGTGACGGACATGCTTGCTGCCGGCCTCGAGTCCCGGGTCGCCACGGATGGGAGCGAGTTTCACGGGGGCTCCCCAGTCCCTGTCCATGAGGTCGCGGGCGCCGAGGAGCTTCGGGTCGAAGGCGATGCGGACGGTGCCCTTTCCTGTAGCAGTCATGTCAGTGACCCCAGCGGGCCATGTCTGGTCGACGAGTGCATCTGCGTTGCCGTCGACTATCAGGTCGAGTGTAGCGCCTTGGTTCGAGACCCTTTCGCACGTGAACTCAGTCGTCCTCTCCAAGTGCTTCATGACGCTCTCTACGCTGGTCGAACTCAGGTCAACATCAAACTCGGCGCGCGAAAGAACGAGACTTGTCTTGAGGCCGCTCACGCCGGCGACGTTGGCAAGGGTGCGGTTGAGCTTGGTTTCACAACCGGTGCAGGTCATGCCCGACACGCACAGCACAACATGCTCCACGCCGGCTACCTGATTCTCGAGGTCAGCCTTCACAGCCTGGATCTTCTCAACAGGAGTGTTCTCGCCCGAGGAGCAGCACGTGTCGCCGCAGCCATCCTTCGCCGCTGCCTTTGACCCGGCACAAGGGGTTTGCTTCGGGCTGCAGCAGGCATTGGCGCAGCCTGCGGCCACGGCGGGCTTGTTCATATCACAGAAAGGCTTTACTGAAACGGCTCCGCACGCTTTCTCGCCGCAGCACGGGTCCTTTTGACGACGGGCTCGGACAGCCACGCGTGGTGTCTTGGTGCAAGAGCCGCTTGCGCAGCAGGAGTCAAGCGACGAGCGCGAAGATGACACTCCGGACATGCGCTTCGTACACTTCTTTCGATCCACAGAAGACCTCTTCTGTGTATCGCAGCACGATTCCTGTCCCAGAGCGATTAGGGCGCGGCAAATGCAACCAAGTGCCTCGAGCGTAGCTCCATATCGCTCGCGCGCGGAGCGGCGGTGACGACCACAGGCCTTGTTCTTGGTGGCGGAAGACGAAGAGCCGTCACACGATGATGCTGGAGACAAGAGTCAGTTTATAATCGAGCTCGGGAGCGGGGCAGGGCAGCTCACCATCACAGGCCTTGCTGTCGCACTCGCGAAGAGCGAGGCGGTCGAGGCAGGATTCGTCACAGCAAGGAGACGACTTGCCGCGGCAACAATCGGTCGAATCATTCACCTTGGTGTCGACAGGCTGTGAATCGCAGCAGCCATCAGTGAAAGCTTGCTTTTCGCCGATGGAGGCATTCGTCAGGTGCGCAAGAGCGTCCGTGGTCTGCGTGTTGGCGGGTGGTTTATCGCAGCAGCCTTCAGTACACGTTTGCTGGCCGTCATTTGAGATATTGGCCTGAAGAGCAACGGCATCCGTGTTCTGCTTGTTTGCAAGAGGCTTGTCGCAGCATCCGTCACTGCAGGACTTCTCGACATTGTCCGCCACGTCGCAGTCTTTGGCAGGCTTGCTATCGCAGCAGTCGCTCGCAGTGCTTGCCGCTGCGACAGCACCACTGGCACCACCACCGCAGCACCCGTCAGTGCAGGACTTCTTGGCGTCATCTGTGGTACTGCGATCCTTGGCAGGCTCGCTCTCGCAGCAGCTACTGGCAATGTTGACAGCTGCGCCGGCATCAATAGCATCGCCTCCGCAGCACCCGGTGGAGCAGGACTGCTCGTTGTCGGCCGTCTTGTCAAGGGCCTCCTCACCACAGCTGCCGCTGTTCGCCTTTTCCGCGGAGACGTTGCTACCGCAGCAGCCATCCGTAAGAGGTTGATCGCCATTGGCGACGCTCTGGGGCTTTTCATCGCAGCAGGCGGCAGCAGCGTTTGCGGGCGAGATGTCACCGCCACAGCATCCAGAGTTGCAGACCTGCTTGTCCGACGCTATGATGGGGACATCAACAGACGCATTGTCGCAGCAGCCGTCAATAGTGCTTCCAATCGTGGCGGCAGGGACAACGGCCTCGCCGCCGCAACAGCCAGCACCACACGCTGCGTCGCTGGCTGAGGCGGGAGCAGGCTTGTCGGGGCCATCGTCGCAGCAGCCGTCCTTGCAGGCATCGACGACATCTCCATCAGCTAAAGCCGCGTTGCTGGGGCCGCAGCAGGAGTCTTTCGAATCACCGCATGCTTCAGGATCGGCGCCGGTCGCGGCAGATGCTGTGTCGTCAACCACGGCTGGAGTCGGAGCATCCTGCGGCTGTGGCTGTGGCTGCGAGGGCAAGGGCGGGCGCTCGGCCGGGCCACAGCACGAGCATGCCATGGTATCTTCGAATGTTGCCAAACAATCTTCAATCTTGTTGCGGCTGCAATGCGAGTTGATGAGTGTTTGTTGTGCAGGGGAGAGAGTGCAGGGGGGAATTTCCGGTGTGGCAGGTCGGTCAGGTGTTGCTCTGCGGGAGCTTGGACCCTGGGTGGCCCAAACAGGCAACCTCCAATCCAACGACTGCCGGCTCCGAGGGGCGCATGCCGGATGTTCGGTTGGTCGTTCCGGGTTACGCGATTGAGCGAGGCATTTCTGCGGCGCAGACGAAGAGGAGACTCCGTCGCAAGTCAATCATGATGATTTGATAGCCCCCCTTCAATTCACGCTGCGGCGTCGCGTACAGCAACATCATCTTGCCGCCTACAAAGTACAGAACGTGGAACGAAGAACGGAATGGGGAACACTAGGCTTGCAGATTGGCTATGGACCTGTGCGTATACCCCTTTCAAGGCTTACATACCTACTAGGTACACCTCTTCAAGCGCGGGTCGTTCGTGGCTTGCAGGACTTGCCCTTCGTGCCCTTGCCAGTGCTTGCAGAGGCGACGGGGTTCGTGCCGATAATCCCAGCGGCATCTTTCCGCACCTTATCAACGCCCTCCTTGGACAGCTGGCCGGCACCAATCTTGGACACCTTGGCTTCCTTCTCGACGACGGACAGAACCTCCAACTCCACCTTCGAGGCGACGGTGACCGTGGAAGTGACCTCACTTCCCTGGATAGCTTTGCTGGAATTCTTCTGGCAGGCGACACACTCGGGCAAGGCCTGCTTCTCCTCCTTTGTGGCATCCACAGGCGCAACATCTGGCACGACCTCAGGGACCTCCCTGATTGCGGCGTAGATGATGGTGTTGGACCGAATGGTCAGGACGGCTTTGGTTACAATGGTCACCGCCACCTTCATGATGCTGGCGCCCTGCTGGACCAGCGCGACCTGACGCTGCGGAATCGGGTCGGGGCGGGTGATGGGCTCAGGTACGCTGGCAGAGGTGTCGTTGTCGCTGACGGGGTACTTGGTGCCGTTGAAGGTGAAGGCGCCAATGTTCTGCGGGCCCTCTGGCTTGCTGACGTAGTACTCCTCGACCGGGGAGTTCTTCTTGGACGTGTCCTTCTCCTGAGGGCTGGGCAGTCTGTTGTATTCATCCCAGTTGATGTACTTCTGAGTCGAGTCCCACACGAGGCCCTCGGGCGCGCTCTTGAAGGCCTCGTTGCCCTTTTTCACTCGGGACTGCATAAACTCAACCTGCTCGGGCGTGAGGTGGTTGTGCGCCTTTTTGCACTCCAGGCAGCCCTGCTGGTCGTTCTCAAAGGTGCTGCCCTTGCCGAACAGACAGTCCTTGTAGGCAGCCTGGTTCTCCTTCCCGCTGCCAGGGTTCATCACGCCGCTCACGCCCTCGCACTGCGACGTGAGGATCTGCTCCGACACGCAAGGCGGGATGAGCTGGTTGCCTCCAAGCTTGTACTCGCCCAGGGGGTGGCACGCGTCGCCGACGACTTTCTTATCCGGGAGTCGGTGGGCGATCTCGTTGACGTTGGCGCGCTTTGCGTTCATGGGCCCGGCCGAGACGCCCTGCAGCGCGGCGAAGGCGCCTGCGATGACAGCGATTTCTTTCAACATTATGGCGGAGTCGGGTTGTTTGAACAAGACGAATTAATCTGATTGTAACGAGAGACTGTAAATGAGTGGAATGAGTTGCGAGGCACTATATGCACAGGTGTCGAGTTCGAAATGTGTGTTGTGATGAAGTTTGACGTTGAATACCAGCACTCGGGCTTCTTATAGGTGTCCTTGACCACCACGTGCCAAGTATTCAGCATTGCATCTTCTCATCGGCTCATTTAATGCGCATAGTTGCAAATTCAGCTCTTGTATAAACAAATCTGCTCGTATGCTTCTATGACCTTACCAGAGCGAATCCTTCAATGGGTGCATGATGCTTTGACGCGTCGACGTGGTCTGATGTGTACTATAAGAGCATGAAGGCGTCTTGGCGTTCAAGCTGCTTTCTTGACTATGGGACAGGCGACTAAATGAAAATGCCTTGGCAAGACGTCCAAAAACAGCATGTTTGTTTCGCGCAATCGAGTCAGTCCTTCACTCGAAGGCCGCGTTGACACCGGAAAGACCCGCCGAATTGGCAGCGTCTTGGCGATCATTTCGCTGGACCCTGCGTCCGATTACCGAGCAGCCGCTCATGCGATCTGCCGCAACATGGCCTCCCATCCACTCGCATTGTCAATTCTCCAGGCGGCAAATTAGCGACTGATGGCTCCCCTTCATCCGAGCCACGGCTCTGGATGGGGCTAGTCCTCGAGAGCAGAGGCCACGAGTCACAAGTGTTACTCCTCAGCTTCCCCGCAAGTCTCCGAGAAACTACCACTGACCAAGCCGAGGCATTATAGCAGGCGGCGAGGGGCTCTGACGGGTGCCAATATATACGTGAGGACACTTGGATTTTTAGAATACATGCAGGCGAGCTTTCCATTTCCCCAAGTTGGTAGCCAACCACTCAGATACAGGTCACTACATGTGTCGTCTCCTTCAGCGACCTTTACGAGCGGCTCGCCTCTGTGCATCCATGCATCGCTCCAGTCAATCACAGCGCGCAAATTCGCCCGTGTCGGCGGAGAATGCGAGGCGCAAAGTGCAATGGTAGATGTGGACACGCGGGGGAATTGGCAGGGCATCCAATCGCGGGACAATTGCCCTCGCTTAAAGATATAATCGGCCTGTTCCGATTTGCTCTGGCCTGTTGGTGTTGGGCCGTTGCATAAGTCGTACATACATACTTGGTAAGGTAGGACAGACCTCGTCAACCCAGTACCGCCGCCCCCTTGACATGCATGCGCTGCATCACATCACATCCCAGATGCCGCTCTCGGAGCCAAGCCGTTCCGAAGTGCAACTCTCGTCGGCCCCTTCCGATGCGCCCGGACAATCCTTTCCTTCCCCGTTGGGTGATTTTTTTTTGCCTTGGTGCTCCCTTGGCAACATTAACAGATGCGTGGGGATTGTGTCCTTCGTCCCTTTCTGGTAGTGTGGTGTAGTGCCGCGATTTGCTCAGAATACCGGGCCAGAAGGCGACGCTGAGCTTCGTTGTGAGCGCGGCAGCGGGCTAGGACTGGGTTGAAGGGTCGGCGCTTCGCCGGGTACGGCCGCCGCATACTTCGGCGGGTATGGTTCGCATGTCTGCTTAAGCGATCGCCTAGCATTGTCATGCTTTAGAAACATGAGAAAGGCGGCAAAGAACATGGCGGGCTGTGCTTGATTCCCCGTGTCGCGTTGTTCTGTTTGATGCTCGCCTTACCGTCAGAGACGAGGGAGAACGAACAATGCATCAAACCTGATTTCGAGCCCGGTTGGGAGGACTCGGCCGGCCATTTGTAGGGCTGCCCGTCGACGATGGTGACCAACACAGGGTAGCATGAAACGCGACATCCGTCACGTCTAGGCAGGAGTTTTGTGTCGATGCACCTCTCTTTATTTGGCCCATGGCCATCTTGTTTCGTGCTGCTGCCGTCACAGCGACTTGGGGTCTTTGGGTATCCTATGAGGAGGCGCGTGCAAGGCTATCATGGCCGGATGCTGCGCTGTACTTCGTACATGGGGGCGAAGTGCTGCATAGCGGCCAAATTGCCATGCCCGGCAGCACCAGTTGCCGGACCCGAGGCGTCTAGTAATGTCTGGCTAAGTTGCGTGCTGCCTTGGGACGCCGTGGGCGTTCCAGTACAGAGGTATCGGGATAGGTCGTCAAAGGTGCTCAGTAAATAAGAGGATGCCATGGACTAAGCCGGCCCAAGGGAGGCAAGGCACCCGTGATGGCACAGATGGTAGCTAGGGGCGAAGCCGTAGCTGGTAATGCTGTGACAACATCACCTGCAATCACGCACGTCGTGCAAAGCGTCGTCGGCAGCCGACTAGACATTCGTAAACTCTTCAAGCGTGACCAGTTCTAGTGCTCTCGCGCTCAGTCAACCACCCCAAGGAGATTCAGATAGACAAACCATAGCAAGCACATTCCCGAAGCGCCGTATCACCAAGCTCCCGAATAGCAGATACGCCTTCCCTAACGCGAAACATAACGGAACAGCGACTCCATCCACGACCCCCGCCTCTGGACACGCTCCTGGCTCAGCATCATGGCCTTGAGCATCAGGTCCTCGCCGCTCTTGGCATCCGCCGGCAGCGTCACAGGACCCAAGTCCGAGAAGCCCAGGCCCGAGAACAGAATGTAGCCCCTAGCCGCCGACTGCAGGCAGACAGACAGGTGCTGCTGCCGGGCGAACTCGACGGCCTTGGCGGCCAGGACCTTGCCGTAGCCGCGACGCTGGTAGTCCGGCCGGGTAGCGAGCAGGCGCAGGTACAGGCACGGGTCGTGACCGAGGAACCGCTGCGCCCTGCCCTTGGACATGGCCTGGACGAGGCCCGCGACGCTGCCGGGCGCGTCCGCGTCCGCGCTTTCGTCGTACGAAGCAGAGTTTGCAGTGGTGGTGGCAAACAGATGAGTGGCTGGCGGGTACGGTGTAAGTGAGGGTTGCAGCGTCAGGGCCAATGTGGTGCATTCATCAATCTGGATGGGATAGGTGAGACGCGCAACGTACTGTCATCTTCGACGCCACTCATCCTTGACGGCCTGACGAGCGCATCAGGAGCCGGGGCGTCCCACGCGACGGCCGCGACGACGAGCGGGCCGCCGTCGCGGCAGCCGACGTCGGCGCCGGACAGCTCCAACACCAGGAGGCAGACGCCAACATGGCCCGGATTAGCCGCCGGGCGGACGAGGCTCCTCAGCGCGGCCTCGGCATATTCGACCAGGTCGGCACGGGCCTGTGCCTTGCGCGGCACAAAGGCGCGCCAGGGGGACTCGTCCGCCAGGGCGGCGAGGACGAGTCGCGCGACGGCGGGGACGTCATGTACGGTGGCCGGACGGATCTTGATGCCCATGGTTCGTTTGTTCACTCCTCTCGTGCGTGCCTCACCAGGGGGGGCGGCTGTTGGTGCGCCTTGTGAGCAGGTTCCGATAACAGCAACAACAACAACAGCAGCAACGACGACGACGACAGCAGCCACGGAGGCAGAGAGATACAGGCCGCCTTTGAAGTCGCTCCGCGCGCGTTGGCCGGGCTAGGACCTGGAATGTGGCGTGCCTCGTCGACCGTGAGTCCGTGACCGCCACCGGGGCCCGCGGGCCCTTCAGAAGAAAGGGCGAGAGGGCTCGTCCTCGTGAGAAGATGACGATGATGCACGGTAAATGCCTCGCGGGCGGGCGCCTGGCGCGGAGGGAGGCAGCCCATGCAACTGCGGCACGAGTCCAACCCAAAGCGGCTCGTGATGCTGAGCGGGAGCGTCGTCGAGGGGCAGCCGAGGGCCTGCGCAGAAGTTGCAATTTCTAGGGCGGTACGGCGGCTGTACCCGCCCCGGACGCGGGCCAGGCGCCGTGGCCGCAAAGTCGCAGGGCTGAGGCGGCCAAGTACAGCACCATCAGGGCTACTTTTCTTGACGGCGGGGACAACCTTACCCTGGGAGGGTCCTGGACTGCCCAGGGTCCTCCACTGTAGACGTCACACACCGCGCTGTGGGCAATGGGCAGGCGGGTGGCCGCCCTGCTAGCCTGCCGGAACCCTCGCGCCTGGCTTCCGCTGCGCAATAAAACCAACGACACAGGCTAGAGAAAAAGGTAAGGGTCACCATTTTCCCTCACGCACGCTGCTGATGGCCCCAATTCCCACTCCCCCCCTTTGATGAAGTCATCCACCCGCCCGCCGGTCATCCATCCATCCATCCATCTGTCATCCTCGCCTCGAGCATCGTCAAAAATCCCTCAGCGTCAAACGCGCCGGGACGTGTCCCCCTCCCCTCCCGCGGGCTCCCGTGCTGCCTCTCTGTGTACTCGTATCCGCTATCCAGCATCGCCATGCCTCCGTCGACGCGGCGGGATTCGTCCCCGGCTGTGCCCAGACGTTGTGCTCGTGCGACCCTAGTCGCGTGAGCTCGCTCGATGCGTGGGGAGCCGCCGAGAGCTGAGCTTCCCCGGGGTGACACAGGTATAAGCATAATCCAATAAAGGCATGCCCGGTCTCATTGTCGTCCGCTGGCCGCTACCTGCTCCATCTCTGCTGCGACTCTCGCCCGAGTCTGTGTCCCGTCTCCAGCCTGCGTACCGAGTACGTACGTACGAGCGTCTATTACTCGTAGTCACCAACGGCATCCTCCCGGCCTGCCACAGCCTCGCTCCAGACGTCATTGACCGCCCTGTCCCTGTCCCGTCCAGTGCCCATCCTCCCTCCCCTGACTCTACCTGCCTTGCACCGCCTCGCCTCACCCTGAATCTCCAGCAAGCCAACCGCTTCTCTCATCTCGCCGAATCCGTTCTACGCCCCCTTTCCCATCTACATGGAAGCAGCCACCTCGGCAAGTCTCCGGTGCGATGCCCAGGCGAATGACATTGGCGGTGCGGCTGGTGGCGATGACGGCGGCGACGGGGACTGTTCGGACGGTGACGGTTTATCCAGCCAGCACGATCTCGAGAGACACTCTGATGTCGAGGGCGAGCCCAAGGCGAGACTTGGCTCCATCCTAAAGATCCCTATGAAAGGTAAGGAGGGCACAGTGTGTGGTGTTCCGCGTCCCTTCTGGCCGCTGATTAGGCCTGTTATTTCAGATGCTCTATTACGATTCATCGAGACATGGGCCTCGCGTGTGGACAGCCTCTGCGGCTCCTCGGAAACGCCCGAGTTTGAGGCCCTCCACCAGTTCGGCAGCCCTGACATCGTGGCCGAGCGCCATCGTGGCCGACTCGGCCGAGTGGGCGCCTACCTCGGCCCGTTGCGAGACATCATCTTCTCGTCCTGGCTGAATGTGCTCCTGGTGTTCTTGCCAGTAGCTCTACTCAGCGTCCATGCGAGACAAAGCCCGCTCTTTGTCTTTGCCTCCAACGCCGTCGCCATCGTGCCGCTCTCCGTACTGCTGACAGACGCGACGGAGAGAATCGCGGTGCATGCAGGCGACACCATCGGGGCGTTGCTGAATATTAGCCTCGGAAACTTGGTCGAACTCATCCTCTTGTAAGTGGCTCTACAGAACATCTGATCCAGAACTCTGCTAATGCTTCCCTAGCGTGTAAGTCAAGCTCTGGGCTCCGGTGATGGCTATGAACATGCGGCGTTCCTAACACAGACAGTGTTGCGCTTCGAAACAACCAAGTCGACATCGTACGGGCTTCGATCCTCGGGTCGATCCTCGTCAACATGCTCCTCATCCTGGGGTCTGCCCTGGTGGCAGGGAGCGTTCTCAACTGCGACCCGACGTACAACACGGCAGAGGCACAGCTTCTTGCATGCCTGCTGTTTGTCTCCGTCTTTGTCTTTCTCATGCCGGTCAGTGCCTCCAGACCTGGGCCCCTTAAATATGAAGCTAACCGGTGCAGACGGCGTTTGACTACACGTTCGACCCATCCAAGGAGACAAATGCCGCGAGCTTGCACATGAGTCGGGTCTCGTGCATCCTCGTCTTGGTCATCTACATCATTTACGTCATCCACGAGCTGCGGTCGGGTTCCCGAAACCATGCTGCTGTCATGTCGCCAGACGAGTCAGACCTGGAGAGCACGCACTCAGCCCAGGATCATCGCTATGGCCGCCACCCTCAGCCGATGCCTCACCCCGTATCCGGGTCGCAGATATTGCCCCCACGAACTATTCGTTTCGCCGACGAGGGACCCTCTGGCGGCTCTCTGTCTCAGAAGCCTAGTGTCAGTAGGATAGAGTTGGGCACGCTTCAGCCTCCAGAGTCGGAGGACTATCCACAATCCGAGTACCGCGAACGCCGCAGCTGCGACTCGGATAGCGTCTGGTCGCGACCGAATTCGCATCAGCCGCTGATACGGTCCCGCATGCATTCCCGATCCCTCTCCTCGGTCAGCCGGGGCCGGCGCATGAGCCGAGAGGAGTCTCTGAACCGGGGCTTCTCACGCTCCAATTTCACCACGCTACACATGCTGCGCGACCCCCACCGCCAAGATCGCGAGATATCCTCGGATCGCGAGTCCGCCGCGTCGGCCATGGATGGGCCACGGCATTCGGCCTCTGCAGAGGTCATCATCTCAATCGTGGTTCTCGCCGTTTCCTCGGCCCTCATGTCCCTCTGCGCCGAATTCCTCGTCGGGGCCATCGACGAAGTCACTAGCCAGACCAGCCTCTCGTCCTCGGTCATCGGCCTCATCATCCTTCCCATCGTCGGAAACGTCGCAGAGTATGTCACTGTGGTTGCTGTTGCCACGCGGGACAAGCTGGATCTTGCTCTCGCCGTAGCCGTTGGGTCCGCGATCCAGATTGCATTGTGCGTGACGCCCCTGACGGTCCTCGCCGGCTGGGCGCTCGGCAAGAAGCTTGCGCTCGTGTTTAACTTTTTCGAGATGGCGACACTACTGGGTGGTGTGCTGCTGGTCAACCTGCTGGTTCTGAACGACGTCGGCGGGAGCTTGAGGCTGAGCGGACTGAAGGGCGGGCTAATGTGTGCCTGCTATGTTATTATCGGGTAAGCTACTCTTCATGGAGCGTCTTGGTGTAGACTTTACTGACGACGGCGGCATGTGATTAGACTGGGGGCGTATTTTGCACCGACAGCTAGTGGGTGAGCTCATCCACATACCCATCAGCGGAGTCACGTCGTTTCGTAGTGGCGGTTGAGCACAACTTTGCCTCGCGCACATTTTGAAGCATAGCTGCCATATACAAGCATTCGTTTTATCTAGTCATTTTTATGCCATCATGCATTGCACGGTATCGACTCTCCGGTGCATCCTCGCCATCCGCGACAATCATACCATGTCCTCCCAACGCGCCTCAAGGGCCTCATCCACACCCTTGCTGCCATACGGGATGGGCGCCAGCGCGCCCTCGGCAGACGTGATGTAGCCCTTCAGGCACTGGGAAAAAGTCACCTTCTCCTGCTGGTTCAGGAAGAAATGGTCGTAGCGCCGGTCCAGGGCCTGGCGCAAGTTCTTGACGTCGCCCTTCGGGAAGAGTGTCTGCCACGGCTCCCGGCAGGCCTTGCCCTTGCAGCTCTTGAGGGTGAGCAGCAAGGCGTCGAGGCGGGCCGTGAGCTCTGGGATGGAGAAGCCAGAGGTCTTGCCCTTGGAACCGTACAGGTTCTTGAGCTGCGACGGGTCGTCCTGCGAAGAGTCAGAGGCTGAAGCTGTGTAAGCGATTTGGGGCTGGACTGACCTTGATGTTGTACAGCTCGTGCTCGTTGGTGCACCAGACGCTGTAGGAGAAGTCGTACTTGTCGCCGACTACACGCACGGTCTTGTACGTGTTGTTGGAGAACTTGTTGCCTGTGCGCCTCTCGTCAATATCCCCAAAACCTGTAGCTGCATGGCTCAAGGCCACAAAAAGGGGGGCAACGCACTCAAGTTGGGGAAGGCAGTGCCCTCAGCCAGTCCAGAGCCCCAAAATTCGACATTGACGTGCTCATGCTTCACCCTGTTATGCCGCAGGCTCTGCTGCGTCAGCGGGATCGGAATGCCGTCAAAGTCCTCGTGCAGAGGAATGCCCGCAAGCTCAAAGAACGTGGGAACCAGGTCGGTGTGCGACGTCGGGAACGAGGCGACCTTGCCAGCGGCGATGCCCGGCCCGCGCGCGATGAAGGGGATGTTGATGTCCTCCTCGCGGCTGCAGGTCTTGCCCGGTGGCAGACGGTGGTTGCTGATGTGGAAGCCGTTGTCGGATGTGTAGAACAGGTACGTGTTGGCGAGGACCTCCGGGTGGGCCTCGAGCTTGGTGACGATGTTGTCGACCAGCTCGTCGACGGCCTGCAGGGATTGCAGGCGGCGGCGATAGAAGTTGTCGTTGTACTTGATTTGGTCGTTGTTGAGCTTGGGGATGTCGAAGAAGCTGACGGCGCCGGGCTTCGCGCGTTCCGATTAGTCAAGTCAGCCGTAATGGTCTACATACAGTCTAGAACAAAGATGGCGTTCGTGAGGGGTGAGCGGGCCGTGCCGCCACGCCCGTGCCGCCATGCTCATCGTCATCTTGCCACATACCTGGTCGGGGTTAAAGTTGCCACCGCGGGGGACCTTGACGCACGAGAAGAGGTCCTTGTGGCGGTCGGCCGGAATTGGGGCCAGGAACTTGGTGCCTCCGGCCTCGCCGAGGACCGTCTCCGAGTGAGGGCCGATGGGCGTGACGCCGAGGAAGAATGGCTTCTGGGCGTCGATGGCGTTGCCGAGGAACTCGACGGCCCGGTCGGAGACAAGGTCGGTGGAGTACTTGCCCGGGTTGAACTTGAATTTGCCGTTGTCGAGAACCGTCGACGCGTTGAGGTAGCGGTACGTGTTGGGGTCGATGAGGACTGCCAGATCAATGTCAGTCAAAATTGCCCCACGGAGACCGGACAGATTGGTAGAAGAGGGAGTCGCGTACAGTCGGACCTGGTCCATCCCTTGGCGAGGGGCTTGTTGTATGTCTGGATGGTATGCCCGTTCATGAGCTTGCCGGTGTAGTAGGTGTTGTAGCCGGCGGCCTGCAGCCAGACGGGAAGGTATTTGTCATTGTGGCCCTCGGCGACGAATTTGTTGTAACCGCCTGCCGCCGTCAGTATTGATCGCACACGATTTTTGCGTCATTCCATCTTACCATACGGCTAACCGGTCGTCAGCGTTGTTCACGTCAAGCCACTTGAGCACATGTTGGGAGGGTCACTTACAGCGCTGACGTCGGTGACGTTGGTGTTGTGGGCGGCCTTGCCCGTGAGCAGCGACACGCGCGAAGGGCAGCACAGCGACACGGTGCAGAAATGCTTCTTGAAGAAGGTGCCCTTGTCGGTGAAGTGCTTCTTGAGGAGCGGCTGGTAGTCGAGCGAATTGAGGTGCAGGTCCTGGTCGTCGGTCATGATGAAGATGAAGTTTGGCTTGCCCGCGAGCCGGCCATGGCCGCCTGCCGCGTCGATGTCGTCTGCCGCGACATTGAACGCGTTCAGGGCCAGGAAGAGCGCCGAGAGGAGGAACAGAGGGAGGCCCATCGTGACGAGTGCTCTGCGTAGCAAAAACTGTCGTGATTGCGGGACGACAGCAATGGTCGGGTCCGGGGGTCGCTTGCGCTCAGACGCCTGCCAGTGTGGTTTCCCTTGGACGTCCCGCTCCATCGCGAACGCTCGGGGACTGGAAGAGATGGCCTATTAAGTAACTTTGCGGCCGTCCCTACACACGGGACGAAGAGAAGAGTGATTCCGGCGGGGTCGCCGACGTTCCGACTGTCCAGGTTGTTGGCCAACGTGGACATGGTACCTGAAGGTTTGCCTGTCGACGATCTCTAGCCTTCATGCTCCGTACTAGGGACGCCGATTCACCGACCTCCTCCTGCAGGCACCCGTGGCATGTTTACTATTTGCATCGACGCGAAACCCTATTTGCAAGGGTGGCTCCACGGGCAGTACGGTTGGTTGCTCCAGTTCTTCAGTCTACACGTGGTCGGGGGACTTCGGTTAGCTGTTCGGTAGTTTCAGCCATCTCTAGTCTACAACCAAAATCCGCCGCCGTTGCAGTTCCTCAGTTAGTCGCTTCAATATGCAGTTGGCAGGTCGTACGTTGATCAAGCCAACATAAAACCGTTGACCGTTGACCTTTGATCGCGACGTGAATAATCCAGCCAAGTCGCAATCGCCCAATCAAGCCCAAATACGTACTTTTTCGTGTTCAATTCCATGTCAGGTGTATGATTCAGCAACCTGGGCTACACACATCAATGACACGTCAGATGATGTTGCAGTAATGCCGTCAATGTTAAGCTGAGTGGCGGCGGCAGGCGGCGGGCCGTGCCAATCTAGCTCAAGGGGCGGTAGAGGCTGGGTGCAGTGCGAATAGAACCTTCTGAGTCTGCCGATAGCAATACATGCTCAGAGGTTCAAACAATGTTCCTGGACACCAGGCTGGCCCAACCAGGCAATAATAGGCAGGAGCCGCGTCGACCCAGTATGGGTCCGCCGCCGGGGCCCGCGCGAAGCTATGCCCAAGTGACGACGTCGCAGTCGTGCCACCCACGATGGCGCCATGACGCACCGCATCACGAATATCACGACATCGCGGGCAGACGCTGCCCAAACCCGCAGACACGCACGCTTCCTTGGTCAATTTGCGCATCGCTGCACTCGGATCGTCGGCCTGACGTGCTACCGGCACCGGAGGCAATTTATCGAATTTTTACCAGTGCATCTTGCTCGTCCTGCCCGGTTAATGTCGGGTCGAGGATGGGGTGCTGGTATTATTGCAGGGCGTCGCGCGGGGGGCTGTATCACCGTCTCTCCGAGCTACACTCGGCGGCCGGGAAGCTCAATTGACAAATACAGCCAGGGACAGGAACAGGGCTGAAGCGTGGGCCGCTGCTCCCGCCAATGAAGCCTCGGGCGCCGCCGCCAAGCGACGTGGTTCAGACATCTTTGGGTGCAGCTCGCCGTACTGGGAAACAAGCTCTGGGAACAAGGTTACGCGCGATCAAACCTACTGTGGACAAAGAGGCAGATCTGGGCGTCCGAGCGTTCGTTGTCTCTCAACGCCCAGCCGCAATCTGGGGTAACGCACTCCGCCTATGGACCACTCTGAGGGTTGCACAGCGTCCGCTATGCGGTCGGGTCGTCGTCCGTGTATGGCGGGCTGTCGCGCCTGAAGACAGTCCGTGGCACTCCGTGCGACGAGCTGATCATCCAATTCTGGGCGTGAAAAGAAGGGCGCAAGACGATATCGGAGCGAGTGTAGCTAGCATTCAATCTATTGTTCACACCAGATCACTGCCGTGCAGCGCCAGGATCATGACGCAATGAGTCCCTTGCCAGATAGATGAACTCGATTTAGCCGAGTAAGCGCTAGCAATTTGATGCGATATGTGACATGTTTTGCTTATGCCATAGTCGTATCCCGCCAAGCTGCGTGCGTTCCAGCATTCAGTCAAGTATACTCATGTTGCACCCGCCTGTAAGGTCCTCGCACGCAACATCGAGGCCGTTATTATGTGCTCGGCAGCGAGCAGGTGATGGCAAGCACGGCTTGTATGTGAATGAAAGGTACAAACTGTATTCAAGGATAACTTCCATGCTCTAAAGTTTGCTTCTGGTCCCAGGCGAATGGAAAGTTTTAATCCAGTAAATTATAGACTAAACATGTCGTTAGACCTCATTGCGGTGATATGCCAACAATGATAATGGGTGTCAATATTCGTACCACCTTCGACGCAACCAGAGGCATGTGCAGCTGACTAGAAACCTGGGGGTAATGCAAGTAATATTGAGGTACCGACCGGAGTTGGACAATGACTCCGGGGAACGTCTCTGTCACCGCCAGCCGTTCGTAGCCTTGTGGCGGCAACTTATCTCCAGCCCGTACGTTCCGTCTCACACCTGTACACACGCAGGTGCAGGGGCTCATCAGGAAAGTATTGACAGGAGTTCAATGTTGTCTAGTCAGATAAGCGAGCTAAGAAAAGAGCACGACCACTGCTCACGTGTGACCCCCTTCAACCGCCATGTCCCGTCACAGATCTTTCAGGGCGATCGTGAACCAAATAGAACAGCACAGCCGTCCAGAATCCCTCAATATTTTAGCCATTCGTATTCCAAGACCGTGGAGAGACCCTGCTTCACATAGAAAAGTGTGTTGGACAACTCCAAGTGAGGAAGAAAGTCAAGGAAGAAAGTTTATGTTCTCGTGACTTCGTTGGTAGCATCAAATCCGGGATGGTTGGTTGAGGTAGTAGGCACCTGAACAGATGGGCCGCTGTATGTTGGTGGGGGCGGTTGTGGAAGCCGATATTCTGTGAAGGTCTCAGCCTGTTCAATGTCTTTGGCTCGCCTCTTCCTCGTCTTGATGAAAATTATTATGAATGCGACGACCACAACCAGGACGATGGGTATGGCAATGAACTTGACTGCGGCTCCGACGACTCCCATGGCGACAGCTTGAGTTGTACAAAGATGTAAATGGTCTAGATGAGTCAAAGTTGACAGGAAGTGCGATGTAGAAAGAAGCTGACCTGAGGAATATGTAGTGCAGACACGGGACGATGAAGCACGCAAGAAGGTACCGACTTATAAGCTACATGTAGAGGCAGGACCATCCATGTTCGCATCAACACCGCCAGGTCGCTTCTGGAAGCAACATTGCGCGTTCATACCGCACCCAGCCGGTGATGCTGGCCCTGGCAGTGCACAGAGGCGCCTAAGGAGCATGTGCAGTTGGCTAGCTTCAGACTCCGTCCCTGGCTGCACAGCCCCCTGCGCGTTGTATCACCCCAACCGTCACGCAGAAAGACCGTGCTCCGACCCGTAGCGCCAGCAACGTTTTATTCTAGTCCTAGGTCGCCTTGCGGTATCTGCCAATCAATTGTCGAAAGAGGCATATGGCGCTTAATGTGCAGTGCCGATACAGCCAGAGGGTCCGGCACCGACATCCGAAGCCACCCATGGATACCGCGTTGTGGGTTACATCTGAGTCCAGCAACCGTGAGCGTTTGCTGGTCAACTATTAGAATAATAACCATGGCCAAATTATGCGACGCTTTTGTCACCGAGCAAATTGGCCATTTGAGCTACTGAACGAGGAGCGTAACGTGGAGAAGTCGTGTGTTACGACTAGCACGCCGAACCTGATGCAACATGTTACAGAACAAACGTATATTTTCAGCTACTACTTAAAAGTGACGCACATATAGCACGCCACAAAACATTCAGGAAGAGCGTTGAGGCTCTTCCTAAGCTTGCAGTGGAGCCGTTGAGGGTCCAAGAGAGGTCGGTCCACGGTCTAGAGCAAAAACACACGCAATGAAGCTACAAATACTTTTCTTCCTCACGCCTTGAGGCAGTTGACGTAGGCATGAAGATCCAGGCGCCTCTGGTAGAGGTTCTTGTAGTCTTCCCGCCTCTTGCGTTCGGAGAGGTTGTGACCAGTGATGAGGATCATCATGAAGAAGGACTCGATGATGCTGGGCGGGATGTTGCAAAGCAACTGACCCGTCGTCGTCCACTTCATGGCACTCGCACCGGCCAGAAGTCCGACGATGAGAACGACCCCCATGATGACTGTGACCTCGTGCGCGCATACCTTGCCCATGCGCATGGAGAGTCGATAGGTCAGCGTCTCCTTCGGGACGTAGTCTACTGCCGGATCGGGCTGGCCAATGTCCTCGAAGATGGCCTTGTCGGCGAGATCGACCTCGTGAAAAGCAGAGACTTCATAGTCGTCAAACTTCTTCTGAACGTTGCGCAGGACGAAACCGTCGTTGAGGCCAACCAGACCTGCGTACGTGCCGATCAGCAGCCACCAATTGGCGTTGAAGTGCATGGCCGGGCCGATGGCGATCCACACTGCCATGACGATGATGAGGATCGCAATGCCCGTGAGGGTGCCGACGAGATCTGCGTAGTAGAAAATTGCGCGCTGGATCCTGCTCATCTTTGGCGCGGGGACCACGACCACCTCGTTCGGGGAGCTGTCACCGGTCATGGCCCGCAGCTTGAACTCGATGGCCGAGTCGACCTCGAAGATACACTGCAGACATTGCGTAATGTATGCGTTGTGACGTTCGCGAATGTTGGCCAGGAATGCAAAGATGAGGACCATGAGCGCCGATGTTGCCGAGTTGATGTAGAGCTGCCATGTGTCGCTCCAGTCTTGCGATTGTCCGAAGCCGATCCAGATCATGATGCAGGCCCAGTACAGGCCGACCGTCACGATGTGTCCCATGCCGTATGCAGCAACGGTGCTTATCCGGCCAACCCAACTCTCGGCGGGGAGCATGGCCGCGAATTGAGTCTCGCTGGCCTCCTTGCGATCCGACGGCGGGACGTATCGGTATCTTCCACCGTCTTGAATCTCTCGCAGCATTCTGCGGTTGCTAATGTTGCGAGATCTCAGACTGGCAGAAACACGCAGAGAAGACTCGTACGAGTTGAGTTGCTGCCGCATCAGGAGCGAATCGAAAAGGTAGCTGATGATGGCCTGAACGTCCGAGATCAGGACCGCCCAGTCGGTTGTGTGCCCGTACGGAATGCCCAAGAAGGCCCACGCCAGCAGACCGAGGACGATGAACAGAAAGACCGGCTCGGAGCCGGATGCCCGGACGAGCCAGTCAAGGCCGCGGTCCAGGGCTCTTTCGTGTACCTTGGCAACATAGCCTGTGACGTTCGAGTTCACGGCGTCCACTGCCATCGTTCGGTCGTCCTTTTCACTCGAGTCCTTCGAGACGACTTCGACGTATTGCGTCGGCGCGGCCCCCTCAATCGCTCCCTTGGCGCCAGGGGAGGCGAGGATCTCCAGAATCGGCTTCATTTTGGGCTGTACGTTCAAGCTGTGTTTGATGACCCGTCAGCACTGTGTATCCAGCCAACCTGCTGTCTATTCCATTACCTTATTTCATATCCGGGTAGAAGTTATCAATATCACAGTTGAGGCTGTCGAGTTTACATAGATATCGTGGCAACGCAACCTATGGTGGCCAGACCTCCTCTGACAGGGGGAAGTCGCCGGCGTCGATACGTGGTCGGCGGACAGTTGTTGCAATGTCCGCCAGCGTCGCAGATGGTTCCAGAGCGATCATCAGGGTGTGTTTTGTTGACAGTGAGTAAACGGTTTGGAGCTTCAGGTTATCGTCGCGATGACAAGAGTGATGGAATGCAAAGTCTAACAGCACCAGAAGTCGTGCAACTTGGGATGGATGCCAGGGCAAGCGCTTTATAAGACTGCACGTGCATACCTCCATTTCTCACCGACAAGCCCATGTTGCTTACAGATTCTTTTCCCTGGTCCAAAATTCCCTCGTGGTAGTCAAAAGCTGGCGCTGGAAATGGCTAACCGGCACCAGAGCTCCATATTACCGCGTGGTGGCGCCCAATCTACAAGTGTGTCGTTGGCCTCGTTTTTCATGAGGATGGGTGCTCAGCCACGCTGTGTGCCGCGGGGACGGGTCTAACAGCCCTGCGCATGGGAAAAGTCTTTGCGGCAATTTCAGCGTACAGTACAGCATTGTACTGTACAGGCACGGGCGGCACGCAAACTTTGCATGTAGCAACGGCAGAAGCCCTGACACCGTGCAACGTCGGGATGCAAGTGCGCTTCCGCGATCCGTGTACTGTCTAAGCCCCTTTATAGTCTGGCCCAATCCTCAGGTTCGGCAACCGTCCGGGACCCGCCTTTGTCCCCGACTTGGCATCGGTCCGGGGCGCCATTGCCGCCTTGGCTGCACCGCGACCGTTTACATATAATCTGGCGGTGGCTGGTCCCTGCAGCTTTCATAAGTGGTGTTTGTTTTCGACGTTGTGGGTCCAGTCGTACTTGACATCAATCACACGACTCGCACATGCCCAACTCCCTTCTCTTTGCCCTCATCGGGGCATGCTTGCGTAGTCTTGCGTATATACTGAGACGAAAATCAATGATGGGTAACTCCCGGAGAGATGGTCCGCAAGTCCGGCCAGACGGGCGGCGGCGTGGCACCTCGCACACAACTCCAGGCGCGAGACGGCAATCGAAGGGAACCAGAAACCATTCAATAGAGCACTCCTCGCAAAGAGGCTCTGCCATGTCCCACTCATGACTATGCGAGCTATCGCCCTACTTTCGACTCAAGTACTCTGTACTGAACTCGCACTTGTCGGACGCTTATATGGACATAAAGCTACACACTATGGCAACGCTCCTTCGCTGCACTCATGACGGGATTTGCTGGACACGTTTGTTGTCGAAAGCGCCTCGTCGTCTCGACCTCCTATGTGTGTCACTACCAACTACATGCGCATGCGATTGGCACTAGCATTCATGTTGGTGTTGCTCGGGGCTGGTGAATACGCGTATGACTGCCGCTGACATCATGGCGGCCGAGTAAGCCACCACAACCCACAACGACGTCTCTAGTTCAATCCCACAGTCAATGAATCCAAGATGAATGCTGTCTAGCCCGGCACAGTACCTTGTGACGCTTGGCATGCGTCGATGCCTCCATCGCAACATGTAAGACTTTAGTCTGTACAGCAACGCATTGAGCGGCCGCGTGCCGTGTGCATGACGTATTGCGGATGTCTTGCAGACACGCAGCGGCCACAAAACATAAATAAGATCACCTCTCAACTATATGCCCCGGGTTTAATGCCCTGTGCGTCAATGCGCGTCCAGCCGTCTTCAGCGACGTGAACCGGCAACATGGTCCCCTCACCCGGCCTCGACAGCTGGTGGTGGCGCTTCATCGAGAACTATGTCTATCGCGTCCCGGAACCACCGCCTCGCACGCGCACGACACCGATGCAAGTCATCTGCGTCGGTCCGCCACGATCCGGCACCGAGTCCCTGCAGCAGGCGCTCCTCGCTCTTGGCTACGACTATACCTACCATGGGTGGGACATCATGTTTGAGACCCCGCATCGCATGCCCACGTGGGCGCGCCTCTGCCGCAAGAAGTGGTACGGAGCGGCGGACGGCGAGGCGGACCTCACGGCGGTCGACTTCGACGCGGTGCTGGGCCACGCCGCCGCCGTGACGGACGCGGCGGCGAGCGTATTCGCGGCCGAGCTCATCGCCGCGTACCCGGAGGCCAAGGTCGTGCTCAACACGCGCGCCGACCTCGACGAGTGGTACCGCAGCGTGGACAAGACTATTGTAGGCGTAAACGACAGTTGGGTGTTTTGGCTGACGGGGCTGTTCAACCGCGAGGCATTCTGGGCGTGGCACGTCGCCGAGCGGCTCATGTGGGCGCTGCTGTTTCGCGCACCGGATGGGAACATGGCCACGGCGATTCGCAGAAACGGAAAGTGGATCTACAGAGGTAAGTCGAGGTTATAGTTGGGTCACACAATGATCTTCTGGCGCTAATTCGTTTCGGCAAGAGCACTGCAGCATGATCCGGGGCCTGGTGCCCAAGGACCGCCTTCTGGAGTGGAACGTCGGCGATGGCTGGGAGCCGCTTTGCGCGTTCCTCGACAAGCCCGTGCCGGACATGGACTTTCCGCATGCGAATGCCATGGGGACAGGATGGAAACAGCGAGAGGACCAAGTTACGAAGCTCTGGGTCGGCAAGGCGTTCCGAAACATGGCAGTCATCTTTGGCACCATCGTCGGCATAGGAGCGGTGTGTTACAAGTATCTGTAACCTTTAGCCACGTGCAGCTAGGTTTTATTATCGCGTACTCGCCGCGTAGGGAAAAGGAGTGAACAATTTCGGTGTTAAATGTACGCGACGTGGGCACAGGGGCCTCGCCGCTCTCCTCGCCTGGAGAGTTGTGTCTGTCACTTGGCCAGCCGCATGCGCGGTCGGGTGTCGGTCAGCGACGTGTATCTGTCTCTCTGAACATCAGGTATTGCCCTTCGCCTGCTCGAGACCCCTCCGCCAACTGTTGAAAGCCGAGCGAGAGGTACATTGCCCGCCCTGAAGGCGCGGATATGAGCCAGATATCCTTTCCTTCTGCATCTGCTGCGTCCATGCCCCAGCGCGTAAGCGCCTTCCCAATGCCTCGTGATCTGTACCTCTCGTCAACAGCAATCGAGTTCAACGCTACCAAGAGTCAATGAGTGTCAAGCCTGAAGTCGTAATGGGTCCGGACTCACTCCACATGTCGCTCAACTTCTTGTCGCCAAATAGAGGCATTGCAGCTTTCATCATCTGAGCAATCTCTCCGTCGCTGCGTTCTGCCGCGGCTGTGTCCAGGCACTCCGGCGTACGCTTGACCGTCGCCTCGTCTGTGCCAGCAGTCCCCGCTTGGGACTGTGCGGGTTGGGCGCGACGGCCGTCATTCGGGGCAACCCACTTTGCGAATCCAGCGATGACCTCGTTTCCCGACTCATCAAGAACGACAGCGACAACATAATAGTTGCATGGGTCTTGCGCACTCCTCTTCATTCGGGGTCCGTAGTGGTCGAGCTGATCCTGGAGGCCAGGCTTGATGCGCAAATGGTCAGGAAATATGGCTTTTTGGTAAGGACTGTCCGAGAAGGACTCTGTCTTAATTGTCACGATGGTGGGAATGTCATCCTCGCGCGCGCGACGAACAGTGAAGTGCATGACCGATCGCGATCTATGTTTTTTCAAGCGCTGTGTATACAGTTTCGTCCAGAGTTCAAAACGTTGAAGAAATGTCGGATTGACGCCGTTGGTTGTATGAGAACACAAGCTGCAGGGTAGTCAATTGTAGCTTACGCAGTGATGGCGCGGCCTGTTGAAGCTAGAGCATTGGTCAAATGCATGTGATGTGCTTGAGAGCCGGTATTACTCTATCTTCGTCAAGCTCGTTTTGCTTCTGTATTCACTACAGTCCTGTAAAGCGAGTAAAGCGCGCTCCCTCTTCCGGCCTTATTCTGGCTGCATCGTTGCCGCCCACAGCCCTGTACGAGAACACTTACACGGCAAGACGGAACCCGCCAGACTGCCGTGGCAATTGCCTTGGCGACAGTGGCACCAGGAGCAACCCACCGAAGCCGGCGAGAGGCAGCTGCGTGCTCGACCCGGCCGTCACGGCTTCATTCGCTTTTCACGGTGCCTCTTGGGAGCCCACGTGGTTGCGCCGCGCCTGCGACACGAGTTTATTTTCAAGCATGGGTGTGCCAGCCAGCTCACAGGTGTCTCGCCAGGGCCTCTCGATGTCGCTTGCCAAGCTGCTCGGCTCAATTGCGACTCTCGAGATGGCTGATGCGGGCGTGCGTGAGCCAATCCGCCTCTTCACGCCCAGAGCCCGTCAGCAGCCGCCTCCTCGGTGCCCTCACGATCCTCGAGTCAGGCCAGTTCCACGTCCGAAAATTACCCCAAACGGTTAGCCAATGTCTCCCCGCAGTGGGCTCGTTGGGGATGTGCCACCAGGCCATCGTGAGGCTAGCGCGCGCCACCGCAGGTCGGCCTGCCATGAATGGATGTCGATGGTTGGAGTCGTGAGCTTCAGGTTCGCCGCCGAACACGGAGACCCAAGCCTTGTTTCTCTCCGTCTCATGATCTGGAGGAGGCGCGGGGTTCAACTGAATTTTGTCTTCAGACATGTGCCGCAGCGTCGACGATTGCTGACATGGATGCCCCCTGAGGACGGCGTGCCACAGTCATTGTTGCTGCGACTCAAGCCTCGAACCCATCGCATCGCCGTCTGCCTCATTGCCCTTTCGTCTCGGCAAAGCCTCCACAGACGGACGGTCTTTCAGGCCCCGAAGGCAGAAATCCAAGAGCCACGGCTTCTGCCGACCTCCTGAGCCACCCAAGCTCGCGTCGCGATCTGGACATGATGTCTGGTGAGTGCTGTCCTGGGACGTGAGACGAGCGAGAGCTGACGACCTTCCGACAGCCACAATGGCCTCGCTGGCCTCACCCAGCCAGCCGCGGTCGCCGCAGCAGGTCTGCGACAACTGCCGATTCCGCAAAACGAAATGCGACCGCGGCCTTCCCTGCAGCAGCTGCGTGGCCTCGTCCATCCGCTGCCAGTACCTTCACACGCTTCGCCGTAAGGGGCCTCGCGGTGGCAAGGGACGGCGCCTGCTGCAGATACGGCAGGGCCTCACGCAGCTGGACAAGGACCATATCGAAGTCAGCACTCCGGCGCAGCTTCAGCTCGAGGGCGCCGCTGCAGAGGAGCCGCCGCTACAGTCCTCCGTGGACGCCCGAACGTCGTCTACCTCGGAGCGCAGCAAGCATCAGCTGGCTGTTGCACTGGCGGCCAATGTCCAGGTCTTCTTCAAACACCTCTTCCCCATCATGCCAGTACTCAATGACGCCGAGGTCCTCGCCGATGCCCTGCAATTTGACGAGCTGCCCTTTCCGCGACAAGCGTTTATTCTGTCGCTCTGCGCCGCGACGCGCATACAGCTCAAGCTGGACTACGTCGAAGAGTGCGATGACGCGCACACGTCCCTCAACGCGCACCTTGGGTCCCCTCTGACGGGCGAGGGGCTTCTCTCGGCCGCCAAAAGATTGCGACGGCAATTCGACATTGTCGACAACCGAGGGCTGGACGCTGTCCTGACGTCCTTCTTTCTCTTTGCGGCGCACGGGAACCTGGACCAGCACCATCACGCGTGGTTCTATCTCAACGAGAGCATGACGGTGGCATTCTCACTCGGGTTGGACAATGAAGCAACGTATTTCAACCTTCCCAAGGGCGAGCGCGAGCTGCGTCGGCGCATATTCTGGCTACTCTTCGTGACAGAGAGGTACTTAATTCCGTTGATCGTCGATATGCGCGGTATCTAATGCCCAGCAGGACGTATGCCCTTCAACACCGCCGGCCAGTCATGCTGCGCAGCACCATCACTAAGCCACAGGTCGTCGATTCGGACTGTCCCGTGGTCATGCACGATTTTGTCAACCACATCCGTCTCTTCGAACTGCTTCCGCACTCCCTATACGACTGGCTGCCAAACAGCGACCCGACGCAACAGCAGGGATCGAGCATTGTGCTCAGCCAGCGCGTCGCCGACAAGCTCTGCGCTGTGCAGGCCACAGACTCGGTACTCGAGAGCCAACGATTCGACACGCTCGTTACCCAGCAGTGGTTGCGAGTGGCCATGTGGCGCCTTGCGTACGGCGTCAACCCGAGCCTGATGTACGGGCATGCCGCTTCGCCAAGCTTGATCGTGCCATTTGAGGCGGGAAAGACCATCATGGCGCAGCTGGACGTTGTTAGCCAGACCTCCAAGGATTGTCACGGCATTGGCATTGTACGCCGAAAATGGATCCTTCACGCCTGGAAAGGTTTCACTGACATTTGCGTAGGAACAAAAGCTGTTTGACATTGGTATCAGCCTCGCCGACGCCTCAATGGTGACTTTTCCAACTTCATCATTCGAGTTTGGGTCACTGGATCTACTGTCCTCTATCGTCAAGTGCCTCGGTCGCATCCGCGGAGGCAAATCACATCTGTTACCCGAGTTGCTCAAGCACTCCGAAGGCGTTTTGGCCTGCACCTCGCCCGCTGCGCAGATTGACATGCAGTGGGCGCTAGGCGACGAGTCCAGCTCGGATCCAGATTCAGCCGCGGACGGTGCACCCATGCAGCTCGAAGACGCGCCGACCGGCCAGGACGCATGTGAGTTGTCGCAGTTTGACACGGTAGGCGCGTTCATGTCCGCTTCCTGCGACAAGCTGGGCTTTGACGACGTCGATGCGGGGCAGTTGGCGTGACATGATGGCAGATATGAGATGTGTCTTGCTTCTAGCAACGCATCTATGATAACGATTCCTTATGTCGGCCTCAAGCATACATGAGGTTGATGTAGACTCCCCAGGCCAGTCCTGCGGCGCTACCGACCAACACACGGTACTCGAACGGCACGATTGTCAGGTTGATCAGGCATATAAACGGCCAGAGCTTGTAACTTGACAAGAGCATGGGCCAGAAGTCCTTCTGGTGGTCAGCACGGCTCGCCGGGTCGCTCATTGTGGGGCACGCACCTTTTCAAGGTTGGATCGCGCGTTTGCGAAGCTGTTCGTCTTCATGTAATCCATAAGGCAGATGAACAGGATGGTGTTCACCGCCGCGCCAAGCGTCTGGTCGAGAATGAACTTGGCCACGGTGTTGGTAACGCTCAAACTGGTTGGCTCGTCGTCTGGCTGTTGATCGCGATGCTTTCCATTGACCGCGCCTCGCTTCTTGTGGGACTTTGCGGCTGGCTTCGGACTGGAACGAACTGGAGTTTGTGTCGGAAAGGCGAATTCGAGCCATTGCTGCCACTTGTGGTTGGGGGGCGTCGTCAGCGCCGTGTAGACCAGGACGTGTGTAAATGCAACAATGTCGACCGCGCGGAAGCTCTATCTCCCGCATCAGCTACCACTCTCAAAGTGCCATATGCATCCACCGTTTTATGGATCGTTCGTCGCTACGCACCTTGGACTTGTACACGGAAATGGCCTGCGCGACTATGCTGGACATGCCGTTGAGCAGGACGGCCTGCGTCGTTGCTGAGAAGACACTGACGTCCATTGTTCCGACCGGCGCTTGGGAACAGAATTGAGAATCTGATGTAGAAGCTGTCGACAAAGATTCAAGGCATTGTGACTTATAAGACCGTTCACAGGGAGTGGATACGCCGCGGTCGGCCCACCGGCGGTGAATAATTCGGGGTCCGGGGCGGATCCATCGACTCCTCTCAGTCTCAAGGTTTCCGCATCACACCATGCAGGTCCCGCGGACGATGCGCCGAACCGGCCACCCGCCAGCTCCAGCGTGGTGCTCGAAGTCAAGTTGTTCTGGTAAGAATGCCTGGAGTTGTGATTCTCATCCAATGATAGCTAATATGGTTCCCAATGCCTATCCGTCGCAGTTGTAACGTAACAGAACTCAAAGCCTTCCCCATCAACCATAGGTAATACTAAAACTGGGTCGTCCGTCCCTCATGTCCATCAGTGATCATGCACGTTTCCATCGTTCCATCGTGTGCCTAACAATACTTGTGCGTCATAAGCATGCTCGCGGCGTCCGACGCGCCACATCACCCAACTTCTCCCCATCGGCCGTTGCAATATACCAGACCATACCTAACTCACCATGCTTCAAAGGCTGCTCGAAATGTGCGGCTGCAAAGTTTGAGAACGATGCAACATAAAACGTGGCAGTGTTGCCCTTCGCGGGTCGGTCACTTCTCGCGGTCGTCGCGTGATTCCGGCCGGGACTCGTCGCTGGCGCTGCTGTCGTTGCTGTCGCTCTCTTCGCGGAGCTGGCGGATGGTCTTGCTCTTGTCGCGGATCCGTCGGCCGTACCTCCAGAACACAAACGGGATCGGTATCATGGCGACCTCGAGGACGCCGCACAAGGTGCCGGCCAGCTGCGGCGTCATGGCCTGGTACATCTTTGCTCCCGCGAGCGGCAGGCCCGCGCCGAACAGGCTCCGGATCACGGCGTTGCTGGCCAGCGCGCTGGCGGCGTAGATGCCGTACGCGCCCGCCAGGTAGTTGGACGAGTAGATGAAGCTCAGCGTGTTGCCCGCGCCAAAGGGGATTCCGAAACATATTGGGATCGCCCAGTGGATTGTCTTGGGCAGGCACGTCCAGGAGAACCCCAGCTGGCCGATTGGCGTGAGCAGGGATCCGATGGCCATGACCAGGGCAGCCGCCTCCGGAGGTGGCTTCCCCGTCTTGGGGTCGCGGCCCCGCGAGTTGATGAGCCGGCGGATCAGGGGCTCCGCCACGATGGCGAGCACGATGCCGACGCCGATGCCGAGATACGACATACCCGTGAGCCCGGGGCCCCAGCCTCGATGATGCGAAAAGACGACGGGATAAGCGACGAAGCAGAGGTACAAGATCCCGTAGATGAGCGCGTTCCTGATGCCCCCTGTCAGCTCCACGGCCTCAAAAAGCAAGTCACACCAGGGGGCCGGCCATCCTTGGGTTCTCACCAGACATTGATGAACCAGACAATCGGCTCCGTAAAGAACAGAACGCACGGGCGGCGCAGGTTCACCAGGATCAGACGCATGGATGAGCACCTTTGGTCATAGCGACACCACCACTGCGGGTTGCCCGATTTATTGCGCAGGCGGGCTGCCTTGCGCCTGAGAATCTCTGGCGCGTACGTCTCTTTGACGGTCAGCATCATGAGGATGGAAACGCCGCCCAGTACTAATACCATCCAGTTAGTCCACCGCCACCCGAGGCCCTCGTACACGAAGCCGCCGATCAAGGGACCCAGGACTGGCCCGTTGAAGGGTCCGAGACTGTACAGCGACATGCCCATGGCGAGGTGCTCGGGCTTTGACACATCCACGATTGTGCCGGGGCCGTTTGAGACCAGGGCGGCGCCGAACAGGCCGCTATAAATAGGGTTAATACTGGGGTCCTGCGGTTCGTTTAAATCACGCTGGGGACATTTATTTACCTGATCAGCCGGACGGCGATGATGGAGGCCAGGGACTGGGCCAGCCCGCCTGGGATGACGAACACGGCCCAGCAGCAGAGGCACCCTAGATAGACGACCCGACGGCCGTAGAGCTCGCTCAGGGGCGGAGCGATGAGGCTGCCCACCGCGAGGCCGAGAAGATAGGCGGTCATCCCCATGGTACCTGCGACTCTGGAGACATGGAACTCTTCCCGCAGGCCGGGAACCGCGCTGGTGTAGCTGGTGCTGTAGAGGACGACGACCCACGCGCAAAACGAGACCGTCACCATGACCCAAACCCGGTACCACGTCGGCCAGTTCTTGGGATCCTCGGGATCATCGCTGTCGAAGGTGACCTGGAACTCCTCCGGCCGCTCTGATGTCAAGTCGGACAACATGATTGCCTCTGTGGAAGAAGTTGCTGATGGCGTTGTGCGGCAGTGTTGTTGAGCCGCCGCTTCCTGTCTCCCTGGTGAGGCGGTGGCCATCGTGATGGAACCCTGGACCGGCCTGCCGAGGGGTTTTGAGCGCGGGAGAGAGGAGGGGTTGTTTGACCGTCTCATCTCACGACTGCAAGTGCGCTCGCTTAAGAAGAAAAAGCGAGACCTGGCGTGGCCCGGGGGTCTCGTCATCGCCGCGGCCGCGGCCGCGCCCCCCCTCCCCGACCCCCAGCCTTGTCGACAACCTTGAAATGGAAGTCCCCGTCTGGATCACGCCGGGCGCATTCTTGCCCGAGACCTGGCAGAGGGAGAGAGAGAGGTGGGCGGAGCCCGGAGGGCCGACGTAGCCGACACATTCTGCCCGCGACGCGGAGGAGGCCAGCGAGGCGGACTTGATGGGCGGACGGGACGATGGCCTTGTGGCCGGATGAGTGCCGTCAGCATTCCAGCCTGGGAGCGAGAGTGATGCTGTACGAGCCTTCGGAGATTTCTTGTCTGCCGGGGATGGGACACTTGCGTCTGTCTGCTGCTGCTCTACGTGCTACTACATGAGCGGACTCCGACGACGCTCGCCATCGTTGATCGCAGGATTGATGCCCGCGACAACGCTGCCTGCTGTGGAGCTCAACCTCGTTTCTGACGCAGGCATCGGAAACCGATACGGGCGCCAGCGATGGCCCCCTCGATGACCGCAGCTCGGGCGGCTCGTCAAAGTCGCACCTATCGAGCACGACGGCTCGGGGGCGGCGAAGCCCGACGACGATCCCCGAGGCCTCTCCTCCCGGGCCACGGGGATGATGACTCTCTCGATGACGCCTGACGGGGGGGCGCTGGACCGGGGCAAAAGTGCTGTTTCTTCAGCACAGCCCACAGTGTCGATGAGACCAACGCCGACACGTGGCCTACACCGCAAGCGAGGCGAAGGAGTTGTCAATCACAAAGATATGGAGCGGCAGGGGTTTCGCCGGGCACCCGCATGAATGCGTTGTGCTGCCCGTCCATCACTCTGCCTCGCACATGCATGCATGCGTACATTACAAGCCACCACGTCCTTTGTGCTGCCGCGGACACTTACCGACACGAGAGTCACTCAGACGCACAGAAACTTTCTGTTCTGGGCCACCACCCGTTGAGAAGAGGGGGCGTCTGTCTGGTCGAATAGGCCCGCCCGCCTGCTCGCCCTTTGCAAGGAGAGCTCGTGTTGTGCGGGTGCTGGCCTTGTCCATGACGCGCTCAGGCGTAGCTGTCTGAGACAAAACGTTGGCGGGCGATATTAGTTATCTCGAAAGTAAGTCTCAGGCCGCCAATCGTGTGTTGCGCCCGGCCAACCTCCTCTCGTTGCCGCATTCCAAATCGTCTGCGAGAAGGACGGGAAAGGACGGTTTGGTCGAAACACATGATGGCGAGCTGAGGATGCTGCGGTGCTGGCAATACGAGGCTGGAATGCAGCTGCAACGTGAAAAAGGAGACCATTTGCACACGCGTTACTTTGGCTTCAATCGGGCGCGGGCGCGCACGCCATCTTGCTTTTGCTTTGCCTGCCTGACATTCAATACGTACGTACATGGAGGCTTCTAAACTGTGTTACAGAGAACAAGAGTGAGAGTGACGCAGAGAAACACTTGGTCATCAGGCGTGTCGATAACATGAGAGACGCAGTCACGGGAGCCCTTTCTTCCCCCTTTTCCCCCTCCTCCCCCTTCTCTCACTAGGAGAGCTCCCGCACCAGGCGGATGCCAAACATGTTGGTCGCGACCTCGCTCGAAAAGTAGGCGCTGCGGTAGTTGATGCGCAGGTTCTGCGGCTGGTAGTTCCAGGCGCCGCCGCGGACGACGGGGAAGGGCGCCACGGGGTCCGGGTGGACGGAGCCGTTGTTGGCCGAGCGCGCCAGGTCCGGCACCCACGAGTCGGCCATGAACTCGCGGGCGTTGGCCGTCACGTCGTACAGCCCGAAGCCGTTGGGGCGGAACGACGCCACCGGCGCCGTGTACCCGAAGCCGTCGGTCACGTTGGTCGCCGCCCACGTGAACTTGTTGTCCAACGCCGCCGTCTGGTCGTACGAGTTGGCGTACAGGTCGACGTGGTCCAGGTCGTGGCCCCAGAAGAAGGAGTCGTTGGAGCCGCCGCGCGCTGCCCACTCCCATTCGTCTTCGCTGGGCAGCCGGTAGGTTTCGCCCGTGATGACGGACAGCCATCGGGCGTAGGCCTTGGCGTCCTGGCGCGTGATGGCCACGACGGGCGAGTCTGGTGTCTGCGGGAAACCCGGGTCGCTCCAGTCGAGGGCCGGGTTGAAGACCATGGCGCTCGGGTCGGATGGATCCCACCAGCGGGCGCCGCCGCGTGGCTCGTAGTCCGTGTCCCGGAGGAAGTCCTCAAACTGCTTGACTGTAACCTCGGTCCTGCTAAACGCCAGCGGCGTAGAGATGTGCACCTGGCGATGCGGCAGCTCATATTGCCGCCGTTCTTTCGGAACCTGCCAGTGTTCCTGCTCCTCCTCGTCGGAGCCAGCCGTGTAAGTGCCCGTGGGGATGACAACCATAGTCGGTCCCGCGTCGTGGTCGCGAAACTCTGTTCCCGGCTTCGTCTGCTTGGAAATGCCCCTCGCTGTGCTGCGTCCTGGCCGCGGCGCCCGATAGCTAGACGGCTGCCGCAGCCTGCTGCCCATAAGGTTGACGGCATAGTGCCACTCGTTGACACTGCCCGTCAGGAACATGACGGTGTCGAGCGTCCCCGGCTTGTAGTCCCGGGGCCGCGACAGCTCCGTGAGGTAGTGGCTCTCGGCCACGAGACGGGCCATGGCGTCGGCGAAGTCGGCGGCCCGGGGGACCGCCCCAGGGTCGCGGGCCGCGATGGAGGAGAGCGTCGAGTGCACCGCGCGGGCGGCGGGCTCGACGTGGGCGTACGTTGCATGAGTAGTGCCGTTCCACCGCAAAGTCTCAGAAAGTTCGTAAAGTTCGGCTTCCAGCTGCCTGATGTCTGGCGCCGCCGCTGCTCCGGCGACGCCCAGCGCAGTTAGGAGCGCCAGCGCCGAGACTCGCAGCATTGTGGCGACCTGAGCTGAGCGCGGGTTGGGTTTCGGCGGCGCTGAAGTCACTGCTGCTCTTCTCGGGGGCGGCCGTCGTCGCGATGGACTGGATCGAGGCTATCGACTCGGGATGCCATCGGTAGATATCAAGGGGCTCTCGCGAGATAAAGTGCGTGCAGCACCGACCAGGCCGACGCGTTTTTAACACAAAGCTCCTCGCCGTCTCCCTCGTGTTCAATTGTTATTGTTGTCGCGGCATGGCTGGCCCCCCTTGTCGCTGTGTCTCTCCCTGGCTTGGTGTTAGCCTCGAGCTACTATCGCGGGCTCGGGCACCGGCAGCACCGGCACTCGAGGGCGGAAGCCGTCATCCTAACAAAGAAAAAAAGCCCACGGCGAGGTGCATGCGCCGCGCTTTGCCAGGTGTCATGCAGCCGTACTTCGTACAGCGGCGAGAAATGCGTAGAAGTCCGCATGTCCCGATCTGCTGATGTTGAGCGATGTGAAGCAAAGCGGTGGGGTGTCCCGGTGGATAACGTGTGTCTTATTGCACCTCCATGCTGTCATACTATGGCAAGACATTGTAAAAGCCGGCACCTTGGCACCGCCCGATCGGCACGTCTGCTGTGCCGTCTATCCGTCACACAAACCCGAGGAGTAAAGCACTCGAGAGGGAGGCTGATCAAAGCATCACCAATCCAAAGCATCACTCATCCCTCACTCAGCCATCACAGCTCGTCCCTGAGGCTGCTTCCCTTTGACGCACCGGCCTTGCCGCCCGCGCTCTGCAGCCGAAACACCTTGGCTGCATGCCGGGCCACTCTGGCCTCGAGCCGTCCGCCGGCCTTGACGGTGCCGACGCGCTCGCCGAACAGGCGCTCGTCTCCATCCTCGAGGCCCTTGGCGTATGGCTTCTCCGTGGCGTTGTACCAGTTCGCCCGCTTCAAGACGCTGCTGCGCTCGGCGTCGGACTTGGCATCCAAGACGGCCTGCGCGTCGGCCTTGCTCATCCGCGCGCCCTCGCTGCCCCAGAGGTCCCGGACCGTCCAGTCCTGCTTGACCTCGTCCGCCGAGCCGCCCGGACCGTGCATGACGAAGAGCTCCGCCAGGGACGCCGACATGTCGAGGTCCTCGTCGGCGGCGTTGAAGAAGATGACCACCTGGTCGCCGTTGGTGAGGGAGCCGCTCCAGACTTGCGTCTCGCCGACGCCGAACTCGTCCTTGGGGACGGTGAGGTTGCGCGAGATGCGCATCGCCGCTCGGCCTTTCGGGTCCTGGCTGATGGCGATGATGGCCGGGTTGTTGACGATGGAGAGCGTCGTGGCGTCCATGACGCGCAGGTCGTTGCCCAGGAGCAATGGCGACTTGAGCGCCGCCCACATGGCAAAGTGTGCCTTGTACTGTTCTACAATGTCAGCGTGATGTCATGTGTCTGTGTTCGCAGCTATACGCACCTCTTCTTCAGTCATGCCGCCCAGGCCGACTTCGAGCATGTCGAGGTCGTTCCACGCTCCCGGAAGGCCACGGTCAATGTAGGGCGCCACCTTGTTGATGATGGCCAGGACAGAGCAGTGCGTGCCTGGGGCGACGCACGCTGGGTTGGCCGGGTCGTTGCAGGCGCAGAGATCGTCCGGTCTCGAAAAGGAGTCGTAGATGTCGCCTGAGATGCGCCACGAGTTGGCAATGGATCCTCCCCACTGTTGCCATCAAGTCAAAATTGTGTTCTCCAAGACGAACATTTTCAATGCTTCAAGGCAACTCACGGTGTGGACGTAATCCTCGCCCCAGCTGCACAGGCTGTACAGAATGGACCGGCCCGTCTTCTTAATCGCCTTGGCCATTTCATTGTAGCGGTTAAAGGAGATGAGAGGCGTCCCCATGCGACCCATGTGGTAGCAGTTGTCGTACTTGAGGTAGTCGACGCCCCAGGATGCGAAGCTCTCGGCGTCCTGCGTCTCGTAGTCCAGAGATCCCGCTACAATCCAGCTGCGTCAGCTTCACGTACGCCTTGGTCGGCCACACGCCTCGCAAGACTTACTGTATCTCGCGCAGGTCATCTCGCCGGCGCTCGAGTACATGCCAAACAGAAAGCCTTGCTTGTGCAGCTCGTCCGCCACGCCGTCCATGCCGTGGGGGAACTTGGTTGTGTCGGGGATGAGATAGCCATCTTCGCCACGCCCGACCGACCAGCAGTCGTCGAGCACGACATACTGGTAGCCCAAATCCTTGAGACCGTAGTCGACCAAGAGTTTAGACGTCTCGAGGAGGAGCTTTTCGGAGACGTCGCAGGCGAACGTGTTCCAATTGTTCTGTAGGCCGGCTTGTAAGCTGAACTGCTCGTTCGATGTTGCGGCGCCCGCTTCCTCCGCCATTTACTCACCCATCCCATCTGCGGAGTTCGCGCGAGGCCGTTGTTGACGGCGCGCACAAGGGCCGCGGGCATCGCCACCGCCACAAGAAGCCGGGTCTTCATTTTGTCGCTTTGTCCGATTTTGTGGTTGGCGATTGTCGAAACGAGCACCAACGCAAGCACAACGAGTGAATGATGAAAAGCACGTTGAGAGGAGCGGTCAACGACGAGACGTGATATTTATTTGCACACAAAGAACAAATCAAATGAACAACTTGCATCCCAAGCGGGCTGCTTTCATGACTCCCCGGGACTGCTCTGTTGGACCAAACGCGACTGGGGCGGCTCGCTGATTGTCTCCGCATCGGCGAGCTTCCCAGTGTTCCCACAGCTCCAGTATATGCACTCCGTGGAGGTTTATTCGGGGAATCCACCCACTCGCTCCCGGCGTCGCTCAGCTCGGCCGCGGGCACCAGTGCTCACTGCGGGTACCCCCCTCTCCACTGCAGCTCCAGCTCCGCATGCCCAGCCTTCAATGGCAACATGCATGTAGTCAGCCCGACATCTAGTCGCACTCTGAAAAGCTCTTGGTCCCTTCCAAGAAGCAGGGGGCGTTCTCTGCCAGGCACTGGGAACCGGCAACGTCAGCAGCGAATTCACATGAGGCGACGGGGGATCGAAACCCCCATTCAAACTCCGCACGAGACTCACCTCGGAGCACCAGTCGCACATTTTCGTCACCTTTGCCGTCCTGGGCTTCGGGTACTGTGTTGTCGTGTTGTACATTTGTTCGTACTCGGCCTTTGTCCATACCGAGCCGGCCTTATAAAACGATCCCCTGAAAAAGCCATCATACGTGGTCACTGTGCATGCCTGCGTCTTCATCGAGCATGTCTGGGCAAGAGGAGATCAACCGTTAGCAACCCACCCAAACGACGACAACGACACAGCACACTGGCATTGCCATTGATGACTGGGTTACTCACCCCATTGAAGATGGCATGCCTGCCACCTTGCATGCTGCTAACGGCGGCAGACGCACCGGTGAGGAGTAGAGCGGCGACGGCAGAGATGTACTTCATATTGAACTGTAATGAGTTGCGATGAAATTTGCAATGGTGAATTATTTCAAGTCAGTGTTGGAAAAGGGGAATTGAGGAGGAGAAGTGTTGTTCGTCTATAAATTCGTCGCACTTCAGCTGCCCAACTTCGCTCATATACTTGATGGCTCAGCTGTTGGCAATGTGATGCCAACTGAGAGTGTGAAGCGATAATAGCATGGAACGACACCGAAACCAGCTCCTTCACAGATCGCGACAGGTGTGACGCAATCAGGGCTCTTCATGGCACGTTGCTGCAACGTGAACAGACAACGACCGATCGCGCGTGGTTCACTCATGTTGCGGGGCGCTCCGAATGGATCAAACCATCCGTTCACGTTTGATCCAGCTCGCTTGTTGACCACGTAATAATATCGTGGGGCATGTCGCAGCATCGCTGTGTCCGTGGCACTACCCATCCCGTGCTTCGTGCGCGGCGATCTCGGGCTACCCAAGCGCTTGAGCGCGTGCCCTTCGCGAGTACATGTGTGCAACATTATACGTGGAAATAATACGCAACATGATAAAGAGGATGTGGTGGAAAACCTTTTTGCTCAAGATTAAGCTAGTCAAATGGTCCATTTCATCTGCTACCCGAGACACCTTGAACGCCTCCGTGTATATCCCAAGCATTCATCATAACAGTCATGCTCTGCAAAGCTGCCCATGACAGCTCCTCGTCTGGTATATTCATGTCCGACATTCGTAAAAGCCGCGTAACACATGCGCTAAATTAGACTTGACTATTTGACGTGTGTCAGTTGGGATATGCAATGGTCCGTGCAAGTCGGAGAGCAATGGGCAGACTTACAAGAGGCCACAGCTCGGCTACAAGCCTGAGCCGGTGTTGGCTGGAGGCCAGGCACCTCTTCAGTGAAACTGCAATGAGCCCCGCCCGGCCAGTGCTTCCTTGACGCGAGACATGTTTTCCTCTTGACGATTCCGCGATGACGACGAGCCGCCGGCACCATGTGTCTGTGGGACCTGGCTTTGCTTGACGCCCGGCTTCTCACTCAGGCGAACGTACCCCGCATTCGGGGACTTGAACCCGTTCTGGATTTGTTCGGCAGGCATGGTTGGTTGGTTGGTGGGTGGTATGGTAGAATGCAGTGGTGTGGCGCGGGAGTACTTTGTGTGGTGTGTGATCAATGCGCTCAATGAGGCAGGTGAAGAATTAAAGTGTTTACGGAGGATGCGTTGTGCTTGGACAAGACAAACCCTTTCGATTGAATTCAGACTTTTCGCTCCTTTTTATCATCAAGACAAACGCTGCGCAGGCTTCCGATTGCTTACGAGGTGTTCCGCGCGTTGTGAGTCGCCTAGAGAAAGCCTCATGGCGTGTTCCAAGCCACAGCCTGGATTAGCGAGCAATTTTGATCACAGCGTCGCGCCGATTGAGTCACAGGCTCGATTTTTTTTGCACGCCGAAACGTGAATTGGCGGCTGGAGGGCGCGCGACTGACGCACCGACGCCAATTGACATACGACGGGACGCGAGGCGCCCACGTGTGTGTCGTCATCGTGCCCCCGCAGTTGACGCTGCCTGATGACGGGCGACTCGCGTTGCTTACGCCGACCGAAAAGCATGCCGGGAATGGTACCCCGGCGGCGCTTGGCGGAGCGAGTGAGAGTCACGGTGGCTGATTCCAGTCCGGAAAACCCAACATAAGCGAGGAAGAGAGAGAGTCCAGATCAGCTGCCCCTTTGAGTTGTGTTCCTGGCAGCCAGGGGCCCGACTCCCGAGGACGGGGAGGCCCGTCAATGGCTAAATGAACCTCGCTCGACGTTTGTAGCACAGACCTCTACTTTTTTTTCTTTCCGATTATCTCACCGGAGCTACAGGCCTGTCCGGGGAAGCCTCTGGGGAAATACACGGCAACGGTTGACATTTGCGGGGGAGCATTGGCTAGGGAGACATCGCGCGGGGGAAGCGCTGACAATCGCCTATGCCTGATCCCGTCGGATCCTGCGATACATAACGGTTAATAGTAATGCTGCTGACCGACATATAATGGTGATGGCTTCGCTCGTCGATGATGCGGGCGGTCTCCAAAGACTTCACAGTTCTAAGGAATTGGTCACTGCACGTAGCCTGTCGCAATGCTTCTGCTTTCCCTCACCAAACTCGGTCTGCTCGCCGGAGCGGCAACCGCCGCGTCCCTCAAGGTCGTCAAGATCGGGACAACGCCAGACGGCAGCACTGCTCCAATCCGCGGCTGGAACTCATGGGGCACCCAGGCAGGCAAGTACCTCAGTGACGCGGACTACAACGAGGGCCACGTCCGGGGAATATGCGACAGACTGGCAAGCGACTTGAGGGGCAACTACCAGCTGTGCGGCCTGGACTCTGGCTGGTCCGTCGGCGACCACGGAGACGAGTACGGCCGCATCAACTACGATGAGAGCAAGTTTGTCATCCCTCGCTTCGCCAGCTACCTGCACAGCAAGAAGCTCCTCATGGGCATCTACATCGTCCCGGGCGCGTTCCTCAACGACTTCAACAAGACCATCGAGGGCACCAACACCAAAATCAGCGAGATCTGCGGCGCAACCAACGGCCTTGCCAGATGCCGATTGAAGTACGACCATCCAGACACGCAGAAATGGATTGACTCGAACGCGAGGCAGTTTGCGAGTTGGTAAGTCCGAAGACCTCACTTTTGCTTCACGGGCGCAGCTCAAGCATCGATTGATTGCTTGCTAACACGGCCAAGGGGCGTCGACTACATCAAGCTCGACTACATCACGCCCGGCTCCAACGACAATGGCGTCGACCTCCCACCCGACGAGAGCCCCGAGGTGCAGATGTGGCACAAGGCCATCAAGAAGACGGGCCGCAAGATGACGCTTGCCATCTCGTGGAAGCTCGACCGCACCAAGCCCTACTTCGACATCTGGCGCACCAACGCCGACTCGGTGCGCGTCGACCAGGACATCCAGTCGTACTCGCGCACGCCCTTCACCGACTGGTCGCGCGTCCTGCGCACGCTGACCAACTACCTCGAGTGGATCAACGCCGCCGTCGCCAACTACAAGACCATCGGCACGCACCCCAACCTCGACACCATGTACGTCCTCAACGACGGCAGCCTCAGCGGCCTGAGCCTGGACCAGCGCCGCTCCGTCTTCATCCACTGGATCGGCGCCTCGGCGGAGCTGAACCTCGGCGACGACCTCGAGCAGCCCGACGCGGAGGGCCTGGCGCTGCTCAACGACGGCGACGCCCTCGCTGCGGCGAGCTTCACGGCAAACTACCCCATGCAGCCACGCAACCCGGGATCCGGCGGCAACGCGTGGCTCGCGCAGAACGCATGGATCGCGGGGCCTGCTCCGTCGGGCGAGTTCATTGCCGTGCTGGCAAACTACGACGACGCCGGCACGAAGACGGTGTCTGCGTCGTTTGGAGACCTCGGCGTCTCGGGCAAGTACTCGTGCTTCGACGTCTTTGGCAAAAAGTCCCAGACCACGAGCTCGGGGCTGAGTGCCAGTCTCAACGGGGGACAGAGCGTCATGTTTCGCTGCACTCGCGCTAAACGCCGGGTGTGAGTTGATGCTTTGACACCATTGCTGTCCACTGCTCATCATGGCAGTGCTGGCAGACGAGTCGTCAATGCGCCTAGGTAGGCATCGGGAAAACAAGTACGCGATGTCAATACTTGTGAAAGAGAAAAGAGAGTGACAGTGACCATTGTTCCGTCCTGGTTCGCCTTTTCGTTTTTTTGATCCTGTCCAATCGTTGTGCTTCATGCCCTGGATGGGCCTGCCTGCGCAGGTCAGATTGGAGCGCATCAGGAGAGAATACAAGCTGAACAAACAAACTTTGCGATATGGTTTCATTAGCATACATAGTTGGCCAATACATACATCATGGCCTGTGATTTCTACCCTCTTGCTCTGATGGGCACTGATCACCGTAGCTCTGAGCGCCGCCGGCACGCAAGTCATGCTGAAAAGGAACCTCTCAAGGTGAGAGAGGACTTCTTCCTGCGCCGCAGTCCAGGCTGATGTGAGAGTGCGACTAACACGGCAAAACACGATTACCATGTGACTCCGCCGTCATCCCTCCCCGCCCATGTCAGCGCGGCATCAAAACATGAGATTCGGGAAAGCCGAACAGACACACCATGAAGCAACCGAGCACCAGCCAAGAACCGAACGGGCAGGCTATTTGCCAACCTGCCTCATGCAAGTGCCGAAACATTGAACGGAAACATCTTCGGAACCTCGATTCATTGGTTCACTCTGCGCCAGCGCGCACAAGAAAGCCGACGCGCGAAGAATAGTCCCTGGCAGGTCCCGTGGGCGCTTCAGATCAGGCGGGCCAGCCCCTGGGATTGGTGCGGTTCTGGCTAGCAGAGCGGCCCTGGGCCCATTGGAGACTTGTGCGGAGATTCTTGGGGTCAGGTTGGCAGGGGGGAGCAGGTATTGCTTCAGATCGACGACCGCGAATTTGTCCGGCGCCACGTCCGCGGGAACGAACAGGTTGGCCAAGCCTCACATCCTCAAGTCCCGAGCGCAGGCTTGGCCTTGGTTGTCGCTAATGATCTAGCCCTGCGCTCTAACGGAACGGCAGCGGAGCGAGATGTTGGGTTGAGGCCCGATGCAGATTGATGGCTTGAGACTTTGGCTAGGTACGGGCTGCAACCCTTCTGAGTTCGCCGAGGCATTGATGGGCAATGTACGACTGCGGCGCGGCCAGACCCAGCGAGCACTCGACGTTGCAAGCCGCCCACGTGCGACTGTCGCATCCCCAGATTTTAAGCTCCAAGGGGGGTTGAACCAATGCTCCATTCGCTGCCGGTCTGTACATCACCAGCAGACTCATTGGCTTTGAGCGAATTAGAGAAGTCCTTGTTGCACACAGGTCTGATAGCATAGGGGCCCTGAAAGCTTGTTCGTTGTTGAAGAGAAGAGACCAGACGCTGTGTCCAGTATGGCGTTTGGGCCATCCGTCAACTGCAAAGTCGACTCAGGGAGCGGCAAAGCGGCATCACCAACGTGCATGTCCACAGGGCGGGCGTGCCTCTAAGCAGGCAACCAGGCACGGCAAATCCACATAAACTCCGAAGAAGACTCCATCGTTGGGCCCCATTCGGTAAGCCGTAACTACGAAGTACGCTGTAAAGTGCATACCTCTTGAAGACCAACCCTAGTCCTCACGCGGCCCGACGCTGGCAGCCCCCAGCTTGATGGAATCGAGAAGCTGGAGAAGCGGGGCCTAGCCATGCGGAGAAGACTGGACGGCCCAGAACCCCAGGTTTCTGCCCGTCGGTTTGCAAGAACTTGCGGGGTGGGTTCGCGTTTCTCAGTGGTCTCACACCAGACAAAAGTCGACGCTTCTCGGCCCCAGCCCCCGATGGCGGAACGCCACCACGGCATTCTCCCCTTGTGTTTGGCCAGTCCCTCTCTGCCGGACCGACATGGCCCTTTCTGGGGCCCTCTTGCCGCCCCGCGAATTGGCTTTTGTTCTCTTTGCCCGAATATATCCCCATCCGTGGCGCGGGGCGGTTACAACGCCATTTGCCCAGACCACGCGCGAACGTCCTCGATCGCCAGTAACGACAACCAGACCATGGGGGGACATGCAGCAAACACCAGGCCAGACCACAGCAACACTACTGCACATCGCAGGCAGGCCCGTCCCCGGGCCAGCGAGCGGCGGCCGTCTAAGTCGTTTGTTATATAACTCCAGCTAGCGGCATCACAAAAACCTGGGGGATCAGCATTCCGCAGCAGCAGCAGCAGTCCCTTGATGCATTGGTGTCATCCGGCTTCTCCCCTCCGTTCGTCACCACCAGCGTTAGCCCACCCATATTCGATCCCACCTCGGCATTGATCGCGCAGTCACCGCTTCGCGATGGAGAAACGCGACTTGGGCACCGCCGACCAGGTCGAGGTCGAGCGCACCCTGACGCAGGTCGCCAAGGACGCGACCCTCACCGATGAGACGCTCAACCAGAACGCCCTCGAGGGCACTGCCGACGAGCACGAGCTCACCGTCATGGACGCCCTCCGAACGTATCCCCAGGCCGTCGGCTGGGCGCTCGTGTCGGCCACGTGCGTCATCATGGAGGGCTACGACACGAACCTCCTGTCCAACTTCTTTGCCTACCGTGAGAGATTGATGCCCCCCCTCCTTCTTTTCCCCCTGAGAGTTGATGATGCTAACAGCGTTCTTGGTGGAAAACAGCCTCGTTCCTCATCCGCTACGGGCACTTCGTCGGCGTCACGCCCGAGACCCCCACGGGCTACCAGCTCACGCCCTCGTGGCAGGCCGGCCTCTCGCAGGGCTCAAACGTGGGCTCCATCCTCGGCTGCCTCGTCAGCGGGTACCTCGTGTCCAAGTACGGCTCGCGGCGGGTGCAGCTCGGCGCGCTGCTCTCCCTCACGGCCTTCATCTTCGTCGTCTTCTTCGCCCCCAACCTGACGGCCCTCGTCATCGGCGAGATCCTCTGCGGCTTCCCCTGGGGCATCCTCGCCACCACCGCCCCCGCCTACGCCTCCGAGGTGCTTCCCATCGCGCTCCGCACTTACATGACCTCGTATACGAATATGTGCTTCATCATCGGCCAGCTCATCTCCGCGGGCATCCTCAAGGGCCTGTCCACCCGCGAGGACGAGTGGGGGTACAAGATCCCCTTCGCCATCCAGTGGGTGTGGCCCGTCTTCCTCGTGCCCCTTATCTGGTTCTCGCCTGAGTCGCCGTGGTATCTCGTCCGCATGGGCCGCCTCGACGAGGCCGAGGCGTCGCTGCGCCGCCTCCAGTCCCCCAAGGCGACCAACGTCGACCCGCGCAAGACCCTCTCCGTCATCGTCTACACGAACAACCTCGAGAAGCAGCTGCGCGTCGGCACCAGCTACTGGGACTGCTTCAAGGGCACTGAGCTGCGCCGCACCGAGATCGCCTGCGTCGTCTTCGCCGGCCAGATCCTCTGCGGTATTTGCTTCGCCTACAACAGCTCCTACTTCTTCTCCCAGATGGGCCTCGGCACGAGCACCACCTACTCTCTCGCCCTCGGCGGCACCGGCCTGGCGTTTGTGGGCTGCCTGGTCAACTGGTTCGTGCTCATGCCCAACTTTGGCCGCCGCACCATCTACGTCTGGGGCATGGCCGGCATGTGCGTCGTCCTCATCCTCATCGGCATCCTCAACGTGTGGACCTCGCACTACTCCGTCGCCTTGGCGCAGGCCTGCCTCACCATGGCGTGGACCTTCATCTTCCAGCTCTCCGCCGGGCAGCTCGGCTGGGCTCTCCCCGCGGAGATGGGCTCGACGCGGCTGCGCCAAAAGACCATCTGCCTGGCGCGCGACTCCTCCAACATCATGGGCACCATTGGCGGCACCCTGCAGCAGTACTTTATGAACCCGCAGGCCTGGAACCTCAAGGGCTACACCGGCTTCTTCTGGGGCGGCACCTGCTTCTGCGTCTTCGTCTGGAGCTACTTCCGCCTTCCCGAGACGTGGAACCGGTCGTACCACGAGCTCGACGTGCTGTTTGCGAAGCGGGTTCCCGCGAGGAAGTTTGCCAGCACACCAGTCGATCCGTTCGACGAGCACGACATCAGCAAGATCACGGGCAAGGCTCAGGACGCCGCCGACCGAGTATGATGGGGGACAATCGAGACCCTTGGTGCCTCCGTCGCCGCATATAGTCTCGTAATATATGATATTGCCTATGTACATGCCTTTATGATGCCCAGGCCGGCTATGCAATATATACTGAACCTGCAACGCTAACCACACGCTTGCCTTGTGTACTCCGCCACCTTTGCATTAGTAGTTGACGCTGAACATGCTCCAAAAGTGTTGATTGTCGCTCTCCTGGAGATCTCCGTCGACGCTGGCGAGCAAGTAATGGCCCGACCCCATCTTGAAGGAATATCCCTTGCTCGGCGTGAATCCGACTTCAAACTTCATGGCGTCGCCCTTGTCGCTGCAGAGCTTTTCACTGTTGCAAATGTACCGGCCGTCCGCGGCGTTGCTGAGGATAAACTCGGTGCCGCCAAGCTCCAGGACGTGCGCAACCCAGCGTTGGCCAGCCGAGTCATGTTTGTCTGTGGCCTTTGTCGCGCAGATGCCGTCCTGAGAGCCGCATGCCGAGCCCGACGTAAGCGCCTGGCCGTTTATTTCTGGAACAAGGAAGCGACCCTCCGTAAGTTTCCCACGAACGGGCTTGAAACCCTTTTCCACGAGGCCCGATATGTCGCTGATGACACCATTGCCCTTGTACGGTACGGGCGGCTGCTGGTTCGGGTACTGGGACTTGCAGTGCGAGGAGCCATCATAATTGCCGTTGCCATCCTTATGCGGCTCCGGAGCGTTCGGCAGGCTCGGCAAGCTGGTATCGGGGTGATCAAAGTCAAACGCTGCGACCAGGTCACCCATATGGTCGCGGCGCCATTCGACCATCTCCCTGGTCGTCACGTTGCGACCCTTAGCAGCCTGCCATTGCTCAATGAAGAGCAACTGCGAGTTGTGATCCGAGTGTTCTGTGTATACACCACCCTTGCGCGTCCACGGCGAGATGATGTAGAATGGGACGCGGAAGCCCGGTCCGGCAAAGGTATGCCCGACTTGGCCATACGGATCATTGAGCCACTCGCCGATAGTGCCCTCAGGAGAGCGGTAAGGGTCCACGTGGTCGAACCAGCCGCCTGTCTCATCATACGAGATGATAAGTGCGGTCTTGGAATACTTTGGTGACTTTGTGACAGCCTCCACAATCTTGTTTTGCAGCCAGGCACCATCGTGCGGTGAGTAGGGAGGGTGTTCCGCCAGCTCTGCAGGCCCGATGATGTACGAAATCTCCGGCAGCGTCCCGTTAGCAGCCTGAGCATAGAAGGTGCTAAGAGACCGCCCCTTCATGCCCTTCTCGTAGAGGCTGGATCCCTTCTTGGCCTGCTGGAACTGTTCGAACCACGCCAGGGGATTATCGTCAAAGTTATCCGCGTCTTGGTAGACCTGCCAGCTGACCCCGGCATCTTCGTAGTATTCGGCAGCGGTCTTCCACTTAAGCGGGTAGCAGTTGATCCCATTCTCGCATCCGGGCGTCTCGTTGTTATCGATGTATGGGTTTCCTCCTTGGTCTGGCCTTTGGGGTGAGCCGGGGACGTTGATGGAGCCGGAAGACCACACGACGCGATTTGGTGACGTTGAGGCAATGACAGACTCCTGATACATGTCGCCAATCACCCAGCCCTCGGCCAGGGCCCACTGCGTCGGTATATCCTGTCGCTTGTAGAAGCCTATGCTGTAAGGAGTATTGTCTGTGGCCCAACGATCATTGGTTCCGTGATTCCACGCCGCGTGGTTGTTGTACCAGCCGTTGCTACCAGCCAGCATGCACTGAGTGGCCCCATTCCAGTCGCCTCCCAGGTAGTTGATATACCACGGCGTAACGTAGTCGGCGTCTCTAGATGGTGACTTTTGTTTCCAGACGGGCACTCCATTGTTGGTCTGGAGGTTGGCGTCGTTGAAGCCGCGCACGCCTGCCATTGTACCAAAGTAATGGTCAAAGGCGCGGTTCTCTGTATGACGACCGGTTAGACTCTTGTCTCAGCGCATGGGATACTAGCGAAAGGGATTGGCAATACGAACCTTGCATGAAGAGGACGACATGGTCAATATCCTTCAAGCTGCCAGCGCTCGCAGGACCGACGGCTGTTGCCAGCAGAGCCGCCGCAGCAGGCGCAACGGACTTGAAGCCAGTCATGTCGAAATAAGAACTCGAAAGACGACTTCTTTTTTTCTTGTGGTGCCTGGCTCTAGGTGCGCCATGTCTTGGACGGGCGGCGACAGCGCATATATATGCGGAGGTGCAAGTCATTGTCGACACGCGCCTCATACGCCTGTCTCGGGAATGCAGACTATGCTTCCAACCACCACTCCCTTGGAAACAACCCTTCGCCACCCCAACCGCCCGCCAAGCACGGCAGAAGACAGCAATGCCGTCTCCTCCACACCACAAGACCCCCGCGATGTGGAGTTACGATCTGCTGAGTCCGATGGAATAGGAAGTTCCAACAGCCAGTGGAACGTTGCCTTGTGGTGGTGGGAACGGCCGAGCAGTCTGAGCTCTGCGTGCTCGAGCCAGGCCCTGGCATAGGATTTCCGTCTCATAGTCGAAAATAGAAGGCCGATTCTTCCGTGGGGTCACGGCCGAAACGCACAGGACGCACGCGCCTCATGGTGTTCTTATCGCCGTGCCGGATTCAAGACTTGACACCCACGGGTCCTCACCCAACGGCGCTACTTGCCAGCACCGTCTCACCAGCTGCCGAGCTGCCGACCATCAAGACGGTGGCGTTGATTCTTCTCTGCAATAAATGTCCGCAGTATAGCGAATAGTTCGGTTGACTCCACCACGTGCTGAGATCCTCGCGTGAAAGCAACAGGCTCGGTACTCGCCTCCGAGCCGCCCCCGTTCCCGCATGCACGCAAGACCGATCAGGCTGGGCGTGCAAGTAATGAATGGTTGTAGTCCCGGGGCCTTGGGTGGGTCACACGGCCGTGCATCATCGGCCGCATGCCGCGGGGTCTGATTCGCGTGCCCCTCGCAGGTGCATCTAGGACGGCCGATCTCGACGCCGCCGCTCCTGTGCCACCCCAAGCATCTATGCTAGCCAACTAGCCACGGCTCTGCTCAATGATGTGCCTTGCCGCGCCCACCTGCCGCGCAGCGCGGTCCGGACCTTGTCGAACCTCACAGCGTTGCCGCTATATCTGATGGTACGTGTGGTGAATACGATGCGCCGGCGACATGCCGCCTCGGCCCGTCAACGGTCATGGCCAAGGCGCAGTAGCCTGCGCAGACACTGTAGCGGATTTTAGCGGTGACATGCAAGCGCCCCTGCTTTCATGTGTGTAGTGATCTATCCCCGGGCCTATTACAATGAACCTATGTGCTCATACACAACTCCGCTGCGGAAGGGTCTATGCCCCGGATGTGATCGAGGTCATCCTCTCCTCCGACATGCAGCCCGGCTACCATGCCGGTGCCCATGTGGACCAGCATGTGGCAATGTAACATCCACAACCCGGGGTTGTCCGCCGTCAAGCGCACTACAACATGTCCTCTCCGCGGCACGCTAATTGTGTCCTTGATCACGGGGCTCTCCAGGTTCAGTCCAGCGGGTGGTGCCTCAGACTCGTACGGATTGTAGCTGCCCCATCCGTCGCGTCCATCGGCCCTAAAGGAAGACAGGACGTGAAAGGAGTTTCCGTGGAGATGGATCGGATGTGCGCCGTCGTCGAGATTGTTGATGACAAGATCAACGGTGACGGGCTGGTTGGGTTTAGTTGCGATAAATGGAAGCAGCTGGTGCTCGTCCCAGGCAGTGCGGTTGAGTGACAGGAGGGCCGGTGTCTGTGTCTGCCACGTCGTATGGTTCACGAAACCGAGGGGCTTGTTGTTGAAGCGCGATAGCTTCTGAGTCTTCATGTACAACAGAATGGTCTCCTGAGCTTTGGCTGGCAGGGCCGTCGTGCGAGTAGACGCGGACGTCAGGGTTGCCAGGTCGCGATGATCTTTGCCGAGTTGCAGCGTGGTTGTCTCTTCCCGCATAGTTACATTGCCTGCGGGTAGAGCATGAAACGTCTGATTCGGATTCAGCGCCTCGTTAGGAAAACCGCCAAAGTTCCTAGAGGGACATAGGTCAGGACCCGTGTGTCATAGGTTGTGCTATGTAGCATCTCGCGACACGCCAAGAGACTTACTCCTCGTCGAGATAAATGTTCATGCGGGGTAGTCCGCTATCTCCTTTGGCCCACTTGAGCAAGACGTCGGCTCTCTCCCCGGGGTATAGGATGCCGACTGATTGGCCCGCATCTCTGCTCACGGAGCCCGCGCCGTCCACGGCAACAGGCTCCAGTGTCGCTCCGTCTATCTTGATAGAGAAGCCCGCGAGCGAGCCCGTATTGATCAAGCGTAGCCGCGCTGGAGAGTCGGACCGCCGCGCGAGTAGCGGCTTGACATCGGTCTGGCGCTTTTGGGTGCAGTTCAGTGGCCGAGCGGGAACCGCCATGGAACAATTGTACCGCCCGTTGCCGTTGACAAGCAGCGAGTCTGGGACGGGCTCGTTTCCGAGGCTAGAAAAGTCGGCGAACCAGGCGAGCACTTCTGCCTGTGCGCGGTGATACCAGTCGCCAATGAGGACCAGGACGTCGTCTCCATGCTGCGTAAGGGGGGCAGTAGGGTCGTGCACGACGAGCCCTCCGTAGAGTCCATCACCGCGCTGGACTTGGCTGTGACTGTGCCACCAAAAAGTGCCATGCTCGTCGTCCCCAATGGTGAAGTCATAGACGAAGTCGCCACCGGGCGGAATGGGGCACTGCGTGAAGCCAACAGCCCCGTCCATGCGGTTGAAGCCCTTCATGCGGAGGCCATGCCAGTGGATTGACACGCCTTCTGAATCGAGGCCATTGAAGACGTTGACGACAAGTCTGTCGCCAGGCCGGGCTTCGATGGTTGGTCCCGGGAACGCACCTGGAGTCTGTTAGTGAAAAGCGCGCAGCTCATGTAGGGGTGAATGCTACCGTTGACAAGATAGACTGGCTTTTCCACTCCGTCGGGCGCGCGCACTCCGCGGGTGATGTTCCAGTCAAGCGTCAGCGTTGTCGGTGCTCGCGCCGCGTGCTTGTCTGGGTGAAGGCGGATAGCAAGCTGGTCGCTTTCCGAATGGTGAGAGGCGACCGACGGTGATGCGCCGCGACCAAGAAAGCCGAGCAAAGGCAGTGCAAACACCGATACCAGCACGACAATACCTATGATGGTCCATCTCGAGGAGCCCGCGAGCCAGGTTCTGAAGGTGGCCGCCGAGTTGCTCCGGTGCGTGTGTGGGGGAGGTGACTTGGTCTCGGTCTCGTCCTCCTGCAGCAGGCCGCGGTCCTCCTCGGAGTCACGGTCCCTCATCTTGGACGGGCTGGGTCAAAGCGTCGCCGGCGGGCGCCTTCCTTAGCAGCCAGAGCCCATCGCAACTTCCGACTGCGCGCTGCAACGGGATCATGGGATGAATTGAGGTGAAGAGGTGGAAGGATGAAAGGGCCTGCCTTGTCTGCTGGCATCCTGTCCACTCCACAGGCGGGTGTTGGTAACAGCGTGCAGCATAGCAGCACTGGGCATGTGGCGGCGTGGGACGGTCCTGCAGGCTAGTGTGTACATACTACATAATACTTCGTACTGTAGTAATACACTGCTGGCAAAGTGGGAAGCGCGCCCCCGAAGCCCCCACACGCGACTTCCTCGTGCAACAGCACGCGCCCAATCAGCATACCAGCTGCCGCCCCCGTGCGCATTGTCTGTGGCAAGTGCGACCTTGGCCGCCCGGCACATGCGCGCCGACTCGGGCCGTTGGAGCACGAACCAGATTGAGCCAACTTGTTCTCCGAATCTGCAACCAACTGCCAGAGATCAATTCAAAATCTATTACCCGTCAACCTCTACAGTACTCCGTGTCGCGCTCCGTACCGTGCTTCATGCCACCTTGGCTTCATTCGCGATCGCGGTCCTGCCGTTTCTGTCGCGTCAATCACAGAGCCATTTTCCACGTCTCCGCCTTGGTACCGGGCGCAAAACTCAGCGACTCCTCCTCCCTCACCAGTTGGAACCCGAACGCCCTGTATATCTTCCTCGCCGGCGTCAAGAGGCTGTTTGTGTAGAGGACCAGGTCCTTGTACCCGACTTCCCTGGCAAAGTCGATGCAGTTCTGCACCAATCGCCCGCCCAGACCCATCCCCCGCGCGCCGTGCTCGACCAACAGTGCTCGGATCCTCGCCGTCTCGGGCATGTCCTTGTCGTTCACGAGGAAGACGCAGCCGAGAAACACGCCGTCTCGCTCTGCAATCCAGCTGCGCTCGATCTGTGGGTTATACTGGTCGACAAAATCTGCCATGATGCGTGCGACCATGGCCTCGAAGCGCTCGTCCCAGCCATAGTCGTCGAAGTAGACGATGGCGTGCCGGCTGATGATGTGCCCGATGTCTCCAGGGCGGTGCTGTCTCAACACGAGGACGTTCGGCTTGGCCAGCATGGTGGGCAGTTTTGTGCGTTGGTGGTGGAGCTAACTGGATGCTGGACACCCACGACCTTTGTCAACCTGCCAGCAGAGCACGAATCGAGCGCCACGGCTCTTAAAATGGAATTCATTGCTACCTTCAGCTTCGTTGAAGCCATGTCTCGAATGTCGGCCAAAGGCGTGCTATCTGGCAGATTTGTCAAAACGGGCCCTGTTCCTGCAGCGTTGTCGATCCAAGGGCGCGATCTTGACGAGCGCCACCACGCGACCAGGGTCCAACAGATCTGTTGGACGACCCTCCAACACCCACACTATGCCGCCTTCCGTCGCCATCTCGCACCCAGCCCTTGCAGCAGCACTGTTGGAATCACTGACACACCGACTATCATGGCAATGGGAACGGCCGTGCTCCTCGCAAACCCAAGCGCGTTGATCATTTGGGGAAACCTAAATGCCGTCAGCATCACCTCAGCTTATGCGCGGGCAGTTTAACTCCGGGAACTCACCAGAACGGCCCAATGAATCCCCAAATGTGGCGCACAAAGATTACAAACGTGCCGACCGCGGCTCCGTCGTGAGGCAAACAATCGACGGCGTACGTTATCATGACCGTCGTCACGACCTGATTACCGGCGCCGCCAATGGCCATGCCCACGTCCGGCGTCACGTCCCACGTATTCGACGCCGCTCCCAGCTGCACGAGAAACACGACGACCCCGCAGATGGTGAGCAAATACCCAAAGTAACTCAGCCACAGGCGAAACTCTGGTTTCGGTGCCGCGCCCTCCCGTCTCGATGCCAGCCTCATCCAATGGTCCGAAGCGAATCCGCCTCCAAGCTCCCCGATGACGGTTCCCACGATGAATGCGATGTACTGCAATCCCACCTTCTCTGCATCAAAGCCCCATATTTGCGGATAGATTTGTGGCACCATGAGTGTGGTCATGACACAACCCCAGAGAAAGATCATTGCGTACGCCACGGCCGCTATGGCCACATTTGGATTGGTGACAAGCGTCAGCGGATGCAGGAAGTCGTACCAGGTAAGGCGAGTCGGGTCGACGCGCCGGAACTTAAGAAGGCGCTGTGCCGCCGAAGGCCTGGGCCTGGCCTCAAGGGCGGGATCGTGGACGTATCGCGTCTCAGAGCCTAGGAGCGCGTACGCCAGCAGTTGCGCGCCGTTGGTCTATTACCCGTTGTCAGCTTCGGCACAAATGAGCCGTCCGAGGAGGCTTACGATGGCGAGAGTCCAGTATATCCATCGGTACCCGACCCTCACGGCGACGAAACCAAACACCAGCGGCCCGACCGGCACGCCGAGGGTCATCATCATGGCCCACACGCCCATGTACCGCCCTCTCTCCTTCTTAAAGAAGGTCTCGCCCACGACACCGCTGCCTAGGGCGAGCGGCGGGCTAATGAAGAATGCTGTGAAAGCCCGAAAGAAAGCCATCGCGGAGTAGTTGTGCACGACAGCACAGGCAACGTTCCCGACCAGGCTGAAGAGCAGAGAGGCGATGAATACAGGCCGTCGGCCGTAAACGCGGGACAACGGCTGCCATATCAGCGGCGCGACGCCGAGGATGGCGATAAAGACAGAGACGAGGTAGCTTGCATCTTGCACAGATACCTGAAGGTCCTCGGCGATGGAGACAAAGGTACACTGGATGGCCGATGCGGTGAAGAGGCCGATGAAAGAGTGGAAAGCGACGAAGAAGAGGTTCAGGTCTTTCTGCGAGCTGTCAGGCGCTTCGCCACGGGCCACTGCCTTTGGACGGCAACTCACCTTGGGTCGTGACCAGTTCAGCGGGTCGTCGTCGCTGGGGGACGGGACCGGGTCCAGCTCTACGGTTCCGTGGCGGCGTAGCAAGTATTCGCGATGGGAATCGGTGAGTCCAACTCCCTCATCCTGCAGGAAATCTAATGGTCAGGCCGGGCGCGTGAAGCGTGAGTTAACGGTGGGAGACGCACATGACTGTCATCGACGTGGCCAGCCTCCTCTTTGGACATTGTGGGCGGCGGTGCATTCATCATTGAACGGGATCAACCGCTCTTGCAACGAGGCCTGGGGGCGGCATCCTATTAATGATGGCTTCGATATCTACCCCATGGGGACATGATCCTTGCCATGCTGCAACCATACCCATACTAGGACTGGTTTCACACGCTTGCGCCCACTCTGAACCAGCAACTCCAAGGCCCAAGAGATTGCTCAATAATATGTTAGCAGGAGCATCGGTAATTCCTTACGAATGAGTGCGCATGATTCGTCCGTCCCACGGGGGTGGTGGGCAACCCCGACGTGGGATGCGAGAGGACCTGGGGACGGTGCAGCCGCACAGCAGCGTCCAAAACGCCATCCGGGGTCGCACTCCACCACGTCCGACGGGGGTTTCCGCCGAGTCCCAATCGGAGGCTGGTGGACCGGCGCCCAACTGCCGAGCGGGGCCGCACCACGGACCATGGTTCACGTCTCTGGGCGTCGTCGATCCAGATTAGGCATCATGCCGTAAGGCGTGGTGGTGTTTCCCAGCTAGGACCGGTGGCTTGAGTCTGCACGTCTCGCGTGGCAGCAACGATGGTGCGCTTGAGCCAAGCAGAATATGGTCGAGACTTGAGACTACGAGTCACGGCAGCGAAGCCTCGATGCTTCCCTCAGCTCGCTTCGCCCTCCCACACAAAGTCTTGCTTTGCGCCGGGGATCAAGGGTCGCAGCGCCATGCCATAATCTCCCGCGTTGGGCGCCCGAAGGATCGTGTGGATGTGGAATCGCGCCGGCTCTGCGTTTGTCAGGAAGACGCCCGAGTGATGGTCAAACTCGACGACAATGACGGGGCTCTGGATGCGATAGTAAAACGGGGGACCACCACCATTGGTGCCACTTTCGTCAAAGCCCCCGATCCAGGAAAAGTACGTCTCGTGGAACCAGGCGCGAGCCTGCGTTAGTCGCATCGCCTGCGCACGAGCCGGCAGGTACAGCAGGTACTGGGCGAGGATGTCGCTGGCAAGGTCCTGCAGCGATGGATCCAGCTCTGCCAGGCATACTCCTTCGTACGGCACCACGCGGTTGTCGCGGAACGCACCGCACAGGTGGCGCTGGTCATCATGATTCCAGCGGCCGCGCGGCATCGCCGGGTCCTTCATCTGTGCGTAGGTCTGCGCGCGACGCTGCATCTCCGGCGTGAGGCCGCGCATTAGGCGCAGACCCAGAGCCTCCTCCTCATGCAGGATCCGCGTGCCCTGGTAGGGTCCTGCGTCGATGACATTGGGCTCTGCGCCGGTGAAGAACGGGGAGAGCACCATTTGCGACTTATAGAAGAAGACGCTGAGGCAGAGGTGGTGTCCGTAGAAGGAAAAGCCCCATGGCCTCGTCGTCGAGGGCTCGTCGCCGAAGAGGACAAAGTTGTACGAGTATTCGTTCATGATGGCCGGGGCTTGGACCAGCTCGCCGAGGAAGCCGTTGATGCGCATGGCCGCCACGGCCTTGTCGTAGCCCTCGGGCGACATGCACGCGCGGAGCACCTCCATGACAGCATCGCGCAGACTGCCGGACACCTCATCAAGCCGGATACCCTTGTCGTACAGCAGGAACTCGGGATTCGACCATGACCGCCACTCGGACGAGTCGATGTGATAGTGTACTCGCCGGCGCTGCGTCACGTCCATCTGAGCGAGGGCACGCTTGGTGGCGTCGACGATGTCCTCCATGGGAATGCCCTGGTCCTCGAGCTCAAACAGCCCCGGCCTGACGACGCCTACACCTCAAGGTCAGTCCAATGCCCTTTTCGGTGCGTGGCGTATAGTCATGTTGGCCTACCGTCGGAGGTGATGCCCTTGAAGGGCTCGGCGTGGAGGCTCTGCCAGTGGGTGTACAGGGCGTGCAGCCACGGCGGAGACTGCTGATCCTTGAACGCCTGGGCGTACTGGTACGGGTCCTGATTCTGCATAGCCACGAACCGCGGCGTCGAGAGATCCGGGAGATGCTCCCTAAAGGCGCTCTGGCCGTGGTTCTCTGAATCCGCCATCATCAGTGACGTCGTCGATTTGCGTGGAAGCCTTGGGGGATGAGCACAGCTTGAACGACAGGCGCTGCTCGAGACCTGGTGCGGCCGCGTCAGTCACATAAATCTTCAACACTTTGAGCTCTGTGCGCGCACTTTTCATTCATCCGCAGCCGGTGCAGGCACAGGATACCGGTCGCCAGTCGAAATGCCCTCCCGGATCTCCGCCCGCCGTGCCGATGCCCCGCCCGCCGCCGGGCCGGGGGGGCTGGGCCGCGGCAATCTGCATCCCCATTGGACGGACCTGCGCTGCATCCCCGGACCAAGACACCGGACTGGGCGCGCCGAGGCCGGGACGCGATGGCATGGATCCGCATCCGAAGGTCGGCGGCGACTTGATTGTCTATTTCGTTGTTGAGCTGCGGGCGAGGTGACAAAGACGGCCGGTGCGCCCTGTTTCGGAACGCAGGTCCAAGCAGAGTCAGCCACTCGGAGTGAATGGTGAACTTCACTGTGGACGCCTGAGCCAACATACCCTACACCGCGGCATTCACCAGGACATTCATCGTGGGGGCAACAGACAATATGGCGTCGGCTCCTTTCTCGCGTATGCTACTCTACAATTCGAGAAGTGAAATGCATGACTGTAGCCGCTAACAGCTTGCCAAACAGGTCTCGTGCGCTTCGTTCCGAAATCGAACCCATCGTCCGTCCTCATTGGCGAACCGACGGATCCCGATATTGATGTTGGGTTGGCTCTCCGGAAAGGTCTTATCATCGAAGCCGCCACTTTTTCTGGCCGGTCCGTGCTCTCTCCGGGACGTCGCACTGGGAACACGGAGACGATTCTGCGCGTGCTCTCGCCCCTGGCCGCAGAGGAGGTCGGCACGATCCGCTGCATCGGACTCAACGTACGGCTTTCGACCTGAGAGGTAGCCCTCGTCTCTCATCATACTAATCGACGTGTCCGTATAGTACAAACAGCACGCCCAAGAAGTCGGCCTCGCGCTGCCAACCGTCCCCACCGTCTTCCTGTAAGTATTTCATTTCGCATTCCCCCACGTATACCAGGGGGATAACACATCAAAGCAAACCCAGCACATGCGTCGGCAACCCATGGCCGGCCGCCACGCCGCTGCCGCACCTCACACAAAAGGATGACTGCGGCGACTACGAGGCCGAGCTCGCCGTCGTCATAGGCAAGACGGCCAAGAACGTGCCCGAGGAGCGGGCCATGGACTACGTGCTCGGCTACACGGCGTGCAACGACGTGTCGAGCCGGACGAGCCAGTTTGCGCAGAGCCAGTGGTGCTTCTCCAAGGGCTTTGACGGGTCGTGTCCGCTGGGTACGTGTTCGCCCTCTTGCCGGCCCCCGAATGATGTCGTCTATTCTTGCGTTCCGTGTTACTTGATCTCTTGGTGGATGCTGATGCGGAAGCTGGCAGGACCGACGCTGCTGTCTGCCGCGCTGGTACCCGACCCTTCGGCGTTTCGCGTGCGGGGGCTCAAGAACGGCGAGGTCCTGCAGGACTGCGGCGCAGAGTGAGTCTGTCCCATACACAACGAACTCCCTCCCGTCGATATAGGTAGAAACCCGAAGTGCAAGGGTCAGGGGCTAATACGGCAAACAATTCGCAGCGACCTCATCTTCAGCATCCCAAAGCTGGTTAGCTTTCTGTCGCAGGGCACGACGCTGCCCGCCGGGACGGTCATCATCACGGGCACACCCGCGGGCGTGGGCGTCGGGAGGGAGCCCAAGGTGACGCTGCGGCGGGGGGACGAGTTTGCGGTGGAGATATTGCCGCATATCGGTACCTTGGTCAACGTGTTTGAGAACGAGGAGAGCTGAGCGGGATTAAGACTGGGATTGGTGGTAATTGCGGCTCTCGTAGAATGAATACTGGAGCGGATTGGAACTGTGCACCGTAATACCGCGTGTCTGAGCATCTCGACCGAAAATAAAGCAGCGCCGCGCAGAAAATGCTCTCCTCCAATGCATATTAACAAATCGGCTCATACAGTCACTAGAACTTGTTCCATCTGCCGACCTGAGTACCGTCACACTACCACGAAGCCATGAACCTCCCCCATGGCACGCTATGCATTTGCTCCATTCTCAGAATATACACCAACGGTAAGACGGATCGTAATATCACCCCAACAGCTTCGGAATCTCCGCCTTCAAATGCGCCACCACCGCGTCCGGCCCCTCCCTCACCTGCAGCCCATACGGAATCGCATGCGTCTTGACGTGCGGCACGATGCGCCGCGCCGTGGCCTGCATCTCGGCGCTCTCCTCGGGCGTCCACATGGATGCGCAAAACTGTTTTCACCACACGTGGCCCTTTGTCAGCCTTCCCAGTGCAGTGTGACTTGCTGCCATGTAGGTAGTTACGAGTCACGATTCTGATTCCCCCGACAGGGCGAGGGCGGCGCGTCGGTGAGCGTGTAACGTACCAGGAGATCGGGCTTGAGGGCCGTCACGACGGACTCGACTTCGTCTTTGCCTAGATTTATCCCCATGCACGTCAGCGCGCTCCTTCGTTCCACGCCATCATGCGTAAGGAGGGGACTGGATGGCACGGTTGGAGGGAGGCTCACTCGTGCAGTTGCCAACGTAGTCAATCGTGTACCGGTCCGCCAGGTCGCTCGCCACGCGCCCGATCAGGAGCTTGGCCCGCTCGGGGGCGTTGTTCACCGTGACGAGCCGATACGGGCCCTTGGGAGGCGCGGGCGCGCCTGTCGAAGGCATGATCGATGATGCGGGCAGTAGCAACGGGTCTGGCGGGGTCTAGTGTTCTGTACTGTCTGGCCGCTGGCTCGCAGGTCGGACTGTCGTGTCGAAGTGAGGCCCGCTTCGTCCCGTCTGGGATATTTCTATGCTGCACGTCATTGCCACGCGCAGGTTTGCGTCTCATCCGGCTCTACAATCCGATGTTCCCGTGCCGGCCGGGACCTGCATCGAACGGGTGTCCCCCCCGTCCCGGTCGGGCTCGGCTGGAGGCGGACGGACCGCCCGCCTGCACTGCAGCGGCAGCGGCAGCGACAGGGCAGCGGTGGTGGCCCTCCCCCGGACCAATGGCATTACACGGAATACAGCCCCCGGGCCGGCCATCCCCCCGCCGATTGGCCTCCCCGTCACAGGCTCCCACTGGTCCCTCCGCTCCCGCTTCCCGCGTTTGAGGGGCATCCATGGATCATTCTCCTCACCCGGGCTGCCAAATTCCGAGGCGTGTCCGCAACATGTGGCATATTGTTTTTCCAGATGGGATCGGTCGGGGTAATCGTTTCAAATGTGACGCTTGGTTGGTTGGCTGTGGGCCCGGGTCGGGTAGATAGATGAGGGGCGTCTGGCGCAACACACCACCAGATGCAGGGTCGGATCGCGGGACAAGCTTTCTGGTTCGTATTTCAGCTGCAGGTGCTTCCTCTTGGAGGCAACTCACAGATGCACTGCTAGCCTATAGCTCCCGCAGAAATCCCAATTTATATCAGGGATCCCCATCTTCCTATTTTGGGAATTCTGAGGGCATCATCGTCGTGCCTCCACCCCGAAACATGTCGCCACACGCCATGGACGGCCAGCCCGGCACCGGTCCCGTCGCGCGCGACTTGCGCATCGCCATCATCGGCGCCGGTACGGCACCAACCCCCCCGACTCGAGTTGTTAACACATAAGCGCATGTGGCTGACGATACTTGTGTCTAGGCATGGGTGGCCTGGGTTGCGCGCTCGCCCTTGCCAAAAAGGGCTTCAGCGATGTACACGTCTACGAGGATGCGTCCGGGCTGGGCTTCGTTGGCGCGGGGATCCAGCTCGCGCCGAATCTGGTCCGCGTGCTTGACCGCCTGGGCTGCTGGCAGGGGATCGAAGCCGAGGCCACCGACATCGTTGAGACTAGCATTCGAGGTAGGCAGAAAACAGCAACCCAGCTATTGCAGCTCAAGATGAATCTGGATTTACGTTGACGAAATGTCAGACGGCTGCTCCAACGAGGAGCTGACTCATGTCCACATGCCTGACATTCGACAAAAGTATGGTCATCCTCATTGCACCGGCCACCGTGCCTCCCTCGCCGGGGGGCTATATGAGGCGTGCAAGGCCGAGTCCGCCGTCACGTTCCACCTCGGCCACACGCTATCCAGCATCGACGCTTTCGAGCCGCAACCGGTCTTCACGGTGACGACTCGAGAAGGCAGCTCACGCCAGGTGACCGCCGACGTCCTTCTCGCTGCCGACGGCGTCAAGTCTGTGGCGCGGACGCACCTCATGAAGCGCCTCGGCGCGACCGTCGACGTCGAGGATACCGGACAAGCCGCCTATCGCGTCATGTTGCCCCGCGAGGAGATGGCCGCGGATCCCGAGATGATGGCTCTGCTCGATAGCAACCAGGTGACCCGGTGGATCGGAGAGAGGCGCCACTGGATATGCTACCCCATTGCTTCGCGGACAATCTACAACATGTCCTCGATCCAGCCCGACATCAACTTTGCATCTGCGCCGTCCATGACCTATACGACCAAGGGGTCTAAAGACGCGATGCTGAAGACATTTGACGACTTTTGCCCGTTGATTCGACGCATGCTCGACCTCGTTCCCGACGGCGAGGTCTGCGAATGGAAGCTGCGGGTGCATAAGCCACTGCCAGCGTGGGTTCACGGCTCTGTGGCACTCATGGGTGACGCGTGCCACCCGACGCTGCCGCACCTCAACCAAGGTGCCTCCATGGCAATCGAGGACGGCGCCGTGCTGGCGGAAGTCCTGAGTAGAGCGCCGAGCTCATCGGCCGATACCATCAACAAGTCTCTCCGCGTGTACGAGCTGCTCCGGAAAGAGCGAACCACGACACTCGTCAACCTAGCCGCGCACTCGGGACGCGTCCTCCACCTTGGCGAGGGAAAGGCCAAGGAAGAGCGCGACCGCGAATTTGCTGCATCGCGGGCTGAGGGCTCCAGCGTCCCAGACAAGTGGGCATCGCCGGACGTGCAAAAGATGATATATTCGCACGACTGCATGCTCGAGGCCGCCGAAAAGTTTGAAATGCTTTTCAACCAGCTCGATCAAGCACCCGTCGGTTCTGAGGAGTAGCCTGAAAGTGATGGGATGAGGTTGCCGACAGTCAGGCTCCTCAGATGAAGCCAGCCGCATCAAAGTCGCTAATGCCTTCGTGCTGGCCCATGGTGAGAAATCCCGTGCCCATAAAGTCATCTTGGCCGACGGCCCCAAACATCTCGTCGATGCAACTGGAAATCACCTCTGGGCGGAACTCTTGCGGAAGTCCATTGGCACCGCCCGGTGTCGGCTGAGACCATTCGATACCCTCCGGTACGGTCGCGGCCGTGGGCGCCGGATCATGGATTTGGTCGTCGACACCGAATGCTAAGGACTGCCGTCAGCCTAGGCAAGAGGCTAGAATCAAGGTCGCCTTACCTATGTTCTTGAGAAAGTTAAGATACCGGTGGAGGCAGCGGTGCGCCTTGCGACTCATGATGCTGGTGCCCCCCAGAGCTCGCAGCGTATCGAGGCTGGTTCTGAGCATGGCTTCGGCGTCCGGGGTCGCGATGCCTATCGTTCCTATGCTGAATCTGAGGTTGGCTGCGAGCAGCCAAAATGCAAAGGAATGGATGCTGGTCGATAGCACTGCGAGGTATCAGCGAACGCCCACTCGTCCGGTCCAGTTCGACGCACTCATGTAGTTGCAGGTCCACCACACGGCGTTGCAGTTGAGAAACACCCGCCTGTGTTGCAATAGACTAGTGACGAGCTGGAGCCATTCTCGCAGCGCCCACAGATAGTTCTTGAGGAGAGACAAGGCAGCGTCCTGCAAGACCCCAGAAGACGCAGTCTCACCAGTGCTTGTAATCCGCTCCAGTACTCTCATGAGCAGCGACCCGTGAATGAGCATCATCGCGCGATAATGAAATATGGACAGCAGTATGGTATAGCGTTCCTGGTCCATCGCTGCCGCTGAAAAGACGCTAAAATCTGCGTTGGATGTGATGATGCCGGGCGGCGCGATGCCCTCGCGCCACTGCTCTAGCTTCCACGAGAGGTCGATGGTCCTAGCGACCAGGTCGCCAAGCGCCAATCGGTGGGAGGAGCTGATGTTGGAGCTGTACAAGGAGTCGACCGTGACTCCTAGGATTTCGTGCAGCGCCCTGTGCCAGTCAGCATTGCCACGTACCGCACGCAATTGCACATAGTCTGTCATACGTGAGATGTCGAAAGTAAATCAGGCTCTCCCGCGAGCACGACCCGTCCGTCGTCCGGCTCGGACGCGCCGGATCAAGTAACTCCAACAGGTCCATCCGGACGTTCTGCAGTGGGATGAGGGCTGGACGAGCGAGGCCAGCGGTCATGATCCTACATCAAGCACATCAGCGTGTGTCGCCGTTACGGTAGCGCCGCCAACGCACCTGTCCTGGTTGACAACAGCGAACCACAGGCGTGCCCGGATTTCCTTGTCCTGAACAGCCAAGTATTCATACGACGCAGGGGCGTGAATGCCGAGCTGGTAGGCCACTCGCACGGCCAGGTAATGCGGCACCCAGCTTTCCATCGACCTCTGCGTGTTTTGCTGAAAGCTCGCAAGCAGGAGCAAGGCTTGTACTGTGTTCCATGAGCAGCCACACTCGCGTTGCAGAGAGAACAGGGGCTTACGTGAGTCAACCGTGGGGATGTACAAGGTCTTTTCGTCGAGCAAACCAAGCGCCCTGCGGTAGTACGGCTCCGGAGATCGATCATCGAGCGTTTGCAGCGCCTGAGCAAAGATTATGCTCAGCAGAGCCTGCGCCGACCTCTGCGACATCTGCCAGCCCTGATCGCGTGCGTCAATGACGTCGATCTCTCTGAGCACCTGCGACTCGCTAACGTATGGCAAGACGGCGCCCACCGTGTCGAAGAAGCGCGTCGTCCACTCGACAGCCAAAGCGCGCCCGGGGAAGGAGTCATCGTCAGGTTGCAAGTTGCGGTAGGCCGACGGCGGCATCATGGGCAGTGGAGGAGCGCGCGATGCCTCATCTGCCTCGGTGGCTTGGCCCTGCCTGGAAGGTTCCTGGTACCGTACGGTGCTGCGATGGCTCACATTTTCGATGCTGGCTGAGAGAGACCAGAAGAAGGCGTGATTGGAGCTCGAGCCTGACAAGCTGTGAGTTTCGGGGACTTGGAGAGGGATGCCAATCAGGCGCCCGAGGCTCACCGAAATAGCCAATGTCGACAACGGGCGGGTGGTCAAAGAGCCCGGTGGCGATGGCATCGGCCGTGGACTCTGGCGTCTGGGCCGTGGCCTTGCTGCCGACGTCGGAGAAGCCGCCGTGACTCGTCTGGCCAGGCGACTTGTCGCGGTCGAGCGGCTGCATATGGGAGTAGGCCGAGCTGGGCGCATCCGCGCTCTGCGGACCAAGGCCGGCGGCGGCGAGCTGGGCTTCGAGCTCCTTGACGCGGCTTCTCAGGGCCATATTGGCTCTGCAGTGGTTCGCGGTTAGTCGTCGTCATCAGCCGTGGCAGTGGCACGCGCTCACTTTCGTTCCTCCTGCCGGTCCATGCGCTTGTCGCGGCCGCTCTGCGTATACACGCACTCGGCGTTGCACTTGGCGCAGCGCTCGCACGTCGGCCTGTTGCCATCGCACTGCGGGCGAGCATGTGTAGTCAGTAACCATGAGCGGCGATGAGAGGACGGGATGAGAGGCTCGCGCCCACCTTGGACTTGGTCTGACGACAGGCATTGCAGGCCAGCGACGCCCGCGGGCGCTTGGTCAGCGGGCGGCTCGTGTGCTCCATGAGGCGGGTGCTCTGAGCCTTTTGGCAGCCATGCGACTGAAGTGAAGGCTGCTAATGGATACAAGACTCTCCGCAAGGTGGATGGAGGAGGGCGAGGTTGACGCGTTGTAAGAGCTGAGTGTTCAGGAAATGACTGGGATGGGAGAGGAAAAAGGCGGGGCAGCCATCCCACCGGCGGCACGTTGAAGAAGCTGGAACCTGGAGGTCCGGGGGCGCCCCACTGTCCAGCCCCGGCTTTCGGCTTCTGGACCGCCGCCTCGGCGATGATGTGCTTCAGGGCAAAGCAGTCAGTGGCTGTACTCTTTCCGCACCCAAGGCGACCGACATGCACGCCCGGATGCTACACGAGTCAGGCATCCGTAGCCACTGCACGAAAGTGAGACAACGTCTCAGATTATTGCACAACGACAACAAGGACATACGTACGCTTTCTTGACAACTCCTAAGTTAGGCCGGCCCGTTCCGTGCCTTCCGACTCTATGTATTTATCTCAGTCGCAAGACCAACAAGTGTCGCCCGAACAACACTCGGCTGCAGTGTTTGCAAACTCTCACGTTTCGGTTGCCACGACTTTGAGCAAAAACAAAGAATCCTCTTCTCTGCTCGTTCCTTCTGTCATATACCCAATGTTGCCCTTTTCGTCAAAGGATGCAGCCGCGGCGTTTGGCCTGGGCGCCAGGGATCTGACGAGGAGCTTCCCACTGCAACCCTCAGGGATATGCCGACCCTGCTCTTGGCCCGTTGTCTCCTCCTGGCATGACTGACTTGACGGGGACAAAACTGCGACTTTAAACAATGAAAAACACGGGATAGTCGCAACAGACGATTGCGCAGGGCAAATGGGCCCACCACAACTTGGCGCGCGTCGTACTTATGCAACTACATCAACGATGGCCCAGAGTTGCTAACGAGTTGGGATTGAAGCAACGTATCACAGCGCAACAACCAACGACAACGCAGTCATCATTTCCGTGGGACTTGGAAGCTGACAAACTGCGCTTCTGTGTAAGGCAGCCGCCGTTTCAGCTTCGGCCCGACGCCGCCTCTGTCGAGTTTCGACCTCTCGCCCACGCCGCCCGGGCCAGCCTCCGCTCCGCAACAGCCGCCCCGTCCGGCCAACAGCTGTCTGAAAAGACGACGCCTGGCCTTGATGACGAACCTGGAAGGGAGAGTTACGCGCTCGGCTAGCCACTCAGGTCTCGAATTGGGGCGCGCACGCTGTCATCGTCGCCCGGCGTGGCCGACGACTTACGTGCAAGAGATATGGCCGGCACAGCTTGCCGAGGATCATACATGTCTGCTGCATTGAACAGCACTGTGATGAAATGGACGTGTGGATCGCCGCCCTAAGCGGGTTGAAGCATTGGAGAATGGGTGAGGACGCGACGTAAAGGGATTACATATGTAGCCTGGGATGATGAAACCAGAATAGTGCTGCCTATCTTTGACTCCTGGGCCATGATTGACATAGGTTTTATCTCTCCCCAGTCTTGGCATCGACTCTCGGCATCGAGCCTCCGAGCTGATCAAAGAGCCAGCAAGCCATTCCAACGCCAATCCTCCAGACCAGGTACAGACCTCCATACGACAGCAGAGCCTGGAGCAAACGCCACATCTAGCTTGCGCAACTTGCCATAAACTGGGTGCTCTCATCTTTCGCCACTAAGACCACGTCGTCACCCAGTATGGATCCGGTCGCCGGGTCAGGCAAGCGGGCAGACTACATCCTCCACGCCGGACCAGACATCGACACAAGGCAGCAAGAGGAGATTATACGGACGAGCGTCAACGCAATCAGGGCATTTTGCAGCCGAAGCATGCTATACTGGTGCGTGGTCGGGGTCGGCTGGGAGGGCTTCAACCTCACCATGCGTGTTTTCAGCTCTGGGCTCGTAGAGTCGTGGCCGCGGCGGATCAGGGGCATCCCCGCTCCGGCCGACATTTCTCCTTACTTTGGCAGGCAGGGGCAGGCTCAGCATGATCTCGCCAATCTCGATTGCGGGTACTTTTACGTGCGAGGACCGCGGGAGCCGCCGAGAGACGTGGAGGTTTAGGGAATGGGAGTTGTGTTGCGGAGACATTACCTAGGCGTATGCCAGTAGCCCGGCAGTCACAAACGTGCTTGGGCGTTTTCATATTCCTTTCTTCGGTCTAATAGCGAAATCGCCCTAAGTAACTGCCTGAACGCTGCCTCTTTCCTATGCTGCGGCCTCACAAATGTCCTTCACGCGCCAAGATTGGCAAAACCTTTTTACGACCACTAAATATTTACAAAAGAAGCTGCAGTCTGCCCGACGGCATCCATCACCACAAACATATTAAGTTATAACGTAGTCCAGCTCCACCTCATCGTCTCCAGAAGTTACGCCAAGCCAAGCGCCTTCTCAATGTCCGTCACCCCCAACGCCCCCTCAAGCGAGCTAATCGCCCCTCCCGTCGCATTGTCCAGGAACGCGTTGACCGCGTCGATCCCCAGCCCGGACTCGAGCATCGCGACGGCCTCGCCAATGGCCTGCAGCGTGCCGGGCGGGGCGCCGCTCTCGGACAGGCCCAGCAGCTTCTCCGCAAAGGTGACGCCCAGCGCGTCCTCGAGCTGTCGGCGTACGTTAGCTTCACTTCAACTTTGACACGAGCCACTTTCCATGTGTCGCGGAGCGAGAAGTAGGAGACGTGGGTGGCTGAGGGTAGGCAAGGGAAGTTGCGTACCTTGGTGAGGGTGCCGCCGAGGAGGCCATCCAGCGCGTCTTCGAGGGCCGTCACGCCGAGGCCGTTTTCCAGGCCGGATACCAACTTGCCCACGTCTGTGATGAGAGATCGCTGCTCGAATTCTTTGACAGTCCATCGGTTAATACGTGGGATACTCTCGGTTGCGCGTTGAGAGCAGTAGGGTTGTGAGAATTTGTGCAAACGTACGAGCGGGAGGAGCAGCCAAGGCGCTGCCAGCCAGGCCAGCCAACAAGACGACGACAGCGTTGAAGCGCATTTTGAAGTGAACTTTGTTAAGTCTTGCGGCAGTTGGGATTTCGAGTTATGAGGCAAAAGGTGGACTTGAACGTGATTGATGCTTGGTTTCTGGCTCGGCTGGCCTATACCTGGCGAACATCACGACCCTTATATACGCAGCCGCTCGTGTCAATCAACACTACGAACACTCGTCCACGTACTTGCTTTTTTGCCCTTTCATACATAAGTGCTACTCTGTTATCAACATTACCCAGCTGCTACCCAAGTAGCGCACATGCGAACGACCGATGGGCTTCGGCTCCGGCTCCGGCTCCATCATCACTGGCGTCTGATTCATATCAAATTGCACGGTGAAAGCCGCAGCGTCGCCATCGGACATTGATACTCCGACGATAAGGACAGCCGTCCGTGTATGCCGTTCATTATTTGATCTCTAGCACTAGTCTGACGTTCGCCAATGTATCCCCCGTCTAGTCTTCTCTGGTGACAGGAGCGTTGTTCTGTCCGAGCGGCTCTTGACAGGACTTTGACCGCCCGCCCCACCGGCACTGCAACGACACTCTCACCAAGTCCACCATCCCACCAGCGCGAATATCTGCCAACTCCCGCTAAAGCACGTACACTAAGTTACCGGTGTCAATCCCGATAACGACCTTTCAAGATATGAGATGACAGCGTCTTGCCCCCAAAACGCACGGTCACCACCCGCTCGCTACCATGAAGCCGTTCGTCCACGTCTACCCCAGCGAAGGTCTAGCCCGCCCGGCTCCAGCCTCGATGCGGGTGAGATCTGCCGACACTTCCTCCTCCCAGCGATACGGTTCCCGCGCCGCGTACCTTGCATCGATCCCCCTCCCCACCGCTTCCCCAGCCGGGCCTACAACTCTTATCTATCTTCTACGTTTAAGCTCTTAGTGTCATTTCCGGCGCGCGCGCGCACACCAGCTCCTATATTAGACGGGGGGCGATCGTTGACGTCCGACTGCATGTGACAGACCGGGCCTTAATGAAGCAGCGCCGTCGGCAGGGTCCCTATCAAAACCGGGTCCCGAGTCGGTAGGGAACAAAAGAGACAGAACCGAAGCATCCCCATTGCCCAATGGCGGTGATCGGACCAGAGCCCACTCCGGCAGTGTCTGCACCTGACCTGCCATCGGCTGCTGGCGAGGCGCCTGCCGTCGTGTACTTATCCCCAAATCGAGTTTTTCAACACCCGCTTCGGGCTGCCAATTCCCCAAGAAGAGCGACCCGTCACCTCTTCGAGCCACGAAGTCGATCCCCCGAGCCTCGGCTAGTAGCTTAAATGACCGATCGGCCGGCACATCGGCGTCAGTGTCGATGCCGATACTCTCAACGAGCTGATAAGCGACCGCGCGGGCGGCCTTGGCTTCAGCTGATCGACATTCACTTCCAACGCGTCGAGCTCGCTTGGGGCAGAGTAATTGCTTCTGCCGCGCCGAAAAGGAGATGAGGAGCGCCCAAGGGGCGGCAACGTGTAGAAAATGAGATGCCAGAGTCTATTAACCAGGTTTTGACCAATGCCTCGTCCCAAAACGCCATCCTCAATGCGCCCTCGTCTAAAGGCTCGCGACTCGATCGGCGGCCGAGCATTGCGTTATCGTACATCAAAGGCGGGTATTCCAAGTATACAGCGTGTGCCAGCCGAGTGGCGAGATGTCCCTTCCTCTTCTGCGTCTCCCTTTTCCTTGCAGTCATGTACACACCGCCATCCTCTCAGGATTGCTGTATAATGTCGGTCTCGAGTCGGAACGGCGAACCAACACCTCGTCCGAGAGAATGTGGGCGTCGTCTAGGCCGGCGTGTTGAACAGGCGCAAGATGCCCTCGTACATGCCAAACATGATGGCCGCGCTGGGCACCGTCCGCATCAGATGCGGCGTCAGGCCGCCGTACAAGCCCATCAGACCCTCCTCCTTCCACACCAGCTTGAAGCACTGCACCAAGCCCGTGTATTTCGGGCGACCGCCGTCTAGTGGTACTTGTCGGAGACGCGTGCGCGCGACCTGATTTCGAGTCAATACGATACTCTCAAGGGGTTACAATGCAAGGACACTCACCTCGTGGGGATAAGCCAGGACGGCGGCTATCAGCTTGGCACCTCCCGCGGCGCCCACCTTGCCCGTCCAGTCGATGACACGGTCCGACAGCGTCTTCTCCCGGCCGCTTTCCACGATACGCGCCTCCCTGCGCGCCAGCGACGCCTTCATCTGCTCGTACAGCATCCACTGCAGCGTCGACTCGGCGACGCCCAGGTAGCTTGCGCTCATGCCCTTGTACAGACCGCGCAGGCCCTCGCCGCGAACAATCTGGCGCACGCAGTCGAAGCTGTTGCGGTATTGCCGCTGCATCGCCCCGCCGCTCCGCTCCGACACGTTCTTGTCGAGCTGCAACCGCGTCTTGACCATCCAGATGGGGTTTGTCGCTGTCGACGTCGCCACGCCCGCGACGACGCCCGACACCATGTGCACCCACGGCGCCTCCTCGCCGCGGTTCCAGTGCTCAGCCAGCAGTCGTTTGCCGTTTCCGTAGACGTAGAAGTTGATACTCCGCGCGGGCACCACGCCGATCAGGTTCGGTCCAAGACCCTTGAAAAGCGCTCGGGCGCCCTCGGTCTGGTATACGCCGCGCAGAATCTGCAGCGTGTCCGTGAGGTGGTATAGTGCGGCGCGCGCCGGGTTCAGCGGGCCTATGGTTTGCGCCTTGGCTCGCAGCTGGGCCTGGTAGATGTCGGACTGCAGTCTGGTCTTGAGGACGTCGAGGGGCGCCGTAAGCGTTGCGGCAGTCATGCCGCCAACTCTGTAACATGTCACGCGTCAGCAAAGTCCGAAGTCTTCCCAAAAGCGATGCGGCGAGACCTACGCTCCAGCAAACAAGTGCACCCAGGACTTGGCAAATGGAAGCGCCTTGACCTGACCCCGCGGGATGTCCTCCGGGAGCACCTCACCCGTCTCGCGAGACTGGATGAGCGCAGCATGCTCCCCTGGCGCATGCGAATGCCGAAATGGCCTTGTGTCGTCGCGACTCGTCATGATCGATGTCGCCGTCCGCTGTGGTTGCGCCATGGCCGCAGCTTCGGGCAGTCGGAGAGACCCGGGCGGCGGCGAGGCTCGGGATTGTGTTGTCAGAGTTGTAGCCCGCACGCTGTGTTGGAACAAGATTGTAGGCGGTTACCGGCCCGCCATCGAAAGTGATTCGGCAGCCGCTCGTGTGCGTCGTCGCTATAGGCCTTGGTCGACGTTGCAAGGAGACGCGGAGGAAGCGACTGGGGCGTGTTAAAGGGATAACGATGATGAATCGAAGCGGCCCCGACTTTTTTTTCGCCGCGACATCGCGCAGCCATCTGAGTCGTCGGCGCAGCGTGGATCCAGCCACAGCCAGGGTCCGACACAGAGCCGCAGGCTTTGTCAGCGGCGCCACTTGCCGAATAAAAGTGCCCACTACCCACCGTTCTTGTAGCTGCAAGTGGCACTCAACCGATAAGGTACTCTCGGTCTTAGTAGCGGGTACAGGAGTGTCATGACACTCTCCTCCAGCGGTGATACTCCCGCCCCGAGCCAGGCGATCTTGATATCGACATCGACATGAGCGTCAAGGCATTTTATAAGTATTATCATTATGTGTCCGTCAGTAGTCTACAAGCCGAGGGGCTGTGCCAGTCACCTCAATCATGCGATCCCGCGCATCTTAAATCGCCGATGCCGTGGCTACATGCATCCATACAGCAACAGCCCGCTGCTTCAAGACAGGTGGTTTAGATCGTCCATGCAATTATCCCCCCGCAACTACATTTGTGCGTCGACAGATGAACCAGGCTGTCAATATGTCGCCCCTGACGACCTATTGCCACCAACTTGAGGTCATCAACGGGATGGCGGGTTGGAAGGTCCGTGTTGTGGTGGCCGCCCATAGTCGTGGTCGCATATGAGCGACGAAATGTTACTCAGGCGAGGATGCTCTCGCGGCGATGGAGTTCCCAGCGGGCCAAGGGACAAGTGCGGCCGTCGCGCGTCTTGATGCCCGCCTTCTTGCCTGCTCATTGATATCGGATCCGGGCTGTACATGGGCGGAATGCCTAGTTCCGTATCTGCTCTGCTCGCGGGTCGTGACACGCCCTCGGTATTTAGCGTCGCCGGTGTTGTGTCCCCGGCTCTGGCTATGCGAGACTCTCGTAGACCAGGTAGTCCGCCCTCTTGCTCGCATTCTTGCTCGACTTCGACGCCCATGTCGTATTTCAGACGGGCAATCTCCTCGTCCGTTACCGTCTTCCAGCTGCACTTGGCGTGTTTCTTGGTGCACCCCTGGCAGGCTGTTAGGTGCTTGATGCACTGGAGCCTTAAGCGCCGGCACCGGTCGCATGGCGGGTTGATGACGTCGCCCTTTCCGAGTTTATCGGTGCTCTGGGTGATGAGCGACCTGTACATCTCCCCCCGACTGTCCGCCGCGGCCTGGGCGGCAGCATCTGGAGGGTTGCCAGTGGAGGAGCGGCCAGACTGCCCTGACAATCGGTGTTGGTGAGAGGGATTTATAGATGGCGACACGGGGCCGAGGCTGGTGACAGAGACTCCGGCTCCCGAAGTTGACCTCGACGGAACCATGGAGGAAGCGGGTGTTAGAAACTGCTGCAAGAGATCGGCATGCAGGTCGTAGGAGGGATTGAACCCCGAAGACCTCGGCGCATGGTTGGCCGCATGGAATCTGGTGCTTCCGACATCGTGTGTCTTCCTCCGCCGACTAAGGTCGTTTTTCCGGTGGCCTAGCTTGTGGTGCAGTATCCGGGCCCGCGCGGCGACTTCATCGGCTTTCTTGTACAACATCGACGTCCGCTGCTCCAGGATGTCTAGCGTGGCCAGCTCCGCCGTCTCGTCCTCCTCGAACGGGTGCTCCAACGGGAATCGGTCGAGGGCGCCCGAAGATATCAGCCGCCAGTCGTCTTCGGTGATCTCGGTGCGCACGCCCTTGCACATGAACTGGCAGCATCGCGACCCGTCGGGCATCGATGTCAGGACAAAGTCATTTGGATTCGCCTTGGCAAAAGAGACAACGTCGAGCCAGCTGACGGGATTGGAGAATGGCTGTGAATTGTTGGTCTTGATGGGCCCGTCGAAGAATCTTTCAATTCCCTTGAGCAGTCGAGGCCCAGTCAGCTTGGCGCCCAGGTTCGCGGCGAGGCTTTCCTGTCGATCGAGAACACCTTTGAAACTTGGTCAGCACTGCGCACGCGATGAACTTGGGATTTCCGAGACATGCCTTCATACTCCCCGATCAACCCGATGATGTCGCCAAAGGTATCCGCATCGCCTTGCACGAGCGGCAGTCGCTCGGCGTTGGGCTTGGGCAAGTAGTTGATGTATCCGGCGGCGCCTGTACGTTCCAACGCGTCAGCCAACGATAATTCTGGGTACTGGGATGCGACGCGCAGCATCGACAATGCAATGCAGCCGCCCGACGCTCGACGGGCCAAGGCGCAGACGAAAGAGGAGTTGTGGGACGATCGATTGGCAAGATAATCAAGGTGTCAACTGTCAAGCGGGAACGGGTTGAGTGGCGGGCCACCGTTGCGCCGCCGCCAGTCACGGGCGGCGCAAACTCTATCGGAGAATTTACGCCCATGCAGGCACGGTTTGCTCCTGGTAGGGCAGGAGACGCGGGTCCCCTCCCCCAACGAGCCGGGACTGCGAACGGGGTCGCAGTGTGTGCCGGTCTGGGACTCTGGGGTCGCCAAGATGGCAAATTGCGCACGAATCGTCGGGGCTTGAACTGGGCAACCCATACCTTGTTGATGATGGCCAGTCGGGTAGTGGCCGTGCTGCAGGCCGCTGTCGTCAAAGTCGCGTTTCCGTTTGTGCAGGTCGGCGTCCGCGCCGGCAGTTGCATGCGCCATATTGGAGTCGGGCCCGCCCGCGCTCGACTGCCGAAGGCTGCTTTAAGACAGCCGGGCAAGTATCAAGGGATCGTTCCAAGTGGGCAACCGTCGCCTAAAACCCGGTGTCGCAATGGGGCGCCTGACAGCGACGCGACCGGGTGTCGCGGGACCAGCCCCGAGATTTCGTGCCTGAGCGGCTGCAATGGCCTAAAGACGCCTGCGGCACGAGCGCGGCAGCGGCGGCGGCGGTGGGCAGACGTCAGGAAAGGACTGGTAGGAGAGGCAATCGGAGGGGGGCGGGAGAGCGCCAGGCCGGACGAGCGAGCAGAGACGGCGCTGTAGATGTCTCGACTCGTCCGGTTTGGCGTCGCGCGTGGAGGACGGAGGAATAGACGGGACGCAACGCAGACAAAAGCCGGGGCCCTGGGCCGCAGTAATATGTCGCAACAGAGGGAGGCCAGAGGAGAGGCGAAACCATCAGCCGTGCATGGCGGACCGGTCCCAAGATGACTGGTGGGTCCGATGGAGAGACGAGGAGAGTGGCTTGTGCTCGACGCCGTCAGGCCCTTTCGTGCATGGAGCCGCAGCTTGTGCGCGTGTAAGTGCGAGGCGGCCGCGGCCGGGGCACCGCTGTCTGCTGGCGGGCGTCGTGCGACTCGAGAGGCGAGGCGAGGCGAGGCGAGGCGAGGCGACGGCAGCAAGGAACGGTGCCTGTCTGCAGGGCGCGAAGCGTGTGCGATGCGGTGGCAGGCAGGGCATCGGCGGGCGAACAGGGTGCTGGTGCTGGTGCTGGCGGAGGCGGAGGCGGCAGCCAGAGGGAAGAGGAAGGTGTCGACCTGTGTGCGCGACGACAGAGTCGGGGAGCAAAGACGACGAGCCGGGCGGCGGGGAAATCAAGGCCCGCGTAGGTAGGTATCAAGGGTGCTGTCGGATCAAGTGTCCGATGCTGGGAATAACGTCAAGCTGCAGGCTTTGCCCTTAATAAATGCACTCGTGGGTACGGTTGGCACTTGGCAGGTTGGTGCCCCCCCTCTCCTTCGCGCCTGCCGTTCTCCAGTGCTAGTGCTGCTTGCTCGTACGAGGGGCAAGGCGAGGCAAGGCAAGAGCAGCAGGACAGAGACGGGAAGGTGCCAGTTGCATCAGGAGAGCAGGCCGGCCAAGGTACTAATACCTCGTAAACTGTAACCATTCAGCCGCTCCCTGGGCCTCACCAACTCACCTCGGGTCACCTCGGCGCGCGTGCCGTCAGTCCAAGTTTGCCTCCCGTCGCGAGCCTCCCCCCCACAAGACGACGGCCGCCGACGACACTCGAGGAGCAAAAACAGGACCCGTCCCCGCACCAGACCACAATGAGGGGTGGACTCGGTGGACAAAGGCTTGCTGTGGAATCAAATGTGGAAAGGCACGGCCAGCAGCGTCGCACCAGGGGGAAAGGATTCGCGGCCGGCATGGAGCAGCTCCCGGGAAGGACGACGGCCGGCATGCGCCCGCAAGTGGGCGCGCCGTGCGAGGCAAGCCAGGCCTGCCATGCCAGGCCCCATCCAAGCCATCATCTGGAGGCTTCTCCAGTGCCCGCCGTTGGCTTGTTTGCAAGATCCGCACCACCCACCGCCGCCCGCCACGCCGGACCCGCGAGCCAAAGACGTGCCTCCGGAGACGTCACCGCTGCGCCAGCCTCTCGAGTCTCAAAATGCACATCGCATTTTCCCGTCAGCAGCCACGATTTTGGGCTCTCGATTGGCGCTGCGTCGACCATTGGCATGAGACAAACAAGGCCATATCTAAATCGAACTCAACCATGGCGTCTCACCCGATCCCGCGCGCTGCGCCCGCAGGGCGACGAGCGAGCGTCCGTGTTGGTGGCGGGGACCCAGTCGCCGTTGCTGCTCCCCTTGTCCGCGCTGGTCGATCATTTGTTTCCTTCCTCGGCGCCTGTCTGCCAGGATGGAGCTTCCACCCCGCCGCCAGGTCCGCTCACAGTGAGCAGCCGGCATGGTCATGGTCTCACCCGCGTCCCCGGCCACGTTGTTCTCTCGGCTGGGGGATCCGCCCGCTCACGCGGTCAGACGTGACTGCTTGCTTGCATGAGGTGGTGCACTGGTGCGTATGATATCTTATTCCCCCGGGCCGCATCACAGCCGGCCAAGGGTTGTTTGTGGTCCGCCCGCAGGAAGCGCAAGGCTGCCTGGCTTCTCCACATTGGCTCCGGGACGAGCAGCTCGGGTACCGGGGGGAGCACACGCATTTGCCACCGAGGTGATGAAGGACACCGCCGTGGCAGGGGCGCGGTCGCGGATAGACGACACGCGCCGTCGACGATTTACTCGCCAGGCATGATGCCGGTGGCAGTCCATGTTTGTGCGCCACTCGTGCTTCCGGATCCCAACCCGTACCCTCCAATCCTGCCTCCCAGTTACTGGCAGTGGAGGGAAGCAACCGTTCGGCCTGCGGTTCGCGAGATGGCCCGCATTGCGCAAAACAGTGCTGGACCTCGCCTCATCCGCGTCGGCGGCGGAGGCGACAGCAACCACACTTCGCCGCCGCAGATCGTCTTGTCCCCGCGGCGCGGAGGGGCGCCCGTTGTCCTGCCTCGGATCGGCGTGCGGAGAAATATTGCCCAAGCAAGCCAGGGTGCTGTCGCAACCAAACGTCTTACACGCTCGGCTGGTCGAGATTGGCGACAGGGCGACTGTTCCGGACGATCGCGCACCCATCGCCGACCACGCTGATGTCTCCGTGACGGCGGCATTCCCCTCTCGTCGCTTCAGACAGATCGGGGATAGGGGACCTGTATTATCCACCAGACGGCCCAGTTTGGACATTTGCCACCGAGCGAGGCAACAGAGCGCATCATCGCGGGGTGCTCTCGAAGCAAGCTAAGCGATGATTGCCACTGCTGCTCCTCATTGATAGGCGTCACGGGGACCCTGACGACCCAGGCATCCAGGCGCCGGCTCATGTTTCGGGGTCAAGTATGTGTTCGTCGGCTCCGGAGGCGCGACGGCTCCTCGACTCCCGCCACGGCGGCAGACTCCCGCCACGGCGGCAGACACCCGCCAGCGCCCTAGACCTAAAGCAGCAACCAGCCCTACCCCCGCTGAGCACCACAGCGGTCCCCACTCCCCGCCTGGGCTTTGAGCTTCCAATCCATTCCCGTCCAGCGGCCAATGCACCTAGATACTGTAGCCCAGTACTGTTGCGTGCTGTGGCACCCCTGCGGTGACTCTCGTCCCAGTGGAGGCTGGTGCTCCCCGCCCCGCGCGCCCAGGCAACCTGGAACCTGGAACACCGATTGAACGGCCCGACATTTTTTGCCCGCCTGGTCGACCGACCGCCTGGCACCTCCCGCAGCACCAGCAGCAACCACCGGCTCGCCTCCCCAACCACACTCGCCCACACACACATCATGTCCGAAAGACCCATGCACCGAGGCGGAGGACGCGGAGGTGGAGGTGGCGGTTTCCGCGGCGGGCGCGGCGGCGGCCGGGGAGGAGCCCACGGCCCGGGCGGCGACAAGGCTGGCGGCGACAAGGCTGCCGAGCGGCCCAAGAAGGAGAACATTCTCGACCTCGCCAAGTACATGGACAAGCAGATCACGGTCAAGTTCAACGGCGGCCGCGAGGTCACTGGCACGCTCAAGGGCTACGACGCGCTCATGAACCTGGTCCTGGACGACGTCAAGGAGACGCTACGCGGTACGTTGTCAAGCCCTCTCCCATGCCTCCCTTGCTATCTTTGGCCCATCTACCCGCATCACCACGATGGCACAGACAACACATAACGCAGGACTAACACTCTCCCGGCACAGACGATCAAGGAAACGAGTCTTCCCGATCCCTCGGCCTCGTCGTCGCCCGCGGCACCCTCCTCGTCGTCATCACCCCCGTCGACGGCAGCGAAGTCATTGCCAACCCCTTTGCCCAACCCGACGAGTCCTGAACGCGCGGAAAGAAAATCACCCTTTTTGCGTGCAATAATTGGCCACCCGTGGGTGGCTGGGAAGCTGTGGGAGAAGAGCAGTGAATGTCAACACCAGCGAGAGGGGCCACGCGCGCCCGGCCGAACGATAGCGAGAGCGAGGAGGAGAACCGCGTCTGTTGAGGGCGCATAACGACTGGCGGCGCATCAGGCCTCTGCGGCTGAGGCTCGCTGCATACTTGGGACCCTAACTAGAGTGCGGCAAGCCCGCGACGGTAAGTTACGGCACGGGCTGAGGACGACGTTGGAGAACATGGACGGGATGCAAGCTGAGCTTCGGGGCAACGACCCTATGGTTGCGTTATGCTCACATACAGAGCCACGCTCTGTTGTCACATCTAGCACCCTGTGTTGTGAACAATACTACTATTCGACTGTTTCTGCGCTTCCCTATACACTCGCTGGGGCTCGTTCGACTCAGACGCGCTCCTGTTTCTCCGGCACCGCGCCCTGGATTCTCGCTCATATGTAGAAATAACGAGCCATCTTCGTAGTCCGCCAACCGCCTGCGGATTCCATGCACCCGCTCGTTCTCCCGTCCCGATACCGAACAACAGCCCCCGCATGTACTTCGTACGTTCGTCGTGCGCGAATCCAAGAACCAGGTATCCCTGTGCGTCGTAGCCAAAGCCCGCCCAATCTTCGTCAGCCCGCCGCCGTGTGCGAAATCGGTTGTCTGTGTGGTCCGTTCAGGGTCACTGCCTGCAGCGGGCGCCGCCGGGCCACCTGCGGAGACGCAGCGGTGCGGTCCGCCGTCGTACTCCTCGACAGTGTGTTCGCGAGCGTCTGCTGCCCTCTCCTTCCTCTGTTGTGTCCTGCGCCCTGCCTCCTGCGAGAAACCCTTGCTGATGTGACGGTAGATAGAACGCCCAGAGGGCGCTGAGGCCTGGTAGCCTCCCGCATCATCGCACGAGTAGATCTCCGTGTCCCGATAGCTGAACCTCTGTAAGTCGTGCGCCTTGTGCCATGTCCCTGCGCAAAACTCATCGTTCCCACGCCTTCCCAGCTCTGCCTGGACCTACGCTTGCGTCGTTCTCGGGGCGGCTGGATGGAGTGGGGTACCTCACTGTCGCGGGCTGAGGCCGACTAAAGCCCTCGCCCTTGCTTGCCGCCCTTCTGAAGCTCGCCAAAAGCATTGTTGAGCTGCTTCTTCAGCTCCTTATAGCTGACCAGAAAGCTGGTTTGCTCGTCGCGGCTGGTCAGGCAGATCCGCTCGTCCGTGCCGGCGTCGAGCCGGTTGAGGCAGCGCAGCATGTGTCCCATGTCCAACACCGGGTTGCCGTTGCTATCTACCTGGTGGAAGACGTAGTCGCGGAAGAGCTTCAGCATGTATCGCTCTCCGTTCTCCGACCACGCCCGGTCACCGTCGAACTCTTGGCGCTCGTTGACAGTGCCAAGCTTGAAGAGGAGCCGAGCAATGCGCCCGTTCTCCAGCTCGCGGAAAAGCTCCGTGTTGAGCTCGTCGGCCCTGTGCTGGCTCTGGTCCAGCGTCCCTACGATGTGGCCGGCGATGCCGCGGACGAACTCATCAATAGTCTTCTGAGCCGGCCCCTGTGGCGGTGCCAGAAGCCACACGACCGTATCGCGAAGCTCCACCGAGTAAGATCGGCTCAGTTGCTCGACCGCCGAGTTCAGGTTGGTGAGATGTACAGGCAATGTGTTAGTGGCAAGGCTGAGAATTGTGCGCCCGAACTGCAGAAAGTCGTCTTGTTGAAGCTCCGCAATAGGCCGCCTCATGTCAAACTGCACCACATCCAGAACCGAACACGCATTGAGTCGAATGCGGTTCTTATCCGTAAGGATAATCTTGGTGACGTCAATGCACCGAGCAGCCAGGTTCGCACCGTGTATCGCCCGCAACGCGTTGGCAATCTGCGAGATGTAGGTCCACAAGATAGCCTCGGAGATGGGACCCTTTGGCTGGAATCGGTTGCCCGGCCCCGGGGTGGGGGCCAGGTGGACTTCGGAGAGGGTCTTGGATAACGGGTGATAGTCCTGCACAAAGATGAGGGAGCTGTCTCCAAACGCCCTGGTGGTGAACGCGTCGTGAATCGTCACCACGTTGGCGTTGTCAATCTTCCTCCACTCCTTGACAGACCGGATCGCGTGCTCGTTGGTTAACCTAAAGCCTTCCAGGCGCCGCAGGCTGTACAGGTTTCCGGTCTTGGATGAGACTGCCTTGTAAACCCAGCTGGGATAGCCGTAGATGTTGGCGTTCTTCCTATGCGACGTGTCCAGCGCGACCAGCGAGTGATAGTTGTCCAGCTGCGGCAGCTGCGAGTTGGGCATAATCTGCAGCGACGCTTCGGCCTTCTTCTGGAGCTCTTCTCGTAGTTTATCGGGGATGAAGAAGTCGTGTGTGAGGCGTTGGTAGGGCATCAGATCATCCCTGTGGGGTCCGACAGGGGCGTAGAGGTGATATTGGAGGGGTTGAAGCGGCGTGGTGAAGGCTCCCTGGGCCGGGAAGAAGGACGTGGCCCCGCCGCCCATGGCGTTGTGGTCCTCGGCATACGGGTTGTATTGGGGAGTAGGCAAGTTCTGCCCGACCGCCGCCATAGTGAAGGGGTCGAACGAAGACCCTTCATGATTGGAGCCGTTCGCGCCAGACTGCGAGCCTTGTTAGCTTGGCTTCAGGGAGAGCCACCCAAGCTAGCACACGTACTTGCGAGCTGACGTCGAAGCTGGGTGTGAATTCGCGGATAGTTGCGGGGTTGAAGACGGGAGATTCGGTGTCGGCTGTGCTTCCGGCGGGTGTCACTGCTGCATTGGAGTTAGAAAGTGCCCTCTTCATGGGCTGACAAGACAACCATACCTCCGACAGAGCGTGGCGTGAATGCCGGGGCGCTGGCAGCCTGTGTAGAAAAGGTGGGCTTCTTGGTCACCGTCGGCTGGATGCCAGCCGGCGTGAAGGACGGCGACTCGACATTGAGAGCCTTCTTAGACATATCGATCTGATTTCCGTTGTTCTTGTTTAAATCGTGGGAGAATGTGCACCCTTGGTCCTCGTATCGACAGTGCCCGTAGATGAGGACGTTTCGGCAGAGTGTTTCCTTGTTCTCTGTGCGGGGATCAGCCTAGGTCCTATACGCAGCAATATTCTTCGGGGGCCGTACCGCGACCTTTAGGCCTCGGAGACCCGACCTGACGCCGTAGATCTGACTGTTGGAATCGCGATGTCGCCATCTCAGATAGCAATGCTCGAGGGGGGATCGTCCTCGGGGCCGGGTCTACGACGTCTGCATGCCGTTAGCAATTGGGACCAAGGGAGTGGTAGTGCCGTGCCGGGGGCAGTCGCGCGACGAGCGGGCACAAGGTCGTGGGCGGAGCGGCAGTTCACGACGGGGTGACGCGACACGCACCTCGCTGGGGCAGCCCTATGCCATGGCTCAATTGACGAGTGCGGCGTCGCGCCCATATGAGAGAAGCGGAAGACGCGGGACAATGGCAAGGCCCTGCCGAGCGGACCGTGGTGCGCGACGAGGATCCGGAGGCGGGCGGGTGGTGAAGTGCCTGGGCGCAGAGGCTGCCGCGGAGAGTGAGGTTCGTGGTGGGGGAGGGAAGCGAGGCGGGCGCGCCGAGTTGAGACGAGATCACAGGCGGGAGCACGAGCCAAGGATGGGGATTGGGCGGATTGGGAGGATTGGGTGGGCGGGCTGCTGCTCACCCGGACTCGCTCGCCCCCGGGCAGCGCTGGGACTGGATGCCCTCCAGCTGCTGGAGCGGGGGCCTGGCCAGCGACGTGAGGTACCGGGCTAGTCCGCACGCAACGGTGCTGGGCTGCTGCCTCGCCCTGAAACGCCTGCTGAAAAGCGCGCGAGCTGAGGCCAAGGTACTTCGAGGTTGCATCCATGGCTGCCAGTGTCCACCCATTCGACGCGGCGCGCACGGACCACGCGCCCGGATCAGGAGCTCTCGCACCTTTGGCTCCGTGACACCTGAGTCCTGACGTAGCTGGCATCTGTGACCTCAACATAAGCCACATCCGATCACGTACCATCCGCAGCTGCGCGCCCGTCGCAAAAACGCTCTTCTACTGTAGCGTTCTTTCATTCCATTCTGTCAGCCTGCCTGTTGATGGCACGTTCAGATCTTCTCCTCTTCCACATCCGGTGAGGTGAGGCGAGCCGACAACTGCACGCCATGGCCGACGCGGGCGACGACGTCGGACAGCTGTCTCCGAGCCAGCAGGAAGCGCTCCAACAGTACATTGGAGTCACGGATCAAGAGGTAAAGGATGCGATTCCGCTTCTGCAGCGATCGCAATGGAACGTTCAGGTACGGCCTCTCTAAGCGCCCCTTCACCGTGGCAATTGCCCTTGCTGACATCGGCTCCAGATTGCCATTGCCAAGTTCTTCGACGGCGAAGGGCCCGACCCCGTCGCCGAAGCCATGGCCGCCCAAGACATCCCACGGACGGTCGCTCGACACGAAAACCTTCAGGAGAGTCTGATGGCCTCGTCCGATCGATCGATACTCGGACGGAGGAACCAGACTGACCCGGCACCGAGGATAGTCCCCCAACAGCCAGTCACGCACCGATCTCCGTGGCTCCTCGGCCTACTACTCGCACCCTTTGGCTGGGGGTGGAAGGCAGCGGGCGCTCTGTTCCGGACCTTCTGTTACGTCCTGTCATTTCTTCCCGCACCGCTGCGGCCTCGCGCCATCACGGCAGGCCTCCGGAGCACGACGGGCCGACGGATGCTGATGCCGCGCGACACGGCCGCAAGATTCAAGCGCGAGTTCGACGAGGAGTACGGGCCGAATGAGCTCCCGTTCTTCGAAGGCGGCCTGGCGCAAGCGCACGATCTTGCCAAGAAGGAGCTCAAGTTCTTGCTCGTCTTCCTCATGTCTCCCGAACACGACGACACAGCTTCCTTTGTCCGCGGAACATTGCTGTCTACCGACGTGGTCGAGTTTGTCAAGAACCCATCGAACAATATCGTCCTGTGGGGAGGCAACGTGCTGGACTCGGAGGCTTACCAAGCAGCGACCGAGTACAATTGCACCAAGTACCCGTTCACGGCTCTGGTGTGTCTGACGCCCAAGGAGGGCAGCACGAGGATGGGCATCGTCAAGCGCCTGGTCGGTCCCATGCCCGCGGCAACGTACCTGTCGGAGCTGCAAGGGTCGATGGAGAAGTACGGCTCGGACCTCGAGGGGGTGCGCGCCGAGCGGACCGCGCAAGAGGTGGCGCGCAGCCTGCGTACGCAGCAAGACTCCGCATACGAACGGTCACTGGCCATTGATAGAGAACGTGCACGGGAAAAGAGAGAGGCTGCCGCTGCCGCCGCCGAAGCTGAGAGGCGGGCACAGGAGAAGGCCGAGGCAGACGCCCGGTTGGAGGAGAAACGGGAGCTATGGAAGGCGTGGAGGATGCGCCAAATCATGCCCGAGCCCCCTGCCGGCGACAAGAACGTGGTGCGCGTCGCCCTCAAGATGCCGGAGGAGTCCGGGGCGGGGCGGATCGTGCGACGGTTCCCTCAGGATGCGCCGCTCGAAGAGCTCTACGCGTTTGTGGACTGCTACAGCCTCTTGCAGCAGGAGGGTGATGCGAGCACGGACGGTGCTCGGCCGGCTGGTTATGAGCACAAGTACGCATTCCGGATAGCATCGACTCTGCCCAGAGTCGTCTACGAGCCGAGCACGACAGACACGATGGGGGACAAGATTGGCAAGTCAGGCAACCTGATTGTGGAGCAGCTCGCCCTCGAGTCAGACGCAGAGGATGACGACGACGATGAGGAGGACGAAGAGGAGTCTGGGTAGGCTGCGCCGTTGATAGGCATCTAGACGAATCTGGACCACACTCGAGTAGATGCGCACTGGCGCGTGTATCTGCGGCTGTAATGCGGGATGTGGTGACTTCTACTATCGCCAAGTGCAGGTGGGCGCCAGGCGGCGTGCGAGGGTACAAGTAATTTGCTGGGCATGTGCTCGGATGCGAGCCTCGAAGCTTGGCCGGCAGTTGGAGCAATGGCATTGGCATAAGCAATCGACGGTTCGGCATGAATCGCTCGGAGATAAACCGCGAAAACGTCACGAGATCTGGGCGCGACGTCGTCTGCCGCGCACGCCAGGCCAGGAGAGCCAGTCATCCAGAGTCATGCGCAGATGGGCCGGTCCGGTCGTCGTATGTCGTCGTGGTGCGTGCGCGCATGCGGCGGGGTCGCGGTGTGGTGAGCGATGGGGGGGGATTGCGTAGTGGTGCGAGGCTGTGCAGCGCTGCGTAGAAAGCTCCAGCTGCGCTGCTGGTGGTGGATCGTGGTGGTGGTGGAGGGGCTGTGTGGACAGGCTGTGTGGAGGAGGGGCGCAGTGAGTGGTGGTGGTGGTGGTGCGGGCGCAAGTGCAATGATGAGTGAGGCGAGGCGGCGACGGCGGCGGCGGAAGCGGAAGTGGAGGTGGGAGAGTGGAGGTGGAGATTGGAGATGATGGACGGCGGGCCGGGGCAAGGGGGCATGATGGAACCTGGTAAGCTGGAGGGGACGCGCGACCTGCGAAGTGGCGGACGCTGGAACGGTGCAGGTCCAAAGAGAGGAAATCGTACACCTGCAGTGGACTGAAGGCCTCACAACAAAGAAACCCCCTCCATGCCCTGAAGGGCGGGCAGGGACCTGGCGACCCTGCTGGATGCCTCTGTCGCCTGCTGAAAGCCGGCCGGCGCGCTGGAGCTGGCGGCCGCCTCTTGTACTGCACTGCGCTGGGCTTAGTAGTAAGCCTACCAGTAACACCAGAGCCTCCTCCCAAGGCACACCAGCCAGCAACGGCCAAGTACGTACAGTAGTAGACCCGACAGCAACGGCGGCGACCTCGACCGTCTTGGCACACGTGTTGGTGGTGCTGGGCGGGCGGGACTGCCTGCACACGCACACGCAGCGCCCCCCCGACCAGACGCGGTCAGTCGTCGGACAGAGATCCAATACCTTCCACCAGTCAGTCATCCATCCCTCATCCCCTAGGATCCATCCTCCCCCCGGACGGCTGCCTCCTTTAATAATTGCAGCCCTGCTTCCTCCTTTCCCCTGCGCTCGCGCATTGCATCCATCCGTCCATCCACCGTCGCCGCCGCAGTCCACCCGGCCTGCAGCCAGCCAACGCGTAGCTGACCTACAGTGCGTACTCGCTCGCCGACGCCCCTCATCGAGAGGCCACCTACGATACTTGGCTACTCTACCGTACCCAGCAGTGCCTCGAACTCTTCTTGCATCAGCCCGATTCGTCGTCCTCCTCGACTATTTCCCCCCTCGCGACGACACCGAACAGAGTTCATCCACCGACACCAGCAGTTGAACAGGGCCCCGACAAAAACGCAAACCCCGCCACGTGTGGAGGCAGCCATCAGGCTCGGGGCGACGCGGACCCAACGAGGACCCCTGCCCGCGCGCCGCCACCACCACCAAACCCTGGCCCGTTGACGGGGTTCGAGGTCTGGCTTTGGTCACTGAAGACTGTTTCCCCCCCAATCCAGACAACGCCGACCGCGCGAGCGGAGTGACCCCAGGGGAAGCAACTCGACCGTCCGGCACACACGCCAGACGCAGGCAGCCGACGCGATTTCTTTTCGCCGCACAGAACAACAGCAAACCCTCAGACAGCCGCCTCGTCTGGTGCCTCGTTCTGCGTCGTCCGCTTCCCGCGCGACAGGCAGCCCTCATCGTCAACTCGCGCGATTCCGTTACTGCTGTTCGCCCCCCTCGCGACTCCAGACACGCCATCGACCCATCACTGCCCCCCCTCGGCCGATTGCGACAGCATATACTCGCTCACGTCCGCCTCGCGGTCCGCCCCCGTCCACGAAACGCTGACGATCCAGCGTGCGACGGTTCACACTCCTGGCCACCACCACCCCGTTGCGACTCGACGCCCACGGCTGCGGTCGTGCGAGCGCCAACCCGTAGCAGCCATGAAGGGGCTGAGCATGAACAAGATGCTGGGGAGCATCAGGAAGAAGACTGGCGGCGGAGGTTTGTTGACTCCCAAACCGCCCCTGGCTCGGTGGCTGCCCACGCCTGTCACGCCAACAGGCCACCACGAGTCGCATCTTTGTTCCGGACGCTGACCCTCCCGTGGATGCAGGCAGCTCGGAGATGCCCCCAGCCTCGGCCGCGACACCGGCCGAGAACCCAGAAGTCACCGCTCATAACAGCGTGGTACGTGCTCCCTGTGCCACGGCACGCGCGTCATGGCAATACCCAGATACGGAAACCGCGTTGCTAACAGACGACGCCCGCTGCAGAAAGCTTTTTGCGAGTCCGGCGGCAACGCCCAGAGCGACGAGGTGCTCTTTCTGCCCCCCATCGTCGACGCCGCCGAGTCGTCCCCCGCGGCCGCAGCCGAGTGCGCGCGCATCATCCGCAAGTACATGGGCAAGGAGTACTCGTCGCGGCCCTCGTGGCAGTACAACGCCATCATGCTCGTGCGCATCCTCACGGACAACCCCGGCCAAACCTTCACCCGGAACCTCGACGACAAGTTCGTCGACACGACAAAGGCCTTGCTCAAGAACGCCAGGGACCGCAGCGTGCGCCAGATCCTCATGGAGACGCTCGACGACTTTGAGCACACCAAGATGTACGACGAGGGCCTGGCCCCCTTAATACAAATGTGGAAGAAGGAAAAGGACAAGGCGCTCAAGGAACACGGTGTAAGTGCTTCCCTCGGGACCCGTCAGAGCGCGTTCGCCACGCAGGATACTGACGTTTGCTACGCGCTCCAGGGCCGCGTCCCCGCGCCAGGGCCTCGCCCGCATCTCATGAGCCCCCCGCCGCCCATGCTGAACCGCCACTCGCAAAACTACTTCGCCAAGGCCCATTCCAACAACCGGCTACCGGACCCCATCGAGCTCGCCAGCCGGTTGGAGGAGGCGCGGACGTCGGCCAAGCTGCTCGAGCAGGTCGTCATGAATACGCCCTCGACCGAGATGCTGCAGAACGAGCTCATCCGCGAGTTCGCCAACCGCTGCCTCAGCGCGTCGCGCAGCATCCAGGGGTACATGACGTCGGAGAACCCGGGCCCCGACAACGACACCATGGAGAGCCTCATCGACACCAACGAGCAGCTCCAGACGGCGCTCAACCAGCACCAGCGCGCCGTCCTCAACGCGCGCAAACAGCTCGGCCTCAACACGCCGCATGAGGGGTCGCCGGGACCCGAAGCGACCAACGGTACGCAACGACAGGATAGCTGGCAGGGCACGAGCGCCGGCGCCGGTGTGGGCGCGGGTGCGGCCGTCGTATCGGGCGGCAACGGCAAGGGCAAGCAGGCAGAGGTCTACAGCGCGCCCGACGGCCCACCTCCGTCCAACAAGGCCTCCGGCTCCGGGTACCGGCGCGACCACGACGACGACGAGGAGCCGGCCGAGGACCCATTCGCAGACCCCCACCCGGGTCAGGGCTCGTCGAGCGCCTTTGCCGACCTCAGACTGGCACAGGAGCCCTTCAACCCAGGCTTCCAGGCCGCCAAACCTGGCTTCGCCGACGAGAAGGAGGCGGTCAACGGCTCGGGAGCTTCTAGCACGACGGGCCTGCACCCGCCACCGGGCCAGCGCAAGGCGCCTAGCAACGATGATGACGACGACGACATTTACGAAGCGACGCCAAAGAGCAAGGAGCCTATGCACCGGTACTAGCTGCTGTCCGACCAGACATCTGCGCCTACGCGAGGGACGGCCGGCGTGCCCCTGCTGCGTCCCAACCATTAGGCGGCGACGAGGGTTCGAATCTACGCAGGCCCCGCATCTTGCCATTTTCTCTACTCGCTGTCGAATTCTCCTACGATTTTGCTTCAATGTTGTCATGATTCCCCCATTTGTTCTTGTCGTTGGAAAGAGGACTCGGGATGCTCACGGGACGGCTGAGATGGCCGTGGCGCGCTCGCTTGCTAGACACTGAGGGGAGGGGCCTGAGGCGGTACGCAGAAAACGGGGGCGAAGAAGGGGACTGGAGAAGACGTGTTTTCCGAGGCGAAGGGACGGCAGACTGCGTCTTGCGTGTGGTTGATTCATAGCGTGAGCATTGTTAGTACAGAACAGACAGAAGCAGCAGCAGCAGCAGAGCAGACAAAGAGACTTATTCCATGACGCACGAAGGCGCGACACTCCCTAGGCTGCGATGGTCTCATTGGTCTCCTGGCGAGACGGGTTGACGAGCTTGATCTGCGTGGCGCACCCCGACGAAAGGAGCAAGAGCGCGTACCTCGGAGCGCATGCTGCAAGCATTGTGTCCGGGGAGCAAGGCTCGCCGCCGGCGTCACCAGGCCGTTCGCGTACAGCATTGACATCTTGCTACGGCAAACCATCGAGAGGAGGGACCGACGCTTAATGCGCACAGCAAGTTGCAGGCTGACCATTACTGCGTGAACGGAATGGGATCTGGTATGAGAAAGATGGGAGAGCGGTGGCGGGCGCGACTGAGTGAGGCACCACCCACGGCGGCCGGGTGCGACCCGTGAGCATACGGACGACACCCGTGAGGGGGCACACGAGCATAACGTCAAAGCCCAGGATATAGAATATGCAACGAGAAGGCCAGGATATCAGTGGCTTCAGCATAACGCGTTCGGGTTTAGGGTGCGCCGCTCACGCGCATACAAGTATTCGGATGCTGAAAGGATGCTGTTGCGCTGGGGGTCTTAATATCCGAAGGTGCGGCTCGGATACCAGGGTCCGCATCCCGGAGCATAACAGTTGGACGAAGGCCATATCTGAGCCTTGTTATTGAGCTTTCTCGTGAAGCCCATGTGATTGATCGCCTGTCAGTCTCTGACGCGGCCCTTTTGCTTTGCTCCTTGATTGGCTGCGTCGTTTGAGCGAGGAACTCTTGAGGCGAGTCTTGGTTGAAGTTGGCATTGACTCCGAACCTTGAGCTTGTTATAGGCCAGGGTCGCACAAGGGTAGGGGCAAGGGATGGGATGATTCGACGAACGCGGGGGGTTATAGTCAAAGTAGGCGTATTCGGGTACCGCAGGCTTGCACGTGCGCTTTCGCGACCACCTCCGGACCTGGGCCTGCTGTGCTTCTGGTCACTGTTGCGATGCCAACGCAGGCCGGGAGCAAGCGACCCAAGCGCAAGTCATTCCGGGCGTCGCATCTGTCACAAGACCTCACGATACGTCTTGAGATGTCCCAGCTGCTTGGTCAGGTCCGTCTGTGCGTCGGCAGCGAAGCGAGGCGCGACAGCAGCGTTGACAACGCCCGAGCCACCAAGTCGATGGCATGGAACGTTTCTTTTTTGCTCCGCCTTGGTCGACAGAGCCGATGATTGGCGGTTAGCCCGGTAGATACGATCGGGGCCTGCAAGCGAGAGCTGCGGATAGCCGCCGCAAGGCTTGCATTCTGCATCTGCACTCTGCGACTCGCATTCTCCTACGCATAGAGCTTGGCCGGCGAGCCAGTCGCATCCGCGAGACGTCGGAGCTATTGGGGGCTGACGGCAGGCGGTTCGAGAAGCGCGCGCAGGGTGTCTCAGTGCGGATAACAGTGGGGGAGAGGCCGTCTCTAGCGATATCTGGCTGGACAAGGTTACCAGGGTAATTGCCCTCTGCTTGCGTTGGCATCAGCCAGCCATCGAACAAGCCGTCGAAGGAAATCGGCCACGAATGGAGACGGGCCCGCGCGGGCCAAGAGGGGCTCGACGATCGTCATCCGCCCCGGCAGAACGTTTGAGAGGGTTTTTGTCACGGCATGTTCCGCCCGCCGTGAGTCCGTGACACCAAGGACGAGAGGGTCATGGCCCGGCGGGCTGCTTCAAGAAACGGCGACGGCAAGTCTTGCTCGAATTGGTTCCTCCATTCGGGCCAGTCTCGGACTCGTCGTCAAAGTTGGCCCGGCGCGGGCAGCGGGATGGGCATCGGGCTAGTCCTGATGGATGGCGGCGCGGCGCCTTTGCCTGTTCCATCGTCGGGCGTCGGCACAGCCCAAGGTCCCGGGACCCGGCAGACTGGGTTGCTTGCGAGGTGGCAGCCTGCGTCATGCCAAAACATACGTGGCGACGTCGACTCTTGATTCCGGCCAACGTCTCAGCGCGTGAACACGGTGAACGCCGGTGACTGGCGCAGAACAGTCGCAGCCCAAGGGCGCGACGAAGGCACAACAGCCCTCGTCGCCAGCCGGTACCTGGACATGGCATCATCGGGCTCCCGGGCGACGCATCGTTGTCTGCTGGTTCTCGGGCAACCTTAATCGTCGCCGTGGTATCACGTCAGCCCCTGCGGAACACGGCAATCCGACAGGGAGAGGCCGGGCGTCGTTTGGCCCCGTTGCCGTCATGATGTCGGCTAGCGGTGGCTCGCCTGCCAGCATGGCATGGCCGCCCTCGTACTCGTAATATGAAGCGCGCATAGATGGGGCCGCCGACCATGCGCGAATCCCGGTCGAGGTGGCAGACCGTGGATATCGGAGCCGGGTGGTTTGATTGATGCCTTTGTTAGGCTCCTGTCTACGGACACGGTACACATCAGTGCAGTCCAATGTAGAGCATGGCGGCGGCATAAGTCCTCGGTGAGGTACGAGCAACCACGCGAAGCCATGCCGGGGGGCTGTAAACGGGACGGCGCAAGCGCAGCCATGCGCACCTTTCCCGTCCCTGGGCTCGGAGGAGCCCACTTGAACCCACCAAAAGGCAGTCCCAGTCGCAGGGCCACCGCAGGGCAGTCGCAGTGCGCATCGCGGCGCAGCAGGGCCGCCCTGGAGGGCACTTGGGCAAGCGCTCCCCGCCCAAGGCAGCCGATTGGGCGCTGGGGCTAGCTGGTTACCCTTTTCGGGACATCCTTGCGAAGGGAGAGGCAGGAGTCAACCAGGCCAGCCAGGCCAACCCGGAAGACTTTCCTTTAGTACCTACAAGTAAGGTTGCAGGTACTGTACCCAAACGCACCTGCCACAGCCCACTCACTGCACCACACTATGCCACCACAGTGACTACACGTACTTGTACGTGCCAGGCCAGGCCGCGCATCCGACCATCTGCCTATGTGTCAGTAATCAGTCTTGTCTCCTTCTCTCTCTCCCTGAGCGTCTTGCACATGCAATCTCAGTGATCCATGCCAGCTGCCTCACCCGCGTCTCCTCAGACCCCATTTCTCCTCCAACGAGCGAGGCCCATCCGTCCCTCTCCTCTCCTCTCTCCTCTCCCCTCCCCTCCCCTCCCCCTCATGCCGCCCCCCTTGCTCCAACCAGAGTTGGAGAAGCTCCGTCCCGCCGGCACCCCAGCTGCCCATCTCCGGATGTCGCCCGCGCAAATCGCCTCACGAGGCCGGCGGGCGTTGGGAGCTTTGTCCGTCGCGTAGCCCAGGCGGTCAGCTAGCTGGCGGCGGACCTCACTTCCCACCCTGGCCTGGCCTGGATCCGTGGATAAGGCATGCTCTGATTCCCCTTCTCTCGAGGAGCTGTACGTAAGGCGGTGCGCTGCTTGGGAACGAGCAACTGAATATCACCTTTGCTTTGACATCGCCTTTCTTGTCCACGCCATGTCCCTTTGGCTAGCCAGCCACATATAGACGGGGCCTTGTCGCACACCCGGCAAAACGGCTCTTGGGCTTTGACGCATCATCGACGTGGTAGCCTCAAGTACTTCTTCACCCAAGGCCAGGCCCTTCCACCAGACGCTACCACGACTTGCCAGAGGCTCCGCACGCTCCGCAGCAAGACCTGACCCTGATCGGATTTCGCCCTCACCATCTCTCCGTTCTCGAGGCCTGAAACCCTATGACGGACGCGAGGCGGCATCATCCCGTCGGCTCATCCTTTATTATCGATCCCCGCCCGTTTGTTCCTGGCTGCCTGGTGACTCGGACAACCTCAGGTCAAGCTCAAGCTGCGTCTTCCAGGATCGCCTGTCGCCCGGTCCCGTGCCCGGCCTCTGGGGCCACGTTTATAGCTTCGAGCACAAATCCGCTCCAGTCTAGCCAAGGGCACACCCCATGTACGTCTGCATATGCGTCAAACCCCGGCCCAAGCACCCTGGCTGACGAGACCGCACTTACTGGGACTCAGTTGATCAACTGCCGCTGCCGCTGCCGCTGCCGCATCCTCGATCCTATCCCAGACCCGTCCACTCGCCCCCATCTCAGGGCCACTTGATACGCTCCTTGCTGCCCAGAGATTCGCAGCTCATTGAGTTGCCTTACTCTCCGCCTTGTTTGGGTCCAATCCAAAGAACCTGGCTCCCAGACGCCCAGAAGACACGACGTCTGATGTCGCCTGCGGCCACTTCCGCTTCCCCCTGACAACACCGTGTACTACTCCGGGCTTTACACGCGTGGTTACATACATATCTGCGCCTAACCTTCCAATACCAGCTGTATCGCCACATCTACCTGGCCTGGCCCAGACTGTACAACCGTTTGCTCTTGCTTGGGCAGCTGCCACTCACCCCGAGCAGGCTGGGCTACAAAATGCTTTTCACGTCGGGCCCGCCTCATCCTCGACTGCCACAGCTGCCTTCTGGTCACCATCTGACAGCTGCGTCAGTTACGACGTGCGGTCAGCAAGCGGCAACACAGCAGATGTCTTCCCGGCAAGTTAGCCATAATCACCAGCTTTCTACGCCCGCTGGACAACCGCTAGCTAAGCTCTCTCTGGAGATTCTCAGTCTGGTCCTTGAACAAGTGAGTCCGCCCTGTTTAGCAGTGTACTACCTTGGCCTACAAGCTGGCCCCATACTGATGGCCTCTCTTTAGTTGCGGTACATAGATTACAGATCGCTTTTCCTGCTCCGCTTAGTCTGCCGACACTTTCACTCTCTCGCAACTCCAGCGGCATACCATACCATTGAGCTCAACGACGCGCTCCTCCGACCCAACGCCGAGCGCGTTTACCCTGGTGCGCTTGACCATGTAGCTCGATTTACGAGACATGTCGTCATCCGGAGCGATCTGAACCCGCAGGGTGTCAAACGAGTGCTGTCTGCAACCAGAAGACTGTCATCTATCAGGTACTGACTACGGATGGCCCGAAGCCGGTAGTCCGTCTGCTAACAAGGAGGCATCGTAGGTGGCGCTACATATCACAGCGCAACCGGCTTCCGAGGTTATGGCTGCCCTCAGACATTTTAAATTCCGCCAGAATCAACGCGGATGGCACAAAAATTACCATTGAGGATCTCCCTCTCGGAGGGGCGCAGCACGATCTTGACGAGTCCTATTTCGACGCCACTCTGACAAGGCACTTGGTCTCACTCAAGCTGTCCATCTCAGACCCGCCCCTAACTACCAGGCCAGACTCTTTGAAAAGACTCATTATGCAATGCCCTCATCTTCAGACATTACACTACGAGGACCTTGGAATCGGGACGAGCTTTTCCTTCCTCGAAGCCGAGAGAATGCCTCCAGTGGATGATCTCGTGTTGAAGTCGTACAACTGGAATCACTCTCCAGAGGAAGTGGCAAAGCACTGGGACTTCTCCTCAATCCAATCGTTAAAGCTGGTCAATATGCCCGTATCCAATTTCTTAAACTCGATCTACCTCCCGGACTTTACCTCTCTACACACCCTCAAGGTGGAAGATTACGGCGGACACCTGCAGGACATGCGCCCGAGCGCGACTCGGCGACTACACGACCTGGTGAAGCACCATGTTCAGGCCCTGGAAACGCTTGACATTACTTGTCATACTCAGATATTCGGCATCGATGCCATCCGCAAGCATGGTAACACGCTTCGTGTCTTGAGATTCCGGGATCACGTGGGGTTTGAAGACGACGGCAAGCCATGTCCGACGCTTGGTGTAGAGGACCTCGTACTCCTTGGGGCGCGGATGCTGTTCATGCACACGCTCGAGCTCGACATGGACGAAGCCATGTGCAACCCTCACGACTTCTTGGGGGTTCTGTGCTCGTTCCACAGCCTGCACACGTTGACTTTACATGTCCAAACACGCATACGCCCCTCGCAGAGAGTGGACCCGAGCACTGATCCCGACTATGAGACCGCGCTGGAGACGTTCAACTATCTCGTTGGACTCAGAAAGCAGAAGAGGCCACATGTGCCTTGGCGGTGCGTCACCATCAACGTCGGCGGGTGGCGACGGGCCATGGTGCGACGCCTGGGCTATGAATGGAAACGACGCAACGAGCAGGGCGTCTTTGCCGAGCGATGCTTTGTGCTGGAGAAGGAGGTGGGAGACGGTCGGTACGGCATCCGGGAGGAGCAGGCGTCGGAGAGCCCACGGTGTCGGTCACCGGTGCAACTCTGACAGCGCCGGCCAGTTGCCACGGTCGGAGATGTCGCAATATCACCGGCGGCATCCGAGCGGAGACGACTGTCGTTGGTGCATATACCCATTCGAGCCGCGGCACAGGATAAGCTTGGCAGATTGTCACATTGCAGTTTTCCGGCATGGCGTTGGATGCAGGAGACACGCTCAGGCACGCATGGCGCGCCCGACGAATATTCACGTAATTATGTTGCTTGTTGATACTTACCATCGTCTCAGCTGCTGGGATCTTTGTCTTCCGGCACATTGCGGCGTCCGAGAACAACCCGAAGCGATTGCTGGAGGCATACGATTTGCCCACAGACCCTGTTGTCCATTAGGTACAGGGCACGAAGTATGAGAGTCTAAAACACAGGGCTACCAATCGGCAGCCTTGACACTTGAAACGGGCCATGCGCGGTAGCGGATTCTGCCCAGGAACTTGGGCGTGATTGCCGGTTGGCTACCCGCGCATGAATCAAGGACCAGGACTGAACTGGAACGAGGCCCGTTCGATCCCTTTCCGAGAGGACCTGCCCCGGTCACAAGCTGAGGAAGAAGAAAAGACGACACCAGAGGAGATTGGCACCTTCACGCCGGGCATCTCGGACGCATAGTCTGTCGGAAGACGAGATGCCGACTTGGATGCCCATGGCGTTGCGATTTGGGACATGCACGGGAAAGTGTAGGGTAGGCAGGGACGAGATTGCCGGATTCGGCGTGCGCTGGCGGTGGGGGAGAGGATGTGGAGG